ATTATAATTTGTTTATTCTCATGTGGACAGCAAAAACAAATAAAAGTTGAACGTAATTGAAATATAAAGCGGAGTGAAATCAATTTTCGACCCCACATTTGATGGACTCCCTTGGGCAGGCTTTCCACGAGAAAACACCATCATCGCATTGCGATAACACATCTCCCAACGACACCACGGCGAATGTCCGTATTTCGTCGACGGCGCGAGATACCCTCTGACCCAGTACCGTGGATTTATTTTCGAATTTATCAAAATACACAAGAAAAACACTCCCTGAGCGCGCTCTTTCGCTCACCAGAGTAGCAATGCCGTATCTCAATAATGCTGCGTCTCATGAAAATTCAAACATTCCCATCATCTTTAATCGTTTGGGCGCCAAATGTTTCTGTTTTTTCCCCTTAATTGTTTCTTAGTAAGATAACTAGTTACGCAATTTCGATGTCGCATATCTGATTACATTTGGGAGAAAATCTGACTAGTATATTCAATTATGAGAAATTAAGGCATTAATTTGAAGAGTGCAGCAAAAAAATCCGGATATAAATCATGCAGTGAAGTAATCATGGAACTTGTTAAAAAGTGCATTTTATGAGTAGTTCCATTTTTCAGCATCATCTTCCCGAAAATTGTCTCAAATTACTTGTAACTCGTCGAGATTAGTGCGGAGTCTGTCATGTCGCTCATCAGGGCTACAATCAGTGCGTCTGAACAATTTGAACCCTTTGAGATGATCATTGTTTATCGTTTAGAGTCAATCGAGAGCACAAGACATGCTTGTAAATGGTTTTCATCTATCTGACTGGGAAGAAGTGCCTTCTAAACTCCCCCTTTGTTGGCCTGTGGGAGAGAAAACACTATGAATGTATCAATTTCAACAGCTTCAAACAATGATTGACAGCTCTCGAGAGGGCGGAATGCATTGAAATTAACTGTGGTGTGTATTTCAGGAAGTACACGATCTTTAGGGTGGAAATGCAACACTTCTGTCTCGCCCATGAATGTCCAATTCATCCAATTCATGAGCTCATAATGAAGATGTGAAGCATTCTTTCACAAAATTGACCATAACATTTGATCAGTCTCGTAAATAAACCATCTCTTTGGGATGCAACTGGTGAAGTGATGCAAAGCAGAAACGCATTTCTCCCATCCTTAAGAGAGATACGAGGAGAGACGAAGCAGTAGTATTGGATATATTTATTCTTTAGATGACATATTGCATAAATAAAATCTTTCTTCACTGTGAATTTTTCAAAAAAAAATATCAAAGAGCAATAATTGTAAAATATACCATAAAATTTAGCTACATCATTGAGTAATTTCACAGAATGTCCCCAAAAATCCCGCCTCAGCAAAGAGAAAGATATAATGATGTTTTCTGTGGATTTTATAATGTAAATTGGTGAGGAGGCAATTGCTTTTAACGTCCAATTGGACTTTTGATAAACGTGCTCATCTCTCATTTAGTAATGGTTGCGGCTCGTTTAAAAAATCGTCATTCTCTGGTTAGTCGCGCGTTAATTCCGGAAGGCGAGGGCGGAAAGCAAAGTGATGTTTATTATATTCCCGAGAGTACGGACAGCGAGAGAGGGTCAGAAGCGCATAACGGCCCCAAATTAAATTCACTCCATTTTCTCATATTCTCCTCTGCCTTACAATATTTAAATTTAAAGCAATACTGAAGATGATGCTCTGATTTGTCGAAATTGATGCTGCATTCGCTCTGCGGCTGAACATATCAACGACCATGACTCCAGGGACTTTAATCTCACTCAAATACCCGTAGCAATTTAATCTTTTGCAATATTTCTCAATAAACCTCAATGTTGCACGGCAGTTTCGCCAGTGGGAGTGAGCGATGATCAGATACATCACTGAAACTGTGCCACAGCATCATCAAAAGGAGACTCTCGAGACGCATGCCTAATGCAGTGAGTGACAGAAACAAATCTCACACTAATTACTTTCAACACAGACGGCATCCGTGGAAACTTCTGCGCTCGAGGTCCTGCAGAGATGCCACTTGAAAAGGGCGCAAGTGAGGATTTGTGTTTAACTCTTCACATGCCTCCAGACCTTCTCACCGTTTACATTATCGTGTGCTGATTGATTCACTCCCCTGAGAACACTCGAGTGGCATCCAATCTACAGCCTCTCAGTGGCCTTTCTCAGACATTTCTACCTGATCGCACGCCTCTTCCCACAGAATGTTTAGAGAGCACAGTAAAAAAGATGGAACACATTATCTGCCACTTTGCAGACGTTCAGTTAAATAAAGTCTTCAAATTATGCCGTATTCGGTTCATTTAAGGAGCAGTCTTGCTTTATTTTATCCAGACAATTGGGACGCGATTAACTAACTCATGTTAATTTCACTACTTATTCATTAAAAACACTGTTTAGACCATTTACGATAGACTTGATATACGATAATTTCTTTCGGAAGTACAATTTAACGCACTCATTTAAACTCTAATCTCAATCCCAAAGGTCAAGTGGGCATTTTGTGGTTTCTTCCATCACTCTCAAATAGATTGTGTCCAAAATCAACGACTTTTCTTCACTCAAGCGCGACCAACGGCTCCTTCTTCCACATAAGACAGTGCGTACCAAGAAGCCTCGGCTTCTTTTCAGGTGCACCACATAGAATTATGCAATCCGCACCGCTCAAGTGTTGTGCGAAGCGTATCGCGACACGAAAAGTAAATCAAGTACCGAAGCGTGCCTTCCACCGCTTCATTATTATTGTTCTTCAGTGCAATCGCACATTGAAATTAATTACAATTTCTCGGGCGTCTCGCGGTGATCGCGGCACGAGCCTGGAAGAAAAGAGTAATCTCATGTGGCAATTTGCTGGTGTGTGAGTATTGCTGATGGGACGAAATGCGGGTTGTCTCGTCCAGCATCCTTCAACCACATTTTCGGCCGCTTGTCCTCTGCCGTCACAAAACACTTGGCTGATAATCTAATTAATGGTCTCTAACTCATTTTTTATGCCATCAGCATTATAATTGTCTCTGAAGCTTTCAAATTCACATGAATTTCTGATGAACCGACGCTCTGCTTCCTCTTCCAGTGCACTCTGGGCTGTCAACTTTGGGAACAAGCGTTGGAGTCTTCGTGCCAGACTGTTTGTGTAAGTGAAATAATTGAAATTTTTTTTGATTAACTTCTAAAAATACCTCTAAATATTCACTGCATCACTTTCCATCCGAATTTACGACCTGCTGAGTAAATGAAGAGTTTTTCACAATTAACCGAAGTGAATCTTTCAACCATGACGATATCACATTAAAATCCACTAAAATTGCGTGATTTCTGTTTTGCTTTTTTCGACCATTCAGAATAAGACTGACCAGGAGTTACTAGAGCCGAAAGAACTGTACTGCGTTGTGGGATGCAATGATGCCCTCAATAGGTACTTCAAGTGGGTGAAAGCCGAGGTCGGGGTGCCTCCGGCACCCGCCCTTGTGGCGGACTCCCTCACGGCCACATCCCTCTCCCTGGAGTGGGAGATCCCAGACAAGTTCGCCCAACTGACGCGCGGAAAACTGCACTCACCGCAAAGCTACCTGGTGCAGTGGCGATATGAGGAAGTGGTTGGCGACTGGAAGTTCTGTAGGAACCAGAGCATGGGCGACAACTCCACCGTTCGCGTGGACAATCTGCAGCCGTACACGAAATATAGGGTGAGTTTCTTCCCATTCTTATCCCCTGACATGCGATATTTCATCGTCAGCGCCAAAACAACACCCTCGTATCGGCCATAAAAATGAGTTTATGTCCAGTGATAAGGCCTTATCGAAGTGTCTGCCTCAGTGAAATTCAATATTGTACTCTCTTTGCAGTTTCGCGTAGCTCTCCTCCTGTCTAAGCAGCACGATGAGTTCCTGACGTCCGAACAGAGCGTGATAATCAGTACGTTGCCCATGGGTGTTCCCCTGTCGGAGCCAGCAATCGTAAGAGCTGTGGCTGTTGATCACACAAGGATTTCTGTGACATGGGAACCTGGCCCATTCCCCAATGGGCCGGTTCTATCGTATGTGCTGCAGATCAGGGATTTGTCATTGAACATCTCCGCGCTCAAGGTGCCACAAGCTCATTACTTGCGACCTGTTCTTCTTCAGTAGCTTCACTGTAGATGCACCAGATTCTCTTCTGTAGCCAATATTTTTCTCACTCTCTATCATACAGAGTGGGCTGCCAGGAGTGTCTTTCAGTCAATCGTCAGACGAAATTATGTCTTGTGATGGCGAAACGGACAACTCACTCAGTTCACCCTGTTTCTTGTCTTCTTCTCTTTGCTTTTACACTTCTCATTTGAATTCTATCTTAGCATTGATGGATCTTTTGCATCTCTTGCCATGAGATCAACTTCAACATGTTTCTTAGCACTTCTCTATTGATGGTTCAATGCAATTTATAAACGCTCGCCCCATCCCACACATCGCTGATCGCTATCTAGTCGATCGCTCGATCAGCACCGGTCACAGTGTTGTGTATTGTTTGTCGTGGACCGTCTTTTCTCACACTCATTAATTCTTGATGTCATATTATTATTTTTCATACAATTTCCTCCCATGCTAACTATCATACCTTGAACCATCAATAGAGATCACGCTTGCAAATTCATCTGAAAATCTCGCAAAGTGATCTCCTCTCTCTCGCACCGACAGCACACGTGATCTGCAAAGCACTCGTCTTTGTCGTCTTTTCTTACTAATCACCTGGACTATCAAGTAAATTTATTCACTAACGGAATGATCACACGCACGATATAAAATGGTACTTTTGGCCAAACTGGAAGCTGTCTTCTTCAGCCGCTCTAAAGCTCGACCAGAAATCACCATCAATTAACGTGTTTCCGGTTTTTCTTGTGAGAGAATTGTTTTAGATGTGAGATGTGTAAAAAAGAGCCAAAATTGAATGAAACACTTCATTAGAATTGGAATTAATTAACTATTTATACACTTCGATGCTGAGGGTCACTGTTTCTCTTTCCGTTTTCCCATTGACCATCTCTCGAGTGAAATTCTGCTCAATTGAAAACAGCTTCCAGAAAAAACATATCCGTTGCAAATTAATTATACTAATAAATTGCTGCGTCTCTGCATTAAGTAAATTATTTTTCTCTTGGTGTTAATCATATTTTTGACACACTCATTGCCACACTGATGCTCATGATTGCTGTTTGAATTGGGCAAAATTACAGGATATATCCGCCACGGAGAAGACACATTTTTACATGTTCGAGAAGCTAACGCCCTCCAACAACTACTCAGTGTCGGTTACAATGAGAAATGCCGAAGGAGAAGGTCCAGCAGCATCTACAATCGTTTCGACACCACCTGAACCGGAAAGTAAGACAATTTCTTGCAGAAACGGTGTATGAATTAATCTAATTATCCCAATTCTTCAGTGGCTGTGGATGAACCCAATCCAACCATCATCTTAGCTACGGAGTATTCAGTTCTCACACAAGGATCGGATCTACTCTCGGATTCCTCGAAGGATTTCTACACTACCGACATCAGGATCAAGGGAATCGCAATTCACATTGCACAGCAGCTCCTCTTTATCTCAGAAGAATCGGGATTTGTCTACAAAGCCCCGCTGGAGATCACCGGCCCGAAGACAACAGTGCTGTCACCGCATTCAGGATTCAACTTCAAGCCTCAGCTACTCTCAATTGACTGGCTAAACAACCACTTGTACATTCTGGGGGAAGTGCAACACCCACACGCTCATCGCATATGGCAAATCTCCCGGTGTGATCTTGATGGAAAGGGTCTCACAGTCGCCACTGCGGGTTTAGTCAAGCGACCAGATCACATTGAAGTGGATCCCTTCAATGGATACCTCTTCTGGGTCATTACAGGCCATTCAATGGACAGCGGTCTTTTTCGCCTCGATCTCGGCGACATATCCAATGGGGTGAAGCACAAAGTGAAGCCCTTGCACATGATCCAGGGACAGAACTTGGCGCCCTTTACAGTGGATCACACGAGGTTTCGCATTCTCGTGCCTCTGCAAGACGAGAACACTGTGATCTCTGTCTCATTGGATGGAAAGGATCGTGAGGACATCCGCAAAAACACAAATCAACCAAAGTTCAATGACGTGAGATCTCTAGCCATGGCAAACGGACTTTTCTATTGGACTAATGGAGAGGATGTCATCTCAGAGGATTATCACGTAGTCCAGAAAATATACTTCCACAACGCCTATCCGGGACTCTCTAATCGAACCTACATCTCACTCTGCATCAATCTAAACTCCGCCCAGCCGATTCCCATTCCCGTCAACCCACCCAGCAATGTTCAGGCCCTGCTCAGTGCCCGCAAAGCTAAAGTGTCGTGGCGAGTGCCGCATCTGCTAGGCAATCAAGGCAAAGGAACCTGGCAGAATTGGAAGTACGAACTCGAGGTCATGAACGACACGGAGAAAGTCACGTACCGAGACATCAGAAGTGCTCATCGGAATATCGACAATCTGTTGCCCAACGCCATGTACACTTTTAGAGTGGCGGCCTACACCAGTGCAGGCAAAGGCCCCTGGAGCACGGAATTCAAAGCCAAGACCCTCAATTCCCTGCACAACCGCTATCTTATTTGGTCTTCAGACAATGGTCTTCTCCAGAGCGACGTCATTGGGGAGCACATTGATACATTGATACCGAAGTCTGAACTTGGGGAGCACTATGTCTCCGACATTGCCTGGATTGAGGATATGTTGTTCTTTGTCAGCAACTCCAGTCTTAACTTCTTCAACCGAACCAGCAGGGCCACAACAAAGTTGGGGGACTTTGACTCAGTCGAGAGCATCGCTGTGGATTGGATAGGAAAGAGACTGTACTGGTCCAATCCAACACAACAACTGATAACAAGGAGTCACTTGAACGGGGATCAGCAGGAAACCCTTCCAATTCTAGCAGTAGCGAAAGAGTTGCGCATTGACTCTCTGAGAGGCTTTATATACTTCTCAACTGGACATGCCGTTGAATCCTGCCGCTTGAACGGGAAGAACCGCAGAACCTACTACAGTGTGGAGTTGTATTCGGGTCTACAAGTGATGGGCTTAACCCTGGATATGGACAACCAATTGGTGTACTGGATCGTTCGCAGATACGACAGTTCAAGCCTCTACAGTGCCCAAATGGCTGGCAGTTTCGCTTCCAATATGAGCGTTACTGAAACCAAATTGGGCGAGGCTTCACTCCAAGGACCCCTAACTCACTTCAGTGATCGATTAATGTGGCTCCAAGACAATAGAACAGTGATTGTGGGGGACATGATGGGGAAGAATTTGGCACAGATCAATAATACCAAACTCAACGGAATCCGCGCAATTTCTGTCATTGATCCAACGCATCACATTTATCCCTCAAACTTGACCTTCATCAATGTAATACCTAATCAAGTCAAGAACCACACCATCAAGATCAGAGGCGTATGGACATCTTTTGAGATAATTTGGGAGCCAGTCAGCAATGTCAACTACGGCCAGGTCTTCTACGAAATCCGCATTCACGCCTCGGGACACAAGGACATTGTCAAGGAAGTAATGGAGCCTATTTGGCATCATCGATCGCACTCTCTGCAACCGTACAGTCCACTGGACATCACGGTCAGAGCCTTCACTTTCTGGGGTTCAGCTTTACCGACTAGGAGTCACATTCACTCTCCGCCAGCCAAGCCCACAACGCCCACAAACCCCAGAATCTTCATCACACACTACGATGATCCTCTGAGAGGTGGACTCAATCTCACAGCCACCTTCAGATGGAGCCCACCACTGCATCCCAACGGGCCCATTCTAGGATATCGCGTCAAGTGTTGGTATGAAGAGGATTTCAAAGAAAACCAAAAGTGCGATAACGTTCAGGTTTCTGCGACAACAGAAGAGATGATTCTAACAAATTTAGTACAAAATGTTACTTACTTCTTCCAAGTCCTCGCCTTCACGGAAGCCGACAGTGGAGAATTCACGCGACCGTTGGGTGTGGAAACAGCCAAGGAAAAGTCAATTCCTCGAGTGATTGTATCAACTAAGGACCACCACATTCTCGGCATTGATCTGGATTTGAAGAAGAGCGAAAGTATCCTCAGCACGGGAAACACTGTAAAATACATGACTTACATTGCGCGAGAGAAGAAGATCTTTTGGATCAATGAGGTCAATGAGATAATGTCCTTTAACGGATCAACCCAGTTCAAATTGCTGACGATAAGCTCTGAAGCGCTCTCCTTGGCTGTCGATTGGGTTGAAAGAAGTCTGTATTGGTCACACGTGGATGGAAACTTTTCAGTCTTGGCCATGTTAGACCTCACTAAGTACGAAGCATACAAACGGGGTGTCGTTGAACTGGTGAGGAGAGAAGCCATCATTAGGAACATCTTAGTTTCTCCGATGGATAAAATGATTTTCTGGACTGAACACCGATCCAACGGACAAAACGACGATGAGGTGCAAGTCATTTCGTACAATATCTACACCGGCACCATCATGAGCATGGAATTGTTTCCAACTGAAGAATGTCCCAACATTTCCCTCACCTCCAGTTTCCGTCCTTTTGCACTCGAAACAAAGTCCGACCGAGAAACACACATGATTTGGACTGATAAAGAGCAAAATCTCTACTCAACCGGCATAACAACGCAATACTGCAGATCACTGGACTTTCACTACAGTGATCCAACACTGAGCTTCGTGAAAGACTCCTCGAGGATTTACTGGATATCAGCGGATAATGTGATTCATGCTAAAAATGATCACAGCGTTAAATTCTACAAATATCCCGTATCCAAAGCTGAGTCTATTATGGCTTTATATCATCAAGCGTATCCCAGCAAAAAGTGCCTGATTCCTAATTCCAAGGATTCCTCGAAGTACGAAGCTAGTCTCTTAGCATCAACATCGAATACCATCAAGCTGAAACTTCCCATTCCCACACCGGCCACAGGATGCAACTTCCCCATTCCCGCCATCAAGTACATCATCTTCTTCCGGCCAATTGATAAGAATTACCCAGATGGAGGAAGGTGCAACGTCACAACTTGCCAAGTGGTTTATTCCTTTGACAACATCAAGACTATACATGGACTGAAACCTTTCACAAAGTACAAATTCCAAATTGGCGTCAGCAATTACTATGCAGACAAGTTGCAATTACGCGTGAATCTAGGGCCGAGCAAGATCTTCTCAACGGCAGCTGGAGCACCTTCGATACCGACTGACATAGAAGTTGAGGTGATCAGTCCTAATGAAGTGAACGTGACGTGGCATCAACCGCGGGAAATTAACAGCAATGATATTTGGTATGAAGTGCACTGGCAGACTGAGAATCCAAGCAATGGCATCCGCAACAGACAGCAACAGCTCGTCTACACCACTCATCACTCTCTGACAAAGCTCATACCTCAGCAATCGTACCGAATTTGGGTGCGCGCTTACTCCACAAACGACACGTTCTCGGAGAGTGAAGTTATAGGAGTGGAGACGTTCCAGGAGCCAGACAACATCACCCTTCTTCAGAACACCTCCACTTCGCTGACAATCTCTTGGCAACCGCATGGAAATGTATCCATGTTTCAATTAGGATACAAGGTGTTGAGTAATCCGACGATAGCTCCGCATGTGGTGTATGATTCTGCTCAAGCGGGAGACTTGCCTCCCTTCAATGGCACTTTTACCGTCAACGACTTAGAGCCTAAAACCACCTACAGGTTCTACGTCTTATTGTACTACCCAAAGATGGATTCACCCTACCTCTGGCCGCCTGACACTCGATCCGTGTTTGAAACCTTGGGCGACAAGCCCACAGCCCCTGGAAAGCCTCTCGTGAAACATTTAAGCGGAGACGTTTACAAAGTGTTCTGGGAACCTGCCAAAGACAACGGAGCGCTCATAGAAGAGTACAGTCTGGAAGCCTTCCAGTCCAAACCAACCTCCAATCGTGTTCGACGATCACCAACTCTCGAAATAAATAGCGACGATGTTGAGAAGATCGCCCTGCACAGGATCACTAACAGTAATATTACTCTATCCGAGCGTGACGTCTCCTGGTCTGTGGACGTTGCGCCAGAGGATCAGTGGAAAATCTACTACAACGGTTCAGAGCTGTACTGGATTCCACAGGAACTCACCCCAATCCATGTTTATTCATTCAGAGTCAGGGCGCGCAATTCATACGGCTGGGGCCCATACAGTTCAACTAGCGAACCTATCAGTGAACCCTACGTGGACGTCACCAACAGGAGCAGCATGATCATTGTCATAGTGATCTCGATGAGCTTCGTTTTCCTGATTGCTTTTGTCGTGTGTATCATCACAGTGTTCGTCCGACGAGATACGGACAAGAAATTTTTTCCCGACGCCTCAGCGAGAATTCCAGATGTTGAACTGGCAAACCTGAGAGAAATGCCTCACGGAGCGAGCTTCCACGTGAACGTTCTCTACACCACAGGGCCTCTTTCGGATTCGGATGTGGCTTCGCTGCCTCAAATTCGAAGGGATCAGGTAATATTTCAAATTTTACTCCTTTGCTTGACTGCACACTCATTACTCCTTGCCTTCAGATTACCATGACTAAATTCCTGGGCAGCGGAGCTTTTGGGGAAGTCTACGAAGGTTGTGTCAAGAATCCCGAAGATCCTGAAACAAGAGTGGCCATCAAGACTCTGAGAAAAGGTGCGACTGAACAGGAAAAAGCAGAATTCTTGCAAGAGGCTCATTTAATGAGCAACTTCAAACACGAGCATATTCTCCGGCTTATTGGAGTGTGCTTCGACCTAGACTCACTTTACATCATTATGGAGTTGATGCAGGGCGGGGATCTCTTGAGTTTCCTTCGCCAGAGCCGACCGTCGATGGTAAGTATATATCAATGGATCGTTGGCCGAGAAATTCATAAATGTCTGCTTTCCAGGACTTTCCATCTTCCCTCACGCTTTTGGATATCGTTTCCATGTGCGTGGACGTGGCTTCGGGGTGTCGCTATCTGGAGGAAATGCACTTTGTCCATCGAGACTTGGCTTGCAGAAACTGTTTGGTGTCTTCAGTCGATCCCGAGGGTAGAGTTGTCAAGATAGGAGACTTTGGCCTGGCCAGAGACATCTACAAGAACGACTACTACAGAAAAGAAGGCGAAGGGCTGCTTCCCGTTCGCTGGATGTCGCCTGAGAGCTTAGTAGACGGTGTGTTCACTTCCCAGTCGGATATCTGGGCCTTCGGAGTTCTCTGTTGGGAAATTATGACCCTGGGACAGCAGCCTTATCCTGCCAGAACCAACGTTGAGGTCCTGCACTACGTTCGGAATGGAGGACGCCTCACTCGGCCCACAGATTGTCCTGAAGAATTGTAAGACATTGCTATTAATAGTTCATTTCGCAGTATATTTATCTACTTGGCAACTCTAGATATCAACTAATGCTGAAATGTTGGAGCTACTGTCCCGAAGATAGGCCTACATTCAGATACTGCCTAGAGATCTTAGAGACCCTGAAGAACAACACAAATGACTCCATTCAGATTACAATGCAACACACGTACAGGAATGGTGAGTGCATTCGTAGATGAATAAGACAGAATCCCTTCTTTTTCGCTTTTAATTGGTTATTACGAAAATTCGCATGACAAATGTTTTGACCAGGAAATTTTGCAAAATCATCTAAACCCCCGCTTGTCTCCCTCTTTCCCTTTAGGTGGCATTTTTAACAGATCATACTTACTCGCCGACGAAAACCATAATCACAATTCAGGTAAAAATTCCCCATCATTCTAACAAATCTTCATTATTAACTTGTTATTAACTCTAAAATGGCTTTGGAAAATACCCAGAATAATTTCAAGACTTGTCTTCGGATTTATCTTTACTGTATCCTTTGCAGGTGGACACAAAATCGTGAGTGGCGATTCTGGAATCACGTCGATTCCCAGCCAACGAGTGGATCACTCGATCCCGACCACGTCCACAGACACAGGTCTAATACCAAAGTACATAGAATTAATCTATAGCAGCGACGATAAACCGCCTAGTCTCGTGAGTGAAGACTACGAAATCCCTATTACGAACTTCCCCTCAACGGAAGGCAGTACAAACATCCCAGATCCCACGAGGACTCCCAGCAGTTGCGCAGGGCAGCTGCCCAGCCGCAACACCATCCTCACCGTGGCCCTGCCCGATCCCTCAGCGGACGCCTGCTCGAGTCTGGACGCCCTTCTGCCGCAGCAGACGCACACCTACGATGGGAAAGTGCATCCGTCACCCATAATCATCTATTCAAATACAACTGCCGCGCCTTCAACGTCAACCGACGGAAAGACAGTGTTATGAGAGCCTTAGAGAGCGCATTGTACATTTTTAGTCTGATGGTTAACATGAGGACTCATCAAGATAAGTAGAGATGAAAAGAAAAGAACAGCAAAGACAGTAAGAATCAGAGTATTACCATGTTATATTCCATCTACTCATCTCTGCTTATTGCTCATCAATTACAATAAACACCCTTATATTAAAGGTGTACGCAATACGTAAATAAATTAATAAATTATATCAACTGTAAATATCTGTAGGCAATTAAATACCATGAACAAATTTTTGTAATTTAAGAATCAAATACCAAATCAATCTAAATTTAAAATTCAATTACTTTCTAATAAGAGACAAGAATAAAATTGTAAGTCAACTTTCACGCTTATTTTATTATGTTGTACCTCAACAAAAACTTATACACTTGAGAAAACTCACCAACTATCATTCTGTTGGCTCTGTCTTGATCTCCTGCTGCTCCAGCTCCAGATTCACATCATCATCCAGAGTCTCTTCCACGCTGTTCTCATGCAATAGCACGTATTCTCGGGAACTGAAGCCAAACTTGATGACGTCCTTCTCGAGGAGTTCAATGTACTTCCGAGCCTCGATGCGATTGTTGTTTACGAAGGTCCCGTTGGAGGACTCCAAGTCGATCAGGTAGGGTCTCACGCGCTTACCCACGGATCCGTCTTCTCTCTCAAAGGGCACCAAGCGATACTGCAGCGCCGCGTGCTGCTTTGAGCACGAGGGATGATCCACGCGCAAATCGCACACTTTGTGGTCACGTCCGATGAGAAAACAGCTCTGCCGATGGATGTACATCGTGGGCAAAGCCGTCTCGCCTTTGAACGGGTACAGGCGCCACCGACGCTTAGGCTTGCGCGCCTCCTGAGGCTCCGCGTACTTTATCACCACACCGTTGACCTTGTTTGTGTCTTCTGTGAGCTTCCCCGAGAGCCCGAAATTCGGCTTCTCCTTCTCTGCGGGCTCCTTCTGGTCCCCAAATGGCTTGTCCTCACGCTTTCCCCACTCGTACTTGCGATCGTCCTCTTCCTGTCGCGGAAAATTACGCCTCGGACTGCGACTGCGATGATCCGATCGTCTACGCTTCCCGTCATCACACCTGGCATGTAAGGAAGGAAAGATGTTTCTCAATTGCTCTTATCTCCATTATCATTATATTCTAGTTAATGTTGAAATGATTCAAATTACTCTACAATTAAAACATGAACAACTAATTGACTCGTCACAAAGTCTTTATAAGCTGTTTTAAACGCCACTGCATGATAAGAACTTACCTCCTTTCTCTGTCATGGAATCTCTCCTTGTGTCCATCGCGATCCTCCCGGCGCACTTCGAATCTCTCCTCCCGATTCTCCCGATATCTCCTGCCGCGCTCCTGAACCTCATCTCTGCTCCTCCGTGGATGATCCTCCACGTGATGCTCTTCGTGCCGCCGCCGATTGTCCCTCGGGTCCCATTTGGGAGATGGAGAATGCCTGTAACGCTTCCCGGGCCGATCCCTGCGGTCATCATGCTGTTCTCTATTGCCACGCCTTCCGGCCTGGCGATTGTCTTCCTGCTCTTGTCTGTATGGTTCATAATTCCTCTTCTGGTGCCTGCAAAATCAAAACAAACTTCCTAAAGTATTCCATAAGAGAATTATTACGCGGTGAGATGGAAATACCTCCTGTGATAAGAAGCATTCTCTTCGGGGCTGTCCCATTTTGACGAGACTCCTTTGCCATCGTCCGAAGCGTCTCGCCTGCGATGATGCTTGTTCTCAGGCTCCCTCTGAGCCACTCTCTTTGGCGAAGGCTCTGGAGATGAGTCACTGTCTTCACTAGAACTCCTCTTCTTGTGATGCTTCTTTGACTTCTTGGATGTTTTTCCGGGTTTCCCCATTTTTTCCAGATCACCAAATGCGAGGTTATGCGTCAAAAAAACACTGTCAAATACACTTTCTTAGTTGTCTATTCACATCTAACACTCTAGCATTAATGCTTATTTAGCGGCTAGACTTATGGAAATGTACAAAAAAAATGATAGATAAGCGGAAATTTTGAGAAAAACAAACTGTCCGCTCGCAGCTGAAGTCAGACAGCAAATGAGGCAGAAAACATAACGACTGCAGCGCCTTGTTTTCGAGTGGCTGGTATTAGAGATAAACGTCTTAGATAATTTGGATAATTCCAAACGAAGTGACAGTTGGTGGCTGTAGCAAAGCACAAACTGTTATACGAGTGAAATATTCTGGAAATTAACAAACAAGACTTGATTCTGGTAAATTTATATTTATTTAATTATGATTTTCATTAAACTCATAGTAAATTAGAAACATAAGAAGTATTATATCTTTCTAAAGGGTCGTCTCTGCATAAGGAATGTGAAGTTTCTCTGGCACACAACACAGAGAACTTCAAAATCCTTATACTGAGTGGGATGAAAATTCGTTCTCATAATTACAAAAAATCCAAGTTTGTCAGTTTTGCCTTTTCTCATATATTGCATATTCTCATTCACATTTTCAAGAACTGTCCGATTGATTTTAATTACAATATGTCATAATATGCAGCAATTAGTTTATTATTACAAATAATAAAAACTTTAACATTAAGAAGAAATAAAAGATTTTACATCTAAATATTCAACAGAAATCTAAAAAAAAACCTTTCTTTTCACAATTGTCGCCATTTTAATATAACTTTTCATCTAGCTATCTCATTGAAGAACTTTGCATACTTGCCTTTGTATTACCTTTCCTTCTTTTTTTTCTATTGTGACAAAAGAGTTCAAATACACAATTTTACTTTAGAAAAAGTTCTATTTCTATACTCAAGATCAATACGTTAAAATTATGAATTTCTTTGGGATGTCACTTATCTTCATCTGCCTTCAATTTCACTCCATACATTATACACAAAAGTGTTGATAATGCGAGTTTTTCTCTTTATTGGTAAATTATTTATTAAAAGTGTGATATTTTTGGTATTTTCTTTTGTTCATTTCAAAGTGTAAAAAAGCCTAGTCACTCTAATCAAGTTTATTTATCTTTTCAATACTAAGGGCATTTTATCTAATATACTTCTCAGCAAGAGTTCACTTTCTCAGCTCTGTGTCACGTATTTCCTTGGTTTTTCAAATAAAATAGCTAATCGAAGAAGTTGTTATTATTCTCAGAACTTAAGAGAGCATACATTGTACACTTTGTGCTTCATGTTGTGTTATTTTTCAAAAAGAAATTAGGAAATTATTGTATGATAATTCATTTATTAGCAACATATTAATCTCTGAATTTTATACAGTAATTGAACATTGGAGTTAAAATTTGACATTCGTTTTAATACAAACTCTTGTAGAAAAGGAAATTTTTTCATTACCATCAATTGGAACTCTTGCATTCCAATGTTATTCAAATAGAAAGTTTCTTTTTAATCTTTTTCCGACTCGCTTACTCCTTACTAAAAATTGATTATGCAGATAACGTTGATATAATTTTTATTATAATTTTCCTTTTAACAAATATAGTTGATTTTCACCTTATTCATTTATGCATAATTATTTAACAGTAATTTATATATTTAGAAAACTAAAACGAACTTCACTTTTGGCTAATTTATCCCTTTGTTTAACGTTTGAATTTTAATTAAGTGTCTTTTTAATTTGCACATTTCAAATAAATTATCTATGCTTTGCAAATTTTACTTTACTTACATATTGTTTCTTCTTTAGTCATTCACCAATAAAAAAAAGCGCATTAGCGATTATTCTATTGCACAGTGTTGCAATTTCATCAGCCAGAAAGTGTTTGTGTGTGTTTGTGTGTGTGTGAAACTCAAAAATGCATCTAAACTACAAGTTATTTTTATTGATTTTTAGTTGAAACAAAAATTAAACATTGCAAATAATTTGCTCCTTCTCCTATTGTTTTCTCTGGCGATCGAGGGATATAAACTGTGATAACAATAAATCTATACAATAAATTATAAAACAATTAATAAAAAATATGAAGAGTCTCAACAATTCGTAGTATTTGAAGGAAGCATACAGGATTAGAAGGTATGAGATAGAAATGAAAAGAAATTGTGTAAAGAAAACAATATAAATTATTTCGCAACATTCTTATATGTTATAAATCTATATAATATAATAAAAAACAAGAATAATTGATAAATTTTCTTTTAACAATATCATCTCTTTTATCATCGAATTCTTATTCTTCTCTTCTTTTTAAAGTTTCACAATTACCGTAAAAATGTATTTTCTGTTTATGAGATTTTCAATTATGCAAATTTTCATAAAATCGCTCTTTAAGAAGCTAAGCATCTGTATTTACGATTACGCGATTAATGTTCTATTACAAAACTTGTATCATGCTTTCTTCCTTCTTCACTCACTTTTCTTAGTTTAGACTTCAAAAGTCCAGTAGTTTCTCGGTGATTGATCAAATGCGGAATCGCAAGGTATCAATTGATTCCTTTTTATAAAATCACCATCAAAATATTCCTCCCTTGCTCACTTTTGTCTTTCAAATCAGTAGAAAGAATTTCTTGAATAGATTATAATATCAATTTTCATATTAATTGTTACTTTTAAATAGTGAAAATTGTGTTTTTTTTACACTTTTGTATCATTTAATAAAGAACGTTTCATCTTTGTCTGCTATCAATGTTACCAAAAAGGAGAATCTTGCACAAAATCCTGTGACAATATCACAAATAGCAAGATTAAAAGTGGTTTGGTTTCTTCTATCCTCACTTTGCATTCTGTTTCCACTTTGCTAAATTTATTATGCATGTATATTTATAGGACTTTTTATTTTATAAATTTACATCAAAATTGGAGAAAAAGGTTTTGAATAAATGTTACATTTTCGACTTTTCCTTTACCTTCAATCTCCTCTGTACTTTTGACAAGCCATTCCAATTGACAAAGAGTACTTCTTCCGCATTTTGCACGGTAAAAATACACAATTTTCTCTGCCAAAAATGTGCTGCAAATTTTTTTTTTTCGTTCAGTTCACTATCCAATCCAACATTCTCACATCAGAATGTTGATTGTCTCGTGGTTTAATTTTCAAAAGCTAAAACTCTGTCCAAATCCATGGAATTTCCTCTTTTTTTCAGGAAAATGGTCTGGTTCATCCAGTGAACATGGATATAATTGCCTTGTCCGCACAATAAACGAGCCAATGCTGAAGAATGACAACATCCTGGGTTCCATGCGCAGTTCAGGTTGCTCATCCCGTGGCCATCGCAAGGGAAAATTGTGCACTGACCAAACGGGACTTCAGTCGACGCTATGTGAGCATCTTAAAGAACATAATTGCTAGAGCTATGTTTACAACCAACACCAGCATCACTAGTTGTTGTCGTGAGAACCAGTCCTGAAATGCAGACAACGACAGATTTAAGCAATAGTTGCAATGATCCTGATACGAACAGACTAATCTGCATTGTTTACGACCAACATTATAAATTAATGTTATTTACACTATCCATATACTTGACATAAGGGCACAAGCTTGCGAGCGGACGAGATATCACGCGACTATCTTTTTGCCGAATCCGTTTGAAGATGTAGAGCAATGGACTAGATGGTTTTCAATTACCCTTATGCCAAGTGTGGCAGTACTTACAATCATTCGTTATATACGTTACTTGAAAGCTAACTCTTTATAATTTCTTAATTGAAACCTTTGATCTCCAGCCTTTGTGAACCAATTCTGACCATTTTAGCAAGTAAAAATGTTTCATTCCACATGACGATCACAAATCGGTTCACAAATATCGAAAAAACAGCGCATTCGAATTTAAACTCTTAGAGATACTTGTGTACCTTTATGGTTCTTATACTGTGTTTAAAATATCATCAATTTAGAATAAAAACAAATTGAAGAACTAAACAAAATTTCAAACAAATTATTCATATTGAAATGTATGAAAAGTGTGTTAATTCGTTTCTTCAAAACATCTCATTTTACACCCCAAATTATCTGGATTTCCATAAAAATTTAACGTTCAATCTCTCGCATTAGAATTATTTTGTTTCAATATAATGGAAAATTGTAATAATGGCAAAACTAAGCACATGCAATCATAAGATTCTACATTATTTGTCATGCATTATGGCCAGTGACAATTTGTGTAATTCAGTCACTACATTATTACTGTAAAGCGATGCCGTCTCGCAAGTTTTTTTTCTGATCTATTGCTGAAGTATACATTTGATTAACTTCTAACATACCTATAAGTATCTCTCTATGCAGAATGTTAGCAGGTGAGAGCGATAAAAGAGGTTGAATATGAAAAAATATGTTCATAAAATTCTGTGAGCGTGTTAGAAGCAAATAGAAGACATCCAATTCATAACAATTCTCATGCTCTTAGTTTGTAGCAATTTCATGTACGTGTTATCGAGATAGGAGGGAAAATGCGCTTCTTTCTCAACTTCTGTGATGAGAGTTTAATAAAAAGAAAAGCAGCCAGGGGAGTGAATGTAAGAGTCCCGATATTGCTGAATTTTGGCATTAGAAGTGTCTCTTTTAGTGAAGAAATAGGAAAGCCACTGATTAGCAAAAGACAATATAAATGATTTGAAATTGGTACCTTCACTTGTGGACTGACTAAATATAATAATGGATTGGCCCTTAATCGTTCAGAGTTTTCAATTTGGCGCCGAACCTCTTCTCGGCGAGCGGAACCTAATGCTGACACCTCCTCCCGACTCATCATTTCCGATTTCTTTGGTAACTCTTGCACATCCGGCAGCGATTTCTTCCGCTGGAGTGGTATGGAAATGGGAACACTCTGCGACATAGGAATGGAAAAAATGACAGTTTTCTCTCCTCGCCTCCACTTAGAGTTAAACTAAATTATCGAGTTAATGTATCATGTCTTTCTTGTTGGGGGTGTAGCAATTACATTGAAAATGTAGGACAGCATATAAATACATTACATCAGGAAAACCACAATGCAAATGTCAACGCTTTTCCTTCAGCAATCAAAATTTATGACTGCAAAAGGCTGTTTTGCACTTTTGTGAATACATATTCACGAAATAGGACTCTGTGATTTTGTAAAGAGAGTAAAATTAATTGCATAACTGTGACAACCTCAACAGGTGGTGCAACGATCCAGCTTTCGGACGCTCTCCTAGCCAATATGGCCGGAGAGAACATGAGATCTTCCTCCTCCTCATCCTCTTCTTGGTACCAACGCATCCTGTATCACAATTACTCTTATCACCAACTCAAATTCACACAAAACTACAATATTTTCTTTCGCTCTGTCGTCAATATGCCATTGCGCTTCATGAGGAAATATCTATAATTGTAATTTTTATCTATGCATGCGTTGCTCACAATAAATGTGTGAATGCTGTGTGGGAAAATTTTCCGTGGAATATTCCCGGATTTTCCGCCAAAGACTCGCGACCAATTCATTGAGACACGCAAGAAATGAGAGTGTGTATCGCAACACATGTAAACTCTAGAGGTGGTTACAAATAACACCGTTAAAATTTATGTGTAGCATGAATTCAACTGAGTCAATTTACTCTAAAAATAGTGATCATATGTAACCATCTCTCAACATTCTGCAAGAATTCAGGAACAGCAGAGCAATTCACTTAATCATTGTGATAATCTCAGAAAAACACAATGGCATAAGAACACGATTTCACATTTAAACAAAAGGGTTGACATTGTTATATTATCAAAAAGGTCATTTTACATTTTAACTTTGAGTTTGTGCGTGAATTCTGAGCTTTTGCGAAATACTTTATGGTGATTTTAAGCAACTGATTTCATTTTCACGGATTTCTCCTTCGTGCCGAAGTAACTTCGCGCCCTTGTCGAATCGAGAACATATTGCCGTACTATTTCTCCCACAACACAACCGATCCCGAAGTTTGTCACATCACTGTGCTCTCTTCCATGAAATCCTCAGCCTCTCTGGCCGTGATAACGATAAATTCGCAAAATATCGAACGTGAGGTTTCCACCGGCTTTATATCACAGCAACTAAATTTGAACTAAGCTGAAGAAAACTCAAAAAGCCATCAGGAATCTCTTTTGTGGGTTATTTCTAGTCATTCCTGAGATATGTGTTGATGTTTGTCTCTCGGTGTGCGATTCAGATACTCTCATATGCTCCTCAGAGCCGCGAGCCAAGAAACCACTTACTCATTCAACATCGTCAAATAATAAATATTTCAGTCGCCCAACGACTACATTTTCATTTTTAAACTCTCACACAATTCCCATATATTATTACTTTTTACTTTCTTTCAAACACTCTATTTTCCGTCCTTCTTGATGGCTCTCTCTGTCCCGTAGAGACACATTTCGGCTTTTATTTTTATCCACCATCGGCATAATATATTCATACAGACATTTTCACAACCGCTATACTATTCTCGATCGTGAGCGTGTTTACGAAGTATGAAAGAACTTTCAAATGAATGAAAAGCTGGACACCACACATCCAACCAATTTCATAACTTATTTTTTCATGAAAAAAGTATGTTGCCGATTAATTAGGGTGACTAATGCAAAGCTCAAAACCTAATTCTACCGAGATTGCTGAACGATAATAGTGCAAATAAAAAGAAATCATTTTGTTACGCATTAATTAATTGAAGCACCAGATTTACTGATTAAAGTAGAAAAATTATAGTTTGGGTTTCTGGGAAAAACTATCTGAAACTTGTGTAAGCTCGTTTTTATTTAAATAGTGTAAATGATATTTGAAACTAATCATTTGGTCATTGAACGATTAGAAATTTATGTGAAATTTGATTTTATTCCTTGCATTTTCATTAATTCAAATATCATTTCCGTACGTTTTATTAGATTTTTTGGTATGTGTAGTTTAAACGTTCAAAGAGTAAATCTAGTACTGAAATCATTAAATTACAATGTATTTCAAACATTTTCACATCGTTCAATAGCGATCCTAGTAGTGCAACGTTTAAGTTTAGAAAATGCACACTACTGAAAACGAAATTATTATAAAATCGTGTACATTGCGCTGTATAATCACCAGTGTAACAATGAAATATCTATCTACTAAAGGATATTCAAAGAAAAAAGCTTCAATCTTCAGCTATTGCATCAACTTAACAAAAACCCTGATTGGCTTGAAATGATATTTTCGTAGGGATGTAGTTGGTTGATGAATAAATATATCTTTCGACACAAATCAATCGCAGGGTTATTGTCAATTACGCGTGTTGAAAGCAGACAGTGTGTAATAAAAACTAACTTCTCATTTCCCGACAATTTCACCCCTATTGTCACCTCAGAGCATCACACAATAAAACTGAGAAAACAGATTGCAGTTCAACTAAAAATAAGTTGAGGAACCAAGTAAAAGGAAAACATATTTTTAGCTTAACATGAGTTGAAATAGATTAAAAACATCACACAGGTTAGGCGGTATCTCATGTGTAAATTCTCTATCTTTATGCCTGGGTAATTGTTCTCGAAATAAAATGAGGATGATTGTGTGTCCATGAAGAAATTGGCAATCCATTATTTGAATAGCGAGTGTGTATTGAATTACCTTTAGTCCTTTACCACCGCCACCGCCGCCGCCCCCGCCGCTTGGGGCGGGAGGCGCCGCCTTGGCACCAATGAACAGACTCTCGGTGCGCTTGGGCTGAGCCGGAGATGGCACGATGTCTTGGCCTAGAGTGCGTTGCCGCAGCAGCACATCCTCGAACGGCTGGTTGGGCGAGGAGTAGACTGGCTGCGCCATGGGAGCCTGGTAGACTGGCGTGCCACTACGAGACCCAGATCCAGTCATCACTGTGCCATTTCCAGCCGACGTGGATGGCGGGCTCGGACCCATTTGACGGAATGCTGATCCGGCCCTCACGTTGCGATCCGGGGTGTCGGTCGTCGGCGCAGGCGGCAGAGTGCGGTCAATGGACGGCTGCCGGGAACCGAATCCGCCTCCCAGTCGGCTGGCCGCCCTCGTATACCTGTCCACGGATGAGTCTCGACTCGGCGGTCGCTTGTAGTGATCAAAGTGATCGATCGATGATGGTTGGGCGTGCGATCCCAACATTGGTCGTTGACCTTCGGGCATCATCTGGGAACTTCGTCGAGACGGCACTCCAGCACCGCCCTGAACCTGGGTCGGGTAGTCTTGAAGTGGCTGTTGCTGCATCATCTGCTGATCCGGCATGTAGTAGTTCTGCTGATTCGGCGGCATTCCGTACGGATTGGTCTGAGGCTGCGGCTGATTGTAAGGTATCGAGTTCATCTTCCCAAAACTCTGGCCACTCGTAGTGCTCATGTTGCTGCTCATAGCATACATTTGCTGCTGTTGCTGTGGCAGTGGCTGTTGCACCTGCTGCTGCTGAACCACCGTGGAATTGTATGGAACCTGCTGCGTTGGCGCGTAAGTCATCTGCGAGTTCGGTAGTTGATGATTGGAAAATTGGTTCATATAACTATTGTTAGGTTGCGGCTGCACCGGCTGTTGTTGGTACATGGACGGACCACTGGCCATGTAGTCTGTCTGGCTCGCCGCTACATTACTATTGAGGCTATGTGGTTGGGAATATTGAACATTTGACACGTTATTCATCTGCGAGTAGTCAAAGGACTGCTGCTGATGCTGCTGAAAGGATTGTCGACGAAATGCCGCCTGGCTTTGAGGTTGAGGCGCCACACTGGGTGCTCGCGCGGGCGCCATAGCACTAGAAGTAGGTGACTTTGTCGCCTCTGGCGACATGGATTTCGGGCTGGACAGCATTTCCAGTTTTGGCGGTTCTGTCGGTGGCCTCGGTCGCTCTCGAGTCCGTAACCGCTCAAATCGCTCTAGTACTGTTGGCTTGAAGTCCGGAGCGAATTCTCGTGCTGTCGCCACAGCCAAGTCGGAATCCATTCTCGCCTGATCGGAAATAATGTCAGCCAACTCAGCTTTGCTGCGCGCCGTGGCCGTCCGCGATATAGCAATATCCGCCTTCTGGAGGGCATATTTGGACGCCCGCTGAGCCGAGCTCACAGCCGCTTCAATCCGCTCACGAAATTTGGCAGATCGTATCAGGAACACGTGTTTCTTCTTCTGACTCGTGATCAACACGTTGCACTTGTACTTTCCCTCCTCTTTTGTACCATCACGAAACGTTGTCACGCCATATCCATGTTTCTTGTTGTTGTGCCATTCACCTTCATATCTGAAACAAAGAGTATCCCAATAAGATATCCGCGTCCCCAATCGCAGCCCCACCCTTTCGCGCAGTACATACCTCAAGCCGTCGCTTCGTTCTGATATTCCATACCCATCACGCTTATCGTGTTTCCACTCTCCCATGTACATTTCCGTCACACTCGGATCCAATTGCTCCTCATCAACCGTGAAACTGGCGTTGGAATCCGTATGCATCGACCTGGAAAGTCACAGGGAATTCCATTATATTTTTTCCCCACCACTTCCAAGGCAATCCGCACTCACTTTGTTGTCATTCCGGATTGAGATGAGCCAGTACTGATCCATGATGCTGTCGATACTGTCGATCTTATGCTTCCTGAGGCACCTGTTCCCCGTTTCTCTAAATCACCCGTACTTCTTTGTTTCCTAATTTTTAAACCCTGCAATCAGACACATTTGTAGTTTACAATTATCATTCTCCATTCATTCCAACTCACCGACAAAAGCCCTTTTTTGGTCTTTTCTACTAAACTATTTCTCCTAGCTGGAGCCTCGTCGGATCTCGCCTTGAGAACAAACCCACCGCGAACATCGTCAATGCGATGATTCCTCTTATCAGCTGGATCTGTGCTCTTCTCACCCTCGTTGCTACGTAACGATGTCATTGATGTTTGTATAGTCTTTGGCCGATAGTGTGACGCCAGGCCAAAAGGAGCCGATTGCCGGACGCCATAACCATGTCTTTTTCCCGATAACCATTGTCCTTGATATGTTCCTGCAATTTAGATAATTAAATTTAGTGCCTCATCGCAAATGTACCTCGCAAGCATTCTCTAATTAGATGACGTGTCGTTTCAATGCTCAATTTATAATAATTAACCGTAAAGATAGTGTGTGTGTGTAAGATGGATGGAAAGTGTTGATTCATTTTATAGCCGCTTAGGCAAATTCTGTTTCAAATAGCACCTTTAAAGGGATTGTGTACATCTGTACATTACATTTCAATGTATACGCACAGGGAAAATGGCAAAAGTGAACTTTCCCTAAACAGATAAACGTGCTCACGAGACGCTGCTGGGGATTTTTCAGGCAGAAAGGAAGAGTTCATCCAGCCACTCCAAAATACAAAAAAAACAGACTGTGAGAGATTTTGTATTGATTTTTGCCACTTGTGTTGACCCATAGAGTTAGAATTTTTGTGAATTCAAGCATTGCATTGGAGAGACTCATCATTTATTAGTGCCTCTTATTTCTTTTCCATTTCGTCCATGTGTCATTAATTAATCTTTTATTACTTCGTTTCCATATACGATCAATATCACATTTATTTTCAATTGACGATTATGCCAAAAGAAATAATTGACGTTAATTGCTTTTTCGGTTTTTCCTACTTGCCAATAAATTTATTACATATTTCATACTAATTAGCACACAAGTGAGCATCAAATAGTATAGTAATAACTATTTACTAATTATTATGATATCAAAACGGTCTGTGGTCCTTATCAACAGATCAAAAAACATAACGTTCTTCAAAATTGAGATCTTGGACACGGATTTTTGAGAGAGGGTTAATCACCCCTCTAAATATATTAAGTAGGACCATTAAATACGTTAAGTATTGCACGATTATAAATTTTCACCGAATCTTTGTTTATTTCCCAAAGTCAAAATTTTATATGAAAGATTCTAATGTAAATATCCCCACAGTTGAGTCTATGATTAACCTTAAATTTACAGTGATATTGAGCAGCTGCAATGCAAATTTAACTCACCGCCATCTGCATAAGTCTCTGAGCCATAACCGTCTTGGAATCCTCCTGCCCACGTGCCCTCGTAACGGGCAGTGGACGTCACACTCTGCCGAACTCCGTAGCGCCCCTTGGCGCCCCCCGTCCACTCGCCCCTATAGATCCAGCGGCCCCTCGTCTCCACACCGAGGCCATGCCGGCGTCCGTTCTGCCATTGACCCTCAAACGAGGATCCACTGTGAAGAAAGGACAAAAGGAATCGTCAAGCATACACTTCATATTCAATCACAAGACATTTGCAACCCTTTCAGAGTGAATCCATTTGCAGAAAGTGCCGAAATTGTGAGTACATAAAAATTATGAATACATGATTAAACGCCATTAGAGCCTATGGAGTGGAAACATTAAAGGATTAAATGATTTAGGGAAAAAGTAACTGGAGGTAATAAATTAATTCAGTGATGAAATTTTCGTGCCTTGGATAAATAAATTAAGTTGTAATGGAACGGAATTACAGTACGCGTTAACGATTGTTCCGTTCACTAAATTAATCAAATCCTTCCGTTCGAATTGGTCAGAAGACAATCACGAAATTCTTATGATTTCTCGTGAAAAAAAAGACATAAATTTGAAAGACACTCAAACACTGCATGGAATCTCAGAGAGAGTCGCTTTGATGCTTTATTGATTGATGTTTTTTTTGCAAACTTTTTGGTACAGACAGAGATTTGAGAGGACAATGGACTCGTCCGATACACAGAATAGCTTCCTCAACATAACAACAATGCGCAATGTTTATATGAAGAATTGTTTTTGGAAATACCAGAAGCAATGACGTTATCGGTCTATATTTGCACGGAATAGTCTTTCGAGACTATATGAACATATGTACATAGAAATCACGATTCAATAAAGGAAATTTTCCATTATATCGTGCTCATTCATTATTTAATTCGCAAGTTTCAACGAGAAGTGTTTTACTAGAGAAACGAGAGACTTTCAAAACAGTGCTTTACATCACATTCTTTCCCTGTCAGTTTTGAGGTAATTTATAATTTAATTAAATTTTTAACAATACCAAGAAAGGAAAAAAAATTAGGCTCCACTTCATGTTCGCGTGTTTGGGACCAAATTAACTTTTCGAGTGATTCACAAGAATGTAAAGAAGACATTCAACAACCTTGACTAACTCTGACATTATAAGGCAGCAAAACCAACAAGGAATATATGTACATCTGTATATATAGCATACGAGTTTCCCAGAGAATGACTTAGTCAGGCGTTTCACTTTTCAGTGTTGTTGCATTCAATGTTTTGTAGAGAAAATCAATAAACACTCCCTCCTTCATTCCACTCTATTTAGCACGGAACTTTACATGGTAATGAGGACAACAGCATAAAATTTATGTTTAATTAGTCCAGACATTAGGATTTCGAAAGAATTCAGACGCGCAATCTTATTAGGATATTGAGGAATGTGATATCCACTCCTACAACATCTATCGAAATGTCTATTACATTTGACCACGAATCTAATTTGGCCATTCCCTGTTTCGAGGGCAAGGTCATTGATTGAAAATTTCGCTCCATAACACCATATGTGGTGGTTTTCCTCTGGTTATTGCGATGACTCCCTCTGTCAGTATATCATGAATACGTTACTTTGGCTTTTGTCCCAATATGACAGCCTTTTCCGTGGCACTGCGGAAGCTGAGGACCATAAACTCAGCCTTTATACATATGAATCAATTCCCAAGAATTTCTGTCAAAATAAAAGTCAGCCAAATTGATTCACCAGCAGCGAAAAATACACAATGAATCCCACTCGCTGGCGAATTACCTTTTATAAATGAAAATATGATTCATCACATTTTCTCGCAAATTTCCGTTTGAATCACATTTTATGTGGGAAATTGCTAATGAATTTAAATTACATTCCTTCGAGATGTTTTTCCATATAGGTACTTTCGATAGAATGATGTGCAAAAGTTAAACCGTGAAAGGATCCAAAAAGTGCATACATTAAAATGATAAAAGGCTTACTCATCTGCTGACAACTCACAGCATGACAATGCCAAAAAGCTTTAGGGGAATGCTATGCAAATAATCTAAACAGACTGTTCTTCTGTTATATGCATAAATCTTTCAAGTAATATCCTGAAACATGGCAAATCGTAACACAGATTTATATTTTTTCCGTGTGTGTGTGCGTGAATATACAGTATCTGCGATCTACATATGTACATATTTATATGTGGAATGGAAAGACTTAAGATCCGGCATTCCAATAAAAGATATTCGACGCATTACGTCAGGTTTATGGTGTGCTTCCACATGAGATTTAGCGAATTATTTCCATTGATTGCTCTCTTCCTCCCCCGAAAACAACATGTTTTAAATATTATTTTTCCAATTTGCAATCATTCTCAGAAATATACCCATGAAACAAAGCTCACATTTCTCCACAAGTTTTTATTGCTTTCACTCCTCCTGTGAACTTGTGACTTCACACCGAGTACACAACGTCTTGTAAATATTAGTTTTCTTTGCTCAATCAACCTCCAATGGCTACAATAAAAAAAACTCCCATACGCCAACAGAGCCTCAAAGGTCACTGTACAATATCATAATGAACTCCTCACTCAACTCAGTTCAATCAATGTAATTTTTTAACAAAGCGTAATACGGATTTATGAAGTGAAGTTGTCATCATTTTCACCCACTAAAAATCTATGGTAGAGCAAATCATTTGTATGAGTCAAACAATGATTTTATTTGAAAGCTGCCTGAAAATGAATCTGAACGTCTGAATAAATAATTTTTGTCTTACGTCTATTTTTAGTTCGAGTCTACGTCCCGCCGATGATAGCTTTAGTTTCAGACTCAGTACACATATTCTTTTGGGGCTATTATATGCTTCGAGAAAATAGTTCTGGTTCAGCAAATGCTGTGCTTTACTACATTCCACACATTATCTCGTGAGCATTTTGTATACACACAGATTATATATCCCAATCATGTACTCACATTTTATGCACGTACATTTCAAAAACTTCACCGCTCAATTGCTGTAATATTGTACATATTTGCTTGATGTATTCCATCGCAAGAATAACATTTCGTGAAACATAATAATTTATGGCGTAGGTACATAATTGAAAATTGTACAGAAAACCGCGACGTAAAAACAATATTTTTCATCATATGCGAGAAACATTAAAAAAAATGCAAAATTCCGTACATGAAACTACGCTAGTCTGGACGTAATCACACCCAGAGTCAAAACTTGCAGACAAAGGTCCTCTGAATGTATACAAGATGTGAAATTCGCAAACGGAAGAGAACACGATGGGGTGAAACTTTGTATAAGCAGAGGCAAAAACAAATGGTGCGTACAATAAAAGGTAAATGTACTTTCTCTCACTCTTTCCCACTCTTAGAACTGAAATTAAATTGTTAATTTATTGGCGCAGAGAGACCTATTCAGCTGCTCGCTCTCAATTTGCTTCGCACAATTGGTATGTAGACACAAGACACAAAATCCATGTCTACCGTCGTCTACCAATTTAAATCACGAGTGCAGGTCTTCAGCATAAAATTTGGGCGTCCCACATGAGAAATTGGCAACAGATAGAATTTTTATTTATGCGCATTCATTACGCCAATTGGATATTGTCTGCACTTTCACGCACAAACTCCTGAAATTCCTTCTAGAGTACAAGGAAGTTACCACTGGCGTAGCAACAATAGAAATAGTAATGCAAATCAGTCAGTAAATCCCAATCAAAAAGTGCGAGAAGGTTAAAATATGAGTGCAATTTGTATTGCATTAAATAGTTGCACACTTGTGAAACATTTGGCAAATATTCAAGTAACACGACCTAAGTCTCATCAGCTATTGAAGACTCTGGCTCATATCTTTTATGAGCGTCCTATGCATCTCAAACAGTGATCGCTTAGCTTCCCTCCCACCCAATGTCTCGCCAGATTATGTTTTCCTAGTAATTTTTCTCTACATTAATAACTCAAGTCCCACCAAATCCTATGAAATATTGCAACACATTGATTCATGCGTATTCCAAAATGAATTCAAACAAATTAAATGATTTATTGTGCTACATTGTGCATGCTTCTCATATTTCCGCAAATTTTATATATTACGGCACGTGAAAACATACATATCTCTGATTGAGAATCTTTATTATTCACCGTATGTAGGTAGATACATACAATTCATTGTGTTTATAATAATAGCGAACAACGCATGATAGAAAAGTGTATTGCTATGTACATAATGTATGACTATACTTTGTTGCTAAATATCAGGAGAGGATAATTTCCACCTCACATTGTAAGAAATTCAAATCATATATTGTATCCTTCTAATCTGCTGTGAAAACCATAAATTTCAGTTAATTTCAAAGGCTATAGTCATTTTGGAGACGTCCATTGATTGTGAAAATCTCTCTGATTTTAATCTTAATAGAGTTGAGATCAGAAAACATAACAAATGAAATGAGCTCTAAGAATAATATCGAATTATTAAAATCAACGTTTTTGGATCCAAAGATTTTAAAAATCTGCCTAAGAAACACGGCTCAATTCAAAACAGGATGAACCAAGGATAATGAGTTATATATGTAACCTTCACAACGGCAGCAATGAATTCATTAAAAATCAATGAACACTTAAATTGCCGAGAAGTCGGTAAGAAAATCTCATTAGAAACTCATTAGTGAGTGATTTCAATCAAGAATCATGAGATTTTTCCTCCCATGCGAAAAGAGGGAATCCGATATTGATTATAAATATAAATTGCATATAAATGTCTAACGCACATTTGAAGATGATTGGAAAAGATTTTCATGTTATTAAGTCCTTCAGAAGAGGACCACAGTTCCTTGAGAATCCTCCCAAGAGATAAAATATCAATATCACTTAATGCAGAATGTGAAATCTTTAAAATAATTGATTGACTCCTTAGGAAGACTTTCAGAACGTACCTTGGCCAAATATAGACGCCGGAGACTTCAAATCCATAGTTCCATGCACCGGAATAGGCGCCTTGATGCTTTGGTCCCGTGCAGACGCCATGTCCGTGCGCCTTCCCTTCCTCCCAACCGCCACAGTATGTGCCGCCATCCTCGAAGTCGAAGCGGCCCCCACTGATCTGCTGCTGCCGCCCAGCTGAGCCCGGCGAATTTGGGGCAGCTGTACCTGTCGTTACACCACCATTCTGTTGACCCTGGCTATTATTATTCATCTGCTGCTGTTGATGCTGAGACATCGATGTTGATGCTATTTCATGTGATTGCATTACCACTCACTTCCACAATTTCTTCTCTTTGGCCTCTCCGCGCGTGTCCCGATGGAATTTCACATATAACTCTAGCTGCTCTCTCCTCCTATTCACACTTGAGGCACTGGCACATGAAAATCGATCGGAGTTGATTGATCCAGGTGGATGTATAGCAACTGTCTCTTAATCACACTCGCACGTGCCACATCTCTCCTTTCTGCTTATCTTTAAACACTACTAATTGTCCATCTAATTAGCCGATGCCGGGAAACATCACAAAGATCGTATCATTGTGCTGTTTGAATAGCTCCGATGGTGTTGAGGAGGAAAAAAATTCACTCTCGCTGGTGTTGTTGAGGGTGTTGTGCAGGGATTACACATAATCAGGGCTTAATGAGCAATTGACTCTGAGAATCACTCAATGAGTGGCACTCTGGCCCCGCGACAGATCCTTTAGCACAACTTTCTCCCGCAGCACTGCCGAGGTCAATGTTGATGCTGTCGCTGATGGAGTCATTCAACCACTTGATCATTGTCACAAACTGACTCCCCTTGTCACTCAAACTCATAGCAGCTCCTCTCTTTTTGGAGCACGAGACGAAGGAGAGAACATTAATAGCCTGGCGTATTGGAGCTTTCAGGTGCTTCGTGCGATTATCATTCTTTCCTCTCCCTCTCCCTGACCTCACACTGTCTCTGTCTCTGGGGTATTTCCCACCACCCTGGGAATGAGAATTGAAAATGACACGGAACACGTATTCCGGTGGATTTTTCTTCACTGTTGTTGTTCCTTTTCTTGAATAAAATTAACTGCTATTTGTGCTTTGCGCGCGCTTATAATTCTCAGTCATGATAAAAATAGCACCGTCTCTCACAACATACCAACAATTTCTCCAATTGAGCCCTATATTCATCGCTCTCCTCGCAAGGAAGACCCCATATCAATTTAGGACTATTTTATATCTTCTCATGTCCAATTACGGCGCACAGACTCTCCGACCACAGAATCAGTCAGTCAAACACTCTCCCGCCCGCCCGCAATATACCTAAACATTATTCGAGTGAATCAACGCTTTGGGAGATAAAATGATGCACACACACGCCAAGTTTTAATTCCCACAATCAATCATTTTCCGATGAAGAGTCCTCAGTTCCCTAACATCTCCTTGGCGCCTCTCACATTGCTGCAATGTGCTTCTTTTGCAAATTTATTGCCACTGCAGCCACAAGGAAAGATTATCTCTCCTCACACACTGGCGAACCATTCTCACTTGGTCGGGGAAATCGCATCGACGTCACTTTTATTTTTGGGGAGTAGGTAAAATTCTCAATTTAACACACACTATTTACAACTTTTAATCTCTCTCTCTCTCTCTCCCTCTCTCTTCCCGTATTGACCGATAATTTGGGGGAGGCGTGGACAAAATTAGTGTCATCACCAATCAATATTCTCAATTACATACACATGCATTATTGGTCATTATTTAATTTTCTAATTTACATCAATTTTTGCAGTGGATGTAACAGAAAATTTCTTCAGTAGCCCCAACACATTGGTTTTTGGTGTTTCATTCTAAAAATATATCCTCAATACACTAATAGGAAAATATTACATAGCGTCGGGTTGTTGCACAAGTTCGGAACGCTTCACGCACCCAAGAATCTTATCCAAAAAGCCTTTGAGGATTTGCCATCAGATATACTTTCACTTTTGAACAGGTGGCACGGCATTGCTGGCATTGATTCAAAGCAGGATAAAAAAAAACTAATAAGAGCGAGCCAAAGTCACAGAGCTCAAATTGACACAAGTCATGCTATTGTACGCTTGCACTCAGTAAAATTCTGCTTACTGATAAAGTGCAAAAGGAGCTCAGAAAGCGAATAAAAACAGCGAATCCCTGCTAAAGTGATGAGCAGATGCAGAAAAACATGATTTGATAGAATATAAAAATCTCTATTTTGCTCTACTCGATAGAGATGTTAAGGAATTTTGCAACAACCCAATTCACGGCGAAATGTCTGAAATTACTGTCTCTGCCGCAAAAGCCACCCAATTCACACACAATTAAACTCTTTCTATATCACCTCAAATTGAGATTAGGAAATATCTTAAGTCACCACTTTTCCCCGAACACAAGTGAACGGTTGCTAGCTCGAAGAGGCGCATTGAGAGGGGACAAATTGATTTTCCAAGAGTCACATTCTCAATGAAAATCGATCTTGGAGAACTTTGCCCTTCGTTCAGGCGTCATTCCATATGGCTGAGGGATGCGTTTGGACTCTTCCATGGAGAAAAATTTCACAGAGCAATGGAAGGATCATCCCAAAATTATAACATTCCTCCCTCTCTCTCACTCTATCTCTCGTCTCACAGCTTCAAACTTCAGCTGCACTCACACTGTCACAGGCACTCGGTTAAAGCTCATTTTCAACTCTCAGATGAAATCCCCAGTGTAATACAATTCGGTGGTACACTTTTTCCCGCACCTTCCTGTTAATTTTATATACATACACATGAGAAAAATTGCTATTTCTCTCGCTTTTTTGTCGTTTCAGGAGATTTAATTTGTCGAAGACATGATATACATATCGATAATTCGGATTCGCGAAGTACGTGTGAGAATTAAACTTGAATGTGGGGTAAATTCCCTCTCTCGTGATTTTATTAGCGGAAGAGATATAAAAGTACAGCAGATTTGAAATTCCTATCACTTTTCCACAAAATCTGGGGGTATCACAAGAAAAATAAACACGTCATCACAGTGAGTAGAAGAGGAAAAGCACGGGTTTTCGTATAAGTTGGAAATGGTTGAAAATTTCAAGAAAAATATATAAGAAGAGAGGAAAGACTATCAAGTAATTCTCGTTCGTTTGCACTGACAGCACTGGCAAATCGGTTCACTGAGTGGGAACTATATTAAATGAAAAGGAAAAAGACGAAAAATACTCGAAGAAAAACGCCTCTTGAGAGAGACATTTTCACCAGATTCAGATGTATTGTACAACTTTTTCTTATAGAGAGAAATAAAGACACATTTTAAGTCAGCCAACATCATCTATCTGTATAACCAATTTTATGTGGTGTGTGAGCAAAAGAGAGAGATTTCTGCCAGTGAAACCGCGAGGGAAATGGCAAATTTTCTTTTCAAAAGGAGTGAAGGAAAAAAATAGAAGATAAAAGCCTCTATCATGGCAATTTTGGGGTGGGCAGAAAGAGACAAGAGAAGGGAATTTTCACTGGTAGTTGAATTGTAGAAATATAATGAAGAGAGGAAAAAAATAACACACGACACATGTGTGTGAAATGCTGATGCTAATGCTGACGACGATGTTGAAAATTCACTCTTGGTATTATAAATAAATATCAGCTAACTGGTATTCCGATACAAAACGTCGACGGACGTCGTTTTTGCTCTCGCGATGCCATTACACACTCTGGGTGGGTTTTAGGCAGGAAAAAGAGCCAATATGCTGGTGGAAAATACACACTAGACAATGTCGATGGCTAGAATGGCGACACTGAGAGCCACAAGTATATTCCAATACCGACGATTTCTCTGCACTCCGGCAAAAGGAGGAAAAACCCTCCGTCGCGAGCAACGCACCCCCACAAAGTTCACTATCACCAGTGGAAAATGGAAGCTCTCGCATCTGCACTCCAATTGACATGGTTCATTAATAGAAGCAACGTCCTCGATGGCAATCCAGCGTGAATTATTTGAATGTTATACAATAAATTGTACATTTTCCCCCATTCACACACCTGACACAATTTACATCGCGTATGTATATGTGGTCGTGTGGCTCGTGAAAAGACCCAAGAAGACGTTTTTCCCCGCAAGACAGGAGACAAGCGGATGGCCAGAGTTTCAATATGTCCAACGAATGCACCGGACAGCCCCGACAGAGTGCCAGGGATAAAAGCTCCAGTGCGCCCAGGGAGCGCAGCTCGCGCCAGACAACCCTTACCGATGGCGGGGACAAGAGAATGAGTGCCTTTTTGTTTACTCCACACACAATTCTGGTGACGACGTCGCGGCGGTGATGTTAAGGGATCGGACACACTCAACGACTGAACTGAAAAGCTCAACACGATGGATATCATGAGTTGAGGAAGTGTGTGAAGTATGTATCTTTCTCCCTCGAGAAAGCTCTCGCTCTCTCCCTTTCCATCGCACTGCCATCGGCACACACTGGCCAGAGAGGATGAGGATTTTCCTCTGCGCAGCGCAGTTTTCCGCACGAAGCTCGCACGCACACACCGGCAGCTCTGAATGTTCTCAAGCGAAAATTTTCCTCGGGCAGCCTCAGCAAGACGGACACTTCAGCCCGCTCGAGCTATTGTTTTCCGCGAATACACGCGCTCGTGGGAGCCCCACGAAGAGCCCCACACGAGCAGCTACAGCCGAGTTATTTGCGTCCGAATACTGTGTGGATGGCCTCACGAATTTATTGCACGAGTCATCGTGCGAGAACTCCTCCGAGGCAACTCTCTCTCTAGCTATCATAAAACCACATGTTACCCCTTATCATCACCTTGTCCGCAGCCATGCACCCTCTCTACGCATTCATTTTTAATTTCTCCCGTCGAATTTTCACCTGTGCCTCTCCCACTCCTTGTAAGTCGAAGACGTCCCACCGATAAATTGCCACCAAATCGATCATTTGTGAGTGGACACGCGACACCCAATATTTGGGAAACATGAGTTCACTCCGTCGAAGACCACAAGACTAAAATCGCCCTTCCAGACAAGCACACAATTTGGCCATTTATCTTCGAGACACTCGCCTTCAGGGAAATCAACAGAAACTATACACAATATTGATAATATGACACTCCATTGAGTTCAACAAAAGCACCCTGCATGGAATGGAAACTATATATTCACACCCTTCTATTTGTATTACATTCAATTTAACTTTGCATGAAATTTGTAAAAAGAAATATTGCATTTTGTGATATCTCAAGACACACACGATAGAAATTAAATTTTCACATCACAGCAAGTAAACCACAATTGATAATATCAAATTCTCCCTTCTGCTCCTCAATCCTTCATTGCAAACCTATAAAGTAAACTTCTACAAAACTCTGGCCAAAGAAACCATACTTTATCAAATGTAATAAGAAATTTCAAATTTACTTGGAAACCAGCTGAAATCCTTCAAAATTCCAATCATAACTAAATGCACGTGAGCAAGATATATCGAAGAACTGCCTCAAGAAATACACACTTTATAACCATGCTTCGTGCATTAATCAAAGTTGGTCAGATTTCCCATTTCTATTAAACTAAAAGCTCACGTTTCCCACATAACGCAAAGTTTCCCTCAGTCAGCGATCAATTGAAAGACACCATTAAGAAAAAACATGATAATTTAATTTCCTCACTTGCGACTTACAGAATAAACAGTATAAAAATTTGTCTTACTCATTCCGAAGAGAGGGAGAAATGCTCAATTTAGAATAATGAAGAGAAAAAATAACCATAGACTTTCTATTGTGTATTACAAAATGTAAGATTGATCCTATTTTTAAGTAGTTCGATGTGTTGTGTTCTCTTTTTGCATTTGAATATTCGCTACTTTTTCCTAACATCATTTTCGTCATTTTGTGTGTTTTTCAACAACAGGAGGCAGAGAGAGCGCAAAGGACTTTGCGAAGTGCCTCGACAAATCTCTTGTGAAGACAAATAAGTTTAAAAAAAAATCGATTATAGTTTGTCCCTCTCGCGTGGTGGATTTGAATGTCGGGGCAATAAAGTGAAGCTCTGTGTGAAATTGTACAACTGAATCATCTCGAATATCAGTCGACCGGTGCCAAAAATAATTTCGGTTTTCTAAATAAATTAATTGACTTTATAATTCTTCGTAGGCATCAAAGAAATGTGTGTGATAGCACAAGGGGCATTGAATTGTTCCTTGTAGTTTATTTTCTCTCTCTGCTGCCATTCTTATATGAAATTTGTTGGAAATGTTACCTCAATCAGTGCTGTGATGTCTCGCTAAAACACCCTAGTTCGCCTTGTGAAACTTTTTCGAGGAATCCTTCGCCATGTCGAGGAGAGTTTGAGCCGGCTTGAAAGGAGCTCCATACAGATCTGCGTACGTGAGCATTTTGTCCACAAGCTTGCCCGCTGAGTATTGATCCACCCATCGGAATGGCCCTCCGGAGAATGGCGGGAAGCCCAGCCCGAACACTGCGCCCACGTCACCCTCCAGCGGATTGTCGAGGATCTTCTCTTCAAGGCACAAAACAGCTTCATTCACGAACCGTGACACCATTCTCAGCTGGAGATCCTCCACAGCGTTGGCACCTTTGGAGACCAGCGGATACTTCTGCCTGAGAATCTCAAGGGCGCCCGGATTCACTTCACGCGATCCACGACTGCCTGATTCGTAGATGAAAATGCCTTTGCCAGACTTGCGACCCAAAAATCCAGCCTTCACCATGTCCTCCAGCAATCGCAGATCTCCTCCACTGATCCTCTCGCCCAATTCCCTGGCCAGATCCACACTGATGTGCGCTCCCACATCAATGCCCACCTCATCAGCCAGTGTTGCACATCCCACTGGGAAGCCGAAGGACTTTGTCATCTTATCTAGATCCTTTGGATCGGTGCCTTCCTGCAGTATTCTATAAAACATTGAAAGTAGCAAAAGTATCGATAAGAAATCCTCTCTGCTTAGCTAATCTCAATGAAATCTCACCTGATTCCCTCGGAGATCATCGTGGAAAGGATCCTCGTTGTGTAGAATCCAGGCCCATCACCAACAGTTATAACCACCTTTCCTTGCTTCAATCCCACCGCCACAGCACTCGCGATAGTCTCCTTCGACGTTCCCGGATGCGTGATGATCTCCAGCAATTGCATCTTGTCCACTGGCGAGAAGTAATGCATGCCAATCACTTTGTCTGGCCTCGAGCTTCCTGCGGCGATCTTCGTAATGGGGATTGCACTCGTGTTTGTGGCGATGATGCAGTGAGATGGAACAACAGCCTCCAATTCCTTAATGACTTTGTGCTTGATGTTCAAATTCTCGAAGACAGCTTCAATGACCATATCAGCCTTTCTGAATGGTTCATAGCTGAGTGTTGACGTGAGATTGGCCATATGCTTATCGCGATCAAGTGCTGAGAGTCGTCTTCGCTTCACCGCATTCTCGAAGCCATTCTGCACTTGTCCCAGACCACGACTGAGTCCAGCGTCGGTGGTGTCCTTCATGACAACATTGTAACCCTTGTCGACGCTCACCTGAACAATTCCTGCGCCCATCAAACCCGCTCCCAGAACACCAATGGTCTTAACTGGAAGACTCGGCTTGCCAAAGCGATTCTTCTTGCACTCCGTTTGACCCCTAAACAGTCCAATAAGACCTTTAGATTGAGGTGTTTGTGAGAGTTCGCCAAAAGCAACACGTTCAGCTTCGTATCCTGCATCAGTTCCTTTGTCAGTTCCAGTTCGGATCACATCAAGGATCTGCAGAACAATTAAAGCACACAATCTGAAATGCTGTCCAAGTTTAGGAAGAAAGAAACTACACCAACCTTCAGAGGAGCCGGATAAAGACCTCCAGTTTGCTTCATCACTTGTTCCTTGGCCTTTCCGAACACCTTGTCCTTCACCCAACCAATGTCCAGTGCAAACGCCATGGCCTTGTTCACGAAGCCCTTCTTCTCGCGATCCACCTTCAGCTTTCCCGTTGCCAATTCCCTTGCCACTTGCACCGCCACTTTCTCCAGGTACTGCATGGTATTAACGTCAGCAGGCTGAAGTCCTGGGCCGAGTGGGGTCACCAGTAAGTCCACAATCCCCAATTTCTTCGCCTTGTCGGCCTTTACGTACTTTCCTGTGAGTGCCAAATCGAGGGCCGTTGGAATTGAGGTCAGCTGAGTAAGTCGCTGTGTGCCACCGGCGCCGGGCAGTAGACCCAGCATCACTTCCGGAAGTCCCAGGCTTGTGCTCTTGTCTTTTGTGGCGATTCTATAGTGACAGGCTAACGCCAGCTCCAATCCCCCACCCAGACAAGCACCATTAATTGCCGCCACAACGGGCTTTCTGCTCTTTTCTATCCTGTTGAACATGATCTGGCCATCGTGAGAGACTCTCTGACCTTCCTGCGCAGTCTTGCACTTCTCCAACATTCCAATATCCGCCCCGGCGACGAAGCATCCCGGTTTCGCTGAAATCACCACTGCCGAGTTCACCGCGGCATTAGTCTCCAGATCCCTGAGCACATTCTCGAACTCCCTGCTGACTTCCTCGCCCAGAGAATTCACCTTCACGTTGGGAGAATCCAATGTCACCACGAGAACTCCGTCCACCACCTTCGTCTGCATGTGCTTCTGGGCAGTGGCATCGCTGGCGAATCTCTGCAGACTGACTGCAGCTGTAAGTAACATGTGAAACTGTCTATCATTCCGTTTTTCTCTTGAATCTCGAGTCCAAAGTCCAAAAGTTAACATCATAATTTTTTGCTTATCATATTGTACTTTTACACCGCTCGGGATCTCCCGTGTGACGTGTGACATAACATAAATCTTTACAGCTCCACTAAAGTATAGATAGAAATGATTTACCTGGCGAGAAGCTCCTAATTCGCGATGATATCCACGAAATTCGTGTGGTGTTGCTCAACAAGCGAACAGAAGCCATTACTTATTTTTTATTACAAAAATAAGGCAATAAACCTGCCAAAAGGTGAAATTCATCAATACCAGGGCGATTAAGAGACTCCAGTGACTTACTTTAGGTGAAATTTAAGAACTTTCGTGTATATTTATTCACTATAAAACTAAAGCAAAAATTATACGGCACAAAATACAAAGTGCAAGAGAGAAATGAATGCGGTGAATTATCATATCTCGCACTGCCGCCAACAGTGATTTCGAACATTTTTTCTACGTTTCGAATGTGTAAAATAATATTACATAAATTACATTTAAACCGCGGGAAGAATGGACGGAAAATTTAGCGTTGTTTACATATTGAAAACCTTGTGAAAAACCCGGAAAATAGATTCAATTTAATTCAATTCTTTTTGCATCATCAATGCACAAGCAGCAGTTCACCGAGTTCACATTATTGGATTACGGACAATTTTTACCAAAAATACAACGAAATTTATTACTCTTTCGATGATTCGTTTCGTCACTTTCGAGAATTCACTCCGCTGTCAAAATAAAAACATGCTTATTCGCCGGGTGTTTTTCTCCAAATTTCCCGGGTTTCCCAGCACTAACAGGAGGTTCTGGTCATCCGTGGCAGCTCCACAATTGGTAATTAAGATACTTTTGATTCAATTTCCTAAATAACTTAAGAATATTGTGTTAATTCGCAGATTGACTCGCTAACCTCCATGACGGATGGAGAAATCAATGCTAATGCAATTGATCAGACCCTCAAACTGAACCCGAAGCTCCTGGAATATGATTTAGAGTCGTGGCGAAGGATTGTGTCCACATTCAGAAATCAAGGATTCCCTTCATACATGCTTCTGCCGCTAATCGTGAACCACCCGCCGATTCTTCACAGGAGTGCGGAACAGATCAACTTTGGCCTGGACAAGTGGAACACAAGCCAATTCGGGGAGAGGAATATTATGAAACTGATCACGCGGTATCCTGACCTGCTGGAAATATCCAAAAGCGAGAAATTCATCTCTGATCGCATAGGGTACTTGCAAATATACGCAGAAACGAGGAAGAACGTCTTCACGATGATCATGAACTCTCCGTGTCTCATCACGGATAAAGTGCACGTAATTGATTCCAAGATCGCGTATCTGAAGGACACAATGAGGGTGGATTTGAGCGAAGTGCTAAAGTCGGAGGTGTTTTCCAAAACGTATTCGAAAATCCGCACCCGCCACACGTTCCTAGATCGCTTGGGAGTGTACAAACAGAGGAGCTACAAAGCAGACGCCAGAGCTATCAGCACTAATCCCAAGTTGTATCAAATAATGGATACAAGCGACAAAACCTTCGCAACAAAGATCGCCTTTGTCACGCTGGAGGAATACGAAGTGTTTGAGGAGCTCTACGCCCGCGAATTGAGGGAGGATGAGGAATTTGAATCATTGGAGAGTGATGGCGATGAAGAGTAATAAAATTTATAAAACAATCATGTATATTTCTTCATAAGATTACACACATAAATGTGTCTGGTTAGACAAGACATTTAGTACGCCTTAAATGATAAAAAGGCAAAGCACAATATTTCAAAAATCTCACTTTTGGACTCTATTATAATAATACTTCAATTGAAATTGAAAAGAAAATTTCAATTTTGCTTAGCAAGACAAATCAACTAACCTTGAAAGACACCTTTTGGAACATATAAGCTAATTATTTTAGAATTTGCTTTATTCATTGAACACAAGTTTCCCGAAAATTGTACCAAAGTCATACATGAATTGAGATAAAAGGTAACACATCAAAGTCCTGGGTTCACATTTAAGCACTTGCACTACTTCTCTACATTATTTAATCTCTCTGGCAAAATTGGGTTATTTCAGCAAATTGAAATGGCATTTCACTATTAACAAACTATCGAACGAAAGTCACGTGCAATTGTGGAAAAATTGATCTATGTCTCTAACCTACTCGTATCAAATAGACCAGCTATTATCCTTCCCATCTATTGCCTAATTCCCATTCACTTTCCTTATTGCATTAGATAAAAATAAATATTTCACATTGATATTGACTTACATTTTACAACTATCTTATTATCCCATAGATATAAAAGCTATAGTAGATGCTACAATTACGATTTTGATTCATTACCCAAAAATTGTGACTTGTTTTGTTTGCCATAGAAGATTTGAGTTTCCCAATAACTTATCAAAATAAATAGTACAACGAAAATGTCTCACATCTATTTGCCATCTCTTGTTTCACATCCCTGTTTGGTGTTTTTAAACACACACTCAAAAGTTATTAAATCGAAATATCAATAATGGTATGTATGTCACTTTGGAAGCTAATACACATTGATCCATTCAGGAATAAGGAAAATACAACAACGCAATCGTCAAAGGAAATGCAGTGATGATTAGTAATCTAACGCGTATACTTAAGAATAGCCAATTTTGTCGCTTTTTCAAGGCATTACATATAATAGTACTTTTTGACCGCTAAACCCGTGCCAGAAACGTGAATTTTGCCGCAAAGTGCAGTTAACTTTATTGGACTGCGCATAAGCTCTCTTTCCTACGTGTTCTCCAATAGAACTAATCCCAACAACGAAAGGTAAACCAACAGAAACCCTTAAATTAAAGCTGAAAATGGTAAATACGTACACCTCAGTGGAATGCCAGAAGAGAGTGCTTGTCTCAGATGTCCTGCTGACTGAGGAGGGGCGTGTCATACTTGCGATTGAGGGTGGCACATGGAAGCATCCAGAGAAGCGGGTGCTCCTGGCCGAACACGTCTGCCAGAAGGGCCAGCTTCGGTCTGTACGGTCGATAAGTTCCTTTCTGCTGCAGAGCCTCCACAGCTGTCTCGTCATACAGAATGGCATGCATCTGGTCCACCATGATGGCGATCACGAAGAGCCCGAAGAGCGTCGACTCCAGGAACAGAAGCACGCTGTGCAGGAGACGCGACTGGGAATCCGCCGTGTCCGTTGAGCACGTCTCGCAGGGCGTCACCCAAGATATCACAATCAGAACGATGGAGTAGATTGCAAGGATGATGACGTAGACTAGAAACTGTAGGAAGTATTTTTGATTGTTTTCGCCCTACAAGAAGAAAGATTTTGACTGATTAGGCTTAACTTCTATTCCTCTGATTAACATCGCACTTAACAGTACTCAATATTTAATACACATCAACAACAACTGTGGCATGAATCATTTGACTCTGCGTCTTTAGAAATTTGACTCAAGCCCTTTTATTATTATTACATGGCAAAGCACTTAATGAACATGAGCGACCAGCATATTTTCTCTTCCATTTGTCGGGCCCCTTTTGAGAAATATTTTGGGGGAATTGGGCATAAAATGAAGCACACTCACCACACATGAGTTGATCCATGGGCAGTGATGGTCGTAACGCCGAATACATCGCTGTGGAGAGAGATAAGATAGTACTTAGATTTGGACTGCTTATTACTGGAGCGTGAAAGTCTCTCACTTTGCAGATGCGGCAATGATGGGCTCGTGGGGGCCTGAAGGTCTCACAGCGCGTGCACACGGTCCACTCCTCCTTCTCCAGCTCACCCTTCTCAGTCGTGTGGATATCAGAGAAGTCCAGACGATTCTGGGGCAGAGGCACTGTGCCCGGATCTGAGAAGACTGCCCGCAAGTGCGCCATCGCGAGGAGAAAGACAATCGTGTTGAAGAGAATCACATGGAGAGGTGCCCAGAAACTGCGGCAGAGATAAAAGGTAGTCGTGAGTGATGAATTGTGCTGATGATTGGCGATTTTACCTATTTTGCAGACTCTGCAGAATGATCCACTTTATCACAACGTAGTCCGCATAGATAATCGCCATGTAGGTCACGAGTAGACACGCAATTCCACATGGGTCCTTCACGAAGGGCATCTTAGTGAGTTTATGAACTAGTATGCAACTAAATTAAGCTACACATTAGTGATTAAACACAATTATTTTGCGAATAAATATTGTAGCCATTTTTTCTCGGCTCGATTCTTCCGTGGCTTTGAAGTATCGAAAAATCACCCGAAACACGGTGGCCAACGTTTCGAACATGCGCACCCATTCGAGAAAAAAGTCATAAAAAAGACAAGAAAAAACCACTCCAGACGCAGATTCTTCAATGAAAATCTTTTACTACAGGAATGATCACAACGATATCCAGGGAGATTTTGTAACACTTTATTTTATGAATAACATTAAATTAAACCATACAGCCGTAGTAAAATTCTGACCATGAAAATAAGAATATCTGGACAACCGTCATGAATCTGTGATAATCTCTCCGACAAAACAACTTTTTTCAATGGCAACCACTCTTTAAATCCTCCCTCGCAACCCTCAGTAGCTCTGGAGCTTTTGCAAATCATCACATGAAGGAGTCGCTGTGTTTTGTGCTTTTCTGTACATATTCGCATCACCAAAGTTGCGCGCCTTCATAATCATTGACTCTTTGTATTGCCGTTCCCTGAAACACTTGTGCTTCAGGTTTTGATAGTACTCCTCCTCGACCGCCGTCTCCAGACGACTGACCGATCCTTGATATTCCGAGTGAAAATTGTCTTTCACATAATAAGCCACTTTCCAATTGGCAGTCTTCCGCATCACTGAATATTTTCTGCAAGAGACAAGAGACAATTTCAGTGACAATTGTGTGTTACGAGTTTCATCGTGAACTTACTGGTTTGGTTGCAAGCTGTAAATGGGATCAGAAATGAAGAACGAAGACATCATGGACAGCATAATTAGCAGTAGGATTGGCAGAAGATTAATCAAGGCTGCATAGCTGTTCTGTTGCTCTCGCTGGGCGTGATTCTCGCCGGTTCGCTGATATCGACGCTGGCGCATGTACACATTCTGCTGGGGAAAGCTGCCGCCGAAGAACATGGAGAAGATTTCCTCCGGCGTGTACTCAGAATCAAATCCGCGCGAGTATCCGCCAAATTGAAAACCGCTGTAATTGTGAGCCGCGTGCTCAGCACGTCCTGAGTGCGTTTGCTCGCCATACAAATCGTATGACTTCCTCTTTTCGGCATCGGTGAGTATCGCTGCCGCATTGCCCACGGCCTTGAACGCCTCCACAGAGCCCGGAGCCTTATTCTTGTCCGGATGCAGCTGCAGGGCCAACTTCTTATACGCCTTCTTTATCTCAGAATCTGTGGCGTCCTTCGAAACGCCCAGCACTTCATAGTAATCCTTGCACTTTTTCACCTTCTTCACGGCCTCCAGCTGATCACTGGTGTACTCCACCTCTGTTGATTTTGCCGAGTCAGCATTGCTGGTGGATTTCTTCTCATGACGCTTGTATGGTCCGGTGTTTTCCTCAGCAGAAGGCTGGTTTTCCTTGTTGCACCCTTTCAGCTTCTCCAGCAGTTCCTTCGCATCTTTGGTCTGGTACAAACGTTCAGCTTTCTGCAAGAACTTCTCAGCTCGGTCTAATTTTCCCTCAGCCAGTGCATTACGCGCAATGTCCACACAACGCAAGGCTTCATCACGATTGCTCTCCATCGTCCAGCAGTATTGCAAATTCCTCAATTTTAGCCTCGATTTCAGCTATGAGAGTGATATTCCAATAAGTTTGACCTTTGAAATGATGGATCAAGGCTGAGACACCCTGAAAATGCAAGAAAAGTAGACATGAATTAGCGATCACGTGATCAAAACAGAAAAAAAAAATTCTCAAAAATTTGTGGAAACATTTTTTCTGGGAAATTTTATCCCATTTTCATTTGTGTACAAAATATTAATCAGAATTGATTTACAGCTAGAAATTCTATTAAAATCTAATGCATATGACATTTCCTATACCGATCCGAGGAATGTTTCAACACTTATTCTGTACAGGGAAAATCCAATTAAAATTTAGTACAGAACCCCAGAATATTTCATTTCCACTTTTCAACGCACTTTTACATCACTTTTCACAATCTTACCCTAAGTTCTTCTTCGGAAAACACTTCAAGGAAGCGTTGAATTCACTATTTCACAATTTTCTTTATTCTATCCATGCAGATTGAGGAAGTATTCTTCAACCGAGAAAGAATTTGCGTGTCTGACGGCCATAAAATCGTGACAACTGCGCGATGACAAGACAACACTGTGAAAAATCAAGAGCAAAGGGTTTCTCAACTTGAAAATCAACTCCGCACATTTAATCTTTTCGTGGCAAATCTGGTAAACAATAGTTCGTGGAAACCACACGCGCCACTTTCCGTGGTTCCTTCATCAGAGTCTCAGGGCATTGCATCTCGTCCCAACTGATAGGAACCATCGGAACAACTCCCGTTGAATCATTCTTTGATATCGCCATCGCCACTCCGAGCTCATTCTCCGCCGTTGTCAGCTGATAGTGGTGCAATTCCGTCTGCGGCATCTGAAAGAGTGAAACATTGAGAGTCTGCAGTGCAGTTATGAGGCTCATATCCCAATTTACCACTCTTGCCAAGATAACATCTCCTGGACGGAAGCACTTTTGTACCTCCACACTGTCCCTCTCAGCTGCTCTGATGTCCTCCTTCTTCAGCACTCCGCGATAACTTCTGTTGAGGATTTTGTGGCCAACACTAAAGATGAGGCATTTTGCAAATCGCTGATTCACAACTGTTATTTTCGCTGTTACAACATCCCCAACAGTTGGCACAATTGTCTCCATTCCCAGTGGCTTTACCTCTATGAAAGTTGTCTGGGAAATGGTAAATGAATTAATAATTGCTCTGTATTTTAGAAGTAAAAGTATTTACCGATTTTTCTTTCCATATATTGACTTGGCCGGTTAACACTGTGTAAATGTAGCCATCTCCTCTCTCGTAAGTTCCGTGTCCGGCCACTGTATTTTCATCCGCACAGCACAATCTCTGTCCAGGCACACAAAATATCTTCTGATTTTCCACCCCAGAGTCCATTTTCTCGAGTTTTCCAAGGAAAATTTAGAGATAAACAGTGTACTGAAAGTCGCGTGTTTTTGTTGACTAAATTGGACGTTTCACTGACATCTCCGGATTCCCATCGGGCAATTCCGGATTTCGCCGCGACGCCGAAATACACCTGTCAGATGTCTACACCCATAAATTGCTGTGCAAATGCTTATTGTCTGAAGTGGGAATGGAAATTTGGTGAATTTGTGCACATAGAGAATACAGTATCGTCATAAATGCTACCGAAAGCAACGAGGATGCCAGTGCTGAAGGATTCCCACATTGTGAAGATTGCGGTGGAGCTGGAGAATCAGCAGCAAAATGCCCAACTTATTGAGTTCGACCAACGCCATCCGCTCACCAGTATTATTCAGGATCTCTGCAATCACTGGAACATCCTTGATCCAGAGAACTACGCCCTGCAGTTCTGTGAGCAGAATTACAAGAATTACGTGACGGAGAAGAATCGCAATGAGGTGAAGAACGGAAGTGTGCTGCGACTGACTGATTCGCCGTCCAAGACGGCGCACGACATTCTTGAGATACTCAAATGTGGGAGTGTTCCGGAGAAGACTCAGGTGCTGGAGAACTTATCGACCCTCAGCATTGATCTCACGTTCGCGCTGGAGTTCATCAAGGAGCAGGGATTGTCGCTCATCATCACGATGATTGAGGATGAGAAGATCGTAGGCGATATGCTGAAGTTCGCTCTCCTCTCGTTTGTTGAGCTGATGGAGCACGGCACAGTGTCATGGGACATCCTGCAGCCAACGTTCATCGCTCGCAATATCTTCTTCATCAACACTCCAACGGCTGTGCTGAAGGAAGTGGTCCAGTGCGCCCTATCCATTCTGGAGAACATCGTGCAGAACTGCACAAAGTCTTCGTGTGTGGAGAAGGACATCACGCTGGAGAACTTGCTGAAGCTCCTCCAGGACTCCTCTTCGCAGGTGATACAGCAGAATGCAATCGCCTTAATCAATGCCCTCTTCATCAAGGGCGACGAGGCGAAGAAAAGGAGCATCGCCGCGACTTTCGCCACAAAACAGTACAGATCTGTTATCTTGTCCAACGTTATCAATGCGAATATCGGCACTGAGATGGCTCATCAGCTGTACGTGCTGCAGACACTGACCATGGGTCTTCTGGAGCATCGAATGAACACCAAGATGAACGCCCAGGATCAAGATGCACATGACAAAATCAAGGAACTTCGGCGAATCGCATTCGATGATGGGGCGGACTCCCAAGCTGACACGGCCAAGAGGCAGAATCACCAGTATTCCACGTACTACAAGAAGTTGGGCTTCAAGTCTGACATCAATCCTGCACAAGATTTCGTTGAGGCGCCTCCGGGAATGCTGGCACTGGACTGTATGGTGTATTTTGCCCGGAACTTTGGCCAAAACTACAAGAAGGTAATGTGAGGATGAATGAAAATGACCAGAAGTTTGATTGTCTGACTATTTTGCAGGTCGTCCATGAGAATAGCTGTAGAGCGGATGAGCATGAGTGTCCTTTTGGGCGCACAAGCATTGAGTTGGTGAAATTGTTGTGCGAGATCATCAAGATCGGGGAGCCACCTTCAGAGCAGTGCCAAGATTTTCACCCCATGTTCTTCACGCACGATCACCCCTTCGAGGAGTTCTTCTGCATATGCATTGTCATCCTCAACAAAACGTGGAAGGACATGCGAGCGACTAATGAGGATTTTGCCAAAGTGTTTAGCGTTGTGCGCGAGCAGATCACGCGCAGTTTGACGGGCCGACCTGGCAATCTGGATGACTTCCGATCGAAGATACACAGCCTCACGTACAGCACAATCACACAGCTGAGGCAGCAGGAGCGCACGTCGAAAGAGGACATTGAGAGCACGGCGTCTGCTATTGTGAATCTCAAGGAGAAAATCACTCCGGAGATTATGAAGTTGATCAGGGAGCAGCGTTTGGGATTCCTGGTGGAGGGAACACGCTTCTCAAAGTACTCTCGCGGTGTCCGGAGCAAGGATAAGTTTTGGTATGTGCGTCTCTCGCCAAACCATAAGGTCATCCACTACGGTGATTGCGACGAGAAGACCGTGCCAACGCTGGAGGAGCTCAGCAACAAAGTGCAGGTGTTGGACATCAAGCAGCTCCTCGTGGGCAAGGAGTGTCCTCACATGAAGGAGATGCGAGGCAGGAAGTCCGCAGTGAATCTCGGCTTCTCCATCACCTTCGACAACACGGAGCAGGCCACGCTGGACTTTGTGGCTCCTGATGAGACCACATTTTACTACTGGACAGACGGCGTGAATGCTCTGCTCGGACTGCCCATGACGAGCAAGCAAAAGGAAGAGGATCTGAAGACACTTCTGTCCATGGAGATCAAGCTGAGACTCCTGGACACTGAGGGTGTGGATATCTCCAAGGAGCCGCCGCCAATTCCTGAGGATCCGGAGAACTATGATTTTTGCTTCGAAAATTGATTCCACGAAAGAGATATTTTATCAGTATGCCAAAGTGTAATTTAAAATGTTTGCACTCAATTTCAATATTTTTATGATATTTTTACAATTTTTCATGCTGTATACAAGGGAAATATGTATGACTTTCCAAATAAAAAAGTGTCTATATAAAACACGCTTAATAACTAAAGCGGAAAACTCCTGAAGCGCGAATCCTGAGATGCTAGAGCACTGTTCTGGAGCTGAATAGAGAATAAAACGGATTAAATATACACAATAAATCGTACGTTAAAGACTTTATTTCATTAGTAAGAGATTTCACATTACACGAAGATGAGAGGAATCGAAGCATCTTAACGATCATTATTTAGTAAATGCGCTCATAGAATAAGATGTAAGGCTTAACTTTTAAGATCTCATTTTCAGTCACTTCCTTCACGTAGATATCGTCAAGCATTAACCACTTTCCTTGCGGACGCACGTTGCCACAGATGGAGGGTTCTTCATTCTTACCAACGAATTTCTTCTTGGCAGAATTGGCGAACAATTCTGTCTTGCTATTTCTCGGCAAGAATTTCCAACGCTCATTTTCAGGTGTCATATGAGGCCTCATCCTCACGTACGCAACGTGGTGCCAATCTGTCCTACCTCTAATATAGGGAGAGTCGTAGTTCACGAGTACCACCATGCCGTACAAGGAATACAGGAGCTTCCTCTGCCGCTGATTCACATTCGGCAAGTTATTCACTTCTGAAGTGCAGAAGGGAGCAATATCCAGCACTATCGGAAAAGAGCCACATGGATCTGAACGAATCTTCAATTCTCCGCATATGTACTTGAATTGCTGAGAATGGAGAACAAGCACAGGTGGCGGACTGGAGATGAAAACTTGCTTCATTGTAGTTGTATAGACTGTTCCGCCATCCTTTCCACTTAGGCGTCGAGTGCAATCTTCGCAAACCACTTTCTTCTTATCAGATCTCGAACCTGTGAAGACAATCAAGTTCTTATCCACATCAGAAAGCTTATCATAGTTAGCCAACGGACATGGGATCATTCTAAAGTAGATGTAAGTTTGGTCAATCCAGTACGAGTTGCAGTGTCCAGAATCGTCATGGTTCTTCTCCTCGTTGAAGTTGCTCGGCAACGGCAGTGAAATGTCCAGAACACACTCATTATGCGATGATGCGTAGTAGCACCTGTGACAAACGGTGAAGGACTTAAGGATAATACCGAAGACACGCTCAGGCTTTAGTATTTTATCTTCCGCCTGTTTCTCGTAGAATTTGAACATCAGCTTCATATCACCTTCCACCGTTTCTGGATCCACTTTACTGCTCACGCCGAGGGAGCCCAAAATGACCGATTGATAGCGTCGCAAGTCCTCACAGCGAACATTCTCGAGCAAGCGACTCAATAATTCGTGTGCATCTGTGTAACCATCGCCACAAAATTCTGGCCATTTAGTAATCACTTGCCTGAAAAGCATCAATGGATTGAAAAATCGCCCGCCGGCGCGAAGTATATCAATTGTATAAGCCAAACTGGAGGTGCAATTATCGTCTTCATCAGGAAAAGTGCAGGAAATTGGTGGTAGATTCACCACAGATCCATCGGTAAGCGTGAGCTGACCACCAGAAAGCTCAATTCTGAAAGATGTAATCAAAAACATTAATCAATCTGCGCAAATGTATATGTTAAGTGTACTTACTTTGCTCCAGGCTCGACGGATTCCTTGAGTACCTCTGATAAGTAGGGCGTCTGAGCGAGGCATTGGAGAACAGCATTGAAAAAGGAGCTGTTCCCATTATTTACCAGACCACAAGGAACATAAACAGGACGAAGTGCGAAAGTCATTGTAGAGCTTCCGGAGGATGTTTGGTCTCGGGATGGGGAAGAAGCAGCCACGTCCTTCAATTCCTTCTTGGTCTTTTTTATTTCTGTATCAAGTTTCTTCTCGATCTTTTTTGAAAGATCATTTCGTCTTTTAACACTCTTCATTTCTATGGATTGTGCGAATGATGACGTCACTACAAAGAGAGATAAAGAACAGAGCGCATTAGAAAAATGAATATTGCAGTTGCATGCGTTATATAATCTCTCGCGAATAAAAACAGAATTTTGAAGCGAAACTCCGTAATTTCTCCATTTTCTCTCCCAAATCTAGAATCGTTCGGAGTTCGAAGATCACACGAATCCCAGACAGATACACAAGATAAAAAATTTACGCTGTTTCCTAAACAAAGCATTTGTCACGAAATTTCATGAAAAAGACCCAAATTGTGTGTATCTTAGAAATAAATTAAAGAAAATCGAGGGATAAAGCCATGATGACAGGGAAGACATGAAAAAATATGGTGAATAGCGTCATTAGCTCAACATTTTTCCATTTGATTTCCAGGAAGTTTTCATGCGAATACTCTGAAACTACAAGTGTTTTACTGTGATTGGGATCCGTACTCACTGTTTTCGTTGAAATATTTAGAAATTGCCACGGGAAAACTTGTGAAATTGAATCTTTTCTTTCACTCAGTGAAAAAACTCCTTTCGAAGGCTCTCGAAATGACCGATGTGAAGTTTGTTGCTTTTCCAAATGCAACGGACTTTTCGAAATTGTCGAGCGCGCGTTCTTTGAATATTGTCTAAGATTTCCTTTGCAAATCCTTCCACTTCTAAATTGATGAATAACCTTTAAGGTGTGGAGAAAACATTTATTTGCAAGTGTTAATATAAAATATAGCAATAAACTAAAGTGATTATTAATTATATTCAGTTTGTATCCTTATCATGTGATTGAGGAATGCCGAATTAGTGTCTTTAAAATTAATTTAGCATTGTTGGTCGGATTCAGTATTGCGTATAAACTTGCACAAAGCAGTATATTAAGTTTAAAAACCTAAAAGCTACAAGCTTCTTATTCAACAATTTTCTCTTCCATATGGTATGTTAAAGCACTTTTGGGAAATAATCTTAACATTGTACAATCAAGTGAATAATTAGAGATTTTGATGAAAGATCATTTAAAATAAACCTCATCAATGCTATTTCGCGCTGCAATTGTTATCAGAGATTATCATCCACATTTATTTCGCTCTCGTCAATCCGGTCCGGAAGGCAGACGAAGAACTCAAACAAATTCAGCACTGGTCCACGCGAGAAGGGGTTTTGGTATTTGCCCCGTTTGTCCCTCAAGTAAGGGTAGCGCTTGTAGTTAAACATCTCATTAGTGGTGAGATTCATGCAGGCGTGGAGGATGGATGTGCACGTAAGAATCCAGCCGAGGCCGCAGAACAGAAAAGCCTCCATCAGTCCCAGGACGTAGAGCAGCGTGAAGCCCTCGATCATGACGCAATAGCACGCGAAGTAGATCGTGAAGCTGCAGTTGATGGCGACACTGAGCACGAACAGGAAGAACCACATGCGATTGCGCAGTCCCACGCAGTTGTAGATGAACGGGCAGTGGTGGTCGAAATAGGATACACAGCGATTGCAAATCCTGCAGTGCTTGGCGCGCAGCGGACGAAGGCAGCGGCAGCTGTGGCAGAGGCGCGAGAGGAAGACGTTGCGCTTCTTCCACTTGTCGAAGTAGGGGATCTGCTTGATGGCGCGATAATAGGAATCGGCATTCAATGGAATGTATCCGGGATCCCGGCGGTTTGCTATTATCCAGCTGATCCACATCACAGCGTTCCAGTATATGAAGCAGTAGTGCGACCTCCTCAGAATGTTCCAAGTTATGGGAATGCACTGCAAGTCATACGAATATTAGATCTCTACAATGTAGAATATTTCCCAACTCACCCTTATCATATACATGGGATAGCCCCAGAGCAGTACAGAGCACACGAAGAGAAGCAGTGGACCCTTGGAATTGCCGGCGCCGCCGAAGAGAAGCCCCCAGAGTTCAGAGATGGGCGGAAACCAGCGAGATTTCTTCTTGATTTCGTTATTCAGCAGTTTCACCACGTCGCTGTGCTGATGGCTCTGGGCCAGCATGAGTGGAGTCTTGCCGTTCTTGTCCTTCGGCTCGAGATCCAAGTTACTTTTCTCACTCAAGAGACGGACACACAGGAGATTCCCTGACAGGCAAGCCAAATGTAGAGGCGTAGAGCCAAAGTTGTCGGTCTTCTGGAGATCCACTCCAGAATAGGTTAGCAAGCGAATAAGCTCTGCGTGGCCCTTATATGAGGCCCAGTGAAGTGCTGTGTCTCCATTGATGTCCGTGAGATGATTGTGAGCGCCCATTCCGAGGAGGAAAGCCGCCGTGGCTGTTCTACCGTACATGCAGGCCGTCATCAGCGGAGTGAGACCCTTGAAGTCGGCCGCATTCACTGCCACTCCGGCCAGCAGGAGAACCTGCACAACTGCAGTGTGGCCTTTGCGGCAAGCCCAGTGAATAGGCCGCGGTCCTTGAGTGCCCAGGCATGGCAGATCAACAGGAGCGTTCCTCTCCACGAGATACCGCATCATCTCGGCATTTCCGTCCAGGGCCACCCAATGAGCTGGCGTGTACCCGTGCTTATCCCGCGCAGACAGGGTCTCTGCCCCCAGCTTCTCCACCAGATTTTCCACATCGGACACCTCTCCGTTTTTGATCACGTCGAAGATGTCCTCCGTGCTGGACGCCTCCTCCAGGATGTTATTGTCCTTGTCATTAGTGGGAGTGGTGGTAGCATCCCTATTCTCCTCCGTCACCATCCCACAAGCTGTGAGGGGCAGGGCCCACACATTGCGAGCTGCCCCAGGGCTTGGGTGAATCTTACTCTGCGTCTTGATGCTGTCTGCCACGATTGGGATATTGATATTCCTTCACTGCCTAACAAAACACCTCGCTGGATCCCTCTAAATCAGATTTGGAGTCACTTTCACTAAACACACGTCACTGAATGCAGCAAAATCGATTGTTTTGGAGGAAAAATCAATTTCTGCGCACTTGCGCAGTTGAAAACAAAGAAGTGAGGTTGAATCAGCTGAGTGGAAAAAGCGCGCGGTGCATTTTCTAGCACTTCTGGTACTGCAATAAAGGGGAAACGTCACAACAAAAACAACCTCTCTGGCGATCGTGCAAACGTTTAGGTGGAAATTGTAGGAAAATCTTGTGAAAATGGGTGAAAAGAGGAAAAATATGGAAGATGAAATGTCGAGGTAGATTTCCATAATGACTGTCACTAGAAAAAGTTATGAGATTTTCCATTTTTGCAGATTTGAGGCGGAAATCGCGACCCCTCCGGTGAACATGTTCATCCCAAGCCAGGTGAAGCAACCCATCATAGCGTCCAACACGTACAGCCAAGTTCAGCAGAAGCTGTCTAGTGTCCCACCGCCTCCCATGCCACCGATGATCATTCCCCCATTCACACCGCCCGTGGTGGCGCAGCCTCAGCAAATTGAAAAGTCTTACTCAACAGAGCCCACGCCTGTGGTTCTGAGTAGCGCCCCCAAACTCTACACAAATAGACCGTCTCCGAGTGTCTCGGCACCTGCCCAGCCCTCTGTCATGGACATATCTTCGCTGCAGTTCGAGGTGACGAACAAACTGAAGAAGCTGAAAGGGGAAAAGCCATCCGGACCGAATCCCATCGCCGAGGCTGCTATTCAGGCGGCGAAGGCCTCGTCAGCACTCCAGAGCTTCGGCCATGAGGATCGCAAAGGCAAGAAGAATAGGAAAACCATCCGAATGGCGGGTGGTCAGATGTGGGAGGATCCATCGCTGGCGGACTGGCCAGACGATGACTTCAGGATCTTCTGTGGAGACTTGGGCAATGACGTGAACGATGAACTCCTGACGAGAACGTTCAACAAGTATCCGTCCTTCCAGAAAGCCAAAGTGCTGCGAGACAAGCGCACGGGCAAGAGCAAGGGATTCGGCTTCATCAGCTTCAAAGAACCTCAAGACTTCATCCGTGCAATGAAGGAAATGGATGGTGAGACCTTTATTTCTTACCATAATATCTCTAAAAATCACCTCATTAGCCGAGCGGTCCCCAGCCATAGGAGACAAATAGGTGGGGAATAGTGTGATTTTTTCGGGACTGATTGGTCTTGCGATGAGTGGTCTCCTCATTGGCGAAGGGTGTGTGATCAGGCTTCCCGAGGTATCCGGAAATGAGGGTCAACTGCTTGGGATTGCTGATCCGCGGCGTGTTCATGCCCTTGTGCTGGATCTGCTGCGTCTGGGTGTAGCGATTGAGATAGAACATAGGGTAGGGCATCCCTGAAGCGCCCCATCCGCGCGACATGAAGAGATCCTTCTTGGCAATGGTCACGTCCATATTGGGAACGTACTCAGCGTCAGACCACGCGACAATGCCCGTGATTACAGCAAAGCCAAAGAGTATTTTCATCATCTGAAAAGTTATCGGTGCTGTTTTGTAAACATTGTGGACTAAAAATAATTTTTTAGGATGGATTTATGACGAAAATAACTTTTATGGGAATTTCGAATATTCCAGTGAAAACACTGTGATTTTAATTAAGTCATTATTATATATTTTTGTGGGAGTACAAACTCACTTTATCACGGTTTTTTCCCTACTTCTTCCCTCTCTTTTCGTTAACTTGGTAAACAACTTTTGCGCTCACTCTGATAGGGAGTGTAATTGATGATTTCACTATGAGGACGTCTGCACAGCTTGAGCGTCAAAATACGAATGAATCGCTGGAGAGGACGGTGTAAAGTGTTGATGCTCAAACTGCCAAGTCCTGTGAGAATTTATCTGTGATTGTACGACAATATGTGGTGTCTCTTCGGGAGGACAGAGAGAGATTTCCCTGAGATGACTCAAGAGAGTTACGAGAGGATGACCATTCATTATAACTTCTCTTTTGAATAACACCTACGGTTGTGCCTCTCCGTGAAAGAGTTCACGATGATGCATGTGGGATTTTCTGCTCATTTTTTATTCCCCACAGAAACGTCCGGATCCCGAGGAGCGTTTTTGCCAGTAATTTAGCTAATAGTCAAGTGTTGGAAGTTGCTCCTTTGAACGTGATTCTCAATGACTTTGAAAGTCCTCGCGAAGCCATAAAGCGATACGAACATTTTAATTGATGAACAGCAAGAGCGCAATGCTCTGTTAATGAACAATTTTCCCGTACAGAGCAAATATGTAATATCAATTGTAATTTGAGTTCTTTGAGTGTTTCACCCACAAAGGAGAGCAGGTAATTTGCAAAATTGCATGATTGCCGCTCGTATGAGACTCAACAGTGGCGTAGTGGAAAAGAGGATGATTTTCCGGTTTATTGTTACCCTTTTTGGTGCTTGAGTTAACTTAGTGTTTGTCTATACTCAAAATAGACTTCGCTACGCCACTGACAATGGATTAATGAAGAATTCAACATACGTGGAAATACGAATAAATGGCACTTAAACAAGGCTTCATTAAGCCACGAATTTGCTTCTGGGAATCTCTATTCAGGGAATATTTGGGAGATGATTCCAGAAAAATGCCTCTCATATTGAGCGCCTTTGAAAAGGAAGACCCTTTCATTGAGAGAGAATGATTAGGGAAAGCGCCATTCACAGCACCGTCGAACGTCGCGTGGCATTTTGGCGGAGGGAAAAATTAATTTAAGAAATTCCTTGTCTAGCATTGGCATTGCGATGGGGCTCACGTATGAAAGCAGCCGAAAATGAGCCTATTCAGTATTCATCATCTCCTAATCATTGAGTCTTCACTTCATATTTGCCGTAATTTTTGCAGGGCGCTACGTGGGAAGTCGGCCGATAAAGCTGCGAAAGAGCACATGGAAATCGAGGAGTGTGGATGCGGTGAAGAAGAAGGAGCAGGAGAAGAAGATGCTGCAGCAGCTCTTCAAGATGTAGACTTTATTCAAATACACAAATTACATAAATTCAATCGTGACTCTTTCATTTGTTAGTGTAAAAATGTGCAATTTTGAGGATCTTGATTGATATCGTAAGATGAGGAGTGTTAGTTGAATTTCGCTAAGGAAGTTTTTCTGCGTGAACTGAGAAGCGCGCTTCTTAAGATCCACAGGAAAGGCAAGCCTCCTTGTTGTCCAGGGAGCACAGCATGTCTGCGCGTTCTTCACCATTCACTTTGTCCTCTCCGTTAGTGTTGACTTCCTCCTTAAGCTTCGTTTTGTCCACTGTGAATTGGATCGCATTGGCCGCCGGTTTCGTGCGCAAGTAGTACATGCCCGTCTTCAGGCCCTGCTTCCAAGCGTAGAAGTGAATGGACGTGAGCTTGCCGTAGTTTGGCTCCGCGACGTAAATGTTGAACGACTGACTCTGGTCGATGAAGGCTCCGCGGTCAGCTGCCATTTCAATTGTCGTCTTCACCTTGATCTCCCACACGGTCTTATACAATTCGCGGATGTCCTCGGGAATTTCTTTGATGTTCTGCACAGAACCGTTGCTGGCGATCAGCTTGTTTTTCATGTCATTACTCCAGAGGCCTAGATTCGTGAGATCCTTCAACAAGTGGCTGTTGACGACCTGGAACTCCCCAGATAAGACTCGGCGGTTGTACATGTTGGACGTGTAGGGCTCGAAGGATTCGTTGTTGCCCAGAATTTGGGCTGTGGAAGCTGTGGGCATAGGCGCCACCAGGAGAGAATTCCTGACGCCGTATTGAGCTATCTTCGCCTTCAGTTCGTCCCAATTCCACAAGTCCGTTGGCTTCTTGCCCCACATCTCATACTGCAGAATTCCCTTGCTCACGGGACTCCCGCCATTCGCGCGATAGGTCTCATAGGGACCGTGCTTCTCCGCCAACTCGCAACTCGCCTCGAGGGCGCCATAGTAAATCGTCTCGAAGATCTGCTGGTTGAGCTTCTTCGCATCGTCGCTGTCGTAAGGCAGTCGCATGAGGATGAAGGCATCCGCCAGTCCCTGCACACCAATTCCAATGGGTCTGTGCCGGAAATTTGAGCGCTTGGCTTCCGGCACAGGATAGTAATTGATATCGATCACTTTATTCAGGTTGCGCGTGACTGTCTTAGTGACTGACTTCAGCTTCTCAAAGTCATAGCTCTTGTCCGCCTTCACGAACATGTTGAGAGCAATTGACGCCAGATTGCACACTGCAATCTCATCCTTTGACGAGTACTCAACGATCTCCGTGCAGAGGTTGCTGCAGCGAATCGTACCGATGTTCTGCTGATTGCTCTTCCGATTGCAAGCATCCTTGTACAGCATGTACGGCGTTCCCGTCTCCACTTGGCTCTGTATAATCGCAAACCAGAGATCCCGAGCAGGCACTTTGCGCAAATATTTGCCCTCCCTCTCGTACTGCGTGTACAACTTGTTGAACTCCTCACCCCAGCAATCAAATAGTCCGGGACACATGTTGGGACACATGAGGCACCACTCCTTATCCTCAGACACGCGCTCCATGAACAAGTCCGGAATCCAGAGCGCATAGAAGAGGTCCCGTGCGCGTGCCTTCTCCTTGCCCGTGTTCTTCTTCAGGTCCAAGAATTCGAAGATGTCTCCATGCCAGGGCTCCAGGTAGATGGCAAAAGCGCCCGGCCGCTTGTTTCCTCCCTGATCCACATAGCAGGCCGTCGTGTTGTAGACTCGGAGCATCGGCACCAGACCATTCGATGTGCCATTGGTTCCAGCAATGTGGCTGCCACGAGCTCGGATGCAGTGGGTGTTGACGCCAATCCCGCCAGCAGCCTTCGAAATCAAGGCGCACTGTTTCAAAGTGTCGTAGATTCCTGCAGAGGAAATACTAGCATAAGCAACATTCTAGAGTACAATATTAGTGGGCGGGGCATCTAAATAGGCGTGGCTTTATAGTGTTTGTCTTCTGAGCTTTCGTTTGCAAGAAAATAAAATCACTGGCCAAATTCATACCATCAATACTGTCGTCGGACATTGAAAGGAGGAAGCAGGAGGACAGCTGAGGCACTGGCGTGGCAGCGGCGAAGAGAGTCGGCGAGGCGTGGGTGAAGTACCTCTGCGACAAGAGATCGTACGTTTCAATAGCTGCCTCGATGTCCTCTCCGTGAATCCCCACAGACACTCTCATCAGCATGTGTTGCGGCCTCTCCACGATCTTCTTTCCGATCTTCATCAAGTACGATCTCTCGAGGGTCTTGAAGCCGAAGTAACTGTAGCCATAATCCCGGTCATGGACGATCGCCGAGTTGAGCCTCTCTGCATTGGCCATGATGATGTTGTAGTGCTTCTCTGAGATCTTGGGCGACACTTTGCCGGTGGTTTCATTGATGGCCCCGTACAGATCAGTCATGACATCGGAAAAGAGCTTCTTCGTCTCCTTTTGCAAATTCGAGACAACCAGACGAGCCGCAAGGATTGCAAAGTCCGCATGATCCGTCGTCATTGTCGCCGCAATTTCAGCTGCCAGGTTGTCCAGTTCTGGAGTGGTGACACCCGAGTAGAGTCCCTTCTTCACCCTCTCCGTGATGGCCGGCTGCACAACAAAGGGAGAATTCGGAGAATTAGTCATACAAGAGGTTATGTAGAGTCTCCAATTGTGATTCTTACAGGATTCACGAAATTCATATTCAATCCATAGCAGAGCTTATTTATCCGGGATGTTATCTTATCGCAGTTCATGCCTTCCTTGCGACCGTCTGTAAACAAAGCAGGAGGTCATCATTCTCTCGCAGCGGAGCCCCACATGTTTTTCACCTATTTTCATCTTTCTCGCGATCTTACCTCTCTTGATAACATAATTATCGCTTGTCTCACGCATCTTTCAACACTTTACAATTATTCACAGACTTCTAATATGTGTATTTTTAGGTAAAAATCGTGTAAAACTTATCCAACATGCACAATTTGTCAAAGTAGAAGACGCTTTGTGTTCCCGCTCTTTTAGCGCAAAAATTCCCTTTTCTCTGCACTTCCTGATTGCAATGTTGGTGGCCCTGTGAATCTCCGCTGCATGCAAAGTGCTAGAAAACAGAGTGATGTGTTGACAGTTCAAATAGTGGCCGCCGAGTGTTTTGTTGTTCCTGGCCAAAATGTTTCTCCCTCTCGCAATAAATATCTTCCTTTCAGCAACTGCATTTGTTGTAACAAATCGTTTGATACCAAAGCTTAGAGATATGTTCATAAAGGCGAATGTCTTCGGAATAGACATGAGCAAGAAGGACAAAACCAAGATGTAAGGTTATGACAAGAGGAGTGCAATTTCCAGCAAACTAATGAAATCTTCTCGCTTTCAGCCCAGAATCTATTGGAGTTGTGACAGCATCAGTTTACCTCGTAGTATCCTTCCTCTTCATCCCAATGCCTTTCACTCAACACCTACTCAGTGACTCAAAAGGCTCTCAATTTCCACATGATGAATTTGTGGAGCTCATCTCTGCCCTACTCTCGATTTGCTGCATGATTCTGCTGGGATTCGCTGATGATGTGCTGGATTTGAGATGGAGGATAAAGCTGCTATTGCCCACGATAGCATCCTTGCCGCTTCTCATGGTTTACTACGTGAATTTCAACTCAACCACGGTGATAATGCCGGTGTTCGTGCGGCAACTCGTGGGACACTCCCTGAACATTGGATTCCTCTACTACATCTACATGGGGATGTTGGCTGTGTTCTGCACGAATGCCATCAACATCCTGGCGGGGATAAACGGCCTGGAAGTGGGACAATCACTGGTGATAGCGATCTCAATCGTCCTCTTCAATTGTGTGGAGATCTTCATGGGCAGAGCCGAGCAGTGCCACTCCTTCTCCCTTTACATGCTTCTGCCCTACATCGGCACGACCTACGCGCTCTGGCTGCACAACAAGTGAGTAGCAATCCGAGTCATTTTACCGTGGTTGTTTTTATTTGGAAGAATATCGTTATGGTACAACTCACTTTTACAAAAAGGATATTCACGTAAAATATTCTCCTATGATTCCACTTCATCAGTTATAAGGTCTAGTTATGATAATGATAAACGAAAAATTTACTCTTTACACTAATATAACGACAGTCTTGATTGATCGTTCTTCATTCTGCGAAATAAGGCATCAATACACAATGATTTTACAAAAAGGATTTACATATTTAAAATCTCATGCTTGTCTCTTATTACATAAATTGTCTCTAGAACCTGTATATTGACTTGTGCTCTTCTGACTTTCCCATACAATGTTGATAAGTGCTATCAGTTTCAATCTTACATGTCACCCTTTTTTCTTGATCTCCCCCAAACTCCCTCTCTCACTCTCTCTCTCTCTGGACTATCACAGTTTCATTACTGACTGTTTCTGACGTCTCTTCACCGCGAAGCGCGAGCATTTGCATTTGAATAATTATCATTTTGGCCGAGTATTCTTAACTTACTCTACGCGCAGGCATTGATTAACTCTATAAATTCTAAGCATGATAATGCCCAATGTCTCTACAAATACTCATCGTCACTGTCGTCCTCCCAGTGGGCGTAGATATTGGTGAGGATGTTGTCGAAGTTCCAGCTGTTCTGCTCCACGTACAAGGGCGTGTAGTATTTCTCAGCGAAGCGCTGCACCTTGTTCAGCTGCATCTTGCCATCCACAAACAGTCCTTTGGTGATGAGACTCTGCACGTAGGCCACATCGATGATTTTGCGGCTGTTGCCATCGAAGGTAAAGTGTTCATGCTGGAATTCATACTCAAGGCGCTTCACGATGTCGATGGGTTGAGCGCAGAACTTGCAGAGCCAACCTCCATAGTGATTCAGGTCGCCCACGATCATAGCTGGCTTCTCCTGGCCCAGGACGCGATTGAGGGTGTCTCTGGAATGGTCTTGAAAGACGCTGTGATAGCACGCGAATCCTCCGAGAACTGTGCTGTCCGGATGCTGCCAGAAGAAGCCGTAGACGTTGTACTTGAGGCGGAATCGCACGGGCTGCGGCCAATTCTCGTACCACTTGAAGTAGTTGATGGCCTTTCGGTTGAACACCCCGTCCAAAGGACTGTAAATGATCACATCGTCATCCCGCAGAGCGACGCTCTTCGGCAGATTCTCGTACATGTCGGCTGGGGTACATTCTCGGTGGTGCTGCAGGAGGATGCGATTACGGTGGGCGCTGAAGAGAGATGAGTGCTTGTATGTCATCTTCTCCATGAGATCACACACGACAAACAACTCCACGATATCAATCAGGTCCAGTATCTGGATCTCCAGCATTTGCTGGCCAGCTGAGGTGGTTTGGATGAAGTAAATCAGGCGATGTCTCACGGTGTGTGAAAGGGAGAAGTTGAGGGGAATTTTACCGGCCACAAAGGCTCTCCAAATCACCTCTGGCTGTCCACAATCCGGTCCGTGCCACTCCGCACGGCATCGGCACTTCACGTCCTCGGTGTCGTTAAAGTCCACCTCCACTGAGCCATCGCTGTCCGTCACTGTGCCCTCGCGAAAGCACGTCAGCGGCTGCCTTCTCACGACGCTCCTGTACGGTGTCTCAGCAAAAGTTCTGGTGAAATTTCCCAGCTGCTGCAGAACAACATCCTGATTGACTTGACTTGGCCTGCGAGTCTTTCTGTCGTACTTGCTGATGAACTTGATGCCAGTGTCGAGGGATGTCTCGCGTGGAGGCCCAGAAATGATGCTGAAGTGTAGAATGGCGGCAATGAGGAAGAGTTGCAGTATGAAGAGCGTCCAGAGGAATAGGCGAGAATCAATCTTGAGCATCACTGGAATTCTCTCTCTGGTGAATTCGTCGGATTTCTCAACACACATCGCACCACATTGATATAGTCTGTTGGGCGGCAGGAAACATTTTGCCCATTTACCCTGTTAATGCATTGAATTTCCAATTAAACCACAATCACTCCTAATTGTTCCGTATCCGGGACGTGTCTGTGGGCAGTCTTTTCGTCAGCAGGCGATTCTAATTGGTAGATTTTTCACGCTAAATCACCGAAAAGATAAATAAAGTCAACTGAGAAAATGTCAAAATTGTCAGAGGGTTGTTGTTCTAACATCGCGGAGATGATTCATAAGTGACCCGACCCCTTAGCGCGATACAGGACGCGCAGTGAAAGAATTCTCATGGGGAATGAAAATAGGCGTGGTCAAGATACTTGTAAGACAAGATATTAGAAAATTCGTGAGATTTACATAAATTGATTCAGAATTTGACTTGAGAATGAAGAAAAAAAAAAGAATTTTTAAGGGTTTTTGTTATAATTTAAATCCATTAAATATGTTTGTAAATATAGTAAAATTTTTATTAAGATTAGTAACAAATCTAAAATTTAAAATTAAATTGACCAACTTTGGTATTTTTAACAGCATTCTCTTAAGGAACTTCGAGCTTCTTAACACGCATACGCAATTTAAGCATGTTTTCTATCATTTTCTCTGCAGATATCCATCAAAAGTATTTGTGGGCGACACTTTTTGCTACTTTTCCGGCATGACGTTCGCCGTGGTGGCAATTTTGGGGCACTTCAGCAAAACCGTGCTGCTGTTCTTCATTCCTCAAGTCGTGAACTTTCTCTACTCTGTGCCTCAATTGTTCCACTTCATCCCCTGCCCAAGGCATCGGCTGCCAAAATATAATCCATCGACGGACAAGCTTGAGTTGAGTCAGACGACATTTCGCTACAGTGAACTTCATCCGCTCGGGAAACTGGCCGTGAGCATCTTCAAACACCTTCGACTGATCAAATGGGAGGAGAAAGACTCAATAGTGACGACAAATAATTTCACGCTGATCAACTTTGTCATCCTGAAGTTCGGATCGATGCGCGAAGACAGAGTGACGTGGATTCTGCTGGGAATTCAATGTGTCTGCACAGGTGTTGCCTTCACTATACGTTACCCACTGGCGGGCTACTTTTACAACTAATAAAGGCCTTTAAAGTGAGTTTATTGTGGATTTTAATAATTGTATAGCAAAGCCAGGAGTTTGAAAGATTTCTTCGTACATGTCATAAATATAAGAATACGGTTGAGTTGAAAATGCTACTCACTTTGCCAGAAAACTTGGTAAGAAACTTAAAAGTTATCCTCTCCGATTATGTACTCATCCTGAATCTTTTTTAACTTCACAATGAGCTCCTCAACGCCCAATTCTCCGTGCACTTTGTTGTCTCGTGTGCGAATGTTCACAGTGTTTGACGATTTCTCCTTCTCTCCAACAACCAAGATGAAATTGAACTGAGCAAGCTGGGCGTTGCGAATCTTCTTGTTCATCGTGTCACCATCGTCGAGATCACTCTCAGCCATGAAGCCCACTTCGTACAGTCGCTTCCGGACGCTGTCAGCGTAGTCGTTGAAGGGCGGTCCGACGGGAACCACCATCACTTGCCGTGGTGACAGCCAGAACGGCCACTTTCCAGCGTAGTTCTCCGTGAGGATGGCAATCATTCGCTCCACAGATCCCAGGATGGCGCGATGGATCATCACTGGTCGCTTCGTCTCTCCTGAAGCTGACACAAACGACAAATTGAATCGAATTGGAAGCTGGAAGTCCAACTGGATCGTGCCGCATTGGAACGGTCGCTTGAGGGCGTCGTGAATGGTAATATCGATCTTGGGTCCATAGAAAGCGCCATCGCCAGCATTGATCTTCCATGGAGCTCCAAACTTATTTAAAGCCTCTTCCAGGGATTTCTCCGCCTCGTTCCACATCTCAAGATCACCCAAGAACTTCTCAGGTCTGGTGGACAGCACGAGATTGTAGGAGAAGCCAAAGACTTTGTACACGCTGTCCAGGAAATCCAAACATCCCGTCTGAAAATGATTCAGTTGAAAGTAAAGTTTCACATGTTCATTGCTGTGAAAAATCAATTATACCATCTCATCCTTGATGTGCTCATGAGCACAGAAGATGTGAGCGTCGTCTTGCTGGAATCTCCGCACTCGAGTCAATCCAGTGAGAGCTCCGGAGAGTTCGTTTCTATGCAGCACACCGAAATCCGCCATGCGCAGTGGCAATTCCCTCCAAGATCGATTGCGGTTGTCGAACATGAGACTGCAAAGGAGAAAGTGATCAAACAAGAACCTTCAGTTGAGTCAAGCATCCTTACCAATGTCCTGGACAATTCATGGGCTTCAGCGCGAACTTTTCCTTCTCCACATCGAATGAGAACATGTTCTCGGCATAGTGTTGCCAATGTCCCGAGACTTGCCACAACTTTGCGTTGTACATGTTGGGCGAGATCACCTCCTGAAAGCCCCGCTTTCTGTACTCCCCGCGAATGAAGCTCACCAGCGTGTTGTAAATGTGGGCACCGCGTGGCTGAAAGAAGCACGATCCGGGCGAAAGCTCGTGGAAGAAGAACAGCTCCTGCTCACGACCCAATTTCCTGTGATCTCTCTTCGCGGCCTCTTCCTGGATCTTCTCCCATTCCTTAAGTTGCTTGGGATCGGGAAACGATATCCCGTACACGCGTTGCAAAGTCTCCGCCTCACTGTTTCCCTCCCAGTAAGTCGAAGAGTTCTTCGTCACCTTCATGGCCTTTATCTTGCCCGTGTTGCGAACATGAGGCCCACGGCAGAGATCAATCAATGGGCCACAGCGATACACTGTTGTAGTGTCTGTGGTGACTTTCTCATTGAGAATCCTCATTTTGAACTCATTGTACTCAAACATCTTCAGCAGATCTTCCTTTTTCATCTCCAGACGCTCAAACGGCTGCTTCTCCTTCACAATCTGCTTTGCCAGGGTTTCCAGCACAGAGTATTCGCTGTTCGAGACACCATCGCCATCAATGAACATGTCGTAGTAGAAGCCATTCTCAATTGGAGGACCGTAGCACAGGTGTCCGCCATAGATTCTCTCCATAGCTTCGCCCAGGATGTGCGCTGAGCTGTGCCAGAACACAGCCTGAGCCTCGGGGTCATCAAACTTCAGTAGCTGTAGCTTGCAATTTTGCTCTAGCGGCCGATCCAAGTCCCAGAGCACATCGTTCACCTTCGAGATCACACAATTGTCCGCCAATCCCTTGCTTATGCCCACCGCAACGTCATAGGGAGTGGTTTGCCATGACTGTCCGCTGACAATCTTTCCATCCGGAAGGGTAATTTCAATCGCATCCTTTGGCTTTGCCGCCAATTCCTCCAAGTACTTGGCCTTCAGCGAATCCCACATGTTCAGGCGATGCTGAATGAACTCCGGAGGAGGCGTCATCTCCTTACGGGCCTTCTCCTTCCCGGAATCGGCGCCTTTCTTGTCTTTCTTCATCTTTCCAGCCTGCAAAACAGAACAACACCTATGAAAACATTGCACTCAAGTTTTTCATCTTTCACTTCTAACTGTACAAAAGTAAAGGAATAGGGCAGTAGGAATAATCTATCTCTATCACATTTTGATGGATGGAAAACAAACCAGAGAGGAAAATTGCCGTAGATGACGCAATTGAGTAAATTTTTCTCTATTGAATATCTTAGCAATTTGCAATAAACCCATTGAAAATAGCTACTCTGAAAGTGTCTATAGCGTGAAATATTTCATGCCTTTGCCTCTTTTCCCTCAGATAAACACAATTCGTCCAACTTTTTCACGTTTTCCTCACTCATCGCGTGGATTTTCCTACCAAAAGCACACCACAAATGTCCACGCGAATTAATTCACTTCGCCAATGTTGGCAGCACTGAATCGACCGGCAAGAAAAAGTGCTAGAATCATGTTTTGGCCGCGGTAATTGACCCGACGCGCGACCCTTACATATGTCAGTTTGTTATTGTTTTGATCGTATATAGGATTATTTTACATTTAAATTCTATGGATAAATTGGTAAAGAACAGCTTGAATAATCTCTGCCGAGGGTGTCTGCTGAATTTAGACACAGCTGACAGTGTTGTTTTCGCTTTGTGTGACGAATCAAGTAGTTCAGAGAAGTTTGAATGCTGCACTAATATAAAAGTGTGTAATTGTTGCAAGAAGTAATTATAATCTTATTCGTTCTTAACATTGATCTCTTCCAGATCTGTGCGAGCGATGGCTTGCCGACAAATTTGTGCATGGAGTGCATGGACAAGTGCAATTCATGGTACGACTTCAAGAAACAATGCGAAGAGTCGAACGAGATCCTGCAGAAACTTATCCACCAGCGGGAAGCGACAGAGGCTCCTCTTGAACACCTCGAGAATGCTAGCGCTTTGGTCTTCACCTTTTCCGGCAGCTCAGCAGAAATGCACGAACTGGACAGCGTGATTCTCTCTGAAATTGACTTGGGCATAAAAAAAGACATCGCAGAGGATTCTCAAGTTGCTCTGGTTGGTGAAAACTCACCGGACAATTCTAGCAACGAGGCGGACATTGAGGAGCCCAGGAGCGCAAGGAAAACGAAATCTGCCCGCAGTCAGCATCGATGTGCGAGCTGCAAGAGGAATTTCAGGAACGAGGAACGCTACGAAGCTCACATGAGAGAACACAAAGGGCTCAAGGTATTGCCAATTAGATCCTTGTAAAGGGCGTTGAGTATAATTCTTGCAATTTTAGCCAGAAGTGTGTAAGATCTGCAACAAGGAGTTTAACAACTTGAGAGCACTTCGGCGGCATCGAATAAAGCACAACGACATGAAGCAGTACTCTTGCCAGACGTGTGGGAAACAGTACAAATACGCCACATCGCTCACTCTCCACACGAAGGTGCACAAGAACATCCGGTGCTACATCTGTGATCTCTGCGGCAAATCTTTCATCCGCGCCCACGGTCTGCAGAGTCACATGCTATCGCACTCCACGGAGAAGCCCTTTTCTTGCAGCACCTGCGACAAGACCTTTAAGAACCAGGTGATGCTGAAGAACCACGAACTTCGCCATAACGGTGTGAAGAGATTCATCTGCTCAGTGTGCGGGAAGTGCTTCACCACGTCGCCTGAACTGACTACGCACACGAGGAGTCATACGGGAATCAAGCCGTTCAAGTGCACGATGTGCGAGAAGAGCTACAAGACCAAGAGCCATTTGGCTGTTCACATGAGATGCCACACAGGACTGAGACCGTATGCCTGTGATCTGTGTCCGCAGAAGTTCGCCCACAACAAGGTGCTGAAGCAACACAGATTGACGCACACGGGAGAGCGTCCGTATAGCTGTGATGTGTGCCAGAGACCCTTCCGGCAGAAGAGCACCCTCAAGGCCCACCTGAAGACTCACAAGCAAGTTGAGCAGTCGCCTACAATGGACCAATTCTCCGTGGCTTCTTACCTTGGCGATGGCCAGACCATAGAGATGTCACAAAGCGATTATATATCCATGTAGATTTACTTATCCTCAGAAATTTCATCCAGAAACAGCCGGCATTTTCTCTTCAAACACTTTACAGCCTCCACAAAGATTTCATCCGGTTTCAGCGATCCCACAGACTCCACAGAGAAGATAAAGTGATTCTGCACGCGAGACATTGTCACGGCGTCGCTGAGATGAGGATATCTGAACACGTTCCGGCTGTTGGAGTCGTAGCGGGCATTCTTCACGTAGGCCCTCTGATGATCATCGATGTCAATAACGCCCGGCGAGAAGCACTGCTTGAGGAGTCGCGCATCGCAGCCACTTACAGTGCGATTGAGCTTGATTTCAGGCAAGAGACGATAATACGCTGTGGCCACAGGCGAGAACTTTGCATGATCCTGACCAATACCCTTCACAGCCACCAATTTCAAGTCCAGCTCGTGTCCAGGACGCATCCGAGAGATGAGAATATCATCGTGAATTGGCCCAATGTCTATCTCCTTGTACAGTGACGCTTGGCGTCCCTTGGGCAGCCACTTGATCTGACTGGAATAGACGCTGGTGTTCTTAATGTAGTTCTCCGACGAGGCATCTTTGTGGCCGTCCTTTCCCTTCTTTGTGTACTTGAACTTTAGCTCAAACTCTAGCGTGTCATTCTCCGTGCCGTCTTCAGAATCATCAGTCTTATACTCAAATAGACGAGCGTCTGCACGGAGAGGAATCAATCCCAATCGATGCGCCAGCACTTCGTCCTGAATGATAGACGTGTTGTTGTAAATCATCACCTTCTCGATGGCCATTGTGGGGATTTCACTCAGCATTATCCGTCGGAAAGCGTTCACAATAGCCGGATGGATGCCAATGACATCAAATTCCATCTCCATGCTCTTGTAACTGAAAGATAAATTGCAATTTTAGAGAAAAACCACCTCCTTTCCGGCAACTCTCAACTAACCTCACAATGTTTATGCGGAGTTTCTCACGGAATTTCTCGAAATTCCACAAATCATCATCGAATCCATAGTCATTGGCGTCAGGTTCCACTTTATATTCACTCAAGTGCGCCCTCGGCTTTCCCTCAGACATTTTTATGGACAATTTTGGGCGTAAATGTGCAGAAAAACGAGGAACTTATACAGCGTGCCCGGGTCACCAAAACAACGTGACGTCATTCTGTCATCCAAAGAAGACACGTGCGAGTGTTAAAAGACGAGGAGACGGTGTTTCTTTTTAGCAGAACAGACGATTTTAGTGCGTTTTTATCAACTCTTTTATATTGTACAGTGAAAAGAAGGTATAGTGTCTGATATAGAATAGGAAAAACAGGAAAAAAGTGGTGATTAGTGCTGAAATCATTAAGTATAAAAAACAAGGTTAGTTTGTATTGTTTTCATAATTTTTTGTCCTATTGTGATGAAAGAGTTTTGAGGATCCTTTGGTGGATACTTTTATAAAAAGCTATTCAAAAATCATATTACAACATGTCCAGAAAATATTTATAGATATTTTCATTATTGTATGATCGAAAGGAAAATCTTTCCTTATCAGTTAGATTTCATAGGGAAAAGCTGGGACAATTCCGAACATCGTGGATTTTATTATAATGATCATTAGCTGCTGAATAATCAGTCTTGATCATTGACTATATTAGGTATTGCTTGTTTCTTAAAATTTTAACAATTCTTTTATCTGTGCGTTTTGTTTCCGGTTCTATTTCATGTTGATCATCCAAATTTCATGTCCTTATAACAGAAACAGAATTTGTGAAACCATCAATCGGAGAAAAAAAATTAAACGTTTTACTTCAGTAATGTAATTATTTTCCGTGCATCTGCCCTCAGACAACTCATTACTTTTTCCTGGAACAAAATGCAGCAGTAAAATTCTGTCACGCCACTCTTCAATTTCTTAATTGGTGGTAAGAGAGCATCAATACTCATGGCCGCGTAAATGAAAATAATAAAATACCAATAAGTTAGAAAGTGTGATGGAATGAATTATAAAGCATTTTTCTTTGCTCTTATTATTGCTTTGTGGCATCATCGTAAAATGAACCATTATTGAGATCAATTATTTGCTCTATAGATTGCAAAGATAAATGCTGTGGCATAAGACTTCTTAAGTAATTAAAAAAAGCGAAAAAGGTTCAAAGGCAGTAATTCATGATATGACGAAAGTAGACAAAGTTTTATGAAATTTCTCATCAAATCATGAGATGAATATTCCTCAAGGTGTTTTATAAAGTTAAGTGGAAAAATTGAATTGAAACTTTTTTCAACAACTTTCCGAATTACTTTCTGTGAGATAATCTCGCTCACATAGGAATTTCCAATTACCATCCCTATTATTTCATCTTCGCCATGTCACGTTGAAGGTTTTGAAGATGAATATTAATTGACTGGTGGAAAATTTTGGTGTTTGCTATTCTTAGCATGAAGTACGAAAAGGAAATACTGGGGTTGAACACTATCAAAATATCTTTTTATTAGGCTAAAACTAATGGCCTAAATTTCCTTAATTCATCTATTATTAGCCCATGTTTTTGGGGGTAAACGTTGCTGTCCATACGCGTAGTGAGGAATAAAAATCTAACACGAGCCTTCAAGAGCGCCCCACCTGAGCAATGGCTACAATAGCATAACGAGAGGTGTGTGCTGCTCCTTGATTGAGGAGAAAATGAAAAGCCATACATACACTATCACCATCATACGTAGAAGAGCTCCGCCTTAAATCGATATGGCGCAGAACTCCTGAGCGACGTCATCAATGGGTGAAAATCGATTGTGGGGTGAACAAAAGGAGAGAAAATGTATTTATGATTAGACATTTATTGTCTAATTAAATCATGGTGTTAAGGGATGGATAAAAAAGTTGACAAAAAGAACGTCTCGTTGGCATTTAAACTGCCTCTCTCAATTTCCCACCCCACATTTCTCAGGTTCTCCCCGGTTAAGCACACTCCCTGTGTGCACGTTTTGTACTAAAGAGAACCAGCGATGGAGAGAAAGAGAGTCAATGTCACACTTTGTAATTTTCTATGCGAGTCTATATTCCCGAGTGCTCTTGCTGAGTTAGTAGGTGTTCAACTGTGTGAAAATTCAGACGTTCCTTCCTCACTGCAAGCGCTCATTTTCACAATTTAGATAGATAAGAATTTAAAGTCACAATAGAGGTGTGCTTTTTCTAATCCGCATGTAGATCTGAATGGGCTTGGGTGTGATTTGTTCTCTGCAGCAGATATTAGTGTAAAAGATACAGTGGATTATGGACGGGTTTTGAGAGACAGAGGAGAAAAAGACATATTTTGTGCATTACCCAATCTGTTGTGATTGCTTTTAATAAGGCCACATTGCCATTAATTGTCCATTGTGTGAAGTAATTGCATAAAGTGTTGAACAACAGGAACATTTTTTGTGTAATGTCTTTAAAATAAATGGATCGATAAACTGATATATACATGATATCCCTATGTTGAACTCTCACTATATACCGTGTGCTTTTATACCTATGAATATATTAAGTGATTGTGTGTTGCTGTTGCTACAATACTGAAATGGTTGTGATGATAGATACTTTGCATAGAAATTGATTTAAATACCTTTTCTATAAACAAGCTGTTTTCATTATTGCCTCTCTGGTAAGACAGTGATGTGAAAAAAACAACTAAAGACATGCCAATTAATGCTTACACGAATCTAAGGGATTCGAGTCCTTGACTAGAGGTGATTAATACCCCTTTTCCTCGGGGTGAGAGAGAGACGCAATAATGAGTGTGATTTGGGAAAGCCAGTGAAATAAGAGGACAATCAATGGAAAAGTGCAGGATAATTGGACGACACAATGCATGAGCTTTGGAGGACGAGGAAGGATAGAAAAGTACATAGCAGAGGCAATTCCACAGTTGTATGATATGACGTTAGATTCGAGGCGTGTTTGTCTTTCTCGTCTATTATATAATGCTCACAGAGCACCAAACCGCCCCAATTGGTCAGGAGACACCGAAGAAAGTGAAGTTTTTCAAACGGAACCCATGGTGCTCCTTCCAAGATAACTTGAATGCCTCCCACTTTCGCCGCGGCCGCCGAATTCATGGACTGCAGCTGCCACTGCACCCACTGCAACTGATTGGGTGGGTGGCTCTCACGACTTTTGGCCTGGCCACCTTCCTCGTGCTGATACCAGCCCTTAAGACATCCGCCCAGCAACCCTTGTTCGGCCTCCTCTCCGGCCTGTACGTTGTGCATGGCATATCGCACCTGGCCGCACTTCTGCTCGATCCGTCCGATCCGGAACTGAGGAAGCAGAATGTGGACCGCATAGTGCCGGAGTTTGATCGCACGAAGCACGCCCACGTAATCGAGAATGGTCGCTGCCACTTGTGCAACATTGCCACCAGTAGCTTCAGGACGAAACACTGCAGCGTGTGCAACAAGTGCGTGGGGAAGTTCGATCATCATTGTAAATGGTAAGAGGATGCAAATAAGTGATTGTTGTACACGTATATAATGTGCATTTCTCCCTTTCTCGACCTAAGGTTAAACCACTGTGTCGGCGAGAGAAATTATGTGGCCTTCCTCATGTGTGTAGTGAGTGCCGTTTGTGCAACACTGGTCATCTGGACCGCTGCTATTGCAGAAATTTGGCTGTACCACATTAAGCCGGAGTGGCTGAACATATGGAGTTGGGGTGAGGAGTCGAGCATATTCTTCAATGACACCACATCAAGTGGGAATGGTTCTCTCCTCAATGACACCGCTGCGGGACTGAATGTGTCTCATAGCAATGTGAGCGAGAGCCTGGGAGACACTGTTGATGCTATTAGCAGTGGAATTGGATTACATGACACGGTGTTCTTGGCATTTTTGGCCGTCCTGGGAATCCTAGCTGCCATCTCAGCCGGTCTCCTCCTTCATCTCTGTTTTTTCCACATTTACATCTCTTTCCTGGGTCTCACCACGTACGAGTACATTCGCAATCGTCGCCAGAACGGCAACTCTAATACACCGTCCACACTGCCGGCAGTTATAGAGGCTGATTCCACCCTGGCTGCCTCATCTGTGTACTTCTGCTCCTCCGTGGCGACTTCATCCACATCTACAGAGGCGGCGCAAATTCCTCAAGTCCTCAATAGACCACGATCCCTGCATTGCTGCGAGTCAACGCGGGAGTATGAACACCAAGTGGCGCACCATCATCGGGCGTACTACGTGTGCTCCCTGCTAAAGCAAAGCTCATCAGCTGCAATGTACGGTAACAGCAGTCAAGAGTGTGAATCCAGAACTTTTCATTGCTGCTCTCAACTAAAGAGAGTGGACCAGGAAGCCCTACCGCAGACGAATAATCAGTCAATCGTGCGCTATGCCGAGCAGTGCACCTTCTGTAGCTTCCGCATTAAAGCACCTGCAAAGACGGATGCGTTGTCGTTCCAGAGCAAGCGCTGCTGTCTCAAGTCAATTACCAAACACCACCACAGGTGGCGACGGAAGTGGAATTGCTGTTCATCCGTGCCAGACAGTCCGGACATACCTGTTGATGCTATCCGCACCGTCACATCGACAGTGCCGCCCCTTCCGCATGGCGATGAACCAAAGATGATTGATGCCCATTTGAGACACAACGAATACCACGACAAGAAAGCCTCTCTTCACAGACCGCCGAGGGTAGAGTTGAATGGGAGTGCGAATAACATTGGTGGAAAGCATACGAGATCTCGTCTTGTCCGACCGTGGCCAGTTTCTCGCTTTCGGCACATGCTGAGGACCATTGGACAGTACAGAACATCCCACTGTCGCCGCGGAAACAATGCCGTGCTGAAGCAGAACCAAATTCGTCCACTATCATCCGTCGAGCAACACAATACAACGATGCCAATACCTTCCATTCACGTCCAAACTGTTTTGCCCACTTCGGCAATTCGCTCCAATGATGACGACAGTGCAACTGATATGACTGGAATTTCCTTGCCAGCGCTGCCGCCGCCGCCGAGGCGGAAGATTCGCAACACGGCAGACCTGCAAGAACTCGCAGATACACTAGCATTTGTGCAGCATCCGAGAAATGGCAGTGGTAATCCAATTAGGCGACAAGGGCGGCGGAAAAACCTACTGCGTACACGAAGTCCCACTTTATCACCGATTCACGAGTCAGGACTCTCGAATCCCACCTCGCCGAAGCCCTGTCGTCACGCCACATGCAACAGTGACTTCTGTTCTAGCGATAGTATCACAAATATCAACGGATCCGGTGTTCACGAGAAGTGAACGCCTCTATTGCTGATAGATTGTAGAAATTATAGTGCATGGATCATCTCAAGAAATGAGGGAGAAACTAACTCTGTCACTTGCTTTTTGTATTTCTAAATATTTTGCCTGTGAGACGCAGAGTGAAGCCGATGTATATTTATCGATTAATGTGCAGCGTGCAGCAAAGTCACGACAAAATGTCTATCTCAATATTCACATCCTGAGTGGGTGGCATATTTGAAATTGTGTGTGTGGCTTGAGAATGTAAATCGCGTTCCTTTTGCTAACATTTTAATTTATAAAGAGCATTTCCTGTGAGCATGTCTTCGGGTTGTATTAATAGATTTCTCATTCTAAATTGAAAATGTATTCTTTGAATATCTTTTGTTGTGTTATTTTCCTCACAAGCGTGTGCAAATGAAATTAATAGGTTCATTGCAAAACCTCCCCTAAAGTTTTCTTCGGCGCAGCAAAGGTCAACAGTGTCTTTTTTCGGTAAAGAACATTCAACCGGCATTCCGTGGAGTTTGACTGAAAAGTTTTTGCAATTTCAAGGTTTACACACAAATACTTTAAATGCTAACTCAATTAAAATAACTAATCTGATTACTTTTCATGTTCATTGTACGATAAATTGGGTGTAAAAGTTGGCAAATTGAATAGATGGTGATAATATTTTTTTATAAAGATATTTTCAAGCAAGAAATAATTTATATATGTACCACAAGACATTCACAAAAATGATATTTTACAATGATAAACGAGAGAGGAATTGTTTATATATATACATACATAATGTATCCAAGAAATATTCATAACGATAAGTCTATAAAAATATATTAAATAAACATTAAGTCAGTTGAGAGACTTTGATCTTTATGTGAATAATAGGATTAAACAATATTGTGTAGTTAACAAGACATAACGAATGAGTTTGATATTTAAAGGTATTTTTTACTCATCACCAGGAATGAAAAAGGGAATCTCACGTGAGAAAGTATGATAATTTCTTTATGCAGCATGACATTTGTGAGATCACTCATTTGAATTAAATTTGCTTAAGTGTTTGGAAAATCATATAGAATACTCAGCATTTTGAATTCATTTACAGCTATTGTGTAGAACAGTTCATGATAATGTCCCATAATTTCTTAAGAGGATGTTTTAGAGACTATCATATTCAACCACTGTGAAAGTTTTGTGTTTCACGTTTTAAAATAAATGAAGAATAAAATCAGTTTCAAAAAGTACATTCCAATCATATCGAGAAGTCAAGTGATGAAATTGACTTTAATTTTCATTGTTTCAATCACGTAATGACATGATTTTGGTTCCACACTTCTCACCTTATCAAACTTTGGTTTCAGGAAGAACATTTTAGAGGAAAATGACTAAGGACGAACCGACTCAAGTGGACTTCTATAGAGATGTTCTGGGCTCTCCGAAATTCGTAGTTGCTCCTATGGTTGACCAGAGCGAATTGGCATGGAGAATGCTGAGCAGAAGACACGGTGCTCATCTCTGCTACACTCCCATGATTCACAGCAGTCTCTTTGTGAAGGATCCCAAATACCGCAAGGATGCCATACAAACTTGCGCTGAGGATAGGCCGCTTATTGTTCAGGTATTTTCCAATGTGCTCTGATCATTGCCATCAGTGTTATGTATTTGATATTCTTTTCAGTTTTGCGGAAATGATCCGCAGACTCTCTTGGAAGCTGGGCTGATAGTTCAGGACCTGTGTGACTGTGCGGCCGTTGACATAAACCTAGGGTGTCCTCAGGCAATCGCCAGGAAAGGGCACTACGGGGCCTTCTTGCAGGATGAATGGGATCTAATATCAGACATAGGTAAATTTACTTTCGTAGTTTGTCATCATATTGAGATGATAGTAAAGTTGTTTTCTATGTAGTTAACACCCTTAGCAAAAATTTACGGATTCCTGTGACATGCAAAATAAGAATTTTTGAGGATATCCAGAAGACTATTCTCTATGCGCAAATGCTAGAGCGATCAGGCTGTAAGCTCCTCACAGTTCACGGACGAACGAGAGAGCAGAAAGGACCCTTGACAGGATTGGCTGACTGGCGCTATGTTAAGACAATCAGGTATGCTAAAATCTCTCAAGATAAGAGTCGATTTTTAAAGGAGTTTATTCTTCCCAGAGAACATATCAAAATTCCCATTTTCTCAAATGGAAATATTCAGTGTCTTGAGGATGTGACGCGATGCTTGGAAGAGACGGGAGTTCAGGGAATCATGACAGCAGAGGGAAATTTATACAATCCGTCTGTATTTGAGAGTAAAATTCCACTGACTTGGGAGATATGCAAGGAATATCTGGACTTGGTTGAATTGTATCCGTGTCCATCGTCGTTCATTAGAGGGCATCTCTTCAAAATTCTTCACCACCTGTAAGATTCTGCAATTCGCATTTTATGATTTTACTCATCATACATTCTTTCAGATTGGCTCTGCCATCAAATGATGGGTTTCGAAGCAGAACTGCCACTGCCCAGAATATAGAGGATTTCCGACGAGTGGTGAATGAGTTGGAGGCGAAATATCTTCCTATCCATGAAGGCGTCGTTGAGTATGTTCAAGAATTGTCATCAACAGACGAACCTGAGAAGACTTTCAATATCAGCATCCCGCCTTGGCTGTGCCATTCGTACATTCGCATTCCTCCAGAGGAGCACAAGATGAAGCTGGAAGAGGCACAAAAGAGAGCAGAAGATCCCAATCGCGAGAAGAGGCTTTTCTACGATGAGGAGGGTAATCAAATATCACGGAAGAAAATGAAGAAGCTGAGAAGATTGAACAGAAAACCAGGAAGGCAGGGTAGCCAGAATGAGAGATCTTTCGATCTCTGCGCTGAGTGCACCAATCCCGTGGGCTTGAAGTGCTCATTCTCGATGTGTAAGCGGTGCTGCAAGAGCCACTGCCTTGAGAAGGACGTCAAGTGTATAGGACATAAGTTATTGAAAAACGAATAAATTATTTTTTTTTTGTAATTTAAAGGGTTTACAGCGTTTAAAGGGCCGTTTGAGAGGCGGAATGTTGGAAATGGCATGATAGTAACTCATCGAATGGCCGTCAAAACGACCAAATCCGTTATACCGAATGTCAAATTTCCACCACGCCGGTTTGTTTTTATTATTGTAAGATGGACAGAATTGGTGGATTCTGTGATTTGTGCATTCCCTACACAGAAAATCACAATGACTTGAAGGAAATAGTGGAGACACTTATAAAATGTAAGTTCCTTTAGTGAAACGCAGAATGTTTCTGTATTGATATTGTTGTTTTTAGTAGGATACAAAAATGCGGCGATTGAGCAACAATTTGATAACACCGTGTTTGAGAAGAATAAATCCACAAAGCGAGCAGGAGATGTATTTCAGCCTCCGGTGAATTTGAACTTTTTGGAACAGTTCAGGAAAGATATAAAGATATATTCACGTCTCACAATAATATACAGCGACAATTCAATATCACATCATATGGTAGGAAATCTAGTGATCTTCCTTAGTCTCTTGAGTACACGATTACTTTTGTTATTTTTTTACAGGGAACTTCTTTAAACCTCAAAAAATATGATATAATTGCTGGACTACCGAAAACAGAAGCTGGACTGCAGCATTGCTGCCAAACATTCAATGGAGACATCATTTCATTCAACACAGACGAGAAATTCATGAAGTGCTCGCGGAAATTCTACAAACTGGCCGTGCAGCGCAATGTGTTCTTTGAAATCCAGTATTCTCCGGCCATCCTGGACAGAAGCAAGCGGAGGTGCATCATCAGAAAGGCTCATGGGTACTATTCTCTGGGCAAATCAGAGAATATCATCATCTCCAGTGGAGCTACGAGTGCCTTCCAGCTGAGGGGTCCTTATGACATCGCGTGCTTGGGACTGATTTTTGGGCTGAGTGAGGAACAGTCGAAGAATTCCATGAGGAACAACTGCCGGAGTGTCCTTCTCCGGGCGTCTGGACGAAGGAATGGATGTACAGTGGTGTTGTCTAGCAAGACGACGGCTGAGGATTCCGATTCGGAGAGTTCTGGAGAAGAGATGGACGTGGAGGTTCCGTGCAAGAAGCTGAAGTATTCCTCGCGAAAGATGATTGAATAAATATTGGGCCACCCTGTGTTGTTGCATACTCTTTTCGTTGTTGGCAGAAACTTGCTCGAAAATTCTGGTGGCGCTGCATGTCGGATGCTCTCGCGGTGTTTTCGTCTTCGGCCGCATGACAAACAGTGCCGCTGCCGCCGCTCTCAAAAGTCTCCAACACAAAATGGCGATCAAGTGGTGCGTATTTTTAAGCGAAATTTATGTGAAATTAGTGTAAATAAGTATAAATTTAACTCTAGTCTTTAGTTATTGAAGTGTTCCCGAGTCTGTGGATAGTGAGATTTGCGGCGCCCGCGGACTTTTCACGCGAGAATCGTGCGCTTGAAGAGAGAGTGTGAGTGCGGACTCGGGGGTACATTGCATCTCGAGGCACGGCAAAAAATGCAAGGGTAGACATCAATCGGCATTTATTGGGCAGAAAAGTCGCACGCAGCAGTGAAAATAGGCGATTTGGGTGTGATTTGAACCATTGTTCCGTACTTGTGCGTGCAGTGCTGTGCTGAGAAAGGTGTTTGGCAGTGGATGATGGTGCAACGCGTCCCTCGTAGACAGGGAAATGGAGTACTTCAATGATTGCTGAAATATTCCAATTGCCTGGATTTACCGACTCTCCGCCGTCTCGTGAATATCGTAAGTATGCGCGCCCCCCGCTGAAGAGTGCCCGATGTGGAATACGTGTGTGTTTTTGCTGTTTGACAAAAGGATGGGGACACAATTTGCAATGCTTTATGTGCCTATATTTCCATCTTTTACTTTCTAATTGTCTCATTCGCGCATCTCTCGCTAGACAATTTTCCATTCAATAAATCTATAATCTGTGTGGTATTTCTGGGGCGAACGCACCTCACCAGAGCGCGAGGGTCTCTTTTCTCTCTCTCTGGATCTTTCATCATTTTCATTATAAAAATGACGACGACCTCCGAGTAGCGAGAGATAGAAGGAATGAATTGAAAAAAAGAGAGACACACAAGTGAAGAAAAAATCATGATACATACATATGCAATAATGGCGATTCCCATTTCGTTGTTGAATTTTATAATTTATTAAACACTCATTACATGGACATTTCTCGACCGAGTGCCAGAGATGTATTTCACGAGGTGTGTGTGCATGAATGTGTGCTGGGCTCTGTGCTTTTTTTTCTCCTTCACAATTAGTGATATTTGTCCCTAAAACACTTACAATTCACTTAATCACCTCCCCCCTCCCGTGGCTTCTTTCTTTCAAATTGATTCTGCCATTGCTGGAACACCTCATCGTCAGTGTGGAGTAGTGTAAGAAAAAATAGTAGGTAAATTTTTCTCCAATTTATCCCAACTCCGGCGTTCATTTCGACGTGCCGCGGCTGCTTGTGTGTGTGTGTGTGTTACCTATGAAAAGAAATATAATTAAGAAGCGAGAGCATGAAAAGAGAATGAACGTGAAAATGCTTTATCCAACATTGTGGTTGAGTATTGGTCTTTAATGGCGAAGAGTGGTGTGTACCATTTTCGACGCGAAATCAATCATTTTGTATGGTGTCTCCGGCACTCTGGGATCACCTGAAGGGAGGTGCAAATCGGCATTCGCGGGCATCTACGAGCACAGAGTGTGCAGAAAAATGCCACCTACTACCGTTTGCACTGAGCATCGGACAATCTGTACGCGTTATCATGGGCTGGCTTGAGAGGGGTTTTCGTGGAAAAAGGGGGAGAGAAGAGAGGAGAGAGAGAGAGAGTCTGCGATGGGGTGGTTTTGTATAAAATTCATACACGGCGCATTTATTTTGTGACGAGGAAGAGTACATTTTGTATATTGAATTGCGAATTAATGATGATGACGATTGTACGCCGTCGCGGTTTCGGGATATATATGTGTATTTTCTCTCTATCTAAAGAAGCTAAATATTTCTTTTTGTGTTGGTTTTCCCGTGTGTATGTACACAGAGAATGCAAATTATATTAGACTTTAAGCCAACACAGCAGCGAGTGTGAAAGTTAAAACATTATAATTATTATAATAGTTAGAAAGAAGAAGAAAAAAAACCGTGATGAAAAAGAGACAGATTCTTCTCGTGTTCTGCATAGCAGGCCATATTTATGTGTATGACATGGCTTTTTTGTGGATGGATGTGTGTACGTGAAGAGTTCATGTCAAATGTGACAAGATAGAATGGCTGCTAAATTTTATTTGGAGACATGTCGCTCACCAACTACCATTGGTCACTCGGACTATTGAGAGACGGTCAATTTCTCGATGAAGAACAAAAGACCTGAGGAATGAGAGAGAAGAAACTACCAGCGAAATGGCGATCAAAGAGAGGGAAGAAAAATTCTTTCCAAAGTCGAGAGTGTTGTCACTGTGTTATAAAATTTTGTCGAAAGACTCATTACAATGCATGATGGCGATAAATTATATGTATATAGATAGACGTCTTGTGTAGTGTATAAAATGAACGCTCATACAAATATATTCGTGAAAATGAAATGAACAAATATGTATTGTGGGTGAGAAAAAAGTGTGAAAGCAAGTTTGAGACAAAATCGAATTATATTATTTCACCAATGGCGAGAGAGTCCTTTCCATCTGAAGGTGATGGAGAAGAGCCATTACAAGTGTTTTAAATACACCCATACACTGAGTAATTAATTTTTCTTCATGCGCATTTCGAATGCCACGCTCAAATCATCGAAAGCTTTTCAATATAGGGGAAGTTCGGATTACAAAAAATATGCTTTTTGGGTCTAAAATCAAATTTTGTAAATTAAAAAATCTCTAAGAATCTCATCTCCCCTATTAGAAAGCTTGGGTTTTATTTTCTCGCTGTGTAGACTGGACACTTTTTAAGAGTACATTCAGTAGAATCAATCAAATTTGAAATATATGCTATTATATTGATGTTCAGAATTGTCTCAAATCTTGTGCATGAGAGGAGGATTTATATATTTTCTATTAGATGATTGTTTCTATAAATTCAAACGAGAGTCTACAGAACTGTGTACAATTCCGAAGGAGGAATGCCGTACGCTCTATGTAGACTTTATGAAAATCATAAGCGTATAGCTTTTCCCCTTTGGCGTTGCACAATTCATCCAGCAGTGGGTAGTTTGGGAACTGTTTTATTGTATTTTAAGAGCTATTGCGGGGTATTAACGCGGATTTTATGTCTTGCAGGAACCTTGAGTGCAACCCTTGCAATGGTTATTAACCTGCGGCTGAAGCAGCATCATGGCCTAGAGAATGATGAAAGGAACAGCACAGTCAACAGCCGATCAGCTGACTGTTGAGCATTATCGCATATTTGGGAACTATGTTGATAACGGAGATATTACTGATATCAGAAGGGCGAATCTGTTAAACACAATGTTGTGCAAGACATTGAAACGACAGTATCGCCGAGAGAATTGGGGAAAGTGAATGAATAGTATTACTTTAACATTTGACTCGATTTTGAGAACACCACACGACTATGAGGAGAACTTAACTTTAGATAACGTGGTTATGCATAAATTGACCACACAGGTGAAAGGAAAACAGGAGAGAAAAACTTTGATTAAAAATTACACATAACTTAATCGTAAAAGAAAAAAAATTAAAGATAAAGGAAAGTAGAAATCTAAGGGACACTTTAAAGGAGAAGAAGATAAACAACTCATATTGAACACTGTGAATAATTTAATTGAATAACGCTTAAGGATTTTGTTAATACAAGTGAGTTATATTGTGACTTTTATCTGGAATGAATAATTTTTCTGATAGAAAATTTCTTTCTTCGCAGATTTTGTAGTGAAAAGTATTCAACTTTAAGTAGACAAAGAAGTGAAAGAAGTTAGAAAAGATCAATGCATCAAGGGCATCATATTTAAGGATATATTTGAAAAAAGGAGGAAACATACAATAGCTGCATTCTAATGGATGGGAATGCGCAAAATATGTTTCACGGAAACCATCAGGGAGATGCCTACTATCGATATGATACATCTGCACCACGTCCTATGGGCCCTCCGGGGGCATATGCGCGCCACAGAGCCCCACATCCTCTGCAGCAGCAGCAGCAGCCCCAATATCCATCTTATCAGCCACCAACGGACAGCATGTACACCATGGGTGATCAGCATGCTGCGATGGGTAGTATGGCTGACATTAGCTCGGCCTGGGGTGCCCCCGGACAAGCAGGGCCGTATGGCACGCCCACAATGGGGTATGGCCACCCTCAGACGCCACAGCAACAGCAGAGACAACCCCAACCACAACCTAGGTAAGAACGTCTCTCATTCCTATGACTTCATAACACTAATTACTGCGTTATTCATACATTTCTTCTAGCTATCGCCAACACATGACGGGATATCCTCAAGATCCCCAGAAACTTCAATTTTCTTCTCAACAATCCATGATGGCAGGAATGATGCCACAGCAAGCTTACGGGGCGATTGGTCAGCCCCAGCAAGCTCAACCTCAGCAAAGAGTTCCTCAGCACTACTCACAATCTGCGGGGCATCCAATGTATCCTGGGGCGCCACAGCCTCAGCCAACACCCGCTCAGGCCTACGGTGGATATGGTGCAGGATTACAACACCAGAGCAGTCGATCATCGCATGTCGGCTACGGACATGCACAACTCGACCAGGCGGCATATGGCCAACACTTGCAGAGCACTGCTGCAGCGAGTCATCACTTGGGACCTGGACCACAGCAGCAGGCCCAGCAATTGCCACCTGGCCATCCGGGGCAGCAGGCGCAAAATCACTTGGGACAACCGTCGCAGGGGCACTTGTCCACGCAGCAAATGCACCCAAGTCAGCATGTCCAATCCCACCCAATTGGATCGCAATCTCACTCGCAGGCTCATCCACAGCACAGTGGCTTGTCTAGCTTGCCAAGTTTGCATGCGCCACAGCAGAGCCAACAAAGTACACCCGCAGTAGCGCAGCCAGGCAATCAGTCCCAACAACCATCGCAACAGCAGCAACACATGACACCTCAGCCACACCCTGGCATGGTGCACAGTCAGCAATCGCATCCGGGAATGCTGCACCCTGGGGCGAGTGCAAATCAGCATCAGCCCACCCAGGGACAACAGCCAGGAATTCCTCCCCACAGTCACAGTGCGGCTCTTCCCCATCAAATGGGTGCGCACAGTTTGAATGCCTATGGCGTGCCGCCACAGCAGCAACAGCAGCAGCAGCAGCAACAGCAACAAGCTCAAACCCACCCTGGTGCTCCGCAACAACCCTCGTATTTGACGGCTGCGAAACAACAATCGCAGCCCTCACAGCATAGCAGTGGTAGTCCGCAATACAGGACACCATTCCCGCAGTTGTCACCTCAAATGTCACCGAGACCACCTCAAATATCACCACACCCGCAGATGTCTCCGCGGCCAGTGATGTCGCCGGCGAAGCCGCAGCCGCCGAACTCATCATCTGCGTTGTCACCACATCCGCATATATCCAGCGTACCGAGCCCACGACCGGGCCAACAGCAAAGCATGCCTCAGACGAAGAATGCCAGTCCCGCTGGACCAGTCAGTACGCTTCAGGCACTTGAGCAAATGGTGATGCCTCCCACAACTGGGCCAGTGCCACCCAGTTCCGTCGCCATGGAATACCCGCCGTCGTCGTATCGTGCGCAGCAACATCAGCAGATGTCGTCAAACCCACTCTCGCCAATGGGCCCCAGAATGCCAATGTCGCCGCAACAGTCGCAGCAACACTGGCCACCGATGCATAGGCCTGGCAGTGGGAATCACATCCCACAGCAGCAGGCGCAACACATGTACCCGCAGCAGTCGTTGCCACCTATTGGGCATGTTACATCGCCCCAACAGCAACCGCAGCATCCTCAATTGCTAAGCGACCTATCATCGAGTTTGGCTCCAGTATCTCAATCCCTGCCGCCAATCCCACATCCAACTGGAGCATCGATGCAGCAGCCGCACTATGTGACTCAACAAATGTCGCATCAACAGCAACAACATGCTCAGCATCCACCGCCTACATCACAGCATCAGCAGCATAGCCAACAATCGCAGCCGTCACAGCAAACCCATCAACAATCTCAATCTCTACTTCAAGAGCAATCTCCGCAGCATCCACCCACAACGACCCCATTGGGTGTTGATGATCATCACCTGGGCGTTGAGAAGGTGCATCAGCAGACTGATGATCTGATGATGCAGCAGAAGCCACATCAGACACAGCAGCAGACGCGTGTGTCGCAGTCCTCAACACCGACACCGCAAATAAAGATTCCAGATGTATTGGGTTCATCGCAGAATTCGAACTCATCTACAGACATTTCCGGTCTGATAGATCCATTTTCGGGTGTTCTTGAGCCCATGCAGCAAGTTTCGGCTGTTCCTGTTCTCTCTGAGACTACAATTGAGCACTCACAGCCCCCAGAGCAACACAGACAAGATGAAAATACTCAGGATAGTAGCCATCAAGAGTTATCACAACACAATCAGGATACAAACAATTCAACAGGCAATGAACCTGTACTTACAGCATCACAGGTGTTAGCACAAGTTGATGAGGCCAACACTGAATTGAGTCGAGAAAGTGGAACTTGCCACTCAGACGAGGCTGGCAATAAGGACATTCATGATACAGAGGATATAACCAAGCAAGAATCAATGCTGTCGCCATCATCTAATTCAGTACAACGTCATTCTGAGGATAGTTCTACACAAGAGGGTCAAACGATTCGTGAATCTCACACACAGCAGATTCAGCATGATTCACAGAGTGATAATTCTCAGACGGGAATCTTGCCATCCGTAACCACAGCTCTTGCTGAGGGTAGTGACTCAAAAGCTGCGAATGAACAGCAATCTGATAGTCAGCTCCAACAGACTCAAATACCACCGGCGCAACCATCTGTGCAGCCAACACAGCAAATACAGCCGGCGCCACAAACAACCCCAAGTGTGCCGTCGCAGACTCTGCCTGTCCCACCGCAGCAATCCCATCTTCCGGGAATGCCGGGTCAGGTTATGATGCCGGGAGTGATGGGTCAACAAGGCCAATTAAATCATCCTGGTATGCCACCTCAGACTACAATGTACGATCACCAAATGATGATGGGTCGTCCAGGTGGTCCGGGTATGCAAATGACTCCCGGAATGATGCCGCATCATGGACTGATGTCAGATGTGAATCCTTATGGATCTGGACCATTGATGCACCATCAAGAGAAAGCAGCATTGCAGCAACAACTGCAGGAGCTCTACTGTATGCCTCCGTCTCCTGAGCAACAAGAGAAGATCATGCGTCTTCAGGAGAGGATGAATATATTGCAACAGCACGAGGCGAATGATCAGTGCAATGGTGGTGCAACATGTATATTGCAGAGTCCTCTCTACTCCTCTGCGATGATTGAGAGTCCTCAAGTGTCTAGTACGACTGGTCGTGGTCGTGCTCGAGGTGTGAATAAGCCAAGAAAGCCAAGGCAAAAGAAGTCTGAAAAGTTAGCTGCTCAGGCGGCTCTCAATACTTCTGAATCGAGTCCAGCAGACACGAGTATGCTTCCAACGGCTATATCGCAGCAATTACCGGTGTCTGAGGATTGTGTGACACCTGGTGCAGGGTTGGGTGATATGACACCGGGTATGACGGATGTGAATGATTCCGATGGTGAGATATCTCAGGATAAAACATTTGAGGAGTTGGATACGCAGACCGATGAAAAGGGCAAGAAGAAGAAGGCACGAAAGCCAAGAGAACCAAAAGCACCAAAAGAACCAAAATTGCCAAAGGAGCCGAAAGAACGCAAGAAGAGGGAACCTAAGGATCCGAATAAACCAAAGAAGAAGAGAGGTCGAAAGCCTGGAACTGAACCTGGTGAAATTGATTTGGACTCTACTGTGGACAATTCCATGTCGCTGGACACGACTAGTACAGACGTAGTGAAATCATGTGCAGTAGCTTCTGACGAAAATAATTCATCATCAAATCAAATTGCGCAGAATCAAGATTCTTCAGATGCAAAGGAGATAAAGCCAGTGTTGTCTGATGAAGTGACTGACTTTGATGATATTCCTGTGTCGAAGATTCCTATCAAGAGTCTGCTGGAGGAGGGCGCATTGAAGAAGTTGGAAGATGAGAGTAATGAGAATTCTGACAGTTCTAAGCCGGCTGACAGTGAGACTCCGACACCGAAAAAGAACAGACGCAGCAGAGGCTCGAGCGGAAATCGACGGTACAACAGAAATGGAGGTGCTAGGCGACCTGCAAAGACAGGCAAGAGGAAGGGTAATCGTATTGTGCCGGATTCCGATGGCGAGGGAGATGACATGATATCCACTCCGCCACCATCACCACCTCCAGATTCTGAAGCAGCTGACAGTTCGAAGAGGCGTAGTGCTCGGAATACCCAGCGCAAGAAGTACGTGGATGATGTTATGTTGCGATTCTCGGACGATGAGTCGGCTATAACATCGCCATCAGCTGGCGGTACCCGCAAGGAGAAGAAGGAGAAGGAGGTGAAGGAAGGTAGTGCTTCGGCTGGCGGTGAGAATGACAATGTGACAACAACAGCAACATTGGAAAAAGGTGAAGTGGAAAAACCCATGGAGGATTTCGGTGGAAAACCTAATTACGTGTATGTGAATACCACAGATGAGGATTCTATGGTTGTTCAACATGTGTTGGCTGTTAGGATGGGAAAGAGAGAGTTGAAGCCTGAACCTCCACCGCCACCAGTTGAGCCTGAAGTACAGAAGAGTGAAGAAAGCGAAGAAAAAGCTGCGGAAAACACCGAGTCGGCAGATAAGACCGATGTTGAAGGTGATGCAGTGAAGATGGAAGTAGATTCCCAAGAAGAGGACAAAACTAAGGGTGACAGTGAGGTGGCAGAACCTGAGAAGGACAGCAATGAAGATGAGGCTAAAAGCGAGAATGACAATGATGCAGCTACTCCGACTGAAACCGTGGAGGAAGAGAAGGAGGCTGCGTCAGATGAAAAGGAAGAACCTGAGAAAATGGAGGTCGATGAAGCGGAGAAAGAAGAAACTGAAGACAAGGAGGATGCGGAAGAGACCAAGGACGAAGAAATGAAAGAAACCACTGAGGATCCTGTGAAGGATAGCAAGGATGTGGATAGTGAGGTAGAGGCGGAGGATAAGGAAGAAAAAGATGAAGATGTGAAAGAGTCTAAAGATGAGAATCCTATAAAACAAGATGAGACGACAGGAGAAAAGACGGCTGAACCTGAAGTGAAGCCAGAGCCCGTATTTGTGGATGTGGAGGAATACTTTGTGAAATATCGAAACTTTTCGTATTTACACTGCGAATGGAGAACTGAGGAGGAGTTGTACAAGGGTGATCGAAGAATTTCGTCGAAAATCAAGAGATTCCACCAGAAACAATCGCAGCAAATCAACATTTTTGAAAATCTTGAAGAGGAACCCTTCAATCCCGATTTCGTTGAAATTGACCGTATTCTAGATGTGTCAGAGCACACAGATGCCAATACAGGGGAGAAGACAAAGCATTACTTGATAAAGTGGAAGAGTTTGGCATATGAAGACTCTACGTGGGAATTGGAGGAGGATGCGGATCAATTGAAGATTGAACAATATGAGAGGTTTAACAAGATGCCGCCTAAGAATGAGTGGAAGCCAAAGCGACGACCTCATCCGGATATGTGGAAGAAATTGGATAAGACACCAGTTTTCAAGGGAGGCAATTCTCTGAGGCCATATCAGTTAGAGGGATTGAATTGGCTGAAGTTCTCATGGTATAATTCCCATAATTGCATCTTGGCCGATGAAATGGGTCTCGGCAAGACGATTCAGAGTCTGACATTCATCCACTCTGTGTATGATTATGGAGTGAGAGGTCCTTTCCTGGTCATTGCTCCACTGTCCACAATTCCCAACTGGCAGCGTGAGTTCGAGGCGTGGACTGACATGAATGTAATTGTGTACCACGGTTCGGTGACAAGCAAGCAGATGATTCAAGAGTACGAGTTCTACTACAAGAATGACAGTGGGAAAGTGAATAAGGATTTCACGAAGTTCAATGTGTTGATCACAACTTTCGAAATGATTGTGACTGATTATGCTGACTTGAGGGTGTTCAACTGGCGAGTGTGCGTGATTGATGAAGCTCACAGGTTGAAGAATCGCAATTGTAAGTTGCTGGAGGGATTGCGGCAACTGAACCTGGAGCATCGGGTGTTGCTCTCCGGTACACCATTGCAGAACAATGTAAGTGAATTATTTTCTTTGCTGAACTTCCTGGAGCCCAGCCAATTTGCCAGCAGTGACGAATTCCTGAAGGAGTTTGGCAGTCTCAAGACCGAAGTGGAAGTAGAGAAACTCCAAGCGCTACTCAAGCCGATGATGCTGCGTCGGCTGAAGGATGACGTTGAGAAGTCTTTAGCGCCGAAAGAAGAGACAATAGTTGAAGTGGAGTTGACAAATATCCAAAAGAAGTACTACAGAGGAATTCTAGAGCAGAATTTCTCATTCTTAACGAAGGGTACAACAACTGCAAATATTCCCAACTTGATGAACACGATGATGGAATTGCGCAAGTGCTGCATTCATCCATACTTGCTGAATGGTGCTGAGGATCAAATTCAGTATGAGTACAAGAACACACATGGAGAGGATGCGGATGCTTACTACAAGAATCTGATATATTCATCGGGAAAGATGGTGCTCATTGATAAGTTGTTGCCAAAGCTAAAAGCGAACGGTCATCGAGTGTTGATCTTCAGTCAAATGGTGCGATGTTTGGACATTCTGGAGGACTACTTGATGTATAGAAAGTATCCATTTGAGAGGATTGATGGAAGGATTCGAGGTGATTTGCGCCAGGCTGCCATTGATCGCTTCTGCAAACCTGATTCGGATCGCTTTGTATTCCTCCTGTGCACAAAAGCTGGTGGTTTGGGCATCAATTTGACTGCTGCTGACACAGTGATCATTTACGATAGTGACTGGAATCCACAGAATGATCTCCAGGCTCAGGCGAGATGTCACAGAATTGGACAGCAGAAAATGGTGAAAATCTATCGGTTATTGTGTCGCAACACTTACGAGAGGGAAATGTTTGATAAAGCATCACTGAAATTGGGTCTGGATAAGGCAATTCTGCAGAGTATGAATACATCACAGGGAAAAGACAGCAACAATAGGCAACTGTCGAAGAAGGAAATTGAGGATTTGCTGAAGAAAGGCGCATATGGAGCTATAATGGAGGAAGATGCAGCTGACAAGTTCTGTGAAGAGGACATTGATTCAATCTTGAAGCGACGCACTCAAGTTATCACGATGGAACAGGAGAAGGGCTCGACATTCTCGAAGGCGTCATTTGCCATGTCTGGCAATCGGTCAGATATCAATATTGATGATCCTGATTTCTGGAAAAAGTGGGCGAAGAAGGCTGACATTGATCCAGTGCAGGAGCGTGACGAGAAGGAGGATCTCGTTATGACTGAACCACGGAGGAGGACACAAATCAAGCGATATGGTCACGATGAGAGTGTCATGGAAATGTCTGAGGATTCAGTGACCGATACAGATGAAGAGGGACTTGGAGTTGGTGAGTATAACTATTTAATTTCAGTTGAGGAATGTTTGGTAATTTCTTGATCTCTCCATCAGGACTGAGAAGCAAACGGCGCAGAGATAAGCGTGCTAAGGAACGAGCAAGGAATATGGAGAAGGGCAATGAGGATTACATGCCAAGAGATCGAGAAGCACTGGCAGGTCTGGGCATCGATGACGTGGCCTATGGCAATTGGGCGCGTTCTGAGTGTTTCAAAGTGGAGAAAGGTTTACTCACTTATGGGTAAATATTGTTTATCTATGCAATTATCGCTCAGAATGCTGAAATGTTTACTCATTTCACTTTTCAGCTGGGGGCGATGGTCTGAAATACTTGAGCACGGTCAATTCAAGCGCGGATGGAGGGAAATTGAGGTGGAGGAACTGGCTCGAATCATTGTGAGTAAATATATGACATTGTCTTAACTACTATTTTATCTCTATGGTTCCACTGAAAGGTTTTAAATGATGTCTGCTATGCTAATATTGAGAAAACTAAAGGTTTTCGCTGAATACAACTATTTCTCAAAAAATATCTGATTGATTTTCGTTAAAAACAGTTAACTCGGCGGTCTTTTAATGTGAGAATGGTATAAATACTTGATTATTTTCTTCAGCTGCTGTATTGCCTCAAATGCTACAAAGGAGATGAGAAGATCAAGAACTTCATATGGGACTTGATAACACCATCTGAGGATGGAGAGGAGCACAAAGTTAGTCGAAATCACAGTGGATTACACAATTTGGTGCCACGCGGTCGCAATGCAAAGGGTGAGTAATGATTTATATGCATAAAATACAGAATAAACTGTATTAAACAATCATTTGTTAAATATATTGTATAGGACGAAAGGGTAAGGGCAACAAGGAATCAGCAATGCGCGAGGCGAAACTTCAGCAACAGGCGTCAACATCTGCTTTAACAGCTGCAAACTTAGGAAGTGGCACCTCCTTGACCCTCGCCACTCCGTCTTCTTCAACGGCATCTTCATCATCGTCCACTCCAGTGAATCCCACCCCACCGATAACTGGAGGACCTCCACGGGATGGGGATCCAAATCATTGGAGTCACGATGATAAATATGACACAGACATTTTCCTCGAGAGCAGCTATCGAAAGCATTTGTCGAGGCATGCCAACAAGTGAGTAAATTTTTTCTAATTGTTTTCTAAGAGAACATTGCGACTAATGAATGTATTTTTAAAGGGTACTCCTGCGTGTGCGGATGTTGTACTACATTAAGCATGAAATAATAGGGGATTTGGTGCAGCAAATCAACGATGGTGTCAACATAAGGTATTTGAAAGACTTCTTGGTAGATCAATTTTTGAAAAGACTTGCTTCTCTAGTGAATATGGTTGTCACTTTTCTTCCAACGAGATATGAAAGTTTATTGTGTGATGTTCATCGGAAACAGAATCATTTGAATATCATCCAATTTCATTAATGCATCGTTTTTTATTTGTTTTGTTACATAAACTCTCTATTAAGTTGGACATACTTAGAAACCGACAAACAGCTTTTTGAGCTTATTTTCCCATTGTTTAAACCTCTTTACTGTCCCTCAATTGACTGTGAAAGTGCTTTGTTAAATTTGCATAATTAAAAAAAAAATAGGGTTACCAATTTTAGGAGCTCACACGCAATTGGCAAAATTAACATATATTTTATACATAATAATATTAATGAGAATATGCTTCTCATGCCTGAAAAAAGTCATTGGATTTCATGGGAAAGAAATTATGATTAATTGGGAACTTATAATTGGACGCATGTTGGAACTGAGTTGGTGACCCTACGATATAAAATAATACTCAATCCTGGTGAATTGGTCACACTTTCTGGATAAGATCATCATCATTTAATTCAGAAGACAAGAATCATTTATCTCTAATTTTCTTTAATGCTGATTGAAACTCAGAATTTTTTTTTATAATTTTTATCTATAGATAAACGTAACACATTCTCATAGCGTTATATTTGGGCTTAGTTGTTGAAACTTACAAAAATTTGGAATTTCTGTTTTTGTTCCGTACTTTTTACTCCCTCCCTCCGTGTAATCTAATGAAATCTTGAAACTTACTAAAAATCACCTCATACCAAATATATATAAATAAATAATGGTAAGTGATTTTATCAAGTCATTCTTTTACATCACACTTCTTGACACTACTCACTTTGTATTGAATACATACTCGTACATTATATCTATTTATATGCATTTGATGGCATAAACAAGCACGAAATATTTGCTACAATATTTTTTTACAACTTTCTCTTTGGTCTGTTTTGAATGATATTTGTTCCTTTTCGATGTGATGTTATAACAATATGAACACACAAAAGAGATGATTATAAGTAAGTTTCGACAACAAGAAAGGTATTTGCCTGGCAATTGTTCTATATTATTCATACTTTATTCTTTTGATATGACATTGGAAAATATTTTTCATTGATGTGCGTTGATATATTTGATGGCTGACACATCTAAATTTTGGTCCCTATTCCTCAATCGATAGATGTGTTACTTTCTGTGATAATGATGATCTCAGTATTTGCAAAAAGAGTTTGTGGGTTTTTTTTTTTGTATCGGAAGGACCATAAGGAATGCACACTCTGTAGGAAGTGCAGAGTTGTTGTATGACAAAGAGTTGAACCATGAGCAAATTTAAATGGCGAATCGGGCGTTCTAAGCTACAAAATTGGTTGCGTGCATTTATAATAAATTTTCCGTCACTGTTGAACATTGAAATGAACTCTGTGGATAACTCACAAGTTTTGGCATAGTGTTCGTTGCAATAGAAAAAAAAGACTATCTTCTGTACATAAAAGAAGGATAAATAACCGAATCAAAGAGTTTAAAGGGCTGTTTAATTCTGATTTCGTATATCTTTTTGTTTTACTATATTTGTTGATTTCTTTGTGATATTCTACTTTATGATTTTGATTATCTAATTTACTTGGCATTTTATCAGTAGGTGTTAATTTTATTCTTATTGAGAAGAAGAAGAAGAAAAAAACATGCAGCTTCTGTGGTGATATTTATGTAGAAAATAGTATGATCTATACTTTTTTTTAGTAGTGGATTTCTTTAGTTTATAACAGTGATCACCGAACGATTAATATTTCTAATATTATGTGTGCATTTTCAAACTTGTGCACATTTGCGCAAGAGCAACTTGTGACGAGTGTTCAAGTTTGAAAATTCTAAACTCTTGCGATTCGGTCACAACTGTAGTAAACGATAAAAATGGATTGTTTGCCAATTTTATTAATAATCTACAATATTCGTGACTTGAGAGCGAGCGAGAGAGAAATGAGAAATGTTAGAAATTATGCTGAATTTTCTGTTTTTCTAAATTCCAAATTGGGTTGTCTGTGTATCATGTAGCGATCTCCCAATTCGCCCGCCACTTACCAGCGATCAGATGCCAAGCTCTTGGTGGAATCCAAAATGTTGTGACAAGAGTCTATTGGTTGGAACGTATAAACATGGCTGTGAAAGTTATCGTCAGATCCGGGCAGATGCAACGCTTTGTTTTCTGTCTCATTGTGGTCCACCGGAAGATGGGGGATTTTCAACGGCAAAGTAAGTTTTTTCAATCTCTATCAATCAAGAGTCTACAATTTACAAAGAGAAATGAGTTGTGCAGAGAAATATTAGGAAATGTGAGATAGTATTTGATAGAGGAAGTAACTGCGATGGATGGAAATACAAGAATAGTAATGTTTTGTGTAATATTTGCAAGAGAAAAAGATATGATTATGTCCCGTAGTCAATGTAGAACTACCCCTTCAGTAAGTATATAACTCGGCAGTCATCAATGAAGAAAATATAATTTATACAAACATGTCGCTATATTTTCTTATATATATACCTAAACATTAAAAGAAGACACAGGGATAATTTCCATTAATTCTCCTAATATGTTTATTTTATTTTCTCTAAAAATGCTATGGCATGTTTTATCACTTACGGATAAAGTGAAATAAAACTAAAATCATTGCAATATGGCTTACATGTTAACATCCTTATTTATATTTTATTATTTTTGAATTTCTGCATGCCATTTTCTTATTGTTTAATTTACCTCTTATCGTTCTATATACATAATTCAAAGTAAAACCATCATTTGTGCCAAACATAATATTCTCCCTGCCATTTCCATCACTCCACCAAATCCACAGTGACTCTTTCATTTTATTTTATATGGGTTCCCTTCTATGTACCATGTAAAAGGAATAAGAGAGTGAATAATTGTGTAACTTAGAATTTTGAATTGAAGGCTTGTATGCATTTGGAGATTGATGTCAAACTTACCTCTTACTCCTCTCTGTCTCTCCCTATTAGTTTGGAAGATGACACAAACTCGAAGCACGAGGAGGGTGATGAAGGGGAAGATGACATCGGCTCGAAGGATGATCATAGAGCTTCATCGGCGACTGATTTGAAGGATAATGATCTCGATCGCCCGAGTAGTTCAGGTAAAATAGTTGTGTGACATGTGAGAAGCGCTTAACTAAACGCTATTATTGCACAGGAATTGAAGATGACGAAGCAATAATTGCTGCAACATTAGCTTCTGATGATCCTCACACTTGGCCGACTATGCAAGATCTCAACACGCGTCTTCGTCGTGTGATAACGTCATATCAGAGGAACTACAAGAAGGAGGAACTGAAGCAACAGCAAAAGGCAAAGGTGAGTGTAGTTTTGAGAGTCTTCCCACAATATATTTATTTATTGAGTGTTTATGTTATGTTTATTTATTTTTTGAGTGTATTTAATAAATAATAAATGTGCTAATGGTTGTCAAAATAGTTGCAGGCTCTGGTGACACCGTCAATGTCTGCCAGCTCTACTCCCACATCGATGGGGGGCATTTCAATTTCACCAGCGTCCATGGCAACGAGCGTGAGCAGCACTTCAACGTCGGCTGGACATCAAATGGCTGGAAGTTCTGGACAGTCACACCAGGGTCAACAGTCGCATCACCATCAGCAGCAGCAACAGAATCCACCCATGCCCACAGCCGCAGATTTCTCACTAATGCTGAGCCTCGGATTGGGTCTGAATCCCGCCGATGCCAGTCAATTGGCTAATTGGGATATCTCTAAATTGGCCATGTATTTGGTGAGTTTGAGGACATTTGTATGAAATCTTGACAGGAACTAATCTGCTGTAAATGTTTTTGCAGCAAAAGATGGGACACCGTGAGAAGATTGAGCAGCAAGTGCGCGAAAAGGAGCGAATGCGTCTGGAGTCTGTGCAAAAGAAGTGGAATCGTCGCGAAGAGAATGAATTCTTGCGTGTGCTCACTGGTTATGGAATAGATTTGCAACCGTGCACAACAATTCCGACGCCGGATTGGACGAAATTCAAGTCTTTGGCAAAGTTGGAAAAGAAGAGTGATGAGAGCATGTCTGACTACTATAAAGTCTTCATTGCGATGTGCAAGAGACAAGCGAGTGTAAAGCTGTTGGAGGATGAGAGAGGACTCGAAGGGATTGTGGATGATATCAGTGAGGATCATGCAAGATTGATCTTGGATAGATTGGAATTACTGTCGAAACTGAGGGAATTAGTGAAGCATCCGAAATTGGACGAGCGCGTGTACTTGGCGCAAAATAACTATGACACTCCGGACTGGTGGGAGTCTGGAAAGCACGACAGGGAACTGGTGAGGGCAGTCCTGAAGCATGGATTGTACCGATCAGAGTACACTATTTTCAATGACAGTGAGTTCTGCTTCTACGAGGCTGCTAAGAAGTATGAGAGGGAGCTCGAGGCACAAAACCAGAGAGCACTCATGAAAATGGAGGCAGAATTGTTGAATCTCGAGAAGAAGGAATCGATGTCGCTGAAGGCGGAAAAACCCGCTGAATCATCACTGAAAATTGAGAAAGTGGCTGTAAAAGCGGAAACTGCAGAGGTTCCTAGTGAAAAGCCAGAAGCAGAGGTTCAGGAAGAGAAGCAAGATAAAGAGAAAACAGAGGAAGAGGACAAACCCGCTGCTGAATCGGTCGAAACTCCTCGTGAAACTGAAGAGGAGGCAGCGAAGGAGGATGAGCCCAAAATAGTAGAAGAGAAAATAGTAGAGGAGACAGTGAAAGAGAAGGAACCAGAAGAGAAAAAGTCTGAGGAGAAGGAATTGGAGTCAGAGCCTATGATTCAGGATGAAGAAGAGAAGGAAGCTGCAATTGAGGGCAAAGAGGAGAAATGTGAGGAGAAGGAACAGCAAGAAGAGGAAGAGAAGAAGAAGGAAGAAGAGAAAGCTCCCAGTCCAACAGAGGAGAGCAAAGATGTGGCAGAGCCTGCTAAGACTGGTGATGACGAGGAGATGAAAGAGAAGGAAAAGGAGCCGGCTGAAGTTGAAGCAGAAGTCAAGTCTCCCGAAGAGAAGGTGCCTGAGAAGGCACCAACACCAGAATGTCCACCGGAAAGCAGTCCGCCCAAGAGCGTTCCTGAGCAGCGCAGTGAGAAAGAGATTTCAGCTGAGGAGGAGTGCAGCAAGCAAGCTGCGGAACTGAAGGCAAGATTCCCCGACTTGGAAGTGATACAACCTGTTGTGAAGCCCCGAGTGAGTGACATATTCCCGAAGGAACTCTTGTCGCTGAGAGGTAAAGTCTTTCAGTGTTTATTCAGGGTTTTGCTTGAGGTATTAACAAATATGTTTTGGACTTTCAGAAATCAAACCAATCATTCCGAAGCTTCTGTCGAAGCAAATCCTCATCAGATGGTTCCGTGATTTTGCACTGGAGAAGAGGATCAGTCACATCATTCACAGTGTGGAGAAGGCAGAATGGCCGGTGGGGAGGTCATATTCTGCTTACACAGGATGCCAAGGCATGGACTTGGATGTGCCACTTTATGAGACTGTGAAGCGAATTCCAACGGCGATTGATGTGAATCTCGCCGCTGCGGCTGCTGCTGTGGCAAATGTTGGTTTGGGTGGTCGCTCAAATACACCCGATGTCATCACAATCACCACGGATCAGGGGTTGTCGAAGCAACTGCAGAATCCCAACTTGGCCGGCCTGAATGCGTCGGTGGGCGGTAGTGCTTCTGCTCTTAGTCAGAGCATGGCTGCTGCTGCAGCGGCTGCGGTAGCGGCGTCAAACAAGAAGAGGAAGAGGCATATTGCAATCGATGTGGAGACAGAGAGGGCAAAATTGCATGCTCTTCTCAACAATACACAAAATCCAGGTGAGTTGGCGTGGAGATCTGTCCGTAAAATGAATTTATAACAAAATATTATTATCTTGTGGCAGGAGGTTTGCAAAAGCCTGCCTGGGGCGATGATGAGTCCAATGATTCCCGAAGGAGTTCATCATCTATGTCTCTGCAACCACCGCCGGCGCATCAACATCAGCCGCTGAATAGGTCGACCATGTCGTCCTACAATAAACCGACAGTCATACCTGGTACTTCGAGTACCCTCACGCCGATTGATTTGTCTTCAAGGTTTGTACATTGCGCGCATTTTCATCTTGACAATTATAAATTGATTAATTTCGTTGATTAGTTTGCCGAAAGTGAACATGGCGGACATGATTAAGAATCCAATTGATTTGAGTGAAGTACAAGACTTCTCCATGTCGAAGGCTAAATCTTCATCTTCAAGCGCAATGGCTTCAGCGTATGGCAATTCGTCATCAGGCAAAAGCAAATTGGATAATATGCTGACGAAATTGATGAAGAAGAACAATTGCGTAAGTATAATTTACCAACGAGTTTATGCTGTCTGTTGATCCGTATAAAATGTATAACCATGGAATGTGTTTGTCTCCAAACTCTAAGCAGCCCGTTGAGGAGCCTGTGATTGGGAAGGAGAAGAAGCGAAGGAAGTTGGATGAGATTGTGCTTGGATTGTCAGCAGCCCAGGAGCAGAAAATGTATCCAGACCCATCACCACCGATGTCCATGAAGAAGCCTCAGGTGGCTCCGAGTGTCTCTGTGACGCCAGCCAGTGGACCATCGCAATCGTCATCTTCTAGTGCCAACCAGAAACCATTTACCATTACCGTAACAAGTGTTCCAGGTAAAAAACGAAGTAATGCAACTGAATTCTCTGTTGTTATATTTTTTCACTACATGTAATCTTCCAATTCTGCAGTGTCATCGAGCAAAGGGGCATCCATGAAGAATCCTCCGGTGTCAGCCACAACGGGATTGCAAGCTTTGCAAAATATGGCTGGACTTGGCGGTGTGTCAACCAAAGATATGAATGCATTCCTGGCGGAAGCGGCAAAGGCGGAGCAGCAGCAACAGCAGCAAATGCTGAAGCAACATCAGAAGCTGCTGCAACAATTACCGGCATCTTCGCAGCAGAGGAAGGCATATGAGGCGATGTTTGCTGAAATGAAGCACTTGAGGTAGTGTATATTGTGGGTGCTGGAGACAAGGCAAAACTCCACTTTTCAATGTAGCTCTTATCTTTCCAGTTCGAAATTGGGTTCGTACCCAACGCACGATGCTAAGGTGAATAAGTGGTTGGCTGAGCAGAGCGCTGCATTGACGGAGGAAGCACTGGGAATGGATTACAGATCGCGTTCGCGATCACGACAACAGTCAACGCCAACATTACAGGATAATATCTTCAACAGAAAGGCTCTGACAGGAGAGGAGAGTGTTCCCGTGATAAATAAGATTACAGGGAAGAGACTCACTGGAAATAAGGCTCCACAATTGAAGAGATTAACGCAGTGGTGAGTTTAATTGGATATTTGTTCTGTGTAGTACATCTAAGGAGCCTTAAGAGTTTCCAAAAAACCGCAAATTTGGAGATTTTCTACCGCAAAATCACTGAGTATTCTTTCTTCCTAGGCTGACTGAGAATCCAGCGTATGAGATTGATCCAAAGTGGCTGGAGATGACACAGAATCCTCAATCGCCGTCACCCAAACCATCACCATCAGAGGCTAGTACTTCGTCGTCTTCCTCGTCGAAGGCGCCACACCGTTCGTCTGCCAATGCGGGCGCATCCAGTTCCAGTGCTCACGCTCAGGCCAGCAGTGCTGCCAATACGTATGGTGTGCAGTCGCAATCCATGCCGTCCACGTCGAAGAAGGGACGATCGCATGATTCATCAGCCGCCCTGACAAATGCCGCAGCTGCGGCGGCGGCAATGCAATTCCCTGGCTTGGCTGGCCTGAATCCCAACTTGTTGTCCAGTTTGCCTGGATTGGGTTCATTTGATCCCAAAAATCCACTTCTCATGCCGTTCGCGGGAATGCCAGGCTTGGCGGGTATGAGTGGCCTGGGAAATCTCAACAATATGAATCTCTTTGCCAACCTGGCGGGTCTGGGACTGAGCAATCTGGCTGGATTGGATCCGCAGAGTCTTGCCACGATGATGGCGGCCGCTGGAGCGAGTGGCGGTGGAAGCACAAGCAGCAGCTCCAAGTCGAGGAAGGGTGATAGTGGCATGTCGTCATCGCAGCAGCAGACTTCGCAGAGTCAAGCCACTCCGTCGACATCCAAGGCGTCCTCCAGTTCGGCGAGCAGTGCCAATGCGGCAGCAAATGCTGCATTCCCGTTCTTGTTCCCAAATCCCAGTTTGCTGTATCCACTGGGATTGCCGTATCCGCTGACTCCGGGCATGTCGCCGTACGATCAACTGGCAGCGCAGTACAGCCTCTTGAACGGAGCCGGATTGGGATCTGTGAGCTCTGGCGCTGCCTCGTCAACAACCACATCATCGCCACGACAGTCAAATTCCAAGTCGTCTGGAGCATCTGGTCGCGGCAGCGGCGGTTCACAGTCCAGTGGAGCTTCGCCCAGTGGCAAGACGCGCAGTTCTTCAATGTCGTCGCGCGTGGATACGAACCAGCTGCAGAGTTTGCTCTCTCCTCATGATCCACACCTGCTGGAGTCACTGAGTCGTGTCACGGGTCTGGATATCACTCAATCCACACGCGCAATGGCGGGAAGTTCGAAGATGGACTCGAAGATGACAAGGGACAATTCACTGGCAGCCACGAAGGATGCCATGGAGAAGCTGGAGAAGGAGAGGCGCAAGTTGATGGACAACTTGTCGAGGAGTGGCTTCGGGTCTGATTTGGCGGCTATGCAGGCCTTTGCTCAAGGGAAACTCCCATCGACATCTCTGACGCCATCCACATCGTCCAAGAGTTCGAAGAGCGACAGCCTGCCGATCCCGCTGCCGCCGGACTTCAGTCAGGCTCTATTTGCTGAGATGGCAGCGGCAGCTGGTGTGAGTGTGGGCAGCAGTGGATCGACATCGTCGAAGAGGAGTCGGGAGCAGGTGGATCTGAAGGACTCCTTCGAGCACATGAGCAAAGCTCAGATGGAAATGTTGGCTCGCAATTTGGGCATGAGCTCATGCATTTCTCTGATTCCCACTTCGACGACAAGCACAACGTCCATGGCTGGATCGAGTCATGGAGAGGACAAGGGTGGGCCGTCAAAGAGGATGCGCTCGAGTGATCATCACAGTTCGAGCCACAAGTCGGACGAGGCGATGCCACTGGTGATGGAGGATAAGATTCACACGAGATCTTCCAGGAGTAGCAATGACAATGCGGCAACTATTGAGAAGGTCACTGTTTCGCCTGTCTCGGGAGTGAGTCTGTCGTCTCTGCCCTCACAGACGACCATTACAATTGCCCCGTCGCCTTCGGCTCATGTCTCGCCAACGGTGGCGCATCATAGCAGCGGCGGAGCCTCCAGTTCGGCCACGGTGACATCCCCGTCGAGCTCCGTTGCGGCGGTGCCTGAGAATCTCACCAAGTCAGTCACGGCGCCCACGGAGGCGCCAATTGCCACGACTTCGCCTAGTGTGACCCACGAGATGGACTTGGAGGATCTGATTGCGCCGTCAAAGGTGAGTAAGGGCGGTGGGATGCTGGTGGAGGAGAAGAGCCCATCCGTTGAACCTGTGGTGGAGAAGAAGGACACTCAGGCGGCGGTTGAGGAGGAACAGCCGCAGCGGGCAGTGAGTCCGGAACACGTGGCGGAGACTGAGAAGAAGCCGGCTGCTGGAAAGCGCACGCGCGGCAAGCGGCCACGCTCTGGGGACGACCTGGAGGCCTTGGCAGCACTGCAGCAGCCCGAGCGGAAGCGCGAGTTGCGATCGAGCGCCGGAAGGGCGGCAGCCGCGGCGGCGGCGAGGATCGCGGCGGAGCGCAGAGCGGCCGAGGAGTCGCTGAACTTGTCGACGAGCGACGAGAGCAAGACTTGACTAAAGACCAAATCTCTTCGGAGGCATTGAGGGGCACCGGGGGGAGGTGGGCGCGCCAGGAGGGCGCGGAAGAGGAGGTGGTGAGATGAATTTAGGCATTGCAAGCTCTTGATATTGTGTAATAAAGGAATTATTTATTTTTACCTAATTTCCCTATCGAATAAGTTTGTAATGAAAGTGATTGTGTGAAGTAATGATGGACTTATTGTATTAACATGAATCAAGCAGTGTTCAAAATGTCAAGTGTTTTTCCCTAAAGGTTCTCTCCGATACAACAGCTTAGATTTTAAGGAATTAGCGGTGGAAGGAGTGCGGGCGGAGGAAGGACGTTTTCCGTGGTAAAGATAGTGATGATAAAGTGACTGCATATAGGAAAAAATACAACTGTTTTTAATGGAATGAGAATAAAAGAAGAATTGGGAAAATGAAGAGAAGGAAGAAATCATACAATGAACCAATATTGAAGAAGATATTCTCTAGAAGTAAAGCTATTGTAATAATTCTCCCTTTTAATAATTATATGAAGAAAAAAAAATTATAATGAATACAGAAAAATAACTTAAAAATTGAAGTGGAAAAGTAGCGGAAAGTTGAATCAAATTTAATTGTAACATTATTGATGAAAAAAAAACTAAGTATTTATACAATTGCAAAGGTAATGAATAAATCAAGAAATATTCTATATAATCGGATACGCAAAATGCATTTCCGTTCTCTCACTATCTTGTATTTTTTAAGAATCACATACTTTGAAAAAGTTTTTTTTTAATTTAATAGAGTATCTCTCTTTTTCTAATTTTTACTACCCTGTTTTATAATTTATATATCTGCAGGACGTCTAAGGAAATTTACAAACAATTTTTTTTCTCAAGAAGAAATGATTGTAAGGAAAGCATAAAATATTTTAAACGTAGTTATATAACATTATGTGACTTAGAGAAAAAAAAATAGACAAAAAATCATCTCTCAAGAGATCAGAAAATTTTATTCGTATTTAATAATAAATGAATTTTGAATGAGTAATAATACTTTACACACCTATTAAAATACGATAATAAAAAGAATATTGTAGACAAAGTATAATAAAATGAATAAAACAACGTGCTTGCATTTCAATTCAATCAACTATTTATTCTTAATATTTAGTACTCTTTTTCACATATACAGGATTAACTCCGCAAGGGGAGTTATTATTCTTCTCCTTATGCTTTCGTATCAAATGGGAACAAGAACGCTACAGACAGGTGTTAAAAATAATTCGCACACGCATTTATTATTCAATTCGTTCAGAAAAATTTTCATTTTATCACATAAATAATAAAAATATTTGCCAAAAAAAACACAGACAATGTGCCACACTACTTTTAACACGTGTCGGTAGAATGACAATCTCACTGCACTTTTCATCTTCTATCCCAAAGGAAGGCAAATTTCAATTGCTAATAAAGGTTTTTGCATGTTCTTGAGCAAATCCAATGCAAAACACTAAAATGCATTTTCCCAAACACTTCTTGCAGCGAGATTAGAGAATTTTGAAATTGGATAATTTTGTCGAAAGAAGCCATTCTTCAGTCCATTCAGTAGTCCAGCGACCACTCGTTCTCCGCTATGAACCCATCCACGACTTCCTTCATGGAGAAATTGGGAATGAGTTGATCCTGCGTGAGTTTCACCCTCGTCACCGGATCAAAGTGCCCCACGCGCTGCAGGTGCTCCTCGATGTCTTTCCTCTCGTACGTTATCCCAGACGGCGTTATCACCGGATCCTGCAGAATCTCAAAGCTGATCTTGCCGCACAGGAAGTCGGGCACTTCCCGCTTGCGACGCCTGTCGTCCACTTTGGCAAACAAGTTGTTCAGCTCCGTCACGTGATTCTCACACTCGCGCTCAATCTCTGCGCTCTTCTCCTTCACAAAGTCCTCATTGGCATTATCGTCCAACTTGAGCTTCGCTATTCGATTCTCCATGTCCAGCTGTATCAGGCGATTCAGGTACGACTGCAGCTCGATCTCCTGGCAAATGCGCTTCTCCTCCTGGATGTTCCATCGCTTCTTGCGTGCCAAGCGCAGCTGCGACGCTATGTCATCCCCAAAATTCCTCCTCTGATCGCGCGCCAGATCATTCGCGCGCTGCAAGTGCTTGATCGCCTCATCGTACAGCTCCATCTCCATGAGGCTCTGACCCAGGAAGAAGTGCGCCTTCACCTGATTCTGCTCAATCTCCAACGCCCGCCGACAATCGCTGCACGATTGATCCCACCTCTTCAGCTTCAGGTGGCACAGCGCCCTGTTTGTGAAGTAGATGGCCACAGTGGGGTTCTTTATCTGCCGAGGAGAAAGAGAAATCCTTCAGCGTCTAGCCACGTAATTTCGTTAACTCATGTGCGGACAAAGGCAATCTTATCTAAGTTCGCGTTCCATCACTACAAGTCAATAACCTCCCGATGAAGACTTAACCCCTTCGACAGTGAGAACACAAGACAAGGATAAGGAAACATATTTACTAAATTGCTACAAAGAGAAATTCCGAGAATTTGAAACATTGATACTTTTTCGAATAGTTTTATGTTTATAGTTTACCCCAAGGTATATCTAGAAAATCAACTCTGCCTTTCCACTTCAAACATTCTTGTTGCATTTACTTATCACACTGTTTATTTAATTCATAATAGTGTGATGTGGAAAAGGGTATTCATGGAATGTTGTCCGGATATCAGAACAGTCTTTCGCAGTAATTTCCTGGAATGCACTGCAATGTTTGAATGAGTGGTAAATTTGTCTGTAATCCAATTAGAAACAGTCACGTTCCGTATTCTAATGGACTTTAGAGGCAAAGATGCCAAAAGAAGTGTTTAAAAATAACATAAACAAACAATGGTAGAGTCTCGCCTAAAAATAACTCGATTGACACCACGTTTGGTGGAGCCTAAGCTTGAAAATGTCCCCTTATTTTTCACGCTCTTCCCCATCTTTTCCCTCCCAAGACTGTCCGGGCAACTGTAAGAGAATTTCACGGGCCGCTTTGAAGGGTATCCAAATTTTCTACGGAAGTTTTTGAGTCATGTGAAGTTCTTGAACGATGGCGCCCATATTGAACACCTTTTTTCCTCATCCCTGACGAATTTTCCACCAATATTTGCTCCGCACTGCTTCGCCGACACGACACTTAATGTGGCAGATAAATTCTGAGCGTGAAAAGGAGAGGAAAATGAGAATCAATAGGGTAAATCATAGTAACTCACAATTGCTTTTGTGTAGCATTGTATCGCCTCTTCGAATTTTCTCGCGGAGAACAGTCGATTTCCCTGCTCTTTCAGCTCTGTGTCCGAGAGATTGGCCGTTGTGTACATGTGCTTGCTCATTTTTCCGCCCAAGCACCACTCGCACTATTCACATTTAACTCGATTGCGCCCCTTTTCCTCACAGCTATGGAGAAACTTGAATGAAATTGCGTGAAAATTCCGACAAATCCTCCGACGAACTGTTCAATGACACCGTTGAAATCAGTGAAATGTCATTAAAGGCAGCGCGAACCCGATCGAACCCACCCGAGGAGGCTTTCGAAAATCTTCGACCTCGCAGTGTTGCCAACAATGCGCTTTTATTCCGCTGTCAAATGGTAATGAAAAATTGGGAAGAGAGCGTGAAGAACAGTGAAAACCGGTGAAAAAGTAGTTTTTCCCACATTTGGACTTATCTATTCAGTGCAGCAAATATGCAGCTGTATCTGAACTATTGAAATAAGATGTCAAATAGTGCAAAGTTTCCTGCATCGGTCGAGCTTCCAAAAGACAAAAACAAACACACTGCTTCGCAGCAAGCTGCCATCATACAAAAGGTTTTTCATGTGAATTTTCTCTGTATTTCTGGCTAAACAATTGTTCTTTGGTGCGGTTTGCAGTTTCTGGGCAGTGTCAACAGAGACATTACAAAGACGGGCAATCCATCGGCTTTGGAAGATGCTGCAGCGGAGGTTTTAGAGAAGAGACGCGACGAACTGAAGAAACAACTGAAAATGGAGTCGCAGGTGAAGAAGTCGTCCAAGGAGATCCTCAAGAAACACAAGAAGATACCACGCCCCTCCTCCACGTCCTCGGACAGCAGCAGCAGCTCTGACAGTGGCTCCAGCAGCGGTCGGAAGAATTCTAGCAGCGATGACTCCTCCACATCGTCCAGTTCCTCTTCCCGGGAGTCACGGAAGATGCTGAAGGGTGGAAAGAGGCGGAGGACGTCCAGCAGCTCATCGAATGATCATCCACCGTTGAAGAAGAAACTCACAGGGCGGAAGCATGGATCGCACAAGAAATCTGTAGTGAAGATTCACGCGAAGAAAGTCTCTTCGAAGGGCCGAAGCTCCCGGGCGTTGACTCCAATCTCTGTGGGCAGGAAGCGGAGTATATCACCGCAGTCGAAGGGTAGCCAGAAGGCGTTGCCCAAGCAAAAGTCTGTGGGAAAGGAGAAGCACCATTCGGGTCTAGTAAAGGAGCGCTCTCGCGATACGAAAGATCGGGAACTTCATCGTGAGAAGGAGAAGATGAGACATCATGGAAAGGAGCGTGTGAGGAGTAGAAGCCCAGTCAAGTCGCGCAGAAGTCCTCAAAGATCTCGAGAACCGAAGCGCAAGAGTCACGAGAAGCGATTGAGTCCATCAAAAATGAGAACTGCTCTTCGACGCGACCGCAGTCCTGAGAGGGCAGCGAAAGTGCCGCTGAAGGACGCTTCTCGACGGCATGAATCGTCGATAATGCTGAAAGAGCGCGAGAGGCGGGATAAGGAGCGTGCTGATAGAGAAGCGGCGCGGAATAAGGAGAGAGCTGAGGCTCTGGCTCGGTGTCAGGAGCGACAGCGCGAGAGGGAGCGCCTGGCGAAGGAGAAGGAGTTGGCGGACAGGGACAAGGGAGATCGGAGCAAGATTGTGGACCGCTTGCTGCCCAGGCCGGCAGAGAGAGCGATGGCTCTGGCTGCGAGTCGCGGAGAGGGTCACGATAAGGTGGAGCGTGACCGCACGCGTTCGCACAGCAGAAGCAATGTTCGCGGAGGAGAGTTTGCTGAGCGCAGGTATCACGATTCTCCCACTCTGAGGAGAGATCGTGAAGAGCGGCATGGCGAGAGGGGACGTGAGCATGAGTATGTGTTGATGAGGAATCGGCCGGACGCCAGGGGTTCCTTGACGTATGACAGCTCCAGGAGAGGCGGTCGAGATGAGCATGAAGTGTACGGGGAGGTGCCAATGGAGCCTCGCTATGAGACTCACGAGGATCGACACTTGACTCACGATTACACGTCCAGCCGTGCCCAATACGGGAGTGAGCGAATCCACAGAGAGCACGAGTGGGAGCGCGGCATGGAGCAGGGACGAGAGAGGATGTACGATCGAACTGCTGGACAGAGTGAGTGGGAGCGTAGTGACATGACAATGGCTCGAGGCAATGATCTGTACACTGAGAGTGGCGAATGGAAGGTGACTGAGCGACAGTGGGATGAGAATGGCAGTGGAAAGCCGGCGGGGAATTGGCAAGGTGGCCTGAAGGATGACTCATGGGAGGCTGGCTATCAGGAGCGCGACACGTGGATGGATCGCCACAGAGAGGTGAACGACGGCGGCAGAAGGTGGCAGCCGAGGAGATCCGGGCATCCGATAATGTCTACAGGAGATGGCGATGCCAGGCCTGAGCCATATCGACGCGCGGGAATGCCGCACGCTCATGCTCCTCATGTGTCTCACATGCAAGGAGAGCATATGAATTCAATGCCTGGAAACACGTCAGGGGTTTATCATCACAATCAAGGTGGGGAATATTTTTAGAAATTGCAATTGTGGAGTTGGAAAATGGATTGAAATGACTTTTATCTGCAGGAATGCGTCATATTCAACCACAATTGTCTGGATCGTCCGATATGAGTGTGCCGATGGGGGTTAAAGAGTATGGAAACCAGTCTTCCTACCCAGCAAGTACAGTCATGGCTCAGACTCCGCAGAAGCGCCCAATGATGACTGGAATGTCGGATTCGAGTGCACCGCCGCAGGATTTGACAGCGCGAAAGGCAGTGAAGACACCAAACACGTCTGAAGAAGTGATTGAGGACGATTTGAGCGAGATAAGCGACGATGCAGATGAAATATTGAACAGTGTGGTAAGTAATGGTGCATTTGATGCTCTTATGAACATGAAATGATGAAGGGGAAGTGAAGGATTTCCCCTTTAGAGGAGGTATTGAGAGGAATCTACTTTGGTGCATGCACCCCAGGAAATCAGTGTGCAGAATTTAGCAGTGGCTCAGCCAGATCACAGTTTATACTCAACATTCATCCATAAAGCCGATAGTGACTTAGTAAGATGAATAGATTGAATGTAGTGATTTCCTTTTACTGTATTCTCCACACAATGAATTTGAGTTTCTCTATTGGTTCTCTTTAATCAATGTTGCGTGCAAGTCATTTTGCTGTTTGTCCTACAAATGTTTGCTCTCTAATTATTTTCCTTTCGATGCTTTCAGGAAAATGCCAGTAAACAGAAAGACGATGGTGTTGCTGAGGTGGAAGGGGTGGATGATAAGAAGCAGAGCGAAGGTGTAAAGACTTCGCTGGAGGCTGTCGACGAGGTGAAGGATGAAATGGGTGAGAAAAGCATGAAGGACATGCAGGATGACTTCAATTTGGGATTTGAGGAGATATCCGATGGGGAGCTGGAGGAGGAGGCTCGTGTGAAGGGACTGGGAGATGCTCTGGGCGTGGATTGGACTAGCTTGGTGACGGAGAGTCGAGCGCGAGACCAGGCAAATCGCAGTGAGGCAACTTCAATGCGGCAGAAGTGGAAGCATCATCAGGTGCTGCTGAATTTGGGCATTTCCGTGCGATTGGCTGGGGAGGAATTTACCAGAGAACTGCTGAAGCGCGCTAGACAGTCTGCGAGGGAGGATAAACAGATGAAGAATGGTGAAGTGGTTGCCGAACATGAGGCAGTGGAGAAGGAGGAGGAAATCGCGATGCCGCATCGTGTGGCGGATGTTCAAGTGGCGCAGAGGAAGGCCACTGAGCGCAGAGCTCGTCTGATATCACAAACATCGGGATGCTTCAGTCGGGCTCTCAATGCGCGCAGGGACTTGCAAGTTCGCAGACAATTGTGTGGCTTTCCCATACAAGAGGTCCATTATTGCTCTGTGAGTCCTGAATTGAATAATCTCGCCGTGCAACTGTTCAAGAAGGCGACATCCCTCACTATGTAAAACACATTGGGTACAATATCATGCTCCTCTATTCGTGGTAAGTGAATAGTTCTTATCTCTACTGAAATTACATCCAATTCATTGCGTGTATTGGATGAAGATTAAAGTAAATGGAAAAGTACTGGCCAACCGGCTTCATAGAACAATAAATATCTGTCATTCTGCACATAGTAATTTTTATTTCAAAATGTTCACATCCTTACAGCTCTCAATTGCATTACTTCTTCAACAATTAAGTAAGAAATCCTATGTTAATTTTGATCAAAGAACTCTCATTTTGAGAGCTTTACATGCTTCACGGCGAAATCAAAGCATCTTTTTGAATCAATCAATCAATGTAGCTATTTGTTCTGCTATTTGTTCCTCGTGAGTCCCTGGAAGTAATCTAACTTCCGACATTATGTAAAATATATATTTACAACGTCTGCAAGTGATAAAAACGCGACTAGATTTTTATTACCTACATATAGTCTTAACATATTCGAATTTTCTCTATTGCCGAGCTAATTTGTGTTAAACTTCCCGTTTCTCTCTACTCTAACGCATTATATTTCTGGGTATACTCTTCTAAATGGTCTTTGCTAATTTTTTAACATTCCTTTTACATTTTTTGTTTTCTCAACTCTTATTGCCCAAAAAATCATAAATTTAGCGAATGTGGGAATGTCATAACGCATAGTAAGTGTAGATCAGTACAATACTCACAATACTAAAATAAAAAGTCGTTTGTTTTCTTGTCGAGAGATTCAATACATTTGTCAATTTGTATCTCTTTTCTAGAGCCTGATTTACTCTTTTTATTTTTTGATCTTGCGCAGCTTCTATAAGAAATAACACCTTTCTTTTTATGTACTTCAGCATTAAGCACTCTTTTATTATCTGCTCACGGTATTTATAGACTGTACAAATGGTTTAAAAAATGATTCACTAGCAAAATATGAGTTTCCTCTGGCTTGAAAATTAAGTTGGGTGTTGCATATTGAACAATAAAACATCACTAATTGCAAGTAATCAGTAATATAAGTTACAAACTATATAACATTTGCGTTGGATGGAAGCTTGATATCAAAGTCTCGTGGGCGGACTTGAATTTTAGAAATAAAAAATTCCCTTCAAAGCGATGGTTTGTGATTCCTTCAATAAATATTGAATATAATCTGAAGCTTTTTCCATACTTCTACTAATACTAAATTTTTTTTCTTTATATTTAGATGTGTAACAAGCCCTCTCGCACACTTCACATTTTTTTTCACGCGTAAACAAATACTTATTGCAAAATTTACCACCTAAAATTTCACTTATAATTTTAAATATTTGGTGCAAAAATTATTCGAAAGAATAAAATGAAACATAAACAGAAATTCTATGAAAATTTCACGTGACAATGTAAAAAATTGTCCCTTTACTTGCATTAAAAGCACACATGCTGCAATTTCCCTTATACACTACTTGTGTCTATATGTACAGTAGAGAATTAGTTATCGTGTCTAATGTGATTGATCACCTCCTACTTTACACTGTGACCAGAGGCCTAATATCTTTTTGGACCACATAGAATTTGTGCTTCTTTCCCATCAAACCCCAAATCACGGCTATATTTTCTATCATGACATTTATAGGAATTGTGCATATCGCGCCGGCGGCACATAAAATAAATTTCACCAGCCCAAAGCGATAGAGCGAGAAAGACTTTATCACGCCGAAGATGTACATGTAGATGTTCACGGCGGCGATGAAGGCGCAGAGGAAGTCAAAGAACTGCGGACACGGGATGGGATAGAGGGCGGCAAAGATGATATTTGAGGCGGCCAGTGGCATCGTGACCCAGGAATAGATGCTGAGCAGCAGGAGGGATTTGTACTTGAGCGGCACCCCCTTGGAATGCACCACCAGCAGGATTCCCTGGAGCCACCGCTTGCGCTGCTGAATGAAATCCATGAGCGTGAAAGGGCTCTTCTCGTACATCTCGCCCTCGATGAAGTTGAACGTGTAGCCCATGCTAAAGGCGCGCATCGCAAAGTAGCAATCCTCAGCCACGGAGCCGTCGATTCCATTGTCGAAAGTCACGTCCCTCTCGGCGGCCACCTATTGAAAAGCAGCCATTACTTATGGATCAAGGTAAGTGCAAATTGCGCGCAGCCTTACAGAAGAGAATCACGATAAGAGAGCACGTAATTTTGGCATGCAAGTTGTATAGGGAAAATTATAATCGCATCTACCAGATTTCTCATTCATTATTGCTTTCTGAGGCTCAGCAGATACCCAAACAGGCCGATAAGAATTATCCGCCTCACAAGACATTAATCAACTACAGAAAATAGGACTTAGGCCAAATGGGCGGAGCATAGAAGTGAGCAGGATATTTAATTATTTTCCTTATGAGTGCTTCACATGACATATGGTAAGGAAAATAAATTTCTCCACCAAACTGACGTGCTGCCGATTTATTTTCTTTATGGCATCTTAAATTTTGCACCTGCAAGCTGGAGAGACTTCAGCAAAGTCATAAAATGTGAAAAATAACCCATTCGATTAAAATGTTTCAATGTACACCATCCTAAAGTCGCTAATTGATGTTCTAAAACTGTCACACTCTGCTTTTAGTAAATTTTTATAAAAGCCATCAAGCGCACAAGACTTTTTTTTCATCGATATCTATTTTTACAACATATTAAATTTCCACATTATCTCTTGTATAGAAGAGTAATTTCACTCATTACCAAATGAACGAGTTTTTCACTCAGTCAATCACTATATTTAGACTTTCTCTAAGTGTTGTGATGTCGCAGGTTGATTTCACAACATAGCGAGCAATACATGATATATTTTACGAGCTTGTCGATTGTATACAAAAACACCCAAAATGACTTTTATGCCCTTTCCGTTCACGTACGCGACCTTATTTGTATTGTTGTATCACATCATGAGTACATTGCGAGTACATTGAAGCTCAAATGTTCTTGGAAATTTATCTTCTCGGCTGCGGTGTGACTTATGAGATATAATTTGTCTCACTTTTTGCCGATTATTTTTGGGCAATTCTGTACGCATTTGCGAGTACATTTTCTTGTGACTCTACGCTTAGAATTTTTTCCCCACAATTGAGCCATAATTCGTCATACAGTTTTTCGAGAACCTTGATGAACGTTCACAGTGAGTGAATTGCCCATAAAAATATATATTATTAGCAGAAAATAACTCACCAGACTCACGACGTAGCTTCCTTTCCAACTGAAGAGGGGCTTGTGGAAAAATTTAAATTGAAAGCGCAGCTTTCCCATGTCGTCACTCACACGGAAACTGTCCGCAAGTGTTGTTAGCCAGTTTACAACGTTCTCATTGGCATACGTAATGAGTCCCTGACCAAAAGGATGCTTGCCGTCCAGCACGAAATTCGTCACACCACGAATACTGTTTTCCGTGAGGAGTGTCTCCTCGTCCAGGTGCACAATCCAATCGTTGTTGTTTAGTACATTCACAGAATCCTCTAAACAATACTGCAGAGCGCGTGACTTGAACAGGGCTCCACTTTTTGTTTTATATGCCTTCGGCACGACTATTTCGCGTATTCGTCGATGTTTAGGCAGATTGAGTGGCTTGTCGGTGACGACTTCAATGAGGAAATTCTCCAAGCCTGTGTCCAAGCACAGGTTCATGTTCCTCATGACATTGGTCTTAACTAAATCTGCAAAGTCCCCGCGTGTCACCACGCGTATGCATATGAAGGGCGCCAGCAGTGGCGATCCCTTAAGTACAACTTTGTCCGGGAAGGCATTGTAGAAGACGAGACCGCAGAAGTTGAAGAACACCTGCGGCAGTGTCAGGAGTGTGAGAAGGCGCAAGAAATAGAGGGCAACACACCCAATGTCCCCGTACGCTTCGCGCGGATCGATCGTGATGAAGGCGTCCGGATCGAGGCGTATCGCTCCAGAGTATACTTCAAAGGCGGCAATGAACACGACAAGGAAAGTGCAGTGCAACAAGTGCTTCACTGTCGATCTCATGATACCCTTTCAGATTCAATGCACTTGTCTTCCGGTTGTCTTTTGCCCGCCAATTCGCTGGCGCTTTGATGCGTCAATCACGGCTGCAGTTGCTGCACTCCTCTCTTGCCCGCCCTTATGCAACGCTCAAGCACAGTGTGTGTGGGATCAATTGTAGCGCTCACGTTCGCTTCACTGACCGCTTGTGATGTCCAAGATTACCACTCTTGAGAGCTACGAGAGCATTTTCGTGACGGCTCTTCTTCCTGTGGAAAAATTCAATAAAGTCACATGTAAGTCACTCGAGTACCAATTCACACCATAGACTAAATTCGGTATATGATTTTTTTGCCCCTATCTCTCGTATTTTTAGTTCATGAAAGACATGTGCAAGTGTTGGAGAATTTTACAAATATAGCCTCTAAACTGTGAATGCGAAAATTGATAACATAAGAATTTATTACACGCACACTGCACAGTTATACCTGGAAGGCGTGTGAAAATGTGCGTTTCCCCTATATAACAGACAATTACGCAAAGAGATAAACGCCATGGCTTGACTTATCATCAAGAAATTACGCCAGAGTTCATTTTAAGGCGCGGAATCATACACAACATATACACCCATACTCAGCTAATGAAAATTGCAAACACTCGAATTTTTATCTGGTCACCGAGTCATTAATAGATTGAATCATTCCCTCTGACTCCCCTGCGCTCTAATTAGCCGTGATTTTCTATACTCAGACTTCTTCTTCAAACTCTCCACCGTTTACTTTCTTATCGATAAGATAAGCGCACTTTTAGAAAAATAGAATAGAATGCTGTGATACAAAGGAGAGATATTGTGGTGAAAACATTCAGAATTTGGTGTCAAGTAAAAAAGTGATAACATTCTACATCATGACTAATTCCTCTCATTCACTCTCTATAAAAAGCAACACTCACTTTAGATGCTTCCATAGAAACTGATATGGAAAATGAATAACTCATACTTTTCACGTCACAATTCATTTTTCATTAACGATTTCTGCCAATTTAGAAAATGATTAATTCACAATTATCCACCTAAATGCTCAGGAATATTCTGCTCAAAGCAATTCTATTATGTTGCCTACACGTTGTAATTGGAAATGATGATTATTGTTGCAAACAATAGTGTATATATTTTAATTTGGCACAAAAAGGCGCGCAGTGGCAGAAAGTGTATAAGAAAAGGGAAATAAAGCTGAAGAAGCATGAGATGGTTGTTTAAAAGCAAAACCTATTAATGCAGCAACCGTTGCAAAGGTAGAAAATGCACTTTCTCTGGACTGATTGGAGAGAAGCAGAATATTACTTTTTTCCATGCACAATAAATGAGATAAGCGAAATAGAGGTTTATTTATTTGATATTTCTACCTTGTTTTTGAGCATTTAGTATGTTTTTTTTCTCAATGGAGAAGTCAATTAGTGAACAAATACTTCAAATCTTGTGTACGTTCAATTGCATCAGTAGATTGTACAAATACGATGAGTTTCACTATTATTGTCATATAATAAACGAAATATGTCGATTTTACGTAGTTGTTAATGGAAAATGCATTAAGGATAACAGAAACTAACAAATGGTGGAATGAAATTTATCAATTTCAGGTGAATGGAAAAATTAGATTGGTTTCACTGATAATAAAATTGTCGGCAGAGTGAAATTAATTATAGATACTATTTAGCAAGCAGTTTTAAACAGATCGATCTTCGGTCAAGCTAATTTATTGAGTAATATAAATAGTTAAATAAATAAATCAAAATGTTCATCTGCTCTCAGCGTTATCTAAGTTCTGTTTTAAATATTTTATATTATTATATAAATATCTTACAATGTTTGATCTTATTCATCAACTGGCGAGCATTAAGCATGCTAGAATAAGGATATCGACTGAAGTGTTAAATGCTCAATCATAAACTCAGTAAATATACATTTTGGCTAAACCACAATTTCTGCACAAGTGCGAAGATTTCTCTTAAAATAGATTCACAATTATTCTAGCATTTGAATGCCTCGAGTAATAAAAAATACTGAAACAAGTACAAGTTCAGCCAATTAATAGTAGAGGAATTTCGAAAGAATTACATATACAACACTATGCGATAAAGCTACGGCTACTTATGTGCGTCCACTATTTGTTTTGTTTACATTTTCGCTTTTTTCGTCGTTTTCTTGTACAAAAACTCTTTTTGTCATCCCCACTTTAACACTATAACTCCTGGAGGTCGTTTTTTGCAACTCTTGCCATCTCAGGCCAACTATTAATGCTGGCCATTGTGTGCCTTTTATTTGTTTGGCAATTTGGAAGATCACCGGTTGATGAAGAAATGCCTTATCTAGAAGCTTTTTGTCATAGTGATTCAATCGCTGTGTCGACAGCGCTTTATCAAAGAGGTAACATCATTTCGTACGAAGAGTTTTGTGGACGAGGAGAGAATATTGGAATTTGTGCCATATGTTCCTGTCGCCGCTGGTATTTATTTAAAAATGCTATGAGTCACATCAACTAGAGCAAGGCCAAAGGTCACGATAGGAATTCATTGTATGGGGCGATAGACTCTCGTTTGGCTGTAAATCAATGCTGTATACATAACTTTATATTTTCTAAATTAGTGACATGATTATCACGCGATGCGCCGCACATGCAGACGTGATTTTGAGTGACTCAGGCAACGTCTCAGGCTTTTCCGATTCACAACGTCACTGTTCTTTCTGTTGCTGTGTAGAATCCAACAATGCTGGCCAACTTTGCGACAAGGGAAAACTCGTTTCGTACTTTATAATGAGCACGCAATTATCCACATCGATAAATTCTAACAAGAGGAGGTCTTTTCAACCTGCACAACGTGCACGGCAAGGTTCTGCTGCCCTGCGTCTATTGATGAAAATCGACGTTCCGCGAATCAAAAATATCTTTTTGGATTATTCGACTAATCTGCGGTGATAGCATTCCAGACAAAAGCTGCTTGAGAAACACGTGCCAGTTAATTGAGGTGTCTGAAGAGGCGTCAATTGGACACGCCAATCCTTAGATCACAATTTTAAAAATAAGAGAAGAAGGCTAGTTTAATTTTCGCGATATTTTCGAATGAAAAAAAAACCCGTGACGCCAAGTAACCTTCCCACACTGCCAAAGCGTACGTGCACAATTCACATTGTATATTCGGGTGCGGAGTGTTAATTAAGATATTCACTATTTGAGTTGCGATTAAGCAAAATCGCACCCGCGAAACCATTCTCAGTTCTCCTCAAGATTGACAAAAAGAACCGAGCGCTTCTCGAGGAAGAACCGCCCTTTTCGCCTATCGCCACATTTTCGGCAGCACATCCGCAGTGCCGGCGACAAACAACCTCAGCATAGCCAAGGTGAATGCTCACATGACTGGGATTTTTGCAGAAATTACCAGCTTGAAGTGCATTTGATCTTGCACAACTCCCAATTCCGCGGCTTTTCCCGAGCTTGTGGGAAAATTAGAGAAACTTTCACGCACCGTGATTCTCACCTTTTTCACACACACTCCCAGTCTCAACTCGGATTTGGCTCTTCACTCCGCGTTCCGTGGATTCCTACGCTTTCCGCTTCTCAACACGGCACTTTTACCATTGAACGGCAACTGATAAGCACCTACTGCACCACGAGATCTCCCATTTTCACTGGAAAAAACTCCGCGATAATGGAAAATCTTGCTGGCTTGGAGTTGGAATTTGTTTGACACTGGCAATCTCGCAAGTGCACGGCGAAAAGGGGCGAAAGCGGAGTGTGCGTCGGGCTGAATTCTTCGGGCCGGATTGTCAGCGTTCGGCGTCGGTGTGAAAATATGAATGTTCGCTTTCTTCTAAAGAAAAATCGTGGTTTGCACTAATTATCTTTGGTGAGAGACAGACCTTCGGAAGTTTGATATTTCCGGTAAGATTTGATTCTATAATACAAATAGCCAAATAGCCGCATGAATTGAGCACAACGCAGAACTCCGTGCGGCGAAACTCCCGCCGTGACGCGCCCACCTTCTTCTTCTTCTTCCTTTCTACGTAAAGCATTGCAGAGTGTGTGGGTTGCGTGTGTGTGTGCATAGCCAAGATTCACGAAGCAGCATTCGTAAACTCGCTCCTTGGATTCTCAATGTAGAAAAAGCGAAATGAGTGGGAAATAAGAGAGTCAGTGCTGCTAAAAATAAGAGATGGCACTTTATGGGGTCTTAAAAACACCTAAATTTCTCTTTCATTTCTCAATATATTTTATTAGAAATTCATTCTAATAAAATATTAAATATATTATCTATCATATATGTTGATGTTTTTTTCCTTATGTAAAAATAACAAGAAAATTACGCTGCCGAGCAATAACGAAAATTATTTACAAAATACATTTTAAAATTATTTTTCTTCTTTTCCACTAATGAAGATTAAATTAATAAGTGTGTTACACACGGTACACATTCTAAATTTTCCTCTCGTGTGGGCGCGAGTGTGTATGATTGAGAGCCTTTTCCCGCTTTTCTTAATCATGTAACGATCTCTCGTGTGTAGAAAATGAAAATTTACATAGTAAAAATTATCCACCGTGGTCAATGCGAAGTCATGATTATAACGTCCGGGGCTGATTTACGTATGTCGTCGCCGCGCTGACTTCTCTTGGCTTCGTCCAGCTTCAGGGCCTCCAAGGCCTTCATCTGGTGGTGTAGACAGTGCTGATGGTGCGCGACAGGGGGTGGAGGGGGCGGACAGCCCAGGTCACTCATTTCGATGACATTCGCTGCCGATGGGATTAGAGGCTGCTTGGCCGGGTTGTTGAGCTCGTGGCCGACATTGGACATCACGGGCGGGGAGTTGTAGCCGAATGTGGAAAATCTAATTTCACTCGAAGGGATCGGCGATTGAGTGACTTTATTCCTGAAGATGGGCTGAAACAGCGATTCCCTGTGGAGAATGTGGGGACAAACATTGCAAATTTAATAAGATAGAAAGCGAATTTCGAAGGGATTTTTTCCACTGATGGGAAGTCGAAATTAAATGCCAAGGGTAAAAAATCCAAGGCACTTATCATAGGTTTCATGACCTTTTACGTAGCTATGTTACATTCCTGCCTACATTCGACATAAAGACATACTTTATGTTGCGGTTAAGGGTCAATAGAGAGTGTAACGATAAATGAAACATCTACAATTTCCTGCAAATTGACTACTCCTTGCTCGGGCTGTTATAAAAGTGTGAATATTCTCACCTCGTTTGGCAGGCGATATCACACATCCCAACGCCATCGCTGCTGTGACTCTCATCTTGGAGACTGCTTGTTCTCTGAAAGAGCCAGCAAAGTGAGAGAGAGATTGGGAATAAAAGTTTCATGAGGCCAGTAGAGGGATGAATTATTATTGTTGGCTCATCAAACTTACCCATCCGACAAGCACTTCGGGGCGTTTCATTTCACAGTGGGTCACAGTCCCAGTGGTGGGAATTGGGACGATTTCGCGGTAGTAGCGATTTGAGATGTCTGGCGAGTCCAGGATATGGCCAGTATTACTGATGGCGTCCACACTCTTCCCGCGTGGCGCAGAAGTTGCGACAGCCAATTTGGACGATAGGTTTTCCCGGGACTTTTTCATCGATTGTCGCTCCTCGGGAAGTTTTGTAGAGTGTCGACCCAGCTCATCCAACTTGCTCTCCTTGGATTGCCGAATGTGTTCCTAGGGAATAGGGAAATTGATATACATTTGATAAGAAAAGAAAACACATTCCGCGAAGATAAGGAGATGAATGCAGCACTGACTCTTTAAACTAATTAATATCAATTGAAAATAATTCGTAAGTTGATTGGAATTTGATAAAGTTCAGAGAAGAAGATTATTGGAATTTCCACATAAAAATTAAATTGAACAATTTAGATAGTTTGCTATATACTTAATGTGTAAAAAGCTCAGAGCATTCGCTTCTGGGGAATGTTGCTCTGTGAGACCCTTAATGTATCGTATAGCAATTTAGTTGGCGGAGAGCTCTTGAAATGAGGTTTTTTATTCCCCATGTCCGCCAGGATACAGTTGCGGAGAAATATCCTGAAAAATGGTCTGACAACAATAATATGTCGATATTTCTCAATGAATTTCCTCACCGCGCATCTTTTCCCTTCATTGTGCACATTCCCCTGTAACAGTTTTCAGATCATGAAGCGCACCACAAGTTGTTCATTTGTAATCCCGTAAAAGCCTGAAGGATGCAGTTGAAGTTGAACCTAAATTAACTGCTCTTCCTCTTTTGATTCTTCTTTGCAAATTGTTTCTTTGTTTCTCAGAAAAAGCGTCTTACAAGTAGCAAGTTTATACAGTGTCCAGAGAGCAATTGTGTGTTGATAAAAGCAAGGTTTTCTCCTCTTATATCCTTCGCATCAATATTTATGTGGATACTTGTGGGGATGTCGATATTATTTCAAATGATCGTTTGAATGGTGCTGAAGGAAGTAGAATTCAAAACTCACAAAGAATTGTAAGGGTTGGCTATCATTTCTATACGTTTTCTTTCCGCCTTCTCCAGCATTGACTAAACCGAGAAACTGAGAAAGGAGACAGGCAATTGATAAGCACCCGGTTTAGCTTAGCTTGTCCACAGCTGTGATTCTCAGGGATAACTCTGGGTGTGATTGACTCAATTAATTTATTTTTAAAACATAAGAATTGCAATTCAAAAGTGATTTATATATCAAATCAAGAAATTAGTTCTGAGAAATGTTTATAACTTGACCGGCAATCAGAATATCAGAAATGCAATTTGAACATTTCCTATCAATTTTGATTCCCTTTCTCCCTGACGTCAGTGACTGTTGAGCTGATCGCAAAAGCGAGTCGGATGTATGAAATTCCCGGCCAGAAAGCAAATGCACCTTATGTGCTAAAGGCACAAAGCTGAGCAAAATGTTCGACGTGGTGCGGTAAGGTTAGGAATTTCTACATTATTGAGATATATAATGTTCTACAACAGCATTAAATGGACTATAGTTGGAAAAATGAAAGCAGGAAATAAAATATAACTAAACAAGATCTGAGGTGAAATAGAAGGACTACAAGAATGTGTGAGCAATAAAAAAATGAAATGAAATCTATACTGAGATGTGCCATAGAGAATACAAATACTGCAAGAGCAGGAGTTTCGAACGTTTAGAGCATAGAAAATGGGGTGGTTATAAAAGGGCATGCGGAGAGGTTGAGGAATTATAACGAAATAATACGTGTATCCCTGAGTGAAGGAATTCTGTGGGTGGGAGAAGACTAACAAATATAATGAGAACTGTATGATGTGGAGAAAATCATTGAATGGAGTTCCCTTCTTTTCCGCACATTATGTGTAACATGTGAAGATTCTTTTTATTAGGTCACTCACGACTGTGCGGTGTATTGATAAAAACCAATATGAGATCTTCGCGAGAATGTTATAATAAAAGTACATTGAATCAACAAATGTTGATAACGAAGTGAAACTACTTTTGAGAGTGAATTTCACTTCAGCTGGAACATCTTAAAGTTTGGAAGTTTAATTCGATTACAACTTAGAAAAATATTAAAGGAACACTTCAAAAGTATTGCATAATTTCGGATAATATTTTCATTTGCCAGAAGAAGTGCTTGAGAGTCTTCGAGTGAAATTGCCAATTAATTTATTGACATTGCTATTGCAATTTAACTTCAAATAACATTTTTCATGACATCACGGAAAAAAGCTAACGATATAACGAGGAGTAAATGGAAATTTTATAAATGTTATGGAAAATATGACAAGACAAATATTATCACATTTCCTTCAGCCCCAGTTCCCGCATTATATGCTGATGACCGAGGGAAGTCCTTGCATTTGGGAGGGGATTTTGTGAAAACATAGAAGAGAAGAATACAAATTGCATTTTACATCATGCCTAAAAGGGTATTATGTGCTAGTTGAACTAAAAAGTGGCCACAATGATTGGTTTCAGCGGGAAATTGAGTTGTTATTCCATCTAAAAATGATTAGAAGAAATGTTGTATTACACAATTTCACTGAACAAAATACAAAAAGCCTCAGTGAAGCGTTTCTCTCTCTCTCTCTGAAATCTGATTCATTAAATAAACCATCCGATATGGGGAAAAACCATGGGGTTGAGAAACGACAAGATAGAGGAGAGATTTTCATAAGAAACGGAATTAATAGAGATGTTGGTAATTATACAAGAAACACCCAACATTGTATGTACGTTGATATGTATATATATATATATAAGAGGAATATAGCATTTTGTAAGTGAGGAATATTCGGGACGAGTTATGCTGCCGATTAATTTCAGGAATTTTCGCAAAAGTATTTTTGCCCCCTCGAAACTGAAAGTGGATGTTATATTTGTAATGAATGGAAAAAGTATATTACGAGAGTGAGGGTGAAGGGATCATTTAATGAAAACATCTATTAATACCATGATAAATATTATGTTTGCAGTAGTACAAATGTATTTAAATTGAAATACAGTAGAAGACATAATTTTATAACCCGCAATTTATTCTGCAAAAGTTTTACTGAAAATTAATATGGCTAAAATTATGATCCATTTATTACGCTTTTATCAAATTTTCTACAATAAACTTTTGCTAAGAGCTTTTAAATGTGCGTGTGTGTGAGAGTGTGTTTGTTCATAAAAATTTTCATGAGTGGCTTAATAGATATTTTATTACCTGTTGCATAAAATTTACATTGAGCCAAATACAGTGAGTGTAATCTATATATGCAGGTGCTTTTAATCAACATAATTCTATAGACAGGTAAATTCATTTCCTTTTATATCTCTACCTTCACTGGGGAACCAGGAGAAAGGGATTCAACCATCTCTGTGAATATAATTGGGAAACTTTTCCGAAGGTTCATGAAATTATAAGATGTGCCCGGGTGAAAGTATAGCCTTACATTTTGGGAATGTATTCGAATTAAGAGGACGGCGATGAACAAACACCTCGAGGACTTTGGTAGAAATATAAGACCCAGAGTTCGGTGGACAACAAGGTATCCTGTTTTTTTATGGCGATAATGCAAGGATGGAGATATAAATTCACCTTCTCTGTTCGCCATCACCTTTGGAATGGGAAGATTAAGGAATTCAATTAAGATTTTATGGATTTCACCGTCAAATAGCTTTATCAATAATTTAGGTATGTGAAGGGACACTTTTCTGCGGTGTTGAGGAAATTTGTTAAATTCTAATCAAAGTCTCATTGTGTACACACACACATTTCATTCATATTAAAACACACCAAAAGAGCGTGCTTCAGGAGGAAATAAAATTTTCTCCATCCTGCATGATTTTAGACTCTAAATTCAAACTCAAAGTCTCTGGAGCATGCAAAGAACTTAAATTGCGTCCTCGCACACACGAAAATAGTAGAAGATCGTGTGAGTTCCTGATGAGTTGTTTGCCTCATTTTCTCACCACTTTCTATAGCACACATTTTGCAATTTGTGTTCACTGAAAATCCCCCAGTTTCAGAACGTACAAGAGCGTCTAAGAGGAAGTCTCTCATGGTCGTCTTCCATGGTGAACCATAAGAGTTTAAAGTACGGCGGATGTTGGACAATTTCGGCTGCAGACACAGGAAATTCTGTAAGAGTTGAAGTCTCGCGCGTGCAACCCAAAACTGTAGCATAGAGAGCACAAAACTAATATATTGCTCAGTGATATGAGATGGGGGATAGTTTTGGTGGTGACAAAGCCTGATCAAGCACCAACAGAGAGATGCATTGAGTGCAGCATAAGTTTGCCTCCTCTCTCGCTCTCTACAATACTTATATTCAAAGAGCAATATCCTTTCTGGCCCCACCATTTCACTTCCCACGGGAAACTTCTCTTCGCTCCCCTTGTGGTGCACATGTTTATCAGGATCTATTGGCTCAATATCTATACAAGAACTCACCACGAGACGATAGACACAAACTTTTCAACACACTTCACAACTTTTTGGACTAAATTGAGCTGGAATTTTTTAATTTTTTATCGCTCTTCATCTATTGTGAACCAACGAAGATAGTGAAAATTTCCAATAAACTCGTCCTCATAAAAACTTTCTGCATGTACATTATATCTAAAGTTTGTTTTTATGAGGAGAACGAGAAAAAAAAATCTTTTTTCAGTACTTGTACACGATGTAAGATCCAAATATATAACAATAAGAAACATATGTTAATACAAGACTCACTAGAATTATGACTTTGTCTTCAGCAATCTACTTTGATATTTACTCCTTGTAACGTTTTCAGAATATATTCTGTTGAAATTGAATTCAATTAATTTGATAGCTTTGGCAAACCCCGTGTTAATAGACAATACCACTCTCTTAAGACTTCAGTAAGCATAAGCACAAGCAGCCCGAGCGGTGTTCGAAGCGCTTTGTGCATACACATTTCAAGGAAACCGAAGCCCGGAGGTCACTCTACTCCTACCTGTCTAATTAAGGGAAGATACGTGAGTTTATTTGAGAGCGTATTTTGCAGAAAACACCATCACCACATGAACCAAAAGACGAACATTTACCATAGCCACCGGAAACAATATGATGTACATATGTATGTATACGGAGAAGAAATTGCCCGTGGTTTACAATTAAGTGCACAATGCAGTGCGACTTGACTGTTTTCACATGATTGTGTTATGTACCCTTTCATTAGCAGGACAAATCAATTTTGTCAAGCTATTAGCAAGCAATGTCTGTTTGTAGATTGGTGAACAGAGCCTCGCACTGTGTACCATCAATTTTCCCATTTGTGATACATCGAGTCTAAAGATTATGGCTTGAGGGACACTTACCCTAATAATCTTGTGGTCTCGCATAAGTTTTCTCAGGCAGCTAACCAGAAAGGCAGTAAACATTCCACCCAGGATCAGACCAAAGACGACAACTATGATGACAACATGCTGTGGCTGTCCTTCTTCATCCTTCTGCAGATAAATTAAATTAATTGCTCAGCATGTAATTTGCGTGGTGGCAATTTTGTCAATATGGGCAACATCTTACAGCACATTCATCCTCGTCCCATCGGAAGCGACAGTTCACTCGGCCGTTGCATCTCAAGTCGTGAGATATGCAAGTTGCATCCTCGCAGTCATATTCATTGTCTTCGCATGCTGCATGGTTATTGGACGGGAGGTGACAGGGATATAAAATGAGATTGTTTCAATTGTCACCACAATAATAAAGAAATGTGCCTCAGGTGAGAATTTATCTTACTTTCGCCTGCCGGTTTCTCCCGAAATGCCGTGAAGAGAATGGCGAACGTCGAATTTATTGCCGGTGGCTCCGCATAGAATCGAATATGCAGTATGTTCTTGTTGGATGTGACAGAATCAGCAATTGAGCCACAGAAATTTTTTAACCTACAAAGAGAGATTGAAAGCAAGACAGAGAATTGAATGGAAATGATAAAATATGCTCGAAATGGAACAAAACCTCAGATATAAATCGAAATTTGTACTTGTTAATGCAAATTTGCTAGACAATTGAGCACTACATATATTCATCAATTGTATATAATAATATACTATAATGAACATATCAATTTGCAAACTGCTGGGATTGAGAAGTTTAATTATGAAAAATCAATACTTTTGTGCTGCAATTCAGTTTGGAAACTCATTTTGCTCCAAGTGGAATTATATTCGCGAGAGTCGCAAGGCAATGGTCAGCAACTTGCCCTAACTTTTCTCCTATATCCTCTATATAATCCAATAAATAACTAATAATGGTACATAATTAATATTCCACATCACTTCCTCGAGAGGACCTTTGATCAGTCATCAAGTCAAAGGGAATTGAATATACATTAATTATGCAACTGAACTGTTTCGCCTCTTTATGTGGATTGATTGCTATGTACGACAAGTATGTATAATTTAACTATCACGTTTCCTCGAAGATATATGAATCCGATTCCTGAAACATTTATTGGACACATGATAGTGGAATTATATGACCTAGTAAGTCACTGAGTTTTCTTCAGGGACACTCCGACTCGTGTCAAAAGTGGGAATTTCCCATATGGTTGCCTTAGATGAACACTCCGTCTCAAATTTTATTGTTCACTTGATATGTTGAACATTGAAGGCTTAAAGTTGCAGATTATTTTCTATCATCTTTAATTCTACACATGAAAAATCATTAGCAGATTTGAGTGTGATTACACATGTTTCAACAGTTGAGAGGGTAACTAACGTCCTGAACCACATTATAGTTTCGGTACATTGAATAAGGAATATGGTTAACACGTATACATATAATATAAATCTTGTATAATATTTACCGGCTAGGGATGTCTGTCTTCTCCCCGAACACGTCGACGAAATTGCTGTCGCAGTCATTGGGCTTATCGAGTTTGAATAGAAGAAAGGCCAGTTGAATCTGTGTGTGTTGTGCAAACAAATTGATTATTAGTAACCTATTTATTCATTTAAATTTAATACACAAAGCCATGGGTATATGACATGGTCCATCGAGGGTGCACCGAGTTAATATTTCATAGCTTTAAGTGGTTTATAAGTGATATATGTACATGCTGGATACCAACCTTCCAGCCGTCCCAGACTCGTATCACCCACATACAGTCTAGTGGTAAATTGTGCTCCACGGAGATTTGCATCTTCTCAGTCAGTATATCGGTCCGATTAACCCATCCTTCGTATCCACCCACCTCAAAGCGGCAGTTTGAATCATCGTAAATAGCTATTTTGGGTTGGAACACGGAAGACGATTAAGTCAGGAAATTAGTAAATCTCCCTAACAGTTGGGCTCTTAGGTGTGTGAGTGAGAGAGAAAGAGTGGAGTGGGCTTCTTTAGGGAATTTCCTTTCAATGATCTCATATGTGGTGTAAGTAGTTATGCTCATGTATACATTCTAATAGAGACCACCCTGAGAATATATTGAGATGCCACATTATATCAATATACGCTACGCCATGGCTATGGAAGAAGTCAAGATGGGAAATTTATTGGGACGCCCTCACGACAAACACTTTTCCCATACAGGCCACCAGCTCTTGTGCAGGGGTAATGTCCAAAATAGGGTGATAGGACACCATGTGAATATTCAATATTTTATATAATATGTGAGAGTTGACCCATAAATAAATTATTTATGCATATGTATGTACGGTATGACATGAAAAACATTTGAGCACATTTAGGGATCTTCTTCCATTCACATGGATTTCAATTCAGGGCGCTACATGTGCTATTTATAATGCAGGAAATTAAAATGAATTTCAGAGATGGGGATGGACTGCCATCTCAAAGATGACTCAGAGGAATCAGTGGGGAATCCGAGGGCGCAGATTCCAGTAAATCCTTCAGTGGCATTTACGTTGAAATTGAATTTGTCCATCATGGTTGGATTGGCAACTTTTCCCATACCACACATTCATACATACATCTCCTGGGAAAATGCAAAGAGTGGCGAAAAATGAATCAATTCTATTCCAAGAGACATTCCATTTTTTGCCCTCATCCACACACCAAATCCCGGAAGTCCACATAGTAAGTACACTAGATGGCTTTGGTGTCGGGGAGTGAGGAAAAAAATGAAGAAAATAACAATCCTTAATTTTTACGAATGTGAAACGCTTCATGATTTTATGGACGACAACATTTCATATTTATATGAAAGGAGTGTCGTTGGAGAAAACTGCTCCATTCTACACGATATAATAAAACAAATACATATTTATATCACAGAATATAAATGAGAAATATACTTACAGCTTGTCGGACGTGGGATGTATTCGTAAACGGCAACGAAACCCGCATATTCGATATTCTCGTCCGAGTGAAAGTGAAGCCACAATTGTCGCTCCCTTGATGTCACCATTGGCGGAAAATCAGTTCCGCAGAATTGCCCAATCAAGCTGGAAAAGCCATGACCACCGTCCCTAATCTGCAAGAGCAAGGGTCAAACTTATGCTCGTGCACACACATCAAGATTATTGTTAATATTTCATGAGGACTCTGCTTATGATTCACGTGTGCAGTGCACTCACCTCTAAGAAATCAAATTTACACTCCTCAGACGGCTCTATATTGAAGTAGTCTCTAAAATCTAGTCGTATCAGAAAACCCACAGGAGCTGCAAAAGAATCAATTTACAATATATATTTAATATGGATGGTGCGTAATTGAATTTGAAAACTTTGATTGCTCAAACTCTATAAGCTTTCATACATGGTAAAAGCTGCCAACAACACTTTTGAGAGCATGAACTTTTGTCATAAGCTTCAACTCATTAGAAAGAGTATTTCGTGACTGAAAACTTGTCGTATAATCAAGAAAACCACTATATTTAATTCAATCTGGCTGATTAAATTTGTAGCCTAACATAAATGATCCCTAGAGTATAATTTATTACGGTCATACCCACAAATTATGACAATCGACGTAAATGTGGTGTATGAAATATTTTATATTATCTGAGAGTTGCGACCAGAGAGTTGAGAATGGATAAACAAATATCTGCAGTTTAAATCTCATTTAGTATTCTCTGTAGTGGACAACATGGAGAAAGTAGGAGGAAAGTTAAATGAGTACAATAAATTAGAGCACACGAGGTCATTAGCTTTAATTGGACACCTGCTGCTGGTAGCATTTTACTGCCCTCTAATTAATACGTATGTATGGAATAACGCTCTGAAGAATAAGATAATCTGCCAATAAAATAGCACTTTTCCTACTAAAACTCCTACCAATAATTTTCCCCAAAATCCGATAATGTACACACAAACATTATGTATGTACAATCTCACGAACAAGATCCTTTGAGGCCATTTCCCGTCACTTTTTCTGCACAAGTCGGTGTAAGAATAACTTTGTTCTCTCTCTCTCTCTCGTCCTTTTGTCGCAATTCACAATTGTTCCCTTGGTCTGTATTTACATGAAATGCATCCCTGTATTTCCATTGTTAATAGCATATCCAGCGTGCCATAAGGTAGGCTCTCGTTGGGAAATGGGCGAGAATATGAGGAAAATGACATCAGTAATGTAATGAAATTACAAGCCATGTGAAATTTGACACAGAAACACTTTAATTTAATGCTAAATTGCAGGTAGATGTAAATTTAGCGAAATTGTGTTAAAGACCTTAAGTAAAATGAACTAATCAAATTTAAATGTGTATTTTGTTGCCAAATGCTGAAAATTAATTTATGAACATGAATTGCACCTGCCAAAATGCTCGATTGTTCGTATATATTTTCATTCCTCTATATTTTGTAGTTTTTTTTTGTTGTAATTTGCTATTGTTGCGTCTTGAACCACAGAAATTTTGAAATGTTGGCAAGTGTAGCAACATTAGCTTTTGTCCATTAACTTTCCATGTAATGTACTTTAGGTCGTAATACCTCTACGAGATGCTTATTATTATGCCTCTGAAACATATGGCTCTTATTTTATGTACACACATGTATATATGTGATCCCTTATTGCCATTCCTGTTGGCTTGTTAACCTTAAGTTAGTCTAAGGTCAAAACATTGACGAGTTTCTAAAAATATTTTTCCTCGCTCAGAATTCCAATATTTTTCTTAGCTATTTCTGGATATTGTAAGAGGAAAAGATGAAATTGAAAAATCGAGGACAACAAAGACAATCGCTTTCTTTGAGCTTCCACAGGGCAAATGGAGCACAAAAGAAAGAATCTCTTCTGCGATATGAATGGAGAAATTTATTATTTACTACCCATCTGAGACTATGTTTGTGGGCTTGCAAGGATACCTTTTGTGTGGACACATGTTTTTGTATCCATCATTCTCAGTTGTTTGTGAATTTCACCTGCATCACACCCAGCAGCACAGCCAGTGTATTTCCCTCTTTCTCATTATATGCCCGGAAGCAATGAAACCATCATGTGAGTATCTGCTGATATGTACTCGTATCATAATCAACAATTCTTGTATCATGCTTCTTTATGAGTATATGTATCCGTGCCATATGCCAGCAAGACTCGCATTTCCACAGCAATGAAGGAGAAAATTTTTTAGAGTCCCTCGGGGCCAAGTGAAATGTTCATTCATACATATGTATATGTGTCAGTCTATAGCGAAAGCACGTCATGGCCGAAGGTACTGCTTCTTCTTTTCTCATGTCGGACGGGGGTGGAAAAAAGGGGGATAAATAAAGGAAATGTGGTGTCACGATGAAATAACTTTAATACAGGCATCCGAAAAGGTTTTTAATACTCCCAACACTTTCCCTTCCATATGATGAACAGCAAAAGTTTTCGCATTTGCACACAAAATATTCGTTTGAGAATAAGTACTTTGAGTATTATTGGAAGCCCACAGGAACAAGAATCTCATATAAGTTGGTCTCGTTGGAAATCAGTAAAAATTTTCCACAAGTAAAGTTGCGAAAAGTAGATAATGGAGAGGAAATGAATGTAGAGTATACTTTAACTGACATGGAGACAACTATCATCATCATTACCATCATTTTTTGCATTCCTCCTCCATTCGCTGCGAATATGCTAAATAGTCGCGAAAAATAACGCAAGGAGCAAACGAACCATGCACCCGCCGCGGAAGACTCACGAAATTCCCTTCCGCTTAATTTTATGTACAATGCTTTCGTAGCTTTCGTATGTACAGAGCTTGTCATGTCGTGTGCTCCAACATTAAGTACGTATATGTAGCTGATAAGAGGAAATGAAGAGAGAAGTGATAAAAATGTGAATATGAAAATGGGTGAAGGGCCCAGGAAGCACATATGGCGGGAATTTAATGATGGTGAACTCATTCTTCTGACTCTGCGAACCGCTTCATTTCTGAATTAGTGAAAACGATTCAATGATAATCTTATCCTTAGGCGTAATTCACTTGACTGTGCGGTTGCTAAAGAAGCAATTAACATTATTTTGGACTGTTTTAATGATAAACCGGAGAGATTCGCAAAATGATTTCCCTACTTGAACTCTGCAAACCATCCTTGAGTAAATACAAAATTCACTCTAAAGATTATTAGTGCAAGAACACTTACGCTACATGTTGTCTATTAAAATCAATAGGTAGCAAAAGCATCCAATTCGTTACTCAAATATCAAGGCAAGTGATTCCATTAATCATAGATTACAAGTATGCGCCAATTAGGAAAATATCGGATTACTCTTGTCTTGTTCAGCTTCAAGTGTTTGTGAAAGTTTTAACACATAATGCAGAACTTCTTCCACATTGCTACAGTTTTATATATATATATATATACCTCAGTTTGACTTTAATTTTCATGATGCGTCGAATACACCAAAAGCAAATTGTCTACATATTTCGAGACGGAGCATCTGGAAAAGCTCCGTGTAGAAAACAGAGCTTTCTCACAGCCACAACCATTGCGTGAAAATGCCCCATGAAATTCTTGGCACTTTAGGACAAATCTCTTTGGTAAATGTTGATGGTATATCTTTGATACATTAGGTGTGAGATAATGAATATTGGACAGGACACCGTCTTCTTCGCATCCAGCTTAACTGCCCCAAAACAGGAGCGTTTCGGATACGATAGCAAACCCCATGGAATATTCCCCGTTGAGATTAACGAGATAAAGGATGGTGGCTATAACTGGGGATGATTTTTTGAATGCTGAGCAGTTTGGAGGGTGAGACAAAAAGCATTATAACAATTGGAAGAACAATTCATGATGACGTGTTATTATATCAGACTGTAATTCTTAATATCCCTCTGTGAAGGCTATTCGGATAGGTTTATGCGCTGTGGCATAAAATATTCACTTGCGAAAATAAAGACACAATTAAAAAAGTGTGGTGTAAAATTTAAGAATTCAGCAGAGAATTACTACTTCCAAAATTGAGTCATAAAAAATTCTACTACGTCAAAATGTTCTGACTGTATATTTTATTATTCATTGAATGTCTAAAAAGTCACTTCGTTTAATAGCTTCTCTTATATGAAGTGTCAAATTGAGTTATTATCGTTATTACATATATACACACACCCTCAGATATATATAATCAAACTTTGAGCGATCCCAGAATTCTTATTGGACGATAATAAGGGAGATTGAAAAATAAAATAAAAATGAATGCGTATAAATAATCTCGAATTACCTGTTGATTGTAAAGTTTTATTTCTTCAATCCAATTTCTGGTGACATCTCAATTTGTCAATTGCAAACACGCGCTCGTATATACGGAAATTCATATGTATTGTACATGTGTGCGATATAAATTTAATCTCGCCTAAAGAAAATTTGTGAAATTGACGTTTTCTTTTCATCTCTCGTTTTAGCTGACACAACTCCTTAACAACCACTTGAATTTAAATTGGGAAATCAAGTGTGATTTGACATTATGTTTTATGTGAGTTGAGTTGTTGTTTGTCAAAGCTTTTGTCCCGGAAATACGAAGTTGAGTGTGTACGTATAATTAAATGGGACAGATAAAAGGTGAGATTTCTTGGGGTGGATTCTACATAGAATTATTTAATTCGGATTTCGAGATAACATGCACTTACGACAGTTCAAAGCGAATGCTATTAATCATAAGACAACAGTGCTCAAAATACTTGTCAGATATTATCATTCTGCATATAAAAGGATGGAATGCGAGCTATATGATTCACTTATCGCGGCATTTCACTGTGCTCACCGCAGTGATATTCAAATTGCCAATAACTAACTTAGCCACTGTTTAAAGTGCAATAGACGAAAATCTACGGCCAAACACAAAACCACATTGCCGAATAATTTATAAGCCCACCACTATTGTTACACACGATTTCCAGTTCATATGTTCAATAAAGATGAAATATCAAAGTCTATAGACACTTTTAGGATGCTCAATGATACATAAATATATAGGCGCTACATATGTACATATATACGCATCCCGCAAATACGCGTTTTCATATTGTCCTGGAACTAAATATTGAAACACGTGTTGGTTTTCGAGCACAAAAATTGTTTCTCACTTCCCACTCGTTTAAATTTACAGCAGTGTATTGACACTGGACTTGTTGTTTATTTCAGGATTGTGGAAATATTTCCCCAATGGTTTATTAAAGCAATGATTGGGAACTTTTCTGTTTTGCAACAGTAAAATTTAAATTCCAATTGATATCTTGAATAACACTTTTACACATGGTGTGTATATTTAAATCACGGTGTGTGATATAGCATGTGTAACAAAATATTTACCTTCGAGAACGACAACACAGTCTGTTTTATTTGGGTAGTTGCCTGGATAGCTGGGACTGTAGAGTGTTTTCGCTTCCGGGTCTCCGATCACGAAGCTCTCGCAGACAGCTAAACTGGAAGTACTTGCATATTCTGGTGGAACGGCTCGTTTTGTCTTGCTAATCATATTGATCTCATCAACATTGTCTTTGACCAGTGAGTGACACGCCACTGAAATGAGATAAAATGGACAAAACTGTGAATCTTCATGGTTCAATTTGCAGATTATGATAGAAGTGAATGCATAAATATCCATTAGTAATGTACATTATGTACGTGTAAACAATAAAGTGATGGCGAAAGATGCTGGATCTCGCATGATCAAGGGAAAATGTGTGGAACGAGCAATTGATTGATTGAAGTTACAATCCACCCACTCTGTCTCCATTTGGTATATTTTCTTGCCGAGGTTAATTGCGCCAAAAGCCACATGCTGCCACCCTTCGACTCCTTCCTTATATGATGCCTCAAGTCTGTGTCGCTCAATGTGATTATTTTCTGGGTCACTGATTAACTATCATGTGGGGTTATAATAGGGAGAATTGACTCAAGTGACTTTATCACTTTTCATTAATCTTGTCTGTGAATACTATCTTGAATATCTTCCCCACTTTCTCATGGAAAAAGTTACGGGCTCTGGAGTAAATTTATTGATTTCACAAAACTTTCTTCCAAATTTCCAGCCAACACCATCGCATTGATATCACGGCCTGTCCCTTGATTTATGCTAATTTACCCAATTTATGAAAAAGGATATACTTTTTGCCAAATAGCTTCTTCCTCCTCATCTTCCTCTCTGTGGTCTCATTAGGGGCGGTCAGATATGATGTGCTATGTTGGGAAAAATATGTGATAATCCATAACACTAGCATTGCATCAAATCTCGTCACCATCCTCTTGATGAATAAATTGCTTTAATCTTGCCTCCGGCTTCTTCTGACTTTCTTCGTGGTGTTTTTTGTAAGCATCTTGTTTTTTGTGTAAACTAAACGGTTTTTGCTCTACTTAAAGTATTAAGAGCTTTTGTAAATTCCCAACTGAAAGGATTTTTACTCCTTCATGGTTTTCATTTTGTCATTTAATGCAATTAAATAGACTCTTCTTGTGCGCTCAACATGGGAATTTGGATAAAAGGAATGACTTATTCATACTAACATTCGTGCATAATCATTTTAACAAATGAATTCATATGGAAACATAGATGCAGAGAAGAGTGGACATTAGTAGTGGGAAAGTGTCTATTTGCGATAGTGTGAAAATTCTACCCCAAAATTCGTCCGCCAACAGTTTCATCATCACTTTTACATCTTCAACACGCATAGAATGTGACAAGACCAATCAAATCCACTTGTTCTCTGCCAAATCCATTTATGATGCTGTACAACATATTATATACGCAGCGGCAGTGTATTGAACAGTGGGTGGAATTGCATGACACAATGCTATGTACAAAAAGTACATATGTATGTGGAGTAATATTGTTGGTATAAAGTACCAGCGGTGGAAGCAGTGGACACACGAACTTTATCTCATTTCACGTCCGCTTATGTTCAGACAATAAAGCCAGGTATGGTGCGAAAATATGTATTCATGCGAACCAAATTTATCTACCATCAAGTTTCCAAAAACTTAGGGATGTAAATTATTTGGGGGATCTGCCAGAGCAATTAATAGAGTAATATTTTGCATAAGTGTTATGCTGCGTCGATATCTCTGAGCGAAGATCAAAATTTCTGAGCTTTGAGCACGATCCTGGGATTCAATATCATTAATGACAATCACGTGTGGTGAAGAATTTGAATATTTTGTGCGATAAAATATCTCATAATTGTTGGATGGAATAAATTTCGACATACTTATACCGGAAATTGAATCTCACCAGACTTTTGAATATATGATAAAAATCTAAGGGAAGACGATGGAGGGATGAGAAAAAGTTGGTTTAATACAAAATATCATTAAAATGACAGCACGTCCCTTCAGTGAGAGGGAAGAAGAGACGGCAGAGATATTATTATTCCGTTCGACTCTCGTGGAAGTTGAGATAGACGCGAAAAGAGTGATAACTTAAGACTCATCAAATTTGTATGTATAGCAATTAAATCGATATGAATATATAAAGTATACATGTGAAAATTAGATAGAGAGGCTGATATTTATAGAGGAGACTCTGTTCGGTTTACCACTCACGACTGGAATATTGTAAATTGCATGGTTACACGTGACAATTACAGCTATAAGCAATTGCTGTTGTCTTTTCTATTGTGCCCTTCTTTGCCACTTTGCTACATCACTCGCTGTGTGCAAGTATCTTGCGATATACATAGAGTAGTACACCTTTCCCTGAGGGTGAGTCTCAAAGTTGAGAGAAAGTTTATGGGTCTACAAGTTGTCTTTCAGCGTACAATAAGCGTACGCGACACGTTGAAACTTTTTCTATACGCGCCGCCTCTCGAATTCTGGCCACGTTATGGAAGCTTAATTGTTTCCCATTGAGGTGATCTTCCAGAATGGCAATTAACCACTTGACACGCTCACGTGTGGATGCAAATTCATTTCGCCTGATCATCAATGAAACGAGAAGACAATCAATATTTTCCGCAGTATTCAAATAATGCACGAAAACGTATCTAATTTGTATCATGAGCATTATTATCACTGTTCCACTTATTTCAGACATAATAAATGTCTCCAAATTATTCCATTATTCTCTCCATGATATCTTATGATTTACTGCTTCAAATTTATTTCTTCAAGGAAGACCGGTTAGCACGAAATGCATAAAAGTGATAAATTATGTAAGAAAATTGCTGACAGAAAGTAAATCTATGAATTTAAACTGCGTTCGTAGAGTTCATTTGTTTGGCCCGAAATAATTCAGTGTGCTATCAACTGTTTATCTTAAAATGAGTTAATTTTACCGCAAATTGTGTGGTTATTGGTGTCAAGTTGCAGCGAATTGTGTGTGTGAGAAAAATTGCTGAGCATTAAAATTTATCGGGAAATTGTTCCCTTTCTGTGTGAAACCTTGAGAGTTTCAGCATTGGACATCACTTTTCGACAATTTTATTGCTGAATAAATCATTTTCTGAAGCACAAAGTTGCGTGACAAAAGCATTTCACAGAGATAATTTACTTCCTCTCAAGACTTTTGATTACGCGTACAATGTTGGGACAATTTTGCCACAGCAATTCAACTTGAAGGACAACAGAAGAAGCACGAAGAGTGAAGAATCACATAGGAAATCAGTCCATTGTGAGAAAGTCTATTAGATCCTTTCAGAGTGCCACACTTAAATCTATTGGGGGAAAATCGTTGAAGTATGCAAAAATTACAAAAGGGCGAATGTCGGGTTTTTGTCCTCTTGAATATATACAATTGTATTTACTTAGGGACACAAAGAAATCATTACGTTTAGGTGTTAAACATGCCACATTGAATTGTAATTGCCAAGGATTGATCTGTGTTCTGTATATCCATTTGTACCTTATGTACATTATATACGTGTACGATGTGTACTTCGATATATACTTACGCACAATAATCGCCTTGTTTAATATGCATGTATTAAAAACCAACAAAAATGTGTGGGATTTTTTTAATGAAAAATTTTGACTGCGCATATATAAAATAATGTAGGTAAATTTATTGCCACAGCAAGTGATATGACTGCAAACATTACTTGTGCTACTTCAGCGCAATCAATTAATTCAGTGAAACTCTGTGGATTTGTCGTTTTTATGAGTATGCTAATATTAAAGAGGCGCCGAGGAAGGAAAATTGCAAATATAATTAGAAGGGTCGTTGTAATTTTGTGAAATTGGATTAAGCGAGATTTCACCATGTCGAAAGTACAAATTAAAAGTTGCTTCTGGAACACGAGCAAGACAATAATTTTGTTTTCATGAAATTACACAGATTGTATAAATATAAATATAAAGCACATGCAGTGGAATCTTAAATATAATTATAGTCTTTACTTATATTCATCTTGTTGAGTGAAATTATGCACATCTTGTTCAGGATGTGTAATAAATATATGCATGAATAAATGTATAAATATCAATGAGTTATAAATGTTGCACACGTAGGCAGAAATGAAATGAACTTGTAACCAAATATTACATTCATTTTATCATATCCGCACATAATTTTGCATATTTTTCATATGCATAAGCCCCATATTATTCTGCATCTGCACCTCGACAGATCTGTGCACACATATTATATATTTTATTCATACTCAAATTGAGTTCTTCGCTGTCAATTCATGTATTTACGAGTCTGTATGGTAATTTCAATTGTTGGTCTGTCCATGGTGAAAACTCTAAATATGTGCAATCTCGATGAGAGTTGCAGTGGACAAGTTATTATTGATCGGACTGGACAAGGAATTATTCCATCACTGAATCATGATATGCAAATTAAACATTTCAACTATATAATTACTAACCTATTGACAAATTCTGATAATAGACATAAACAGAATTAGCATAGTATATAGATAAATGTTCATTGTGGAATTATAACAAAAGGCCTTTATAACTTTGTGGAGAAAAATTCTTAATATTGTTACACTTGACACTCATTAATGTATGCATGATATCATAACTCATTTTCCATCATCATGCACATTACACAGAAGGTGCATTCGTCAAAGGAGAAAGCTCGGTTTCTTATATATAACAATGCACATTTCAGTTAAATGGGTTGAAGCATATATTAATGCATTGTAAAATTATACTGAATATACTTGAACATTTGTGGTATAATACGTGACTTTTCACTGTCAAAAAGTTCATATTTCATTATTTCAACATTTAATTCACATGACAGACAACAGAGAATAATTCCTGAATTAACAGTTTGTCATTGTTTCTTCTGTGGGTAACGCGATTTTATGAAATGGACTTTTTGAATCCAATTTTTAAAATATTTTTTTATCATTGTTAAGTGCCAATTTATTTACTGTCACAATGGAATCACATTAAAGAGAGAGAGAGAGAGAGCAAACAAGAAGAAAAAAAGGAAATTATCAATGAGCGGCAAATGTGAATGGTATTGTAATAAAAATAATTAATTTGCCACAAAAGAATACAAAAATTATTGTGAATTTTTAAAAAGTATCTGTAGTTTTGTATAATTATTGTCCTACTATATATGTACAGTAATCGCCAAAATTATGTAATGAATACAAAAATATGAACATCATATACTATCCGACAAACCTGTGGAACACATATTCGGTGTGTCGAGTGAAATATATTGCTGAATTTTGTGCGAAAGGGTGATGTGGTTTGAAAAATGGAAAAGCTGAAGCAGGTGAAGACAATCCTGAAATTCACACCTTCCTTCCCCACTGAATATGTAAGGGGAAGATTCAGAATAAGTATCACATAATTTATGCTGACAGCAGGGTTTCTTCTGTGACATTAAGCTAGATGTACATATCTAACTCTTGTATATGTACTGTTTGAAAGATTGGTCATGAATGCAGAGTAGAAGTTTTTATTGTACAATATTACACCCACAGTATTTTTTTTATAATTGCCTATAAAATTTTTATGCACTCGATGATTAATTGGGGAATGTTTTTGATATACAAAAGAGAATTCTAATAAGTTTGCACCATCAGCCTATAAATTTTTTGTTTATACGATAAAAAAGGAGAGATTTGTTGGTCTATTTATTCAGCAAAATGAAGTTTGTTTGCATTTGTGCATAAAAGAGAGGCAATATTTTACACAAGCTTACTTATTATATATTCTTGTGCTTAATTTTTGTCTCATAGACGTTTTTCTACCACTAGACCTTAAATTTATTGCTTCACCACCCAGAACTTTTTCCACCATGGCTTTTTTCACAGCTCCTGTGTTCACCGGAAGCTCGCGGTTGCGCCAATTGAGTTAATACACTGTGGTTTCCGGCAAATGTTACATTTCGGTTGAAATCCACAAAACAATTATACTAGCACAAACCTCTGACTCTTTTAATTAATGTCAAAGCTGTTTTTCTCTATATTTATGGGTGGCATGAGAATGATTTGACATAACATTGTTATGTGCAGAATCACATTTACCATAGAGCAGATCAACTGCGAAGACTTATCGGGCGATTCTGCTCATTTGCGGCATGTCTTTTGGTCGCTTCTCAAGAGTCTTCTGCACTCAAGCGCTCTACATAAGTTTCTGTATAAGCAATATTTGAAAGAAGAATGGTTTAGGAAGAGAAAGGGATGAAAACATAGCACATACAGTAAGCAAAAGGCGCAACTCCCCAGTCAAAAGGGGGTTGGCACAATTGAATTTCTAGCTTGTGGGATTTCTGTTTACACAATTTGGAGCCAACAACCGAGTGAGAAGCCACTTATATATATGTTTAAATTACAAAAGTATAACATTTGCACAGATGCTCTTTAAACACATACAGCAAACCGCCATTGTGTCCTATTCACGGCAAAGGCTCTCTTGTATCCCCATTTTCAATGAATATTTCATAAGGGCTTTAAAAAACAAGAGGCAAGCACTCCCATGACGATATCTAAACTGTTGAAAATCAAAGATAAAATCTGATTGTTTCATTTAATGATTGAAATAACTCTCCTATGAGTTGCTCTCTTTATCCCTATTAAATATCATTTGGCTTTACTACCGATAATACGCATTATTTAATACTCTCCTTTATTGTTCTGTCAATAAAATAAGAAAATACTTCTACTTGCGCAAGCAATTGTCTTGGAGAACAATGCCTATTGGTAAATAATGTGCTTATTTTCAGGAAAACAAAGGCGAGGAAAGCTCTGAGAAAAATACACGTCACTCTGGCTGCTGGAAATTGAACAGAGGATTTGCCTGATTGAAAATACAGATCTCAATGCTTACAGTTCTTGTTTGTGATTCAACCAAGAAAAATATCTCATATAGCAAAATACTACACAAATAAGCCAGAGAAGTTGCAATGCAAGAGAATTTGGAATACGATTTTCCGCACAAAAAAACAAATCGTTTCGCAAAATCATAAGAGAAATGTCCTAAGCCATCGATCCGTATTTAGTAAGTACGAGCACGCAGCGAAATGTTTTACCTGTTCATCCTCTTTTGAGCACAGAGAAACATAACATACATATTTGACATCGTTCGCCAGTTCCATTAAAGAGAGTTGTAATATAAATATATGTATGTTATAACGTGTTATATGGTGACAGAGAAGCCTTTTCCATACAGTAAATGGTTCAACTATTAGATTTATTGGGAAACATAAAAGCACAAGGATTGTTTCCTCTCCCTTTGATCAGTACATAATATAAATATAATATCCACCTAAAGAGGAATAAGAATTGGGAGGGAATAAATTGAATCTTTTACATCTACATGGTGTCCTTTCAAGAAGCGTCTCCCTTCTATTTCTCTAAGTGTGTTTTGTTTAGGGCATGGTGAAACACGATGGGGAGATCTTTTAAATTTATGTACATAATGTATAATTCCAATGGAAACACGCTTATGCAAATGTTTATTCAATTATCTTACCTGGATTAATACTGTATCTGCAGAGTATAACTAAAATTAACCATATTGTGATCGTCATTTTCCAGCCGTGTTTAAATTTTTATCCAACATTTCTACATTATAAATTGTTTTTTTTACGACTATGTTGCTGTCTTTGTCACACTATTTATCATTTCACTTGAACACTGTTATTCGCACACGCATGATTTTACAAAATGTAATATTATAATGTTATACTTTACACAAAATTGGTCTTCATCGACATTTCAATGTTTCACTATTAAATATTTAGTGTTGCTGTAGTGAAAGTTTTCACTTTTATTAGTACAAATACTATCACTAATCTTTGACACATTCACCATCGGAGATCGTCGAGACGAATGCTGAGAGTCAGTAAGGCGGCGTCTGCGCTGGGACTCATTAAAATCTATTCTTAGAGTTAAGGTCATCTTCCTAGTAAATGTCTTATTGAGAACATATTTCGGCATTCTGTGGCTCCTCATTTCGCTTGTTACTGTTGATGGTTTGTTTGCAGTGCCTTTGACACATTTCTGATGAGGCTTTCGGGACAAAAAAAACTAGTGCGATCCAATGCGATGATGGGTGAAGAAGAACCACGGGTGTTTCTGGTGTTGCTGTTGAGATGGGAGAAAAAAGGGAAGTGCAAGTTAGGGACACATTTAGAAGACAGTAAAAGAGAATACATGGCACATTTTAAACAGAGTCTCAATGTTGTGGAGTGGAGCATTTCCGGAAAATTGCAATTGCTCCAAGGAGAAATTAAGCGCAACATTGCATGCATTTATTTATTTTTTTGTTCTTTGCGCAATAGTTGCAATGGGATATCAAGGAGAATTTCGGAATAAGGCAAAGAAACTCATTCATACTAATGCCTCGAGGACTAATGAAAAATTCCGACTTTATCACTAATGAAAGCACACACGTGTGAAATGTAGCACTGTGTAAAAGGATATTTTTAGCTAAATAGCATAACCAATTCAGCCAGAGAGTGGATATTAAAATTTGCGGGAATTCCCCAAAGACAAAAGCTTGCCCAATCGATTTTGAGGAATGAATTCTATGTAAATTTTCTATCATAATATGTACTTCAACTTTATTTTTTGCTCTTTTCATCTTGAAAAAGAAGGAAGTAGTTTCTCTTCCTTCTTTTCATAGACAAGATGAATGGAGACGACAAAACAACCATCAGAAATGAAAATCTGACAGACCGACGTTGACCCTGTTAAAATTATTATTAATGTTGTCATGACTTCGCTATGTGAGAAAAAATCCTCAATGGGAGAGATAGGAGAAAACGTGGACTGCTCTTATGACGTTTATGCGTGTGAATACAAATCATTTTTTACAGAATTATCTCCAAGTCTCCCAGCAATATTTCGTGACATTATATTGGGGATATTACATAAGCAAAACGGGCTGCTTCCCTTAAGAATGATATAATGTGCTCCACTCTTATGTGCCAGCAGTAAATGTTAGTGATTTTACTAACTTTTCACTATTCGAAATGCACCATTATATTATTATTCAACAAGCATAACTTTGCATATAGAATTTAGTATTTTGCAATGCTCACATGGATTAGTTTCACTGTGCAACGTCATATATTAAATCATCCCTGAATATTCTCTGAGCTAATTTGTTGAGTTTATACACCAGAACTTATGGATTCATATACTCGTCAACAAAAGTGGCTTGTGAATCAAATTCCCAATGAATTCTCTCCTGGGTTTTCCCTTGTCTCGAGAGACTATTTTTATGGTGGGGAACGCAGTTTTTCAGCTCAGAGATATTTTGAGATAAAGCCATTGTACTGGAAATCGATATTTTAGCCCATTGAAAATTCAACTGGCATATAACTTTAGCGATTGCATTCAAAATGAATCTATTTAAATGGCTCTTAAAGGTTAAGCTCACTGAGTTGGGAATAAAATTGATTACTGCATATGAACATATTATTTGAGAGAAGATTCAGTCATAATCTGTAATATTCCCATTAATTTCAATAGCTTCCAGGAATCATTTCTCTCTCGAAGTGTGGAGGCACTTAAAATCCTAATTACAGTATTATGCATGCTGGAATTGATGTTAAAATGTTCATAAATCTTATGGAATATTAAAGTTTAACAACATTAAAAGTCTTCGAGTTTAAAAGCAGATCAAACAGGAACTTAGGAAGACGCTTGACTTTCTCTAATCAGCCTGGGAAACACAATTAACAAAGGTTATTATGAGGCAACTAGCAGAATTCGAGAAGAGAACCACAAACCCCTAATACTGAACTATCGGTGGGTTAAGATTGAAAATGCTGTATGTTGTGTACGGTGAAAAATTTGCAGTAGTTGAATCATGCAAGGTATAAAGCGAAAGCTTCCAGAGCTTTGAAGCTCAACCGAGTATCTCGCGTGATTTAGCTGTGGCGTTGTTGGGTAAATCTCAGTGTGGCTTTCTCGTGAAATTGGAAGGGGTGGAACAATATTGAAATTGATCGCCGAAAAGTCATAAGTATTGTTTCCTCCTCATGCATAACATGCTGTGAGCACCACAGAGAAGTATTCGAAATAAAACAGAGTCAAATATCCAACGATATGCCTCAACATAAATTACTTATACGATTTTTTATCAGCAGAGAAAGCCTTCAAGTAGGAGTGGATGATATTTTTTATGGTAAGCGACATTCCCCTTAATATAGGACATTTACATTGAATCTGACTATTCTAGTGACTATCTCGGCAATATATAATTTGGTGGCGCGCCCCCGACATTTTATATATTGTTGTTGCAGATATTAAGACACATAGAACACGCTTCGAATATAAAGAAATCGGCCGTCATGTCAGTAAGACGAAAAATTATATGAAAACGAAGGAAATGGAACAGAGAAGAGAGGAAAAAAGGCAATTTGGGACAGTACAAAGGCCTTGCGAGAATATTCACCCCCAAAACACTTTCTAAGGGCCGCTACATGTATGCAAATTAAGCGAAAATGAAGATTCTCTCGCATTTGAAATTTCGTGAAATCTCTTTTTTGCTCTATTCCACTGTTTATCATATTGTGCGCTCTCTCGATATCATGTATGATGATTCTTTGAATGAAAATTTTCACATTTATAAACATTGGAAAAGTTTTTTTCTTAAGAATTTGTCTAATGCCGAATTGAGGCTCCTTTGCAAGTATCATTAATATTTATTATGTGGAATTTAACTCTCTTTCTCACATGTCATATTTCGGAAATATTTTTGACATTGTTCACATAGCATATACAGCCAGAACGGAAATATGGCTTGGAGTGTGCTTAAAGCACCGCACAGAGTGTATGAAATTCAAGAACAAACTCCATGCTTTGCCGGAATGACGATTCCTCAAATGCGATTATCTACAATCTTCCACAACAGCAACATCCCTTGGGCATGCGAAATTTTCTGTCTGATTGTAAGATGTCGATAGCGAGATTAGTATTAGGTGATATAAAGTGGAATTGACTAGGGGTAAATGGAGAGTAAAAACATAAGTGTGTACATATGCAGGATTACATATATATGCAGTGTATTATGTGTTTATTTGCGAATGTGGAATCCAATGAAGCGCAATAGCAGAAATTGAGGTATTCCAATGTCCTCAGGAATGGTTCAATTATTGCTGAGGAGTCGAAAAGCCGAGGAAAACTTGTCACTCCAATTGAATTTGCTGGTAAAGTTTAGTAGACACAACGACACGAAACATATAACAACACCTAAGCAAATGGAGATAACAATATTATCTGATGGAAACTACATAAATGTGTATACAGTGTCTTTCCTCCTTCAATTCCTTCCAATTTTTGTCTTTTCCTCTTTACGGACGTAGAATCCCTCGTCATGGAGAGAAAACATTCTATGGCAATACGAATTTGTTGTATTCAATCTCACATTATATGACAAGTGTATCTGATTTGGTCTGTTATTTCCGTTTAATAAATTTCGAGAAGAAATTTTACATGATTGATTGCACACTTGTAAATCAAATGGGGAGTTGTAAAAAAAGGGAAAATATGGATGTTGAAATAGAAACTCATAAATTTCATATTTGTCTTCTTCTTTCACCATCTGAAAATTATTGTTCCATGAATTCAAATTAATTCAGACACACGACGAGCAGAGTGATAAAATGCGTCATTTCGCTCATATTTTAGTCATTCCTACAACTCAAGAGGAGAGCCATTGCAAATAGTGTGCAGAGGAATAGGTATGGACATATAATGAAAGGATGTGCGGAATGAGAGAGACAACGCAGATGAAATGTTATCAGAATTTATGAACTTTCAGTCAAAATGATTATTAATTCGCCTCACTGTTTGTAGACTCTGAGGTAACACACCTATTGTTGTTCATCCCAAAATATCGCATGTCAATAAGTTTCATGATATCGATTTCTCATTTTCTTCACTTCCAATTCCACTTTTTCCCCGTAAAATGCCTTTTAGCGCGCAAACACACACACACACACAAACACACATACACAAGGTTATACCATGAAAAGCGCGAAAAGCAAAGGGAGAATTTCGGTAAAATGACTTATACACAATATTTCGTTTCTTGTGCCACAAGCAGGCGTTTCTCCTATATAAAGGAAACTAATAAAATCATAATCGTAATTAGAAAAGTTAATATAAAGTTCGTTCTTTTGCAATTTATTTCAATTGAAAAGTTTCCTTTAATCCTATTTGTGCTGGGGTTATGAAACTCAATTAAGGACAAAGAGTGAATGAGAAACGTACGTACTTTTCCCCCACAGATCCAACCTCGTGGATCTATATTTTCAATTCCGTTATTATGTATTTGATAGCATAGGTACTCAACTCAGTAGGTGCTCATATGCTACAGGCATGTCTATTGAGAAAATTCCGTGGGAGACGCGAGAAAAAATCACCCTGCATAATTTAATCTCTTTTCATTGTACAATCACATCACACAAATGTATGAACACACATATACACATGTATTTTATGAATAGTAATGTGTAGAGGGTTTTTAGCAAACACACATCGCCCAGTTTCGGAGAGTGGCGGACTGAGGATATGCTAAATAATTTATCAAGCTCGTCATCATTGTATGGGGCCTACATGCCGTAGTACAAAGCAGAGCCAAGTGCATGATATCTAAGTAATTTAAGCTGCTGCTTCCACATTCTACGAAATATGTGGCCTAGGCTTAGACAATATCCAATAGATTAAATTATTCATATGTGGTCGTAATGAATTTAGTACATTCTACAGTATATGATTTTAATATAGCATAAATTGAAAATTCAGTTTGGTAATAAGTATGATCCTTTTTAATAAATATGTACATACAAATTAAGGGTCGGCTGTGTTTTTTTTTACCAAACATGACAGGGGTAGAAGTTGTCCTGTGTAAGCAAAGCATCCTTTAAATTTGGTGTATTGCTCTGCCCCTTTTCCATGAATAAAAATCAGATAAATGTGCATGAAACCGTCTTTTTAAAACTACTTAAATATGTATTGATTCCAACTTTTAAGAGCAGTAGAACTGGATCATTTCTCATAGTTTTATGATGATGTTTCTCATTATATTTTTTATCCCTCTTCCACCTCCAGGTCTTAAACTTCAGGAGCTTATTTTGGACCGGGACAAATTCGTCATATTTCTCATAATAGAAACCTATGGATTGGGATGAGAATCGTATATTTTTTATTCTTATTGCAGCTTATGAAAAAATACCTGCCAAATTTGATTCAAAACACATCCCGAAAGCTATATTTAGAAATCAAATTAATAATAGTTGTGTCTTTCCATGCCTTTTTCATTTAAAGAACTGACAATATGCGCTTGGGCAGAGCAATTTAGTGAACGGATCCGGTGCGTTTTTCTACTTGGGTCAGTATCGTTTGGATTATTACAGAAAAAAGAGTAATTAGTCATTGCAATAAATATTTTTGAATATTAAAAAGTACGCATTGAGAGCTTTTGAACTGTTTGCAAACCATTTTTCCACAGTTAATACTTGTGATGAAGGACAATTATTATAGTTGTATATTTTGCATTGGAATGGTTCCATAAATGGAACACGCTGAATTTCAACAGGACTGCCATTTCAATTTCATATCCACTTAATATAGCCATTTATGTATGTTATTAATTAATTGTGTATATGAAAAATGTATGAGATATGTTGAGTTGAGCCCCATCGAGTGTTTTATGCATGATGAATAATATGGTTGTGTATAGTAATTTAGCAAACTCACTGTGGCACATCATATTTGATTTGGAGCGTTAATTTTGGACTTCATGATTTCTGTTATTAGAGCGTGTACTGGGGTTCAAAATATTTTCAGAGCAATTGGCAATAAGCTGTAATAGTCTAATCGATACTGTGTGCGAGCGATGAGAGATTGTCTGCAAAATTAGATGGCTTTTATCTTAGCTGGTGTAGCAGTCGTCGGTAATTCTAGTCATTATGCATGCAGGAGTATGATTAAAGGTATGTGCTCTGAATCCCACGATTCCTTTTGTCATGGCGAGATCGAACAAAGTCGCACAAATAGAGAAAAGATTGGCATAGATAAGAATGGCGCTGTTGGTTTACCCATGGATTTCCATTTCACTTCACCGCCACACATAATATGTATAGCAATCAACCTGCTTCTCGAGCAGAACTGTGGACCATCGGTTTATATTTCTCTCTGCACATCAATACACATGCACGGCGTCTGTCTCTCTATCCTTCTGTGTCCCTCCCTAAGTTTCAGATATCAAATGCTATATAGATCTGGCAGGGGTTTAATGCACACGTATATTATTTCAGTCGCGAAACGAGGATTGTGGAGAATAAAATGTAGTCGTTGGCAGTGGCGTAAAAAGTTGGTGATACAAGGAGTTGAAAATTTTAATAGTTCAACTCTGCACTACCTTTGGGACAATATCGGGGATGGTGTCATTAGACAATGCGGTGGTAAAAAGGCTCAACACAGCAGCAGACAAGCGCCAAAAGAGCACTTTTATTTGCACTTTTACGATTCAATCTGTGCCCCTCATCTGTCAAATAATGTGAAACTCCGTCGAGAGGATGTGCATGCTGTTCTGGCCCCTCTCCAGTGCTTGTTCTAACCACTCACCAGCAGTGGAGTAGCTCCTGATCTAAGGAAAGTTCTCTCCAACATAATAGCACCCACTTCTATGTGCTTGTAAGTATTACCGCATTTTCATGTAAAAGAGCCAGAGGAGAGAAATATGATGATAAAATATTTATCTTGTTTTTGCTATATAAAGAACGATGGTCTTTTGATTCTTTCTAACGTCAATTGTAGCGGAGCTCAAGAGAAAACAGGGCAAAATATTTAAAAGTTACTGGAGAAATACAAAAAGGCGGAGCTGGGGAGGTCGGTTAAAAACAAAAGGGAAAGAAAGCGACACAAATTCAGAGGGGAAATCGACAGGAAGTGAGGCAGAGTGGATGGAAATGTACGACAATTTTCCCTTTACCATGAGGCAAAATCAACCCAACTTAAAGTGCACTGTAGCAATTTCCACTCAATAAAGGAACAACTTGTATCGCACAATGAAATATTGAAACAAGGCATCTCTTTCCACGCTTTTTACTCAAGCTTCATTCACGAGCGGTCAAAGTGAGATTAAGGAACTTCCCACATTTCCATGTGGCGGCACAGTTATGCTGAATTCCACTGGCATATGCAATTAATTCCACAGATATTAAATATTTTCGACATTCCTAGAGCAAATTTTGCGTATTTCAACGATTCCCTTTTCGCTATAATATGTGATGTACATATGCATGTTCCATATTTCTGAGAACGGCATGATGTTCCTCGAGATATGCATGAGCATATGTGATTCCACGAGGCACATAACTCAGGGAATCTAGGTACTTTAAAAATGAGGAGTGGAATTGTACTTGCCAGTCTCTAACAATGTAAGCTACAATGATATCATTTAATCGACTGAAGTGCCATTAAAAGTTAACTTTTAATTAATATCGTGTGGAAATATTGTGTTGTCTGGGGAAATAACTTCTTGGAATTTCTTTTTAATTAGACTGGGAAATATCTGGAACTGTTTTAACATACCATAAAAGTCGCGGAAATGCTGTCAAGTACTTTGTATACACAAAGCGAGAGGGAGTTTGGATTACGAATTAGAAAAAATGACATCCTTTTCAAGATAAATGGATGAATCTTTGGCGGAAGATAGAATAAATGGAGGGTGATAAGTATGCGGGCTCCACCTCGTTAACATTCCCGAACGTAAAGACGGATTTTTATAAGATTTAGCGGATCAAACGAAATGTTAATTGAAAACCATGGCGGTATTACGAGAGCTTTCTATCCAACTGCTCCAGTTTCTAATTGGTGCACAGCAATTTTCCCCCGATTTAGTTTAGAATGTACTTTTTCGACTATAACAAATAAAATCCACGTTTTATTTTCAATCAATTGCATATTTGCATGAAATCCTGCGGTGAAATCAATAACAATTTCGTCCAATAATGGATTCAGGACTGAAAATCACTTTCTCGTTTTTTTGTTGGAAGTTTGGGTAATATTTTTGTTTTATCTCGTGGTAAATTGTTGCATTCCAATGATTTGTACATTGGTGGCCGGGTGCTCTTATCGTGAAACACAGCGAGAGAGGCGTGATTTATATAAATGATGATGAAAATTGCAAAATCGTGTCACATAGCAAGTAGCATCCAATGAATATTTTCTATGTAACATCTTCATATAAGCGCACACGATATAGGGTGAGAGATTAAATCAGAAAATGCTAAAATGTAGGATTTTTGCTCCTCCATGGAGCCTTTCCCCTTCAGCATGGAAAATATGAGAAATATGAAGAAGACGTCAAGTTGGGAGCATTTTCTGTTGGATGGCCTCGGCTAAGCTCTTGCTTCTTGAGCAATAATACCAATTGACGGGTCAATGTGAGCGGAATAGTAACAAAAACACACCACAAACACCACAGGGACGCACATGGGAGCCCCATTCAAATTTAAATGAACACTCGGCATAGTTGGACTCGTCTGGGCGAGTATAGGATTTTAACTTGATTTTCTCTTCCTCATAAAAGTACATGGATTGTGAAGCGCGTGACGGGGGTGGATTTAAGGGTGACAATTTCGCAAGATAAACTTGTGGAAGTGGATGGTGATGTGGTGGAAAAGTGTATATGTTGTGCTAAGGTGGGAATGAGGGAGATAGAGAGAGAGAGTATCTCTTAATTAAATTACAACGGAAGTTTGGCACGAACCGACGCCACTGGTGGTCTAATTACAAGTTCCTTCATTCATGAAATAATCTCTAGGTTCACCTCATGGCCAGTGACTTCACATTCGGGTCTCACCAACTCAAAAACGGACGAGGATAATGCACACACCTAAAGAATATTAATTCATGACAGATGAGAATCGAGTGTGTGTAGCAAAACTCAACACACAGCCTTATTATAAATTTAGATTGAAATTTATGATTTTCGCCCCAAAACATCCACACACATTCAACCAACTTTCCCAAAGAATTATTCACATGGCGACAGGGAGCGAGGTGGAAAAAAGAATGTGTTACATTCTCACTGTCCGCACATATCTTTTTATTGCCAGTTATGCTGAGGGAGAGCGAGTTTCTCGGTGTCTTTTTTCGAAAATTTTCTGTGAAAATACATAATCCAGATTCTTACCGAGCAAATACTCTCGCCGTGGCACTTTCCCACTTTGCCTCACTCACATATACATAATTGAGCACTCCGCACTCGCCTGCACTGTATGGAGATTCCTTAATCTCCCACTTTCCTTGGCAGTCTCCCTGCCGAGCACCACTCACACCCTCGGGAAAGTCAAATGAATTGGGATTCCATTAGAAATTAGTGCAAAGTCTCCGACTGAGAAGTGTGAAAAGAAGTTTCGCTGTGCAAAGCGATGCGGAGGATTCGCTTTCACGTCTCTCGGCTGCTGCTTCGTGACTACTGAGCATCACTCACGGCAGTGCTATTTTCAGCAGCATCCCGACGTCGGCGTCGGAGATACTATCATGCGACGCTCTCGCGCTCTCACGCTCTCCTCAGCCAGTCAGCATTCGGTGAGAATCGAGAGCGGAATAAACCGCCTCACGCGGAGCTTTGAGAGATGGTGAGAGGAGAAAATGTGCTCAGATATGCCGAACTTGTATTTTATATATGATTCAGAGAATTTTCCATGCTCTCTCAGGCGCCTTCTATGAGGCGAAATCTTAGTGCGAAAGAATGTAAATCTTTAATAATTTCCATTGGCAACAGACTTGCAGCAAAATTTCAAGCAACACACACATTCTGTCTTCACATTTCACTGTGTAATCTTATGTGCCAAATTTTTCCCTTTAATCCCACTTATCAGCAACATCAAGAACATGAATCACGAGCAACTCATTCCATTCGTCCAATGGAGAATTATATGTATCTCTTCTTTTTTCGCAAAAAGTGTGAATTGATTTTTCTTAAGTATGAAAGCTTTCTTGTTCTCCCCTCGCGCAATGTACATAGACGAATGTGAGTACAATGGAAAGGACGTGATAAGCAAACGCCAAGGCTAGCTTATGGGTGAGCTGGGCCACGCAACCAACTCGAAATGTGACCAAACTGACCAACCCAATTTTTAACCAAAAATTTGAAACCTCCATAACTCAGGTTCTGTGGTATTAACAAAAAAGTATAACCACTTTTTGGAAACGTCTCAATCTGGACTGTCAAAGTACTCAAAAATTATGTTAAACTTAAACGGCTTGACGCTTATCACTTAGTGACGGAAACCAAAAAAAAAATCTTAAAAATTACCCCCTTTTTTCGTCAAGTTTCGTCATAATTAGTCTCCCTGATGTAATTTCAGTCGATTTTGCGACATTTGATTTTTAGCGCGATTACAGATAGAGTGGGGCTTCGCCCAATTCATTCAAGAGGACCAGTCTTTGGCGCTTTTGAAGCTGCGGCAGTAGTCAAATATGATTGGGGAGGCCGAAGGCGGCTGGTAGTCGATCAAGCGAAGTGAGAGCGTAAAATTAATAAATTCTAATGATACACAAATTGCTCCATAATGTGAAATATTTGTTCTTTAAAAGCTTCTGCAGTGCATTTAATTCGGGCCTTCCTCTCCTTGTCTGTGGACCCATAGACTCACAGTCACTGAAGTTCTCAGCACCCTCTGATTTATGAACTTCTCTTCACATTATATACCTGACTCTATTATGCATATTCCTGTGATTCTACATAATCATGTCTGTTTGATGTGAAATAAATTGAGGGAACTTTTCAATTTTAATTTAAATGATTATAGAACGAGTTGCAAAATCTTTTCAAGTTGAGCTTTTCTTTAAATTTACCGTAAAAATGTGACAAATTGAGTTAAGAATTACTTGTCAAAATTTTGCATCTTATTACGAAAGAGCATCACGTTTTTCAGATAATTTGTGATTTCATCAATTTAATTTTAGATTTCACACTTTCACTCTGGCAAATTTGCCACTTTAGTCATCATATGGAATCAGATTGTTCCCAGCTGAAAATTTACGGTCATGAAGAAACGGGTCATTTACGGACACTCATAAAATTGAAGTTTGAGGTATTGATTACTTAAAGTTTGTGGGTTAATTCTCCAGCATTCCTCTGCTTCCCACCTGAGCTCATTGAATTTCAATATACTGTCATTATGCATTGTACCAAATTGTGAACAACTCTCACATAATTGATTGGTTTTGGAATTGGATAGTCCACTGAATAAGAATTGTATTGCAAATTCTGACAAAATGACAGCTCGTCTGGATATTAAGATATAATTCCTAGTATATTTACGAGGAAATTTTTGGAAAGAGAGGAAATACACAGATTCTCATTCTTTTCCTCAATTGTACAATACATGAATATGCATGCACATGATGTACAGGTACGTGTGTATGTACATTCTCTCCGGAATATGGAATGAAGTGGAATACAGCAAATAAAGCTTCCGGGAAGCTTTCTCTATTTCCATCTGCAGCTTTCCGGTCTAAATAAATTTTCTTACCATGGAATTGGCTCCAGTATATTTGTCTATTTATCCGAAGACGTGAAGCAATTACTCGTGGGAGTGATTTACAAAGTAATTTCCATTAACACATAATTGCAGGATATTACTTTCACTATGTCACTTAAAATACCTTTCGGCATTCATAATGAGTCCACATTGAATATGTAGTGCAGCAAAGGTAATTTAATTGAGTACAAACTTTAAATCACTGCTGGGTAATTTTAATATAAATATTTCTGCATAGCTTTCAGCGTCATTATCCATGGGATTTTCATGACAATCACCTTCATTTATACGACGGGCGTATTTCCATATAGACACAGTGTATATGTAAATGTAGTAGAAGATTATTTGCTAATTTTTACAATATACAAGCAAAACTCTTCTTATTCTCGGCCTTTATCTCCACGCTGTATATTTACACAAGTATGATGTAGTCACGGAATTTTAAATTAACATAAAAATAATATAACAGCAGGTGTTTAAGGATAATTTTGCGACGCGCTGTGGGGATTTTTTCAGGCTTCATACGTTCGTTATGACATCAGTATAAAGTGGAACGCGGTTGCTGATGTCGCTTTCGCAAGGAACCTCTATTTAATGAATGTAAAAGGATAACAACAACATAACTCGGCGCTATGGAAGAATTTTAAATCACTCTGTGCGTGAAAAAGGGGATCAAGATAGATAAATAGTTGAATTTGTTGGTTTTGTAGGAGTAAATGGTAATTAACAAGAGATAAGTACATATTAGCGCTTGTGTGCATCGCATCTACGTGATATATGGGAAATGTCACAAGAGGATCAACATAGTAATTTCTGCTTCATACCACACAAATGCGGTAATTGTGAAATGTTTGATGATAATATTATTTATAGCAATTTCAAAAATACTCTCCGACATTATCCGAAATTATCAGGATATCAGCAAATGCTTTGCAATTTCACATTATTCACAAATTGTCTCTTTTATCTCTGTTAAATATCAAACTGACTGCAAATCTAATTCCCTTAATTAATCATGCGATTTCATGGGACAAAGTTTAGTTAAGCGTTGAAATAAAATAATGAAAATTAAATTAAACTGTTAATGTTTGGTGAAGCTGGTCTGGCCTTATTCATTTCGCGCAGAAGGAAGGTAGCTGTGGAGAAACTTTTATGTGGCAGCGCGGCAAAGTGGATTTTCAGCGAATATGTATCACAAATTGAATATGAAATTGTGAACAGAAGTCATCCGATAAGATTGCTTAAGCATAACATTGTTGGGCATGAAATGGAGAAAAAAATAGCTCCTCACGCTTTTCAGCTTGTGGAGAAAATTGCTTTTTTTCGGCTTCGCCATTCCACACCACGTGTTGCGAAACATAGAGTGCTCCTTATTTACTGTAAATCGCTTTCTGTACTTTTCACTAATACTTTGGGGATATCTAAAATTGTCTTTTTTGCCCGTTTTAAAATGTCAAATGGCATGCGTTATCAGGTGTACGAGACAATGTAGGAAAGTTCTTGAAATTTCCCGAGAGGTTTATAGCCCGATGTGTTCCTTTAAAACTTTCTCGACAGCCCTTAAAAACGGTTTAGACGCTGAGTGGCGTCTGTGGAGTTTGGGGGGTGTTGAAGAGTGCGGTGCAATGCTTAGTTGGCGGTGCGAGCAAGCGAGGATACATACTTTTGGGGATGGCAAAAAGCACATCGAGAGGAAGAAGAGTTTCATGACAGATGAATAGAGGAAATAAACACAGTGCTGAGACTTTCTACAAGTTGTTTACACGTTGATTCTGAAGAGCGATTAGCACGCCAAATTTTCTTCACAATTAACATCAATGCTCGGGTGTGGGCCTTTATTGTTTCGCATATTTATCAAACTCCCTTCGCCCCATTCCGCGTATTTGATGAGATATTAAGTAACGTGCGCGCATTCCCCACGCCTGTGATGTGTGTATTTCGCATTTTAACTCACTTCACCCGCCCTTGATGGGATATAGGATAAATAAGCGACACGCTTATTAATTTTATTACTAATTACACCTCATTACCACTTCACGGCGGTACAAATTAGTCCGCACTGTCTCCTTTCATTATTATTATCTCCTGTGCAGATTTTGCCACATTGCGAAATAAAGCACTCATATGGCGTCTACAGCCTACACCACCCCGAACATACCTGCAATCCAGTGGCGTAGTAAGTTTATATTGCAGCGACCATGACAAGCAGCACAAACACCTCTTAAGAAGGACAGTCCGTGAGCAGGAAATGTGAGTCAAAGCATATCAGAGCGCAAATCTTAGAATACAGCCAGAAACTCAGTTTGAAGGAGTCTTGAATTGAAATCACCCCGAGTCTCGCTACGCCACTGCCGCAGTCCTCCAATTGCACATACATACGTACGTACATAATCATCGGGTGATGCGTGGATCGTGCGTGAAGAGTCGCCCATGTGGAATTTATCCATGTGTGAATCGTGATACGCATGAGGGGAGGTATTTATTTTACGAATTAAAACTTTTACAATTTCCCACCCCCTGAGCCATTTATGGTCCGCAGGCAGATGGAAATGGAATGTCTCGGGATCTGCGGCAAAGGGGGTGGCTCACCGGCGGTGTGCAGGGGAGTAAATTGAATAATAAAATGGGAAGCAAATATACGGCGAGGCAATATAATTTAATTTCAGAACGGCAAAACGAAAAAGATGTACAGTCGTTTGTATTATTTTTTACTCTTCTCTGATTTACACCGCGTGGCCTCTCTTTGCTGAGAAGAAGAGGAAAGCCTCGCATTTCCGTGCGCGAGAGAGCATTAGGGGAGCCACTCCACATCGTCGCGGACATCCTGTTCCAGGTACTTTTTACACAATTTTCAAATTGTGTCCTCTCACACGCATATTCCTGCCCCATCAAAAATTGATAAAGGCAAATTGATGCAGATTTTTATTCATTCCCCTTATACAAGTTGAGAGGAAACCGCATGAAGGACACCTGCTACCCAATTGATGTCCTTCATGCCAGTGCCAAAGTGTCGTACAAGAAACTGCCATTGCGGTTATTACCCAGAGACAAGCAATGCAAGAGGTAAATCAGAGATATGAAATTAAAATCTTATGTTAGACGTGGCGAAAGTGGCTTAATGTACCAATTGAGAGTGTTTATTGGTGTTGAGGACATCTCCTTACACATGTTTAACCTTCATCCTCGTGCGGAATTACGTTCGTATGCATATTGTTGGAGGGGTTGTAAAATGAAAAATGAAACTTCATCCGTGAAACGTGTGTAAATGTTATGGCTAATAAACTCTGAGGTGGAATACAAATTCATTTAACAAATGAACTTTCCGCCACGCCTCATTTCTGCTAAATAAATCTCACAGATCCGTCTTGTTATGAATTACACGCTGAACTGAACTATATGTAACCCGCAGAAAATGAAAATCAAATTCCCGGAAATAGTATTTATCTGTAGCTTTTTGCACTGACCTGAAAAGTTTGTCTCTTCTAGAAAAACGCTCCTGGCCAACTCTCCATCTTCTTCATCAGCATTCTGTGGGAAAGTAGTAAAAAAGAAGATAAAACTTATGGAAATTGAAGAATAAATGAATGGTTTTTGATACACTGTTTGAACGGAAGTTTTGCTAATTCCCCAATAAAGCAGCTGAACACCAATTTGTTGCTTTACCAAACTTAATAATAACATAAATAATACTATTGTTTTGGCGGATTATGCAAATATCCAACCGGAACCGGATTCTACATATTCAAAAAGCAATTGTCAGCGCCCTCAAGCGGAGGTTTCAAATCAGACGCCGCTACAATTTTTGCGGCTCGCCTTGCTGTCACATTCGCTGTTTACATTTTCATGGTTTGCAGTTTTTCTCCAAAAAGCTTTGAAAATCCTTCATTTTCGCTACAAATCTCGCGTTTAATCAGTCTTTGTGCGGTGATCACTGTAAAAAATGTCCAATTCCCTAGGAATTCGTGTGAATAATGAGAGTTTTCTCAACGAAAACGAGCAGGATGCAAATTCTTCAATGACGGAACTTGACAAAGGTTGCGGCTTTTCCTCTAAAATATTCCAATTTTTACCTAATCCGTTTACTTGTTTACAGGATTACGATGTTCAAAAGTTGGAGAACAGTGCGAGGCAATCGTGAGATTCCCTAAACTCTTTGAAAAGTATCCTTTTCCCATCTTGATCAATTCGTCATTTCTCAAGTTAGCGGAGTTCTTTCAAAATGGGTAAAATTTGTGTTTGGAAAATGCCTCAAGATTATTGCTAAACAGTGTTCATTTCAGGTCCAATCTGCTGCGCCTGTGGGTTCTGCGTGTGTGCCAGCAAAGTGAGAAACACTTGGACAAGATTCTGAGTGTGGATGAGTTTGTAAAGCGCATTTTCTACGTGACGCACTCGAATAACCCCATAGAACGCGCCCTGGCCATCCGGACGCTGGGCGCTGTGGCGAGAATCATCCCGGAGAAGCCTCAAGTCCATCACGCAATCCGCCAGGCGCTGGATAGCCATGATATGGTGGAAGTGGAGGCTGCAATCTACGCTAGCGTCCAGTTTGCCGCCCAATCGAAGACCTTCGCCATCAGCATGTGCTCGAAAGTGGCCACGATGATTGAGTCTCTCAACACGCCCATCAACATGAAGCTGCAGCTGATTCCTGTGCTGCGTCACATGCATCACGACGCCAACACGGCGGCTCTCGTGAAGACGCTCTGCGTGAATTTGCTGCCTAAGTATCCATCAGAGAACTTTGTGGTGGTCATTCTGGACTCGCTATCGAAGCTCTCGTGTCAGACGCTTGTGGACATTCCGGATCAGGTAAATGTGCTGCTGGAATATCTGATGGATCCGCGGAGGAAAGTGCGCTATCAAGTGCTACATTCTCTGCAGAGTCTTGCCGATAAGGGAGCGCACTTGTGGCCCAACGGAACGGTCCGGAACCTGCTGACCATCGCCAGAGAGTGCACAGATGATGGCAATGAGCAGAGCCTCATTCTAGCTGTCGTTATGACTCTCACCCGATGTCCCGTCACATGCCATTCTTTGCTGTCCGAGGAGCAGCAACTGGTGTATGATCTGTGCTCAGGCTGCCTGACACTTGAGCATCACAGCGCCAGCGCGAAAGCCCTCGCCATACTCACAAGCCTCATTCTCTACTGCCACGTGGAGCACATCGTGCCGCCGGCGAAGTACATGAATCTCATCAACTTGCACCTAGAGAGCCTCATTGTGACTTCCCTGCCGCAGGAGAAATTCACCCGGGAGTTCGCTCAGTATCTCAAGTGTGGTGTGCAGCTGTCTGAGAAGGATCCGCAGTTTGGGGAGTCATTCGTGGATCTCATGGGCAGTCTGCTGCTGGATCAGTTCGTCTACTGCGACAAGCACACGGTGCTGATCTGTGAGACTTTCGCAGCTCTTTGCTCTCAATTCAGCACCAACAGATTCGGCGTCTCTGGAGAGGAGCGAATGGATGTGGACGAGGGTCAGAGTGGGAAGAATCCTATTCACGCTCTGCTGCCAGACATCCTGCGGAAGCTGTCATTCCTCGTGGACAAGGGCCTCGCCGAGAAAAACGTCCAGTTCATTGAGATCATGACTGCAGTCTGTTTGCAATCTCATCTCGGCGTGCTGATTCCGGAGAGTGTCTTCAGCGTCCTCGAGAAGGTGGTGAATGCCATTAGTTGCTGGTCGCAGTATCGCATCGCCAGGTCGGCGTCCAGATATGGTCATCACTTCCTCTCGGCGAAGATATACGCCAAACTAGCAAATGTGGTGTCTCTGGAGAAGCTGCATTTCTTCCTCGTGGCTCTATCGCAGATGTCCAAGGCGGAGTGTGTGCTCATGTACGGCCGGGAGTTCGATGACATCGTGAAGAAGTACAAATCAGCGAATCCGGAGGAGTTTCTGTCTTTGTCGCAGAGACTGCAAAAGTCCATTGCGATGTACTGGAAGGCTCTGGCCACACTTAAGGCGAGCTCTTCGCCGAATCACCCAATGACCTTCCAGTCAGAGTTCATTCGCCTCCGTGGTCAGTTTCTGGAAGCCCTTTTCACGGCGGTCATCACGAAGAATACCCAACTGATCACTCTCCCGCCCGCGATCGCCCAGAGTCTGGCTCAGAACTCTCGGGATCACCTGCAAATGTACGGACATGTGACAAATCAACTCAGGAAGACTGTGAAGACATTCAAAATGTGCGAAGATGCTTATTTGAAGCTCTACAAATCGGCATTTGATGCTGATCCTTGCACTCTGGAATATCTTCAAGTCGCCCAATATCTGTGCGGTGTTCTCGGGAACTCTGTGGAGGCGATATGCTTCGTCTCACCTTCGGACTCGTCCAATCAGCCCACCGAGGGCTCCTATCCGGAAACGAGACTCTTTCTCAACGGCTGCCAGCGCATCATTAAGGAGATGCAGAAGCTGCCCAAGGAAACTAACAACAAGAAATCCATCACGACTGAACACACTCAAGTGCTGCTCAGTCAGATTGGCGTGGCCATGAGTGTTCCTCACTGCATTCCTCGCTTCTTCTTCCAAGTACTCCAGAACACCTCCATTAAGCTGTCCGTGCTGCCACAGCCCAGAGCCGCCGGGGAGCCAGTCAACGTGCAGCCCAACAGCAATCTGGTGGTGAAGGTGGAGGGCGTAATTCAGCACAGTGGCTCCAGGCCAAACCTCTTCCGCTCCATTGACTCAGTGCAGCTGACTTTGGTCTCTCAATTGATCAGCCAGCGGCCCGGCGAAGTGAAGCAGCTCAACGATATCACCATGACGCAGACCGTGAAACCTCACAGGGATTTTCTCTCGGGCAGTTTCCTACTGCAGCTCAACAACATCCAGACTAGCTCGATGGGAACTCCAATTTCCGTCGGTGGCCAGTGGCAAGTCACCGTGGAAGCGTATGTTATCGACAAGTCAGGCGCCCTATGGAATACTGGACCCAAAAGCATTCTCCTGGTGCGCGTTCCAGACGATCCTTCGAAGCAATCTCTGGCCTCTTCTAGTGGACTTCGACGCTTCTGAGAATACCGCGAAAAATTGTAATGTTACGAATGAATTTATTGTAAAAATACAAGTAAAAATATTAAACAAGAAGCCTCTCAATCTCCTGCTGAATGCTGGTGATCTGTGACTTCAATTGCGAGCCCTCGTTCACCGTCACGGCAGCGGCGACAATCGGTCGGGAGACTCCGCAGGCGCGCCCCAGAGCTTGCTTTGAGCGCAAGAAGACGTATGGAACGTTCTTATCCTCGCAAAGAAGCGGCAAGTGGAGCAGAATCTCCAGCGGCTGGGCGTCAGCTGCCATCACTATGAACTCAGCGATGCCTCTGTTCAGAGTCTTGGTGGCCTCATTGGCGCCCTTCCGGAGCTGCTTGTAGTTGAGCGCCTGCTGCACAAGAGTCATGATTTTCGATGTGAGAACAGGATCGGCCAGCGGGTAGGCTTTAGGATTAACGTCGTCCGTCTGAAATGTGAGGAAATGGAATAGAACATCACGATTGTAAACGCAAGCATTTGAGGTTATGTCAAATCTGATAATAGTAAATTTTTACTTGCCATGATTGTCAGTGGAGTGTTTTTTGTACTTGAACTTGATTGCGAAGAAGTAAGAATACCTCCGAGTCACACTTATTTGCCAAATATTGTGTAAATCAAGAGAAATAGCTCAATTTGATAGAGCAGAAAATGTGGTCACTCGCTTTATTTATATGGATGATTTCACTCAATGCCACGTGAGGCGCTGGAATTCACTTAGACGATATTCGCCGTATTCGCCGCAAAATTGGCGGCATATTGTGCAAATCTTTTTGCTCTTCAGAATTATTCAACGGTAAATTTTAGAAGGCCGTGAATGCATTTAGTATATTTGACAATTTTTGTCACTCTCAATGAAAACGAAGCTTTATTACCGTGTCGGATGTGTTGGCTAGACGGCTGTGAATAGTGTGAAAAAGTCTGGGTGTTTGAAAGGATGGCGAAAGCTTACGGGTTGTTTGGAGGAAAGCTAACACAGTGGACGGGGCATGGAGAGGATAAGATTGTCCATAGCACCAGAAGAAGTACGCTGTACATTGGACAGGATTCCATTTGCGACATCCAGCTAAAGGAACCCAACGTTGAGCCCTTCCACTGCAGTATTGGGATAGGAGCGCTTGATATGGTATGATAGTGATTTCCAAGAGTTCCCAAATGTTCTTACTCGTTCTCTCTGCAGATTCAAATCAAAAATCTGTCTACTGATAATCCAGTCCAGCTCAATGGGGTTTCAGTAGTTGAAGAGGAGTTCCTCAAGTCCGGGGACTGTTTTAATATTGCGGATCACAAGTTTTTGTGGGAACTTGTAACACCGAAAGAGGTAAGAGATTACTCAATGTTTTAGCCATAGATAGTGACTATCGATTTGCCTTTCCAGGACACTGATGAAGACGTAAGAGAAGAAGTCAACAACAATACAATCGAGTCAAAAAAACAATCGACAGAAGATGAAGAAAATACCACAAAGAGATCTCTTCGGGATAGAAACACCAACGTTAATTATTCGGATAGAAGTTATCATCCCAATCGACGAGCTAAACAGACGAAGAACACAAAGGACGAAAACAAAACCACTGGAAAAATCAAGGACGATGTCAAGAAATCTTCAAACGGAGGGCAAGGAGTCATAAACAAGGCTGAAAAGGAACTTCCGGAAGTTCCATATACTCTCAGGAGCCGGGTGAAAAAAGGAAAAATGATGCCGCTGTTTTAGACGCTCCTGGTGGTGTAAAAAATAGCTGTAGGAAAGAATAAAAACTGCCTAATAAATTTTTAAGACAGATTTTTAATAAATACAACTGATTACTCCAAAATCTAATATGTTTTGTCATGTATTCTCAAAGTCCTATTCCTATTAAATAATACATGTAACTTGAGATTGCGGGAAACAATCTTTTGTATTCCACCGATTACAGCTATTCAAAGGCACATGGATTTGATCGGGTGTTATAAATAAATTCCCTTTCTAGAACAATCACTACTTCCTCTTATATCCATAAGAACTAATTGTGCGATATTCTTCGTCGAATATCCCCAAGAATTTCGCATAAGCATCGAACATCTCCGCTTGATTGGCGCAATTCGGCGGCTCTATGACGCCCCCGTGAGTGGTGAAGAGGTACTCTGGCGGGATGTGCTGGTGAAGAGTGGAATAGTTTTTGCCATGGAAATGTATGCGATCTCTGAGTTTTTGCTTGAGGAATGGCTTAACCATTTTGTACAGCACATCGATTATAAAAGTTTCATGGACGATGTGGAAAGCCTTGATTCTGACAGGTATGGATTCCTGTTCCAAATAATATGACGAAAGATATGTTAGAATAAAAACGAGATGCTAATGATTTTATATTGCCTCGTGCGTTCTTACCTGAATCCAAGTGGCGATTATCTTTATGAACGTCGGTGTTATTACTCTTGCTTGCGACACTGAAAATCCCGCCAGATCGAAGATGATCACGGCTCCATTGACTTGAGTGTCGGGCTCCTGAATCGCCGCCTCCACGAGCATAATGCACATTTTCAGCAAGTCCTGCGGTGTCACCCTTTTGGTGTTCCACGGTTCTGATTGTTCAAGAGTAGAAGTTGTTTATTTGCATAGCTAATGAATGTGGAATAATATTCTCTGACTCACTTCCCGCTTCAATGATGAGAATGCGCCTTCTTCTGTGATCGCGTTTAGGCACGACTTTTATCATGTCTTCTTGGAATGCACTTGAAAGTTGCGAAGGTAAAAGTCCGTCGTAGATATTGGAATGTTTTTCCTTGAACTCATAGTACCGCTTAATGAGATTTCTCGCACTCTCCGGGTAAAATTTGCACGGCCTGAGGAATTTTATGAGCCAGTGTTCATTGTGGAGTGGCGTCACGAGATCTTCCTCGGCATCCAGAAGCTTCCGCAGCTGCCAAACGGCATCCTTGCAAACAGTCTCCGTCTCGCGGAGTTCCTTGAGCGCCACATCTCGCGAGAAATCAGTCAATTCCGACTCGAAAATCAACTCATAATTAGCGAACTTCAGTGGCGGAATATCATCCAAATCGGATAGCATCATGGGATATTTTTTGCTTGACATGATTGTAAAACACTGGCGCAATCAAAACAACAATTAAACACTCAAACACCGTCACGAGGCAAAGTTCAGCAACAACTGGCGTTCGTTTTTTCCCCCAACACTATTGCTTTGAAGAAACGCAATGTGTCTCACGCAGAGTCTCACGAGAGCGACAGCACAGATAGACTATTAATAATGATGGATTTTGCCAGCAAACTATTTCGGCAGGTAGTTTGTATTTCCAAATGTACCTAAGACTCTAATGTGTCTCGAGAGAAACGCACGCGATTGGACGTTTTCCCTCCCCGAAAATTCATCTCCGTGAAGGTCAAAGAAACTCCTAGACTTTTTCTACACCGCACACATTTATTCCACCAGAAAAAAGCACCTTCAATCACCAAATAGTAGCCAATCTTTCAATTGCTCCTCCAAACCTGTTCAAATTTTTTTTTCAATTCTTAAAACCATACGAATTAACAACTTCAAACTCCTTGTCAGCTTTGTCGGCCCATTGCGAGTATTGCTCCCAGAGCTCGTCGTGAGTCGGAAGTTCAGGGATTTCCACCGTTCCGCCGTAGTGTGTGAAGAGACACCTGGGCGGAATCCACTTCTGCAGCGCTGCATAATCTGTGCCGTGGAAGTGAATACGCTCCCGGAATTCTTGCCTCAGCAGAGGCTTCGCCAGATTCCACACGATGTCCGCAAATTTGTTCTCATTTATCACATGAAAGGCCACAATCTTAATCGGAATGCAGTCTTGTATCCACTTGATGCCCATCCTCAGGATGTTGGGCGTGAATTTGTTGGCGCGCGACAAGTTGAATCCCTTCGCGTCAACGACCACTTGACCGCCCAGAACTTGGGTGGTGGGTTCCAGACTGGCGGCCTCCATAATCAGAATGCACACTCTGAACAGTTCCTTGATGGAGACAATCTTGTGCTTCCACTTCTCTGGAAAAAAAAGAAACGACACAGTAATATTATTACCTCGCGTCCAAAAGCTCACTTGCATAGCGTGTAGAAGATTTTCAGTGAAAATTTCATTCGAACCATTCTCTTTATTTTTTGTTTATACGGAATTGGAAAGGTTTGGTGTTTAGCCGACAATAAAGAGTACAAGAGTTTATGATGGATGGATGGATAAAAACAAAAAGTGATAAATCATGAGCACCATCAGTATTAGGCAACATGTTCAATAAAGTAGATTTCTTTTAGCACAGTGTAATCATTTAACAAATATGTTCATGTGGAGATTTGGGATACAATCTACAAATATCTTCATACTGGATGGTGTAATTATTTCCATAGAAGGGGAGGCGGTGCAGTTTTAATATTTCTCTATAGAAATTTAATCAGATTCTGCACTTTCTCCTAACGCTTAACAATTACATATATTGCAATATCATCTTGATTAGGAGCGAAATACCACTCTTCAATCTTTCTTCATACTGTTTTCATTATGCTCAATAGTTCTTGCAAAAAATCGAAAAAATCTCATTAGTTGATAGATGAAACATTTCCAATATCTACCCAAAATTACCCGATCTCCCCTATTTACGTTGTGCGGTTCTGAGCGATCGCTTGGATTTTCCAGATTCTCGCAAACTTGCATTTTAGTAAACATGCTATGCTTTCAAGGCTTCTGAGATTTATTAGATAGTTAATATAAAATTAAGTACAAATTTCAATCGTAAAGTGCATATTAGGTAAAAACAGTGGAAGCTTTTTGGTTTTACTTAATTGTTCAACGGTATGCGAAAAATATTCTTTTCCGTAATTATGCAGAGTCAGGAAAACAAGCAAACCAGTCAGTCTGATTAGTTATACTGGTAAAAACGCCAAAAATCTTTTTTTTACACCTTGTTATTGTTTCATTGTATCAATGAGATGTGTGAGATTTCTTCAAATCCATTAAAAGTTTTTATATGATGCTGAGATGTTCTGTAATGTTTGCCCAATTCCAATAATCAAACTGTTGGGCTTTCATTTCATCGAAACTTGTAGCTGAATGATGTGAGAGTATAAGTAATGGTACAATAACACGTTTTTTTTTTGGCTACGCAAGTCATATTTCGTTAGCATTGAGAGCCAAAAGAAATTTAAATGATTCAATGGTGCCACTTTTGGTACCAAAATTATTTGCACGTAAACCATAACGACATGAGTGACACACACTTGTGCGAAAGTAAAAGTAAACACTCAATTGGAATAAAATACATATGATAGGAATGCTTCACTTACTGCCAATCTCTATGAACAGAACTCTTCTTCCCATGTCATCCTTCTCGGGCGTGCCTGTGAACAGCATGTGCTCGTACAAGTGGGTCATCTTGGATGGAATAAAGTCCTTGTACATATCACTATACTTGATTTTGAACTTGTAATATCTTCTGATCTAGAATTGAAAAGTACACAAATCATCAATAACTATGCAAAGTGTGCTGAGTACGTTGCGTTACCAGATGGAATGTCTCAGTTACATCATAGTCTCTGGCTCGTAAGTATCGGATGAGCCATCCCTCATTATCAATGGGAACCACGAGATTCTTCTCCTGCTCCAGAAGCTTTCTCAATTCGCCTATGCACCTTTGTTTCTTTTCCTCTGTCTCCTGGAGCACCTCATTGGCCACTTTGGTTGCAATGGGACACAAATTGGGGTCGAAATACAGATCATATCCCGCGAAACTGATTCTTGGCAACTCATCGAGATCCGAGAGAAGCATAGGATACTTTTTCTGTTCCATCGCTCAAACACTTTCACCGCCAACAAGCAATTACTATGTTATAGTCTAAAGAGATCTTTCCTCGCCAGAGGTTCAACAGTGACTGACGAATGTTTCTGTCCAGCAGTCGTATTTGGGTTAAAGCAGAACCACTTGAACTCCAAATGTCTGAGCTGACAAAAAATCGAATGGTAGCTGCTTACATTAGCCACAATAATAATCATACGTTTATTGATATTCATAGATATTCAAGTCTTAATAGAAAAAAACGACGAATCATGTTAAATCACTCATTGATGTCATAATAAAGAAATGAATCAGAATGTTGGCGCTCTTTGTGTTTCCTCTAACGTCAGGCGCGTTTTCACCATCATTCGACGCTCCAACCGTCAATGATCAATGACTCCTTCTAAACTAAGAGTGTCAACTTTGACTTTGATCGTAAACTTACAAGTTTTTCTGTTTAACGTATCGCCACAAAATCCTACATTGTCATTTTTGTAAATATCTCTAAGAGTGATCTCAATTTTTTTAGCCATAAATCATAAATTGGAAATTTCTATGAGAGATAATTTTCGAAACATCTAACTTATCTACACCTAAATACGATACACTTAGCAACTCTGAACAGACTACATTACAACGTGTATGATATGATAAAATGAGATGTGCGATAATAAATATTATCATGTTACTCCTGATAACAAATTTCATCGTAATTGTCTAATCTCCTTACAATTAATCCATATTCTTTGCTTCATTAACTAAAATAGTAAAATACAACGCATTTTCTTGCCTGATTTACATGAGAAAAAAAGAACTAAGAAAGGAAATCAAGTACAAAAAAACAAATACATAGTAAATCAATAAGCTAAAGAGGGAAGTATAAAAAGATGTTAATTCTAGCGCTTTACACAAAATAGAACATTCGTTAGATGCGTTTGAGGAAGGAGAGGAGAAATTAGGTGGTGTTGGATTGAACTACGGACTGCAGCGGCAGACACAGCATGATGGGAAGAGGAACCAATCCATGAAGATCCCTTTGCAATCATTGTCTGGATCGTAGGCCAGTAGTCTGTGCCATTTGTACTTTTGCTCACATCCACAATCTCCTCCGCAGCGTGTAGTTTGTGGTTTCCTGCAAATGTGTGAGGTTGTTATACTTTTTATCAAAAATAGAGTGTGTTTTTGACTCACGTGCAGACTTCTTGATGAATGGCTTGCTCGAAATGCTGTGTATTAACAATGGCACGAATTTTTCCGGCTGAATTGGAAGCCCAGTACGGCGCCACAATTTCCACTTTCGATTCGCAAATATCGAGCCTGCAATTGAGAGAATAAGCAATGAGCTGGCTTCTTAATCCACAATCGATGATAGAAAAATATTGCAGCCTTGATTGTAGCTATTAAGTCTCAAACTGTCAAAAAACCATCAGAGACCAAAATTGCCTGCGCTTCCCCAATGTTTCACGTCTCTTAAGTTAAGAGAATCAACATCTTTCTCACCGTCCACTGCTGTCGTTCGCATTCGTCGGTCCGGGATTGGTGATTCTTTGGTTACCCGGATTTGCGGTACTTCGATTCCCCATGGGAGTCTGGCGTTGGCTCTGCCTTTTGCTGCGCCACTTCTTGAAGTACGAATCACCACTGTGGCCGGCATCATGGACGGGATCTGAACTGGCGTCCGGTGGCCCTATCATATCCGGCACGCCGGGCATTTCGCCCCATTCCCAGTCGTCGTCTTCCGCTCCGGATTCCGTGCTGCGCTTTTTCTTCCTGAGTCGCTGCAACGGCGGCCCGTAATTGGAGGACATTTGGAAATCTCCGTACATCCGCCTCATCAGCGCCTTATTCTCATCGATGAAAGTCTCAATGCGATCCCTGAGCATTGGGAAAAGTGATTATTAGTTGAGTTAGTGCTCAGCCCAGTTTGCATTACAAATTCTCATGGGTTTATGTGAAAAATTTCTCTCTGTCAACTGTTAAATTTCCCTTTCTCACCTGTGTTACATCGAAAAGACCAAATATCAGTGGCATCTTTTTGAGATCGCGCAGCATGAATAAACGAGCGTAATTGTTTGCATACCAAAAATGCTCTGAATTGTGAGTGACATTCTTATTTATTGAAATTTTCCCAAATATTTTTTCTGTGCGCGATTGTGTGTAAATTTATCATCATTTAAATGTTGCGTCATGTTGTTGAAGAAGAAGAAAAAAAAATCAAATTTGACTCTATTTGTAGTGCTTGTGAGCGACTTTTTGGAAATATCTTCCACACTGTATCAATAGCTGAATCTCTTAAACCATATACATATTTTGCATTAATTTTACTCTCAGCGACATTTAGCTGAAATTCAGGTCGCGGTTACGTCTTTTTCTCATTGTTGTAAAGTTATACTATGTGGAGAAAGAGCGGACTTAGAGAAACTCAAAGGTGAGAGAAAAAATCTCCGCCACACGAACTATTATAAATGCGAGGAGCAAGGGCAAGTATTGCAAAATTATCCATGCTCTTGCACATTGTATACGGTGTTGTCAGCCGAAGATGCCAAGAAAGTTTGGTGATCACAACAATCACGGTTTGAGAAGTGGTGCAAAATTGGATGTTCATGAATTTTGAATGGAACCCAGTGATGTTCATCTATTTGTTTCTTTTCAAGAACGCCTCACTTTTGCTGTGACATGAACTTCACAAATGCCTCCAGAGTCGTGATTCACACATTCTTGGTGGCTGCAAAGATGACTGAATGGCAAAAAAACAGAGGAAGAGTAGAGGGAACTTCGCAGAGTGCCGCGATACTACGTAATTAATTACGTAAAAATCACATGGACAGACATCTGGCGAGACTCCAGTTGTGCCAAAAGATCGATACATATTGCATAAAAATATTGCCCTCTGAGTCATAGTGACAACTAGATGGCTATTATTGCCCCTCACGCGTGATCTGGGTTCGCGCTGTGGGCAATGAAACACAGGCACATCATTCTTCTTGAACTCAATCACAATTTTACGCGAAATTTGTCACGGTTAAATTGATATTTCAATGTAGTTGAGGCACAAATTGCCATTCTGGCCAATTTGTCATTCCTTTCATTTTCATTTCGCACACAATGATAAATTTATGGGATTGTGCATGTTGAAGACAAAAGCTTGCACTTCTAATGTACAATTGATGTTGAGAGAGGCAACATAACTTACGATGGATACGTATTGCCAGCCGAGGGACAGAACAGTTGGTAATTCCTCTTGATGCACGGTATTCCTCTGATAATCTCCCCACGGATGTCAATGCCAAGTGCCACGGAGAGCGCAGTCCACAAAATCTGGCGAGAAGGAAGATAAATTCGATTAGATGGGTTCAAAGTGAATTCGGAAGTGTTGTCCAGTTGAGCTTCGCTGCTCAATGGCAAGCTCATGGGTCAGTTTACAAATGAGACGAATTGAGATTAATGCGGTTATTTTCATCATTAATTGATGGATGGCATGAAATTTATTAAAGGATGTGACAATGAAACTCCACACAACTTCGCTTCTCAGAGAAAAACTCTCATGTCTGTCGAAGAAACTAATAAAATTTGCTCTACATTTTATTTGGCGAAAAAAATATAGGTCAATTAGTGGTTATGCAATAGTCCAATTTACGCCTTTTATCTATAGTATTTCTTATTACACCTCAATTTGATCGTATTTAAAACATGTCTATAATTTCACGATCAAATTAAAACGTCTCTCCTCCTTTTTTTTTGTTAAAATTGGATTGGCAAATACGTTTTATGTTGTTTCCCAAATGATTCACTCTTAAGATGTGAGTGAGACAGAAGTTGTGACCATTTTTGTATGTCGACACATCTGGGAGATCGAAATAAAAATTGTGAAAGTGAATTGAAGTTACGACACATCTTGATTAATTAGATTGAAATTTAATAGGTCTTTACTATGGAAAAATATGTACATAATAGGAAGATTCACAAAAGATCTCTTTTTACTTCCATTTTATTGTGATAATAAGCCAGCGAAGATAAATCTCACGTGGTCAAATCAATGGCTCTCATGAAATGCCTGGTAAATAAACTCGTTATATAAAATGACTCGGTAAGATCTTACCAATGATGATGGACATTTAGTTATTTGCCATTTTTCCGAGATTCCACTGGCATTCTTTCCGCTTTGTTGTGTCAAGAAAGCATCCGATCTGGTTTAAATTATATCAACTTTAATGTATGCATATTTTTAGAATTGACGTCACTTTCAGAGCGAAAGTAAATGGCCGAATACATAGCAATAAAAATACTTAGATAGTATAATGTCGCAGACTGACTTAATTTTAAATCAGAAATCTTTTAAAATCGTTCAAATATGTGAATATGTTTTCGTGCCTCTTTTTCCAGAAAAGTTCAAATGTTACAATTTCTGGGATTGTGTTGCCAACCTGAATCGCTATATGTCGCAGAAAATAGTATGACAATTCGCAATATTGCACTTTGAAAGCCATATAGTTTACAATAGTTAGTGAGACAGCCATCAATAACAGTATTTTGTCGCCTTGAGGCTTTTATTTAATAATAGCGTTGACTTTCATTGTGTACAACGAATAATATTTTACAAAGCGTCTCAAAAATTACGACTTTCTGCCTAGAACTTTATTCTCTAACGTGAGCTTTTTCCCTGAGGTTTCTCATTGGCATTCGCAGTGTTTGTCTTTTGCACTTGGTGTGTTTGTCTAGTACTTTGCACGATTTTCAAATGCAACAAGACAAACTCTTGCAACTCTGGCGATTGATAGTTATATTTGGGTTAAATAGTGAGTAAATGTTTATTTGCCGTAATGCACAGAGAGTGGTAAAATGGAAAATGCTTGTTGAAATGCAATCTTTGGAGATCAATCTCCTGAGATACCTTCGTCGGCCACCATCTGGTGAAACATGCTGAGGACTTACAAAAGCTGCAGCACTTCAATGTTTTCCTTTTGCTCATTCCCAGAATTCATTCATTACTTTTGTACATTTTCGTGTGATAAATGAATGAGGAGCTACGTAAGGCCCCAACGCGTGATTATGAATGATACAAGATTATGATGTGCATGTCGATTTGATGGAACATGAGAATATGAGACCCCATCCATGCTGGCAAAGAGTACAAAGTATACGAACCGGAATTTGAACCAAAGAACCATTATTTACAGTTGGATATGAGAAAAGAGGAACAACAGGAACAGATCCATTTTTAATAAAGATAGGCCCTTGAATTGGTGTCACAGTCGGCATTTTTCCACCTTAATGTGTGTAGATAGAAAGGACATTTATCAGTGATATTCATCAATCTAGAATGCATGGTAAGAAAGACACGCCGAAGAACTTCATTGTTGTGTTGCTAAAAATAAATTTTGAATCAACGTGCTGAAGCATTTCACACTACTTTTGTGAAGAGAGCAAGAAAAAACAATGTCAGTCACTATTCTTAAATACAGGAACCGGACACGGATACAAAAACACCGAAAATTTTCAACGTGTTATTGACTCCATGTGAAAAGAACAGATTATGATGGGATTCAATCAAGCGCGAGAATCTACTAGGGGAATTCCATGTGAAATCGGGAATCTGTTCCTATTTATTCTATTTCATCCACTTTTTTACCGATCTTCTTTGTCTCCAATAATAAATTACAGTCACTCCTGCGAAAAATCAAAGCTCCTCCATCGCAACAATTCAAAATTGAATATATCTCTGGAAATAACAGTTGAATAATTATTTAATCGATGGGAACCTGTGTGCAAAAAACGATCGTACACTTGAGAGATTTCAGTGAGTAGATAAGTACAAAAAAAACGATTGTACATGATTTTGGAATGTGTCTCAAATACTAATGCCTTGTCACAATACATTTACATAATTGTTCGCATTGGCTTAAAAAGTCCATGTCGTGTGACATGACCAAAAGTAGACGAAGAAAGATGCCAAAAATTGCGGTGTTTATTGTCCAAATGATTCGCGATACTGAAAGTGGGTGTGCGTGCCCAAATTTCCCACAACATTCTGGTAATAAACGTTTCACTTGAATCACCCGCCAAATATGATCATTTACAGGATTTCGCTCAGACAGAGAGATCGCACTCTGTTAGCACATTTATTGTCCACATTTTCTTAAATAACAATTCAATTTTGTGGTTTTTTAATTGAGGAATTTCCCTAATTGGGACCTCAAACAATTCACCGACCATCTAAGAGTAACAAAAGAAATATTCCACAATACCCTGCGCGTGTTATATATCTTTACCGCTTTAGAGATTATGACTATAAGCATATTATACTTATTGTATCTTTATTGGGGGTTTTAATACAAATAAACCAGGCTCATGACTACATGAAATTCATGTCACTGTGCTTAATATTATAATAAATTACTTAATCGGAAAAGTCTGGCTTTTTCTAGCGTTTGTAATCATACGAATTGAAATTTAGTCAAAGGTTCTGTCTAAATATGTAAGCGAATGAAATAGAAAAAATTAGATTTTTCTTTAATTTCATAGCCTGGTCTATGCACTATGACTTACGCATTCTTAATAGGTCTGTAAATCAACGAAACGGGGAAATTGAGAGCCCCCAATCGGCTGTGCTAATCCACTGAACCACTTTCATCTCTATTCGCCACACTGAAAGTGAATCTCATTGTGACTATTCATGGAAGCGCTGCGAATTCAATCGCTCATTGATGAGGCCATTAATCAATATTCAGCTACATTATCCGTTAATTAGTGGAAGAATTACATTTATCGCGTGTATGCTCTCATATTAATTTTAAATGTCGCTGAACTGACAATCTCGACAGCATGTTTCTCAATCTTCTGCAGCACGTCTACGCTCAGGAGGGGAGGATCACGAGTGTGTGTCTCACCTGGCACCTGTTGGGGCTTACGCTGAGAGTCCGGACTGCTCTCGCCGCGGTCGCCGTAGAAGTCGTCGCTCTCCTCCTCGTCGTAGTCGAGCACCGCGTGCACTTGCGTGTGCGATCCCTGCCCGGCGCTCACCTTGGTGTAGCCTGGCGGCCGCTGCGGGTATCCGCCGGATGGCGATGGCTGATGAGTCTTCTGCGCTTGCGGCACGTTTCGCGGCGCGCCTGGCGGCTGCGTGGGTGCCGCTGAGTATGGCTGACCGTTGTCGTAGTTGTTCTGCGGATTCGCATTGTTGAAGAACTGCTGCGTGTTGCTGGACGGCGGCGGCGGCGACGGCATGGCGTAGAGGCCCTCGCCGTACGTTCTCGTGGACGGCTGATAGGTGCGCGGCGCGTGGGAGGGCGAGGGATATGCGTTCTGCGCCACGGGTGGCTGCGGGCTGATTGGTGGGGGTGGCAGATAGTTGTTGCGCGTGCGGTACTGTGAATTGCGCGGCGGAGCGTAGGGGCTGTTCTTGAAGAAGGCCTCTTGCTCAGCCTCGCTCTCCGGCACCGGGACGTCATTCTCCTGGTGCCCCGCCGGGCCGTACAGCAAATTGTTCACGGCCGAAATGTGCTGCGGTGGCGGCTGCAGTGGGTTTAAATTTCCCACCCACGGTTGATTGACAGCGCCAAAAGGAAGAGAAAAATTCGCCAGAGCCATGACGATTGGGTGTCGCACTTCCCAAAAAGATGCCTCACGATCTTTTTCCTCTAAAATTCACTTAACTTTCGCAACACTGAGCACACACACGTTGCACTGCAGTGTGATCTCAATTATACACAGTCTGGTAGAGTGATTTTCATGCAGTATGCACTAATTGTTCGCAATGCATCTTGTGCTTTCCAGGAAATTGTAGAAAGCCCACCTTATCGCATCATGCCTGATAAAATTGTGTAAATAATTTGATATTCGTCCATTTTAGCAGACGGAGTGAGAGAGAGAAACTGAAATTGTATTATTGTAAAAATATTTGCATAGAAAGTGAAATTTTGACACATCTGGCGTTTTCCAGTAATTTATTCAAATTCGTTTGAATACGAATTATATAATTATTTCCACAGTCAAAACGCACACACAGTGCCAAACCAACGCGGTCTCTCTCTATACACACATTTTCTATAAATGTACATAATGTGAAAATATGTATAATAAAATCAAAGTGCGTCTTTTTGATGTTTCAAGAAAACTTTTAATATTTGCTCCCATGAGATGTGAAGAATCCACTTTGCAGAAAACTATCAATGTATGCGCTCGCGATCTTCTCAAACATCACTTCGCACATTTATTATTCACTTTCTTCATGGAAGAAAGTATACACATATCTTCCTGGAAGTGCGATAAAACAATACAATTAGCACAAAATAAATTTCAATACATAGTTCTCCTAAAGATCAATTATTCTGGCGTGGAAAAACTATTTACCCGTCATTTTTATCATTCTATATGTAAATTAAGAGAATTGCTCCGCATGTGTATTTTCTATATTTCATTCTACACTGAAAATTGCTTCTCAGAAGAGACTTCAATGGGAGATCAGAGAGGAAAACTGTGTTGGCTGTCAGAATGTATAGCATTCTTACGCGTTTACGTCTATATAATCTGTGTGCTTGTGAAAACAAGTGACTCGGCAGCAAATAAATGTGTGTAATTTATGCAAATATTTATTACAATTTCAGATTCATTCATCAAAATTATATATCACTCGCAGCGGAACTAGAAGGAGCCCAAAGAACTTCTTGATTGTGTCAATTAGAGTTGTAAAATATGAACAATAAATTTCCGTATAGGATCAATTGGCATTATGGCACAATCGGTGAAAAAATCAACACGAGAGTTGGTGCAGAGATGCTCATATGATAATTATGTACACACACATGAGAGAAGCAACTTTTCACCTCATCTCTATAAGAAATTTTTCGAAATAACCAACTCAATGTCATAACTCATTACGATTATCTCCTGAATATAAGAAACTCACATGTAGAGAGACGCTTCGTCTATGTGAATGAATTAATTTATCATGGCATTTTCTATCTGCCAAAAATTTCTTTTACACACAACATATTAACTTCCATTAAGTAAAACAAATGGCGCAAAAAAGACGAATTTAATTGCGGCGCCACTGTATATGCAAAAATCCGCCAAAAAATTCATTTATTTGGAAAGAATAGGCGAATGTGTGTATATATTTTCAATATTTCTGCCACTCTTTCCTCAAACTCTCACGTATATTAGTAATGAAATTTCTCATACAATACCCATTAGATGGTTGGTATTTAGAGAGAAAATATTCAAATTTAGCACTGTGTGACTCTTCTTCCTTCAAAATTTATGCTAAACTCCTCCAATCCGATCGATTTTTAGCAATATTCAACATTATTCAGTACCACCAATCATTCAGTGAAAATATTCAACACTTTCCAACATTTTATAAAGATGAACAACACTCCAACGAGCCACTCAACTGAGATTACACTTTCGTTGCTACTATAAACTTCACTTTTTATTTCAAAAGAGCGATCGTGCGATGTGAGAAAGAGGTGATCGCACGATCAGGTGTTTCCACGACGAATTACCAACTGAGACTGACTGTGTTTGATATTATGCAAATATACCAGACTCCATCGTGTATAAGGTATTGAATTTTTCTCCACACGTCACCCTCACCACATGCTACATACACGATTATATGCCACAGCGTATACTCGGTAGTGCTATTGTGTTAAGCATCCATAAGAGAGACGTCATAATACAGCGCGACGGTCATGTAGTCACCTCTCGGAGCGCGCCAAACTTCTGCAAAACTGTACTTGCCTCTTGAGTTGTGTGATTCTGAGATTGCCAGAGACCACAATAATACACGTACAAATCTACAAAATTTACCTTCACACCGCAGAGATGGGCCATACATTACACATCTCGCGTACACTCTCAACCGTGCCGAGTGCATTGCATCATGCATCATCATATTGAATGTTTGATAAAAACCATACATGAGAATGAGTAAATATTTAACGTTCTAAGATTCGGCAAGTCAAGCTTTTAATCGTCATAAAAGCAAATAACTCTGAAAAGCTCTTCAGCAGAAGTGATTTCATACAAATAATAGAATTACAATCGTCTAATCGAAATCACTGCTTAGAGTTATTTAACAGCTCTATCGAACTTTGCATATATTCATATGGAACGAGGCATGAAAACTTTCAATCTGTGAATGTAGAATTTACACGAAAACAGAGTAAATTTGCTAAACTGATTATTATTATATAGAACAAGGCATTAGTAGAGAAATAATGTGAATACCTTAAAAAAAACTACATATTTTTTGTAATATTTCCACGTCATCAATCCAACATTACATCGCGCGATTTGATACAATTTACTGATGCCAAAAAGGAAAGGAATTTGTGGGCTGTGAAAAGTAATTTTCACTTCGCTCGATACCATCTTCGAGTCATCCAATTAAAGATAAATCAATCCGTTCGAAAAAATGCCTTCATTGCATTGAGCAACTGTCCCCATAACGAGAAGATGTGACTGATAGTGAGTTATTCTTTTTTTTTCCACAGGATGTTGAATACATAAAGTTCAAGATACACCACGGAGAATACGTCTCTTGTGCACACGTAATGAAGTGATTGAGAGGTTCAATTAATGAAAATTTCTCAACACTGTATTTTCGCCTCATTACTCATCGCGTTTTACGGAGAATTTCATGAAAGAATTCATATCGGGTGATCGTCATGATTTTTACCGATACGGATACATCTTGGGCATTTTTCTCTTTACTCACCAGTGATGCTGGAAAGAAAAGTTTCCACATTTTTTCAGCATGCTCCAGCTCTTTTCCACCTCACGAGCACACTTTCGCGGTCTTCTCAGAAAAATTGATGATTTGCGACTCTGCAGTTCCGTTTAGTCCTTGTGCGCGCCGTTCTATCTATACTTTGCCTAAGATGTTGCAGTGATTCCACCTTGGGGAGAGTGAACTTAACGGGGCGTTTTTCTCCTCTCAAACGGCCTAATAGCAGAAGATCTATTCAAGTGATTGTGAAATGCTTACTATTATTCCTTTGTGATGATTACAAATTTATTGGTTAGCTTAATTGCATACGTATGTTTATGAAAATACAGACAAGCTGTTGAGGAAGAATAGCATAAAAGGTAATCACAATGCAACTATTGTAAAATTCTCTCACAGCATTGACTTTGGACTCTCCAACAGAGGCTGTGATATTACAGAAAGAGTTATGACCCATTTAAAGTAATTAATTTAAATTGTGTAATTGTGACAAAAGCGGAGATAATTAGGAGTTTTCGGTGTATAATCTTTTCCATGTTTATTTTAGCGCGACTGTCAAGTAATGCTCAAGGGTCTGGATAATAAAGTAATTGCTGATAATCTCATGTTCCAATAATTACATGAGATTAATCACCAGGGAAATAATATTAACATGTACCGATTGTACGTGCCATGGAAGGTGCAAAGCGTGATTTTCTCGTCGTTTATTTGTGTATTTCACTTCTAGAGTCCATGATACACAAAATTAATTCTGCCAGAGTCGCTTGACCTCGCCGTTGTGTGAAATACTTAATGTATATAAGTCTCACGACTCTTGATCGCGATATTTTATTAATTTATTGCGGAGAATTGCACTAATTTTGTCGCTCAAGCCGAGAAACTGGACTGGATGTTTGCAAAAAAGTTTGCAATTATTGGTGTATCGAACTTTTGAGCGGGCAAATCAAATTCCATACATTGCTGATCCCAAGGATTACTTATTCTTAAGACTACATTGAAAGTCTCTGTGACAGTGAGTACGGATAAACACCCTCAAGTTGATTGCAAATTATGTGGCAATCAAGGGGGAGATATTTTGGTCAAAAGTGTCATGCAGCAATTGCAAGAGTGAGGAAATATTTGCAAATGTCTTTCCTTGAGTATTTCCTAATAAATTGGGAATATATTTCAATTTTTATTCAAGCATTTAGTTTATTAGTGAAGCTTAAAATAGTCTGCTCTAGCATGCTATTGTTAGGCGTTATGAACTCAAATTTCTACAAAATACTAGAAATGGCGTACAGAATTTGTCCATATTATCTCCCCCTTGGCAGCGATAAAAAAATAATAAGCAATAATACTCATGCCACACCCAAGAAGTGAATGTCACAATTTATTTCACGTATGTACTGTTATCGTAAGTTTCTGCCTTAGCAAAAATAAATGCGATCAACACTTGAGCTAAATCTTTCATCTTGCAGAAGTCATACATTGTTATGTATCCACATTGCCATTTATACAATAAAATCACAGTGATTCGGTCACTGTCAGGCATTGGAGTTGGTGTGTAGATCATTTCCTGACTCCGCCAATCACTCACCTCAAGTGTTCAATTGCGAATGCCTTGAAAACTGCCACCTTTTTTGCCATCCAGCCAACATGCCAATTAAAATTTTAACACTATGTCACTCGAGAAACTCAACGCAATCCTTATCGGATTGAGGCTCTGGAATTAAGCGGCTGGCATTCAGACGAAATCATATTTCATGAAGTATAAAAGAAGAGATTATGATTTTTAAATCCTGTATGTCTCAAGCGAAGCGGAACTCATTTCTAAAGCACTCATTCTCTTCATTCTTCACCATGTAACATTCATATTAACAACTTGGGGGACAGATTGGAAAAATCGCTATAAATCTGTCATCTGACAATCTCTCGGATTCATGCGAATTTCCACCTCTTGTGACAATATTTACTCTGCCACAATAATATCCGTCTTTGGTATGATTTTTACTGAAATGCTAACGAGTAATGAGAGCGACAAAAACGCCAAGAAAATATTCCATTGAAAAATTTGCAAGAGCGATTCGAAAAAAAAATGCTTATATGACCTAAGGCAATATTTCAGCTTTGCTGGACGCGTTGATCTCTCTTTTTTCACACAATCTTTTCCAGTTTTACACAACAGATACACATATCAAAATAAGATCAACTTATAGAGTCGCCCACGTTTTCACGACCTTCGATATTTATACACCACGCTCTGATTACACCTCCGAATTATTAGCATGATCATAGCCAATATTCGACTTTTATCATGTTCAGTGCGACTTACGATCTATCAAGAGACACTTCCCTATTCCGAATATCCATTATCCACTGAGGAGCAGGAAAAGAAATCAACCGAAATTGTATTATTCATAATTCTGTGACATTTATTTTTTCCAATTTATTGTAACTTTAAGGTGCAATTCATTACAAAAAATATTATCTTTGTGATTATCCCCAAGAGACATTAATGAAGCCGTGAAAATATGCAATGCACTTGATTTCGTATGCAAATTCCTACGAGTATTTTATATAATAATTCATTTTACATCTTTGTGTACTACATTTATAAATTCCCTTTTAGTTAGATTCCATCGAAATAGTTTTGAAAACAACATTGATCCTGTGACATTCAACTATTCATTATATTAATTCATAACTCATGTGATTACGTTGCCGGAAATAGCAGCAACACTTAATGGAATGTTGTACAAAATGTGATTCTTCTAGTAATGATTTCTTATCTGTCTTACGCAAATGTGTCGAAAGTTTACACCTAATTAACTATCTTCTGTACAATCTCTGCAACCTTTTGTACAGACTCTCCAGTGAGGAATGTGCGATGATTACCCTCAACAACATGAACGTCAACTGCCTTCTCGCAAATCTACAGGGAAAAACCACATATTTAATGCATTGATCAACCATCACGAGAAATAATTGTACTCACCTCGCTTAAATCATAATCCTCAGAAAATTTGGTAACGCCGGATGTGCACTTGACAAGAGTAACATCGGCCTTAATCTTCATACTAGGTTGATAGGAATCTCCAGCCACCAGCTTCTTGAAGAATGTTGTGGCTGTGACTGATATCTAACATGGGAAAGTCATCAATTAGCTCTCTTCACAAAATTCTCCATTGCACATTTCTCTCTTACCAGTTCATGATTGTGCTTTGTAACGTCGTGAATCAACTCGGCACACCTCCTCAGTCTGTCCTCGTATGTTGGCAGAATTTCCAGCTCCTTGCCCACAGCTGAATAGTTCAGCTGTGCAGCCACCAATGCGAAGTACGCTAGAGAGTACGCCTCATCGTGAGCCTGTGATCCAGCAATTGTGGATCGCTGTCTCTGTAGTCTTGTCTGGGTGCTGACATAGCTTGGAGATCCGTCCAGCAAGATCAACGTGCTCTTCTCATTCTCCTTCTCCAACTGCGAGGCAATCTCATACGCCACTGCCGCTCCATAGGAATATCCAGCGATCGTGTACGGACCCTTGCTCTGCACGGTCTTCATTTGCTTGATGTAGAATTTGGCGAGGTGCACGAAGGACTCCAAAGGCACATCAGCAGTGCACTGAAGACCCCAAACTGGGCAATTCAGCTCCGCCGCCAGTGGTTTCAAAGCAGCCACCATACCCTCAATAGCGTGAATCTAGTGAAGTATTTTCATTAGCACTTACGCCAACAACAAATAATCAAACATTACTCACCACAAACAGCGGCTTTTGCTTGCTACTCGCAGGAGCATTGGATTCCAGGCGCACCAGAACATCCGTTGGCATGAACTCCTGTGAGAATTCCACTTGCACAGCCATATCCTCAGCCTCCATTTCATCTCTATTGGACATTGAGCTTCCCAGGGCGGATGATGGTGTTGTAGCTCCACTTTCTATCAAAACAGAAAGAGCCTTCTCAAAAACACAGTCATTCACGTTAAATTACCATCACTTACCAAATGCCTTGAGCTTTCCAAATGTAAGTTGTCTGATCTCTTGTGCATTCAACACCAAATCGTAATTCCTCTCCAGAGTCTGCTTAATTTCAGCGCCCATGAGAGAATCCATGCCCAGATCGGCGAGCGTCGAGGAATTGGAGATGTTCTTGAGATCCTTGAGTCCGAGAATATTTGCAATGCATGTGACAAGACTCATTCTTCCAGCATTGTCCGCTTGTCTCTTCTCAGCCACAACCATTGAGGCGAGCACTGGATGCGGTTGCTGCAGGAACAGATCCATGGTTTGCAGGCAGGACACCATTCTCTGAGGCAGAGTTCCACCAACAACAGTCTCATTGTCGCCCAAGTGTTCAAGCACAAGACCTGTGTCTCCAATTGCGCCCCACTGAATGGACGTTCCTGGATATCCGGCCACTTGACGAGCCTCGCATATTCTCTCCATTGCAGAATTGGCCAAGCCGTAGTTCACCTGTCCAATATTTCCTCGCCCGCAGGACACACTCGAGAAGCAGATGAAGTAATCCAGATCAGGGCACAATTCCCGAGAGGCCGCGTCCAAGAACTTTGTGCCGTCGACTTTGGGAAGACACACTGCACGGAAGTCCTCCTGAAGTTGATTCTCAAAGAGACCATCGCGCAGCACAGCGGCCAAGTTGAAAATGCCACCGACAGGTCCCAGTTTCTTCGCCTCCTTCAGCAGCTGCTGTGCTCCCTTTAGTGTGGTCACGTCATTTTTGTCCACCACCACATTCACTCCCTTCTCCTTCCATCTGCGCACCATCAGAGACTGATATCCTGTCTTAACGCCACTTCGGGATGTCAACACGATGTTCTTCGCACCTCGCGAAATCAACCAGTGTGTCAATTCCAGGCCGAATCCACCTAAACCGCCCACAATCACGTAAGTCTTCTCCTTGTGCATGTAAGTCCGCGGGATGGCATTGATGAGCCTTGGCGCTGGCACGACTTGCTTTTGCTTCTCCTCGTCGCGCACCTTAATCACCACCTTGCCGATGTGCTTTCCAGACGCCATGAAACGGAAGGCTTGCTCCACTTGCTGGTCGCCAAATACACTTGTCGGCAGTGGTCGGACAGCCCCATTCTTAATACCATCATTGACGAGCTGCACTACAGTGGCAATGGTCTCATCATCGCCCTCCATCACGCTGTCCAGCAAGATGCCGTGGAAACTGGTGTTCTTGAGGAACACTGACATTCCCAGAGGGCTGTTGTTGTTCAGATCGAATTTGCCAATCTCCAAGAATCGCCCATTGAGTCCAAGACACCTTATGGACGCCTGGAGTTTCTCCTCAGCCAGCGAATTGAGCACCAAATCCACACCTCTGCCTCTCGTCTCACGCATAATCAATTGTTCAAATGAACAATCACGTGAATTGCCAATGTGTCGGTCCGTCAATTGTGGGAAGGTTTTCTTCAGGAACTCCCTCTTCTCCTTGCTGCCGACTGTGGTGTACACAGTGAGGCCAGCGTTGAGTGCCACCGAGATCGCTGCCTGACCAACACCACCAGATCCAGCGTGAATAAGAATCGATTCGCCCTTCTTCATCTTGCCGCGCATCACCAAGGCGTAGTATACCGTTGAGTAGACGCATGGAATTGTGGAGGCCTGCTCCAATGTCCAGGAGTCTGGAACACGCCACAGCATATTCTTCTGAACCACGCAAGTTGTGGCGAGGGATTTAGCCGACACCATAGCCATGATGCGATTCCCCTTGACATCTCGTCCTGAGAATTCCAGACCGAGAATGCAGTCTTGCTGAGCGAGATCTCCGGGTAGAGCATCAGCGGCCAATTTTCCTGAACTCAGCATAACGTCGCGGAAATTCACTGGAGCATAGTACACTGTGCACAACTCCACACGAGGATCCTTAGGATCAGGACGATCGCGGCACAGAGGCCCCTCAATCCACTTCAAGCTAGACAGATCACCCTTCGTGAGGGCATTCACGTAAGCATGCTCCACTTGAAGCGTAGGCACATTCTGCTGGCACTCCAGTTTCAAGTGACGGAACGTTCCCCAGGCATTATTCTTAAGTACATTCGTGATGAGGTCCTTCTTCAGTTGCTCCGCATACAAGGGGTGTGTGAGAGAGAATGCTGGTGCCTTGGCATCTTGAATGAAGACCATCCTGGCAAATTTGCCGCCGTTCTCATTCTTGATGCAATTCATGAATCCCACGGCGCCAAATAATTCTTCGCCCTGGCACACAATGTACACCAGCTTGTTCTCACCCTCCGCGGTTAGAATGGCCAGCTTGACAAGGTCCACCCAATCGAAGTTCTTGTCGGTCACATTAATCACTTGGCTGTTGGAGGACTTCACATCATACGCCGCGCGCAGGAGAAGATACTCCTTCTTCGAGCACATCTGAGCCGAAACCACGACAAAGTTCAGCTTGGAAAAGAGCTTATTGTCCCTATTGCTCTTCTCGAGGGCAGATTCTTCCAGCAGCACAAAACCATCCTCCTTGATGGACTCCTTGAGATTCCTCAAAATCACCTCAGCATTGGGACGTGTCAGAACATCAGCAGCAATGCACATGTGGCAATTGGCTTCAACTGGACCAGCAGCGGCATCCTTGGCCACCACACGAATCTCTGCATCCTTCACCAGTTGTTGCAACTGAGGTGTGCTCTTAGTGGCCACAACAGCCACATCACTGGCCAGGGTGGGTTCAGCCTCAATAGTTCGCTGCACGATGAAACTCAGCAAATTCTCTGGTGTCTTGTCCAGCAACAATTCAGCCGTCTTGATCTTAAGAGCTCCCTTGGAATTCTCAATGGCCAAATGCACAGCGGAGGTAATTGCGTGCTCCCTCGCCATGTCCAGCTGCTCAGAGAGATCATGGCTGTTGTAGTTGGGCACAAAGGTGTATCTCTCTAGCTTCGGTGGCGCCTGAGTTCCCTGTCGCCTGGGCGCAAGGGAAGCACGCAATCCACGCATTTCCACACCACCACTCTTGATGACATTGATATCCTTGTACATGTACACTGGGAAGACTGACCTCTCACGCTCACCAGCGTCATACTCCTCAGCCAACTCGAAATGCTTCTCCGGGTTGATAACCACTCTCTCGATACGCGTTGGCAAGTACAACTCACGCAAATCCTTTCCCATGATGCTGAATTGAAGCATAGTGTCCATGAAACTCACCCAATTCTTCTCAGCCCACTCCAGTTTTCCAGTGTCAGCGTTCGAGTCTGTCTGCATAACTCCGCGGAAAGGTCCATTGTAGTCATATCCACGAAGACGCAACTCCTTGTACACATCGTTAGTGTCCAGTGGCAGACCAGCCTTGCTTACCGGAACTGGATCCAGTGGCAACTCCTCCAGCTCGATGCTCTCAGTGACACGAATTGTTCCCGACATGGCCAGAGAGCCACCCTCGCAAATCTCAAACTTTCCAGAGCCATCGAAGAAGTTAATTCCGAACTTCACAGGTCCTTCGGCGGGCATGATCGTAGCTCTATGGAAGACCAGGTTTTCCATCACCACAGGAAGGCGATCATAAGTGGTTCCCTGAGTCTTGGCAAACTGACGCCACGCCAGAGTGATGTATCCCGTGGCCGGGAACAAAACGCGCCCATCAATAGTGTGACCAGCCAGGAAGGCATCGTCCTCATTGCTCAAGTTGAAATCCACAATAGTTTCGCCAGAGGAGGCTTCTCCGCTCATGTTGGGCACCATCCATCGCACAGAGTGATCCCACTCAATCTTGGAGTTGAGCATTGGAGTGCCGCGTCCCACCGGGAATGACACAGGACGGAAAAGCTTGTTCACAGCGGGCTGTGCACCGGAGCCATACAACTTTCCAATGTTGCTCAGCAGGAATTGCACATTATTCTCATGATTGCGCTTCACAAGACTCAAGTTGGTCACATTCTTTCCGAGAGAGCGCTTCAGGATGGCCTGGAGAAGTCCGTGAGGTGCCACTTCAATGCAGATGGCATTCTTGGGAATGTGCTGAATGGCCTCGTGGAAGAGGACAGGTGAAAGCAGATTGTTCACGTGATAAGCAGCAGAGCTCTGCTTTGCCAATGGCGTATTCCATGCTGTCTCCGGAATACTCGAGCTAACCCATCGTTCTGTGCGATTCTTGGGATTGGGAATGATCTTGTCGAGGGATTTCTTCAACTTCGGACCAGCGTCAGCGATGTATTTGCTGTGGAAGGCGATCCCAGATGAGTTCACCGCCTTGGCGAAAACTCCTTCCTTGTTCAAGATCTCCACGAATTTATTAACAGACTCCGTGGGTCCAGAGATCTGTGGAGTAAATTATATGTTAGATTCTGATCAGGGCACCTGAAAAAGCAAGTAATTACCGTCACACTGTCTGTGCTGTTGTGGCAAGCAGGAATGATATCCTTGGGCAATCGCTTCAGGCACTCTTCCCATGAAAGACCAACTGCGGCCATGGTACCGGGAACCAGAGTCGTATCCTGAATGCTCTTTCCTCGCCAGTACGCAGCCAGGACGGTTTGTTCTGGCGAGAAGCACCCATCTGCATAGGCACATCCCAGCTCACCGACAGAGTGTCCAACAATGCCATCAGGCACGATTCCCAAATGCGTCAGGACATCGGTCAGAGCCACTTGCAGAGTGGCAATAGATACGAAGGAGTACAGGATATCGAAGCGAGATTCATCCAACTTGGTTACAACATCCACCAGATCAATACCTTCTGGACGCAGCGCCTCTGCACACCGATGAATGCTCTTGCTGAACACCTCAATCTGCATTAACTCCTTCGCCATGTGCGCCCACTGGGAGCCCATGCCTGAGTAAATGAACCAGATGGGACGCTTTGTCTCAGCCAGGTCAATCACCTCACGCAGAGGTTCTCCCTTGTTGTCCACCACGGTGTAACCTCTATAGTTGTGCAGTGGGATATTCTTGCTGTGAATTTCATTCACCAGCGCGAAATACTCCTCATCATCAGCATGAGCCTCGATGTCTTCCAGCAGAGTCTGAACAGCGTCGATTGTACGTCCCGATGCCACGGCCAATCGTGGGAATCCATCCAGTGGACTGATGGTCTTTGGCTTGGGATTTGACTTCATAATCAAATGAGCGTTCGCACCTCCAAAACCAAAGGAATTCAGGGCGATAATACCACCATTCCATGGGGTGTTCTTGTCCACAACCTTCAACCGCCCGTCCATGATGCCGTACAGATCGGGATTGGGATTCTTAAAGTGCAAATTCCCAGGAATAACGCCCTCCTCCATGGCGATCAGCATCTTGGCAATCGAGCACACGCCAGACGCAGGCTCGGAATGGCCCATGTTGGACTTCACCGAGCCAATGAGGAGGGGTGTCTTGCGATCCTTGCAGAAATAGTCGCAGATCGCGTTCACTTCCTGCGGATCACCCACTTTTGTACCAGTACCGTGAGCCTCCACGTACACCACATCATTGGGATTGAGATTGATTTCCTCGAATGTCTCCTTGATTAGTCTCTTCTGCATCTCACCATTGGGATAGGTGATGCCCTGCTCCTTCGCGCCATCGGTATTTGTTCGGATGTTCAAGATTGTCGAGTACACTCGATGTGAGTCCTTAGCCTTCTGCAGGAAGGTCACCACACATCCATCAGCGCGCACATATCCAGCTCCAGACGCATCGAAAGCTCTGCACGCGCCGTCAGCACTCAGCATGTTCAGCTTCTTGAACTGCAGTGACATGGTGGGCTTCAGGATGATTCCAGCTCCGGCCACAATGGCAGCATCACAGCGACCGCTGCGGATGTCCGCAAAGGCCTGAGACATGGCGTACAGGGAACTGGAGCAGGCAGTATCGACGGCATAGCTGGGTCCGCGCAAATCAAAGGTGAAGGAGATACGATTCGCAAACATAGCCCGAGCACATCCCGTCAATCCATAGCCATTCGCCATCTCCGGATTGCCACACCAGTGCTCCTCGGTTTCAGCTGCCGACACACCAATGTAGACACCAGTCCGCGAGCCTCGAATGTCTTGAGGATTGGTTCCTGTGCGCAAAGTGAGGGTGTGTGAGACATGATCATTTTCATGAATAAAGATTGACGTCAGACAGTTGAGATGGCTCAAAGGATGATTCGCGAAAATGTTGGGTGAGTACATACAATCAACAACCTCTCAAAGAAAGTGCGTCATATTGTTTTGACTTGGCAATTTTTTCCACTACTGCTAATTCACCTACCATCGCACGTGCACGCATACACCAGGAGGTGTGCTGTACATCAATATGTATCACATATTTGATTAAACCCGGTGTAAGAGATGATACTCATAAACGGACAATGTCAGCAAGTGTAATTTGTATAACCTTCAGCTAGAATCTTATTGAATTTTTCAATACACTTCACTACGTGACGCTGAGTACGGATATTTGCATAGAATTCATCAAGTAATGTCATAAATATGTATTTATGGACACGAAAAGGCAGAGAGGGGAAAAGGTGGTTTAACACACAAAGTTTCTCACCTGAATCCATGATCGCTTCGTGAGTGCACTCGAGGAGCATCCTGAGCACTGGATCCATTCCCTCAGCCTGCTTTTGATGGACGCCAAAGAAGCCCTGATCGAAGTTCTCCAAATCCTCCTGCTTAATTTTCCCGAGGCGCGTCGGTAAGTCATATAATCCCGCCGGCCAGCGCCGAGCATCGTCATTCACCATATCGACGCCATTGAAGAGATTGTTCTTGAACTCCTCAATGTTGGAACTCTCAGGCAAGCGACCTGAGATGCCCGATATGACGATCTCATCTTGGAAAGATCGCGGGTCATAATAGTTTGCATTCCCCAAATCCCTGGGGACACCATGTCTGGTGTCAGAAGAGACATCCTCGAATCGCGCCGGCATCTCGTTCACACTTGGGTGTCGTCGTGTTTTCCTTTTTCGCTGTCGATTCCTTCGAGATGGAATGGTGTCCTGTTAGAACACCGGTTGTTGCACTACTTCCTCGCGAGAGTGGGTCAAGCAGGTTGTTAAGATTCTGAAAGGTTCAATGGAATCAATACAGCGGCCAGACATTAAAAAATCAACACGAAATTGGGTTTTTCAAGGGAATATCTTGTTTTGACTACAGACAATCCTGACATGAAAATAAAAAATCATGTCTCACAGGCACACATGGAATTTCTCCATTAATGTGTAATCCCAGCTGAAATAGACGTTGATGCATCTTCAATTCAATTAACTCAAATTACATTTTTTGTGCACACAACACACAGAAAAGAGAAGAGTGTATAAAAATAATTGGTATATATCAAAAAGTCTTGTCAATGACCTACTATTGTGCATGTTACTATGAACATTATTTTATCGATTTTAGACGAGGAAGGAAAAACATCAGTTGGAAAAGAGTTGGAAATGGAAATTCACGTATACTCCATCGCTCTACTTAAAGCAATTTATAGGCCTAATTAAGTAGTGGCAAGACTTAATGCCTAATCATATTTCAAATGTGCATACATTATAATTTTTTCTATTGTATGTAAAAGTCTAGAAAATTATTGCGTATCTTATCAGGCTTGTCACATGATGTCTGTACTGAAGAAATAATTTGAAAATAATAGCTTTATTGGAGTATAAAAGGATTATTAACAAACGACACTTCACATTTGCTATATATAAAGTGTCTAGAAGAAGTTTGACTTCGAGTGTGGGGTTAAAGCAATCTTTGTGGCCACAATAACCTTTCGATCATTGAAAATACAGCCAAATAAACTCAAAAAAATGGCCAAGAGTGAGGGATTTCTTGGCAAAAGTCTGAACTTTTGGCAATGCTCAATGAATTATTGCATTGAATTATGTGGGGAAAAAATTAAATGAAACATGTTAGGATATTCAATGGAAAATGGAGGAAAATCAATGCTCTTATCTACGCCACTGCCATGAGGTATAATTGAAGAACATATATTTGGCTTCATTCATTTTTTGTTTTCCATTCATGTGCTGCTTTATGTATTCACTGGCAGAATTCATTGGAATAGGGAATATAGTGCATGAATCTGTGGTTCGCTTTCGTAGAAAAAGACCGAGAAATTGACAAATGAGATGAGATTAATCATTATGCAAAATGACGAGGAGGAAAAACAGCATTAACTGTACTTCAAGTGATAATCGCAGTTACGTAATGATTCCTTAATCATAAAAAAGCTGGAGTAATTTGATAATGATATCACGAATCTTTGCACTCTCTAATGGCACAATGTCAATGTCACAGTCGCATTATGTTATAATGTTAAATATAATGCATACGTACTAATTCTCAATGTGACTAGAAAGTCGTTCAGTCTGTGTAATTGTTATTTGAAATAGTTCTATTTTTTCCGCAAGTTATCAACTGCAATCGCTAATCTATGGCGGAGATTTACAGAGTAGCTGTTTAGACGACGTGGAAGTGCAACAAATATGCCAATACAGCGCAAAGCAGAGCAATAAATTCCACGTTTGCCAGCATGTCAATTTTTTGGCACTCAAATTGATAAGATCAAGCTTTGGATTTTAAGCTGTACTCAATTGTGATAAATACTGAGATTATATTCATCGACCATTCTCTGCGATATGATAGGCACATGGAATCCACTAGGATTACATCATAAATCGCTAGCGACAGGAATAATTGAGGAAATTGACCTCTAAAACTGAATTACACCATTTGAGCATTAGAAAAATTTAGAAATAAAATACAGTGCGTAACGAAAGACACCAGCAAACATCCAAGACTGTGTGCTTATATTACAAAAGTGCTCTCTAAGGTAGTCTTGAAATCACATCAGGACACATTACAATTTACCTCTTCACACAACGTCAGAAGAGAACCTCAAGTTAATTCAGCCTATTTAGTTAAATTTGCACTTCCTCAGCTTCTTTTGTTGCCGAATGAAGATTGTTCTTGAACTTTTTGCCAGAAATATCTGCCAACTAATTTGCCGTGAATTAAGTGAGCACCGTTTCTCTTGCTTTCACAAATTTGCCAAACAGTTGCTTTCTTGTTCTTCACGAGAAATATGAAAGAAAATAACGTGTATTGTTGGATTTGCAAATTTCACACAACACTTTGCACTGAAGAGTTGAAAAAATATGTACCAGAATTCTGAGACGATCAATCACACTGTACAGTCAAATTCCAATCCAGAAGTTGAGTTGTTCCTTAGAGAGATTCTGGATTTTCTTCCACTCCCGCCGAAGAGCCACACAAGACTAACTAGAAAACTCAATGATTGCTGCGTTTTTGATGGTGATGTGTACTGAGAGACTCATCACACATTTTTTCCTCCAAGCTTTTCCCCATCAAATCATTCATATATGTGCTCACAAGTGACGGACGGCGCGCGTGTGTGTGAATGTAGTCACACTTCGAGAGAGCTTTCATGTGAGAGCCCGCAAGAGGAAAAAAAGCCAAGCGGCTCTAGAATATGCACAGCGATTCGGTTATGTACGAGAGAATTTTGTGGGTCTAGAAAGAAAAGCCCCGCACATCTATTTAATCTCTATATACCATCTGCCAGTTCGTATGTTCTGGGCAAATACGCATCGGTATATAATATTTCGAACGTCTATCGCTTTTTTTCACCTCCGCAACACACACTCTCCACCTCTAATGACAAACTATATCGCAAATTCTCATCGGGCCTTCCTTCACGACCAATGTGTGCAAGTGTGAAGCGAGAAATTTTTGCGGAAACATAAAAATGTTACGATGATATAATATGTGTACTCCACATTTCATTTCTCTGTCACTTTGAATAACCTTATAGAGCAATCGCACATTGCTTTTTCATCGCAAATTGTTGCTAACCAAATTAAATTGAGGACTTGCTAATAAAAATGCCCACTGAGAGCTCTCTAAGTAATTTTCAAGCATCATCTCAATGCTAAGGTATATTAGTAGCGGAAAAGATTAGAAATAACTTTTTGCAGTGCTAGAACTATGAAAAGTTATTCTTTTGCTAATTACCTCAGCTGTAAAATAGTGTTATTTTTTCAATTTTTCTCCCTTTTCCTCCTCAGTGACCTTCTTCAGTGCCACATGAAAATTAACACACAAACTTTACACCATCAAACTCAGGAAAAACACCTTTTTCCTGCGTTATCACTAGATAAAAACCAATTTGGAGTAAATTGGCGGCGCGGCAGATTCTCTAGAACGCAATTTCAATTCCACGCAGAGGAGCACAAACTTGGGCACACGGCTTTAGGCGAAGAGAAGTAAAACTGTGGGAGAACTTGGAAAACTACTAAAGCGGACGTGCGCTTTCCTATGATGTGACTGATCAAATCGACCACTAGAACAGTACTGAGAGAGTCTGCTTCCTGACTTTGTCAACGGCGCAGAACAACAGCAAGAGGTGGTATCACAGCATATGGCATGATGTTATAGGTGACCCACTAAGAGAGCGAAAGGAAGAAGAATATCTATCCGTCTTGTCTGGCACAGCAAAAAGACCGGCCGCTGATTTTGCACTGACGCCTCAATCGCTCCGATTCCCGAATAATGTGACTGGATTTTCCCTTTTTCATGCCGCACTTTCCATGTCTCTCATCGCCTCATCAATTGACTATCATACTCTTTCTACAAATCGCACAAATCTTGAAATATTGTGAAGTAATAATGCTGCCGCACACGATATCTCAGCCCATGCTCTTGAACTTCAAATATTTTCCCGCGTGCGCATGATTCGCTCTCCGCGCGCTTGCTCTCTCTCTGCGAGTAAGAGAGTGAGAGAGAGAGAGAGAGAGAGAAATTAAACAAAGAAAAGAAATCTGGTGATTTCCATGGAATAAAAAAACACCAACACCAAAATTCTCCTGACGTGCATCACTTGGTCAATCTCCTCATCCAGCAACCCTTTTTACATCAGCAATCTTTTTTACACACACAATTTGCCGCTGAAATTCGCAAGTGAGAGCAACATCAATTCCCTCTCGCACGCTCTTTTACTCTCCATTCTCTGCCTCGTGGTTCGATTGATGTCATACCACCAGTATTAGCCAATGGAAAAGATTGTAACATGCGCCTGACGCCTGCTGGTTCTTATGGATCTCCACACAACTCATGGTTTCTTTCGGCTGACTAAAGAGTTACCTCACCACTCAGAGATGCTCCACGTATATTCGCGTGAATTTTATAATGTTTATATATATTCCAAACAATACCATTCACAAACACCCATTCAAATTCGCGTACACACACGGCAAATCACACTACAAATCGCGGACGTGTGCGGCTATCATTTGCTCCAATAATTCATTTATGGGAATCGCACTCATGAGCAACACAAATCATTGAACAATAGTACAACAACACGATTAACATAAAAACCATTTACTTTCTCTAAAGAAAAGCAACTGGAAGAATTTATCAAATTCATCGTACGATTATGCGATAACTTTGAAAAATGCTAAACACTTTTAAAGGGCAAAATTGGAAAATGCACTTCAAACAAACAGGTAATTGGCATTTTATCCCATTGCAAATCATCTTTAATTCATATCAATTAATATATAACAATATGAGATTGGAAGAAAACAAATAATTCTATTGTATTGCACTGACTTTCGACAGGTCATTTCAACAGTTGCACAGAAAATAAAGTATTCACGCACTCTCTCGTGATGGTCTGCAACAATTTATCATTTGTTCTGATGGTTCTGATAGTGTTAAAAATTCTTTGACGTCCTTTTTAAAGTTCATAACAAGACAATATGGAACACGCAATTCATATAAATTGACGGAATGCATTTTAAAGAGCGCATTAAAACGTAAAGAGAAATTGAGAGACTCATTTGCACACTTGGAAATATATTTCAAGAGGAAATTTGTTGATCTCACAACATTTACAGTGCAAAAGATATCACAATTGTAGCATAGAAAAGGTGAAATCGCACCATCAAAATTAAAAGAATAAATCATGTTGCAATTTCAATTAAGCTATTTAATCAATTTAATGAAATGAACCTTTTATTTCGACTTCTTTAGTTTTGATTATATTCATTGCAGTAATTTGTCAGAAAGAGTGACTTTTGACTTGTATATTTTAGTTTAGTGACATTGTATCGATTCTGTTTAGCATAATTCATGAAGTTTTTGTCGTAAATTTATATTTTGTCTGGAACTGAGTTAAATGTTTCATTTAAGGTTGTATTTTTAAATAATTTCCTGCTGAAACCTTTATTTTACTTAAACTGTTTATTAGCATTTTAAAAATCATATAGAAAAATAAATTATGAAGTAATAAATTTCCTTATGAGTTCATAAACTTAAAAATTTGATCATAAACTGCACTTTTTAGCTAGTTTTATTATACATTTTTTGTCGAACACATGAAAAGCGTGTTTCAAATTATATTTATTTTTATTGTTTTTTTTTTGGTATTTGTAATGTATAAATCAATTAAAGTAGCTTTCCTCTTGTGATCTAATTGGTTGTGATCTAAGTGGAAGATGATTAAAGTCTCAATTCACAAGGAAGCACAAAATTCCAGCACGCCTTGAGAAGTTCACGTTGGAGACATCATGTGAGATTGCCCGAGAATCTCGAACATATCAGCAGCCAGTCAGGCATCAATTTTCACCACCACTTTCCCAGCAAATGGGCAAAGTTGAGGCTCCAGCCACGAATTTCGCTAGTGATTGACCACGACACACGAGACAGTGACACTGATCGCGAATAGGTTTTCTGGGGTCACTGATACTGGTGACCAGGACATCACCCCATTTCTATACAGTTTTATTTTCCCGCAATGTGTACAGAAGTATCATCATTTTTCTGTCGCACCGTGGATGTAATAGGTCAGTAGAAGGTTGTCGAAAAGTTTTTTCCTCCACTGTGATTACATGATTAAATCCCCACTAATGGCTTGCGCCGCGCAATCACGAACAGAAGATTCAATTGGGAAGAAAACTGTTACATGCATTTTGCAGAATAGTGAGTATATTCCAACAATTGTACAAATTAGTAATACTATGACAAATCTAAGACTACCTTTCCCCTCAAGTGACCATCCTTTACCCTCTGATAAGCGCCGATTGCATTATCGAATCCATAAACGCTATCAACAACACATCTTAACTGTAAAATTAAAAGAGTGATACGATTTCCACAGGTATGAGTAATATCTATGAGTAACTCACCTTCTCTTGTTCAACCAGTCTCTTCAGGTGCTCCATTCCTCTCTGCAGCGGCACGAAATACCCCCATTTTACCAGGCCACGTCCGCGGCTGTTGTCCTCCAGCAGCGACATGGCATTCCGGACGTTGCCACTGATCAATCCATGTGAATCTATGTTCCTGAGCAGTGGCGAGCTGAACGTTACGTAACTCCCAAAGTCACACTGGATCTTCGAGGCGAAGTTTGGACCACTGCCGGCGCAATCGAGAATTATGTCATAGGGTCCGTTGCTGTGGATGTGCTGCAGAAAGTCCACATCTCCGTAGTCCAGCACGCAATCAGCGCCAAGCGTTGATAGCATGTCGGCACTGTCTCGTGCACCAGTGGCAAAAACATGGACATTCTCGCTTTTCGCTATTTGCACAGCCATCGTGCCCACACCGCCCGAGCCGCCCAAGATTAGAACGCGCTTCCGATTGGAGGAAGTCGTCCGCTGCAACGAGGCGCACAGATTACCGAGGCCCCCGGACAAAAACAGCCCGGACCATGCTGTCAAGCCGCTGTATAAAATGCCACACGCCTCGATATCACTAAGCAGGCGAGGTTTGTGCGTTATCTAGAAAAGAGGCAAAATATTAGTCTCCAAAGCCTTTGGGAAAGCAAATGTCTTGAACTCACAAGTGACGAATCAATCACTGCGTATTGAGAGTGGCATCCTTGCTTATGGGGAGGAATGACACCCCACACAATATCACCAATCCGAAGATCTCTGGGAACACCTAAGCCTCGATAGACAATCTCTCCAACAAAGTCCCTCCCCAGAGTGAGAGGAAACTCAATGTCAGTCCTCCGCATCAAGTTCAGAAGAGTAGCCCCGTATCCACCTGGGAAATAATGGGATGATTATTTTCCGAGCTTCTTAAATTCAAAGGAAAAATTAAATAATCCTACCTATAAGAGCGATATCGATAGGGTTCACAGATGCTGCCTTGATGCGCACCATTACCTCACTTCCTGTCTTCACCTGGGGAATCCTAATATTATCGCTGAACTGTACTTCATCCAGATCTCCATAGGAGTGTATTTGCCAGCCACGCATTTTCATCTTGTGAGGAAATCCGGGTTTTTCCTTATCCCCTTTTTCTTCCTTAACCGCACTTTGTGAAAACGGCCTGACAAACTGCTCTCTCTCAAGTTCTCGCTTGAGTAATTTAGGTCCATTTCTCCACCAAAATCTACTCAAAGCCTTTGTACAGATATTCATCGTATTTTAGTGCAAATTCCTCAGTAGGAAATCCAGACTTAGCAAGAAAATGTTCACAGAAAAATATTTGTTTTTGTTTTCACTCGATGGTCGACTGTAGGTGCTGGCATGCGAGTGGCGAAGTCCGAAAATTAGACGAAAATATGGCGCATTTTTCAGCGTGTGACGAAATAGGTTGTTTACATTTTCATTCGTGATAAAATTGTGTTTTTTACCCAGAATGGCTCAGAAATCAATAACGTGAGTACAGATTATGATGATTGAAGGGCTGTGCTGTATTTAATTGTTGGGAAAATTTGTAGGGACTTCTTCAAGAAAGCACCAAATGCAAAGGAAAATGGTAATGAGAGGTAAGCTAAAAGTATTTTATTTTTTCAATTTTCAGATAATGTCTGCGCTTGTGTGCAGAATGCTAAAACTATCAGCTAGAAGAGGTCTTCTTCGAGATCTCTCGGGCAGTGTTTTTCCTGTATATTCGTTGACTTGTAACATAACCTTGTCTCATAGCCTGGAGGAAAAAGTGGGCAGCAAAGGAAAGAAGCGTGCCCGGATTCTATCATCTAGCAGTGAAGATGAGGCGAAACCGGAGAAGGTTGCTGAGGTGACGAAGAAGAAGCAAGTCCCTAAGAAGAAAAAGGCAGATTCTCCCAAAGACTCCCTGGAAACGACTCCTCAGAAAGAATCTCCCAAATCAGTGAAGGAAGAGATTTCTAGTTCGGAAACTGATTCCTCCTCGCCCAAGAAAGTCTTCTCGATGTTCCAAAAGGACTCCAAGGATTCTAAAGCACCTGATGGCAATGAATATAATCCGGGAAAGAAGGCGTATCATCCAATCAACGATGCAATTTGGAAGCAGAATGAAAAGTACTTATGCAAGAACCTGGTTTTCCTGGTAAACTTACATTTTCTGTACTTATTTTTCAGGGTACCTTATTTGGCTCTGGCGAGGACGTTTCAGCTGATTGAGGAGACATCAGGTCGCTTGAGAATGATTGATATTCTGAGCAATTACTACCGTTCTGTGATCGTTCTGAGTCCTGAAGAGCTTCTGCCCAGCATCTTCTTGTGCCTCAATCAAGTGGCTCCGGCTCATGAGGGGTTGGAATTGGGAATAGCGGAGACAACATTGATGAAGGCCATCGCCCAGAGCACGGGCAGAAGCATGAGCCAATTGAAGAGCGATATCCAGAGCATTGGAGACATTGGCGTCGTGGCAGAGAAATCTCGGAGTAATCAGCGCATGATGTTTACGCCTGCACCACTGCATGTCACTGGCGTGTTCCAGAAGCTTCTGGAGATCGCCAAGATGTCGGGAAATCAAGCCATGGCGAAAAAGGTGGACAAGATTCAATCAATGTTTGTTGCTTGCAAACATTCAGAGGCCAGATTCCTCATTCGTTCCCTCGCTGGGAAGTTACGGATAGGCTTAGCTGAACAATCAGTCTTGCAGGCGATCGCACAGGCTTGCACAGACACTCCACCTAGTCAAGGCTACCCTCCGAAAATTTTAAGCAACCTCAAGAAGCTGGGAGAGGCCAAATTCAAGGCGAGGGTTGATGAGAATGCCCTCCTTGTGAAGACTGCACATTGTGAGTGTCCGGATTATGGCCAGATTGTGCCTGTTTTGCTCAAAGACGGACCATCAGCTCTGCCTGAGAAATGCAAGATGCTTCCAGGGACTCCGGTGAAGCCTATGTTGGCACATCCGACGAAGGACATCCAGGATGTGTTCCAGCGCTTCGACAACATCGACTTCACGTGTGAGTGGAAATACGATGGAGAGAGAGCGCAGATTCACATCAAGGAAAATGGAAGTGTGGCGATCTTCAGTCGCAATCAGGAGAACAACACCACGAAGTATCCGGACATAATTGCCAGAATTGACGCTGTGAAGAAGGATACGGTGGAGTCTTGCATCCTGGATTGCGAAGCGGTGGCTTGGGATGTGGAGAAGCAGCAAATCATGCCGTTTCAGGTGTTGAGCACGAGGAAGCGGAAGGACGCCTCTGAGACTGACATCAAGATTCAAGTGTGTGTCTTCATGTTTGATCTGCTCTTCTTCAATGGAAAGCCTCTAGTGCGAGAGCCTTTGTTCGAGCGCCGACGCCTCCTGCGCGAGAACTTCATCGAAGTCGAAGGCGCGTGGAAGTTCGCGACGAGTCTGGACACGAATGATATAAATGACCTGCAGAACTTTCTCGATGAGTCGGTCAAGGGGAACTGCGAAGGTCTGATGGTGAAGTCTTTGAAACAGGACGCGACGTATGAAATTGCCAAGCGATCGAGGAATTGGCTGAAGCTGAAGAAAGATTATCTGTCAGGAGTTGGAGATTCCCTGGATCTGGTCGTAATTGGCGGATACAGAGGAAAGGGCAGGAGAACGGGGACATTTGGAGGCTTTCTTCTCGCGTGCTTCGATCCCGAAAGAGAGGAATATCAGAGCATTTGCAAAATTGGCACAGGATTCAGCGATGAGGCTCTCCAGGAGCACACTGAGTTTCTTAACCAGCACAAAATTCCCTCGCCGAGATCATACTATCGCTTCGACTCATCCCACCAGCCCGACGACTGGTTTGACGCCGTTCAAGTGTGGGAGGTGAAGTGCGCCGACCTGTCGCTGAGTCCTGTCCACAAGGCCGCTCTGGGCTTGGTAGATCCCAGCAAGGGTATCTCGCTGAGATTCCCGCGGTACATTCGCATCCGGGACGACAAGAAAGTGGAAGATGCCACCAGTGCGCAACAGGTGGTCGAGATGTACTCCAATCAGGATCAGATCAAGAACCAAAAGAACAATTCTAATGCCGCTGAGGATGATTTCTACTGAACGCATCACCTAATACGAAAATTGTATTTGAATATTTCCAATATAAAAATTTTAATTATTTGAATGGATTTGGCCGGGCTCGGAATTCTGTTCTTTTGCGTAGTTGCTTTCTCATTTCTTCCTCTTCCTTCTTCCTCTGGTCTTGCTCCTGAAAAGTCCAATAAAATGGGATTACAAGGAATTCTAAGAGGGTAGTTTGATATATTCTACCTTCTTTATCTTCACTTCTCTTATCTGGCGAGATAATTCGTCGAACCGGCGACGTTCCTCTTGTCTTTTAGTCGTTTGAAGATTAAAAGGAACCACCTGAGTGAGTTTACGTTCCTTCTTCGGCACCCAGGGCTGCTTCCCGAGAGCTTGCGCTGTCCTGGGGGGATCTTTCCTGATCACAATCTTCGGCTTAACAGTCCTTTCAGTTTCTGCCTTATTCCTCAACAGAGCCTGCGACTTTTTCAGAACTGTGGGAGTCTGAGGAACAGTTACTACTGTCTTCTGCTTCACTATCTTCTTTTGCATCTCATGGAGACGCTTGAAATTTGGAGCTGGCTTTGCTCTGAAGTCCGGAACTTTAACATCTCTTGGTGGTTCCTTGCGAACAGGCACAACTGCAACTCTATTAACTCTAAACGTGAGAGTTTTTGCCTTATCCTTCGCACCGGCAATTTGCGGTGGAGGCTTCTTCAGGTTCTCATTGTGTTTCTTCACAGCCTTTGTGAAATCTTTTGGAGCCACTTTTGCATTGTTGACGCGAGTTTGCAGCGGAACTTTCTTCTTAAGCTTTTCAACGATTATCGGAGATTCTTTCGGTTTCTCTTCATTCTGTGGGGCTGTGTTTTCCTTGAAGTCCTCCAATTGTTCATTGAATGCCTCCTTCTCATGACCCGGATGAGGAACCACTGAAATCACATGAAAACTCATTATGATCTCCTCGAGAATATGTCCAATTTGTACTCACAGAAGAAGTATGCGGAATTCTCTAAATTTGGTGAGGCACAATCAATATTATCCCAGTCGAAAGGCATGATTTACGTGGAAAAGTTCTTGGAAAACAACGCCACTTCAATGCACTGTTGCGCTCCTCAACGGACAGTAAAAAAAACTCGACGAGTTTAGACGAGATTTTTCGAAAGTTCGAAAATCGATTAGTTTGGCTCGATGACGTCTCTTGTTTTGACGTTTCAGAATTTGTTCGTGTAATTTTGTAAAAGTGCGACGATATAGATAAAAGTGGAATAACTTGAAAATCGTCGTGAGTAACCAGTGAAAAGACACTGAGTGTGAAAATATGCCATAGTGGGGTCACTTTAAATGACGAAAAGCACTGGTGGATGCCCGAAATGTGGGTGAAAATTGATAGTGAAAATTTGATAAATTTACCAATATGGCTGATGTTATTTTCTCTTTTCCTTCTCTCTACATCATATTTTCATGCGAGACGAGCAGTGGCACGAGTGAAATACGTGTAAGATGCAAAGTAACACCAACAAGACTAAGGAAATGTTTATCGTCAGGGCTCTGGAGAAGATTCTTGCCGATAAAGACATCCGGAGGTCACATCACTCACAGTCGCAGCTGAAGAGGGCCTGCGATGTGGCATTGGGTAATTTCTCTCCCTCCTTGTGTGAAAGACAGCGAAATTAATTGAGCGCGCTGTTTTATTGCAGAGGAGATCAAGCAAGAGTTGAAGGAATCTGGCCAAGTGGAAAATTTGGAGAGCGCCCCGTCGGCTGCGCTGCCGCTGCCCAAGAATGACTCCGCCAACACGATCAATGCGGAGAAGTACTTTCTGCCCTTCGAACTGGCGTGTCAGAGCAAGACGCCGCGAATTGTGGTGACGGCGCTGGATTGCCTGCAGAAACTCATTGCCTATGGACACCTCACGGGAAACATTCCAGACTCCTCGAATCCGGGCAAGTTCCTCATCGATCGCATTGTTACGACGATATGCAATTGCTTCATGGGGCCCCAGACGGACGAAGGGGTGCAGCTGCAGATCATCAAGGCCCTTCTCACTGTCGTCACGTCGCAGTATGTGGAGGTGCACGAGGGCACAGTGCTGCAGGCCGTCCGGACGTGCTATGACATCTACCTGTCCAGTAAAAATCTCATCAATCAAACAACTGCGCGCGCTACGCTCACCCAAATGCTGAACGTGATCTTCACCCGGATGGAGCACCAGGCGACCGAGGTTGGGATGAGCTCGGGCGCCTCGGACAGTGGCAGTGACATGAAAGCCATCGGCGAGGAGTTGTCCGTGGAGGAGATTGCACGAAGTGTGCTTGATGAGATCATAGCTAATGCAGTGGCGATGGCTGAGGCCACTGTAAACGGATCGAGTGGCAACAGTGCCATTCCCGAGAGTGGCACAATCGTGAGAATACCGTCCCAGGAGAGTGTGGAGACCCACAGTGAGAATGACGCCATCGTGACGGCAAAGTTCACGCACATTCTCCAGAAAGATGCATTCCTCGTGTTTCGCGCCCTGTGCAAGCTCTCAATGAAACCATTGCCTGACGGAACTCCAGATCCCAAGTCACATGAGTTGCGCTCCAAAGTCCTCTCGCTGCACCTACTTCTGTCCATTCTGCAGAACGCCGGGCCGGTGTTTCGCTCCAATGAGATGTTCATCATGGCTATTAAGCAGTATTTGTGCGTGGCACTCTCGAAAAATGGCGTGAGTTCGGTGCCAGAAGTGTTTGAACTGTCCCTGTCGATCTTTGTGGCCTTGCTGTCGAACTTCAAGGTGCATCTGAAGAAGCAAATCGAGGTGTTCTTCAAGGAGATCTTCCTCAACATCCTGGAAACCACAAGTTCCTCCTTTGACCACAAGTGGATGGTGATCCAAGCATTGACGCGCATCTGTGCCGACGCTCAGAGCGTTGTGGACATCTACGTAAACTACGACTGTGACTTCTCGGCTGCAAATCTCTTCGAGAGGCTCGTGAATGACTTATCAAAGATCGCCCAAGGGCGTCAAGCGCTAGAACTGGGCGCCACACCCAACCAGGAGAAGAGCATGCGAATTCGAGGTCTGGAGTGTCTTGTGTCCATACTCAAGTGCATGGTGGAGTGGAGTAAGGATTTGTATGTGAATCCAAATCTGCAGACGACTCTGGGAGAGCCGGCGAAAGTTATTACGGCGAGTGTTGAGGAGCCAATGGGTTCTCTAAAGTCCCATGGAGGCTCCAATCTTAGTTTGAACTCCACGGGCAGCACGAACACGAACGGTGGTGGGAATCGAGAGGTGTTGGATTTGCCGGAGGAACTGGAGGAGCGCAAACAACGCAAGGAGATCATGGAAATGGGCATTGACATGTTCAACAGGAAGCCGAAGAAGGGAGTGGCTTTCCTGCAGGAGCGTGGCCTTTTGGGAGATTCTGTAGAGGCGATAGCGAAGTGGCTTCACGAGGATGATCGTCTGGACAAGACAGTGATTGGCGATTATTTGGGTGAGAATGATGATCACTGCAAGAAGGTGATGTGCGCATACATAGACGCGATGGATTTTGATGAGTTGGACATTGTGGCGGCGCTGAGGCACTTCCTAGAAGGATTCCGTTTGCCCGGAGAGGCTCAGAAGATTGACAGATTGATGGAGAAATTTGCCAGTCGTTATTGTGACTGTAATCCGAATAATACCCTCTTTGCCAGTGCTGACACGGTTTATGTGCTGGCGTTCAGCGTGATAATGCTCACAACGGATCTGCACTCACCTCAGGTGAAGAACAAGATGACAAAGGAGCAATATATAAAGCTCAATAGGGGGATTAGTGATTCGAAGGACTTGCCAGAGGAGTATTTGTCACAGATATACGATGAGATTGCTGGGCATGAGATCAAAATGAAGAACACGAGTGTTACGAAGCCAGGAGGCAATCGGCAGATCATCATCAACGAGAAGAAGCGCAAGTTGTTGTGGAATATGGAAATGGAGGCGATCTCCACCACGGCGAAGAACCTGATGGAGTCTGTGTCACACTTCAAGTCACCTTTCACGTCGGCCAAGCACTTGGAGCACGTAAGACCCATGTTCAAGATGGCTTGGACACCTTTCCTGGCCGCCTTTTCGGTTGGTCTGCAAGATTGCGATGACACAGAGATCGCGAGCCTCTGTCTGGATGGGATTCGATGTGCCATTCGGATTGCGTGCATCTTCCACATGACTCTGGAGAGGGATGCGTACGTGCAAGCTCTGGCGCGGTTCACTCTGCTCACGGCCAACTCGCCCATTACGGAGATGAAGGCGAAGAACATTGACACGATCAAGACGCTGATCATGGTGGCACACACAGATGGCAATTACCTGGGCAGCAGTTGGCTGGACATTGTGAAGTGCATCTCTCAACTGGAGTTGGCGCAGCTGATTGGCACTGGCGTGAGGCCACAGTATCTCTCAGGGCCGACAACGCATCGTGATGCTCTGGATCCGAGTGTGAAGGAGCACATTGGTGAGACGAGCTCCCAGAGTGTCGTTGTGGCCGTCGATCGCATCTTCACGGGATCCATACGACTGGATGGTGATGCTATTGTGGATTTTGTTCGCGCACTGTGTCAAGTGTCGATGGATGAACTCCACGGACACCAGCCGAGGATGTTCTCGTTGCAGAAGATTGTGGAGATTTCGTACTACAACATGGGCAGAATCAGGCTTCAGTGGTCACGCATATGGCAAGTGTTGGGTGATCACTTCAATGCTGTGGGATGCAATACAAATGAGGAAATTGCATTCTTCGCCCTGGACTCGCTGAGGCAGCTATCGATGAAGTTTATTGAGAAAGGGGAGTTCACGAACTTCCGCTTTCAGAAGGATTTCCTGAGGCCTTTTGAGCACATCATGAAGAAGAATCACTCGCCCGCAATTAGGGACATGGTTGTCCGATGTCTGGCGCAAATGGTGAACTCACAAGCGCACAATATCAAATCTGGGTGGAAGAACATCTTCTCGGTGTTCCACTTGGCGGCCGGAGATCACGATGAGGGCATTGTGGAGTTGGCATTCCAGACAACGGGAAAGATCATTACGGACTTGTACCAGCGCCAATTTCACATAATGATCGACTCATTCCAGGACGCTGTGAAGTGTTTGTCGGAGTTTGCGTGCAATGCTCGCTTCCCGGATACGAGCATGGAGGCAATCAGGCTGGTGAGGACGTGCGCTCTCTGTGTGCACAGTGCTCCGCATCTGTTTGCCGAGCACGCGGGCATGGAGAATGATGTGGCTGTCTCGGAGGAGGACAGAGTGTGGGTGCGCGGATGGTTTCCGATGCTCTTCTCCCTGTCGTGTGTGGTGAATCGATGCAAGTTGGACGTGAGAACTCGAGGATTGACCGTGCTGTTCGAGATTGTGAAGAATCATGGAGATGCCTTCAAAGCCAATTGGTGGCGGGATTTGTTCAACATTCTGTTCCGCATCTTCGACAACATGAAGTTGCCAGAACAGCACACGGAGAAGGCAGAGTGGATGACGACGACGTGCAATCATGCCCTGTATGCGATTGTGGATGTCTTCACGCAATACTTTGACATCCTCGGGCCGCTGCTCCTGCACGATCTCTACACGCAATTGCACTGGTGTGTGCAGCAGAACAATGAACAACTGGCCAGATCGGGAACGAATTGCCTGGAGAATCTTGTGATCTCGAATGGGTTGAAGTTCACCGAGGAGACGTGGGACAGCACTTGCCAGTGCATGTTGGACATCTTCAACAACACTCTTCCGTCGGAATTGCTGACCTGGCGACCTGATCCCAACTTCGTGGCCTCGAGTGCTGGGAATCACAATCGGCACGGCAGCGCGAATGCGCTGGAGAACGGCGAGGTGAGGCATGGTATCCTCAAGAGGGCGAACTCCCATCATTCGGTGATGTACACGGGCCCGGAGGAGATGATGGGCAAGGTGGTGGATCACGGATCGAATAGTCTTTTTGCTAGTCTTCATATAAAGTGCGTGGTGCAACTGGAGCTGATCCAGACGATAGACAATATAATCTTCTTTCCGGCCACGTCGCGGAAGGAGGACGCCGAGACACTGGCTCTGGCCACGGCGGATCTCACGGGGGGTGTCTCTAGTCACACGGAGTGTCAGCGCGAAGAACAGGGGATGTACAGTTACCTCACGACACCGCATCTGCTCAAGTTGACCGACTGCCTGATGCAGAGTCACAGATTCGCCAAGCAATTCAACGTGAACACGGAACAGAAGAATGTGCTGTGGAAGGCGGGCTTCAAGGGGTCCGTGCGGCCTAATCTGCTGAAGCAGGAGACACAGTCACTGGCGTGCGTCTTGAGGATATTCTTCAAGCTGTACAACGATGAGAATCGACGCACGGACTGGATGGATGTGGAGAGGAGGCTCATAGCGGTGAGTCAGGAAGCGTTGGAGTACTTTCTTAATCTCCAGAGCGAAACACACAGAGAAACGTGGACGTCCATTCTCCTACTCGTCCTCACGCGCCTCCTCAAGATGCCGGACAATAGAGTGAGTAGTAAATCCTGCGATCATTCTATAGATTTATTCAATGATGTTTACCGACTGTTTCGCAAATCAACACTGAAACATGTTTCACGTTTCTTGATTTGAAATTATGTGTGTTTTAACCAAAAATGTTGTCTCTTTTCCAGTTTGCCGCTCACATAACACATTATTATGCTTTACTGTGTGAGATTATGTGCTTTGACTTGAAACCTGAACTCAGAAGTGTCCTTAGGCGAGTTTTCCTGAGAATTGGGCCTGTCTTCAATGTCACAACTCCATAACATCGCTAAGGATTATATTATTACACATATGTAATATTCCAGAGTAGGATCACTAAAAAGAGAAAATAGTAAAGACATTGTGAGAGAGGAGGAAGTACACTAATTTCATACATGAACCTTTTTGCGTAGGTGGATTTCGTAGACGGAGGAAAAAGAAATTAAATGTTTTTAGAATTGCGATAGAAGTGAAATCAAAATGGAAAAATTAAAAATTGTTATTCGTATTATGCAGCAATCGCAAGTGCTAGTGCTTTCCTTATATTTTCTAATTTATACTTCAATTGACATCTATTCCACGTGAAGACATGCATTCGCATAATAAATTCTTTATTTATCCACTTATTGAGTTATTGAATAGTTGCATAGATTGAATACGACGTTAAAAATTGTCTCTAAACTTTGATGTTTGTAAATTGTAAATGGTAATGAAAATAAATTTTATTTAAAAAATACAACCATGAATATGAATTGCGTTGAAGTTGGTCCGAGTATAGATTTTCACTCTGTGTGGCTGATAAACCCCTCGCGGAATTCCTTCTGCCCCTCTTTTTCGACCAGTTGGACCAGTTGTGAGTCACTGACATTTCTCGAGCGAAAAACAAAAAGTGTACAAGAAGTGGTTATATTTTTATCTATTGTTTTTATTAGTATTTTTCCCTTTTCTCGCAAAAATTACGCATTCGCGTGAGGAAGCGATGTCTGAGGTGCGAAGTGTGATTGAATAGTGAGGAAACACGGGCTATTTTGAGTGTTTTCCGCCCACTTTCTCCGAGTCGATTCTGTTGTGGCTCAATGTCGATTGTCCTTTCTTTCAGGAGACGGAGAGCTTTGCTGAAGAGGATGTGGAACCCAAACTCAAGTACATTCGCATGTCAAATGACCTGCAGAACATCCTCAACAAGGACACCATCAGCTGCATCGCCGTCCACTCAAAGGTGCTCTCGGTTGAGTGAGGAAAAGAGAGTGGATGATAGTGTTGTTTGTTTTTGCAGTTCCTCTGCATCGGCACACACTGGGGCGAAGTCCATCTGCTGGACCACCAGGGGAACACTGTGAGCCAGAAGGCGAATGTGCCCCATCACATGGTGGCGGTGAATCAGATCTCGGTGGACGGGAAAGGGGAGCACATAGGCACATGCTCAGACGACGGCATGGTGATCATCAGTGGCCTCTGCACGGATGAGAATAATCAAAAGATAAACATCGGGAAGGCCGTGAGGAGCATCTGCCTTGACCCGCTCTACCACAAGTCTGGCTTCGGTCGGAAATTCATTGTGGGCGACAACAAGCTGAGTCTGTACGAGAAGACCTTCCTGAAGAGCCTCAAGTCGACGGTGCTGAGTGAGTCCGAGGGCAATGTCTCCTCCATAGCCTGGAACAATCAATTTGTGGCGTGGTCCAGCTCACTGGGCGTCAGAGTGTTCGACTTGAGCGAGAGGTGCTCTCTGGGGCTCATCAGATGGGAGCAGCCCAAGTCTCTGTCCCTCACGGACTTCCGTTGCAATCTGCGATGGTCCAGCTCAACCACCCTCCTCATCGGCTGGGTGGACACCATCCGCATCTGCGTGATACGCAAGAGGAACAGCATAGAAGTGTCCACGAGGGACTTGCCTGGATTTATAGTGGATCCCGGTGAGAAAAAGTCCCAAATTTTCCCATTTCCCATTTATTTCTAGACTTGGTATCAAATTGGGACAAAAGTACGCAATTTCTCATCCCTTCATGTTGATTTCTATGCACATCTTGTCAATGAGTGGGAAGACTCGCTTTGAGGAGTTCTTCCAGTCTTTGCCAATCAGCTTCTGGCTGCATTTCAGTGCAGGCACACGTGATTATGTTCTCTGGCTGCTCTATCCACATCTTGTGATGAATTCCTTGCTGCTCCAGCAATGTTCCCACGGACTGCAAAGCCGCCTCGCCGGGCACTTGAATGATCTTTACCGAAGCCTCTTGAGTGGGTGAATACACACGACGTGCGTGATTCACGGCAGAAGTGGCGTGACACGCTTGAGCCACCAAAGCTCCAGCATTCCACACCAAATCACTCCTCACGAAAACACACTGCACGAGCTTCATGGTGTTTTTGTTTTGACAATTTGAGTCATCTTTTCAAGGGGCAAATAACTCATCGAATCATCTGGCTCTTCTCTTCTAGTATCAACATTCCAGACCGATTTCTTTGTCTGCGGTCTTGCGCCCTTGGAAGCCAATCAACTGGTCGTCCTGGGAGTCCCCAAAGAACGTGATTTGGAGAATAACAAATCCCTGAGGCCTATTCTTAGTGTTCTTCTCTACAAGACCTGCGACTATGTGGAGATTTGCACAGATAGTCTCTCCCTAAGAGGGTAAGAAAATCAATTTCCCTTCACTTCTTGAGTAAAGAGAAAAATTAAATGGTATTTCTTTCGGCAGATATCAAGAATTCCAATGCAATGATTACTTCCTGGACTGCCTTATCGAGGAGAATCAATATTTCATAGTGTCACCAAAGGATATCGTCGTGGCCAGTCCTTATGAGCACGACGATAGGATTCAATGGCTAATCGAGCATGGGTGAGTATTATTCCTCAGATAAAATCCCCTTGGCTTGTCAAGAACTCTTTCCATAACCTCACTCTGAGGTGTTTTCTCTTTGGACGTTTGTGGGTGGAAAAATGAGGAGTAATGACTTTAATAGTCGTCTGCTGAACATATTTATTGCAATAAGTGCATTCTCACTGGGAACATTCATCGCTCTGATGATGGTCAGTGAGAAATTGGTGGACAAAGCATCTGTGCAAGACTTCCAAGCAGGGAGCTTGAGAGACAACATTGCTCCAAAGAAACCCCATCACTTCCTGGTGATTCTGGTGGCAACTGCGGCCGGAAATGTCCCACAAAGGAATGCCATGAGAGAGACATGGTTCAAGAATGGATATCTCTGGAAATCGGACATTCCTTACGACCCGAATGCTGTTTATATTCCTCTCTACGATCCGGAGACGGGATTTATTCGTCCGGAGACTCCAGACATTCAGTCGTACAGTTTGAGTGTGTACAGAAAGTGGCATGCGAAGTACAAAACCATCAACCCAGAACTGGACGGTCAGAAGATGGGCAACATTTCGCTTGCGCACTACTTTGCGATTGGAACGGCAGGTTTGAGTGCTTCGGAAGTGACGGAATTGAAGGAAGAAGAGAGGAAGCATGGAGATATTCTTATGCTGGACAGCATCTGGGATAGTTATGGCAATTTAACGAGGAAATTGCTGGAGAGTTTCCACACATTAGATGAGAAGTTCAGCTTTGACTATCTGCTGAAGTGTGATGATGATACTTTTGTGGATTTGGCAATCTTGCTCCAGGACTTGCAGAGTTATCACACACAGCTGAAGATTGTGTATGAGAAGAGGAAGAATCTGGGCCCCATTCCGAGGCTCTACTGGGGATACTTTCACGGCAGGGCGCATGTAAAGACAGCCGGTCAGTGGAAGGAGCAGAACTACGATCTCTGCGATAGGTATCTGCCTTATGCTCTTGGCGGAGGCTATGTCGTGTCTGGGAACATCGTGAGACAGTTATCGCAGCAGAAGGATGTTCTGAAGGTGTTCAAGAGCGAGGATATCTCGGTGGGAAGCTGGCTTGCGCCCTTCAGGGATGTTTATCGTCGACACGACGTGCGTTTCGACACAGCATTCATGGCCAGAAAGTGCCAAAGCTACCATATAGTGCTTCACAAGCGCTCGGCTGAGGACATGAGGCATTTTCAGAGTGGCTTTACATGCTCCCAGATCCAGAATGACGCCATCAGACGACCAAAGGAGTACTTTTACAATTGGCAAAAGCCACCGACTCAGTGCTGCGATATCTCTGTCAATTGACGAGAAATTCCCCCTAATTGATTGTTTTGCTGCCTTTCTCTCTTCCTCCGTCAGGCGGTTCGAGCAAGCAATAGATGTGATATCAGTCCACGGAGGCCGATACTCGCTGGTGAGCGTGGCGAGGCTCTATCTAGATCACTTACTCTCCCTTGGACTGTACGAGGATGCCGCCAAGCTGTGTCTGCGGGCGTTTGGGAATGATAAGTTGCTGTGGGAAGAGGAGGTGTACAAGTTCGTGAAGGTGCAGCAGTTGAGGTGAGTTTTGAAGTCTATAAAAGCCTGGAAACATATTTATTCTCGTGGTTTTTTTTGCTCCTGAAGGGCTGTAAGTATGTATCTGCCACGGAGTGCAGACTGCAAGCTCAATCCACATGTCTACGAGATGGTTCTCTATGAGTATCTGAAGCTGGATCCCCCGGGATTCCTGGCGCTGATCAAGGAGTGGCACCCGATGCTCTACAACACGTCTGCTGTGATAAATGCCATTCAGGATCACTACAATGAGAAGGACAAGAGTATTCTTCTTGAGTCCCTGGCGATACTCTACTCGCACGAGGAGAAGTACGAGAAAGCTCTGGCCATGTACTTGAAGCTGCAGCACAAGGATGTTTTTGCATTGATAAGGAAACACAATCTCTACTCAGTGATTCATCGGATGATTGTGGCTCTGATGCAGTTGGACACTGAGAAGGCCATCGCGATGCTGCTGGAGAAGGACAAGATATCGTCAGATGTGGTTGTGGCGCAGCTGGAGACAAGAGAGGACTTTCTCTTTCTCTATCTGGACGCACAGGATCGGGTGGATCCGAGTGGGAAATTTCACTGGAAGATGGTGGGATTGTATGCAAAGTATGCGAGGGAAAAACTACTGCCATTCCTCAAGAGGTCCAACAAGTATCCAATCCAAGAGGCGTATGACATCTGCAAGGAGAAGCTGTACTATCCGGAAATGGTGTTTCTGCTGGGCAGAATGGGAAATACCAGGGAAGCCCTGTCGATATTGCTGCACAAGCTGGAGAATGTTCAGCTGGGCATTGAGTTTTGCAAGGATAACGACGACATGGACTTATGGAATGACTTGATTAATGAGTCTCTGGACAAGCCGCACGTGATGACAAAGCTTTTGGATGGAATTGCTGGCTATATCAATCCAGAATTGCTAGTGAGTAAGATAAAGCTGGGCCAGAAGATTCCCGGACTCAAGAAATCCCTCATCAAGACACTCAAAGACTACAGCCTTCAGGTAAAAGACACTGGGTGATGGAGACTGTGCAAATTGCTGACTTTTGCCTGTCATTTCAGGTTACCATCCAGGACGGTTGCAACCAGATTCTCGTGACGGACTACTTCAACCTGCACGAGAGACTGTACAAGACTCAGCAGAAGGCCATTCACATTTCCAGCGACTTCCAGTGCGGCATGTGTCGACGGAGCGTCCTGGCCAAGGAGTCAGCCTTACACAGTAGCTCCCAAGCCAATGGGAAGCACGATATTGTGGCGTTTAACTGTCGACACGTGTTTCACGAGAACTGCTTGCCGGACAAGTACACAGACTTTTGCACAGTTTGCAAGTCGTCTAAGAAGTGAAGCGAAATTCTCATCAATTCTCTGCTGCGCGTGAATCCATCGCTGGTAAGCTGCAACTCCTCCCCACGTTTGTTTTGTTCATTTGTAAGTTATAGAGATCGTGTATTATTTCTGTTGCTATATTTTAAATGGAGAAAAGAGAAGAGTGTTTTTTAAAAGGCAATAAAAGTCCACCATTTAGACACAAAAGTGAGGAAAAGACGATTGAGTAAAGGTAAATTATTTATTGATGGAAATTTCCTTATGAGAAAAAAGTTTTGAAAAAGAAATCACAAGAAAAGTCATCAGCACGTTTGAAAAGAAATTTCGATTCTCAAAAGAAACTTTCAAAGAGATTATATTCCTTGATGGTTTTTGTTTTGTTTTTTAGAGAGAGAAAAATGATAAATACTGCAGGCATTCTACTCGATTTTTCCTTCTTTATTTTATTTCATTCCTTCTTCCAGAGAGAAAATGATAAATCAAAAAAAATTGCCAATCTATTGTATTAGGAGGGAAAGTTTGAAAAGTTGTAATTGGATTCTGACTAATTCAAGTTGATTTTTGGCTGTTTCATTCTGACCAATTCGGCTTTTGTTCTGCCTTTCTTGTTTTGTTTTTTGTTCTCAGAGTGTCTGCTGTCAATTGCTCAATATAAATATATTCTCTTTTCCTCTTCCTTTTTTCTTCTTCTTCAAATCATAATTTAAATTAATTGGCTGATACTGCGGGTATTCCTTGATTATTGGTAGCTGATGATGTGGCGGCTGAATCCGTTAGATACTTCTCCACCTGGCAAAGATATTGCAATCGGTCAGTCTCAAATATTTCTCATCGAGGCATTACAATCCCTGGTCAGCGTATTACGCACACTTTTTCAGATGTACTGACAGAAGTTTTACATAACTTTCGTTCTGGACGGTCAGCTTCAAATATAATCTGCCACAACTCGATTTGACCTCTACTCAATTCTTGAGTGTGCATAATTCATTGACCAGCGATTGTGGGGTGAAGTGTGAACTCACGATTTTCTTCACATAAGTCAGTTGTTTGGAGTCTGGATTCCCGGCGACATTGTCTACTTTGTATGGAGGTGATATAGTGACATCGTTGAAGACGACTATGTTGGGGCCGGACCACGTAACTTGATCAATTGTCTTAGAAATCGCTATGAAGAGTTTCTGGCCGTCGGGACTCACGCCAGCCGCGAGAGCCGTCACCAGGCGCTTCTTCTGTTCCAGCGTGTTCCTCAATCTGGTGGTCAACTGCAAAGACAGGCGGTTTGTCAGTTTGCCGCGGCATCAGTCTAAGTCATGGTCAACTTACTCGTTGGAGATTTAATGACTGTGGAGGATCTGGCTTTGTACTAACTTCCTTCTTCACCTGAACGTCGCCACACAAGCTTAGATTCACCATGAAGACATCGTGCTGCTTCACGTTCCCGCTCACGGCAGTGCATTCTGTTGTTTTGGGGTGTGCATTAAGGAAAATTACATAGGAAAAGTGCATAACCTAGAAAAGTTGTGAAAATTTCCCAACAGCCATGAAAAATGCTGCCTTCTTCCGACATATTCAAAGCGCCTCATTGTCCTCTTCCGGGCTTCCTTCGAGGTTGCAGGCGACTGAAAAGAGACCAAGCATGCGATGCGGTGGGAGCAGAAGCCCCCATGTGTGCCCCTTCTGGGGCTTTTCAGCGTAAAAGGATACTCAAAATCAAGATCTTGGTGCTCTGGTCGAACGCCAGAACTTCTCCCTCGATATTTTGATTGAAACAAGTGGTACACACAACTGTACTGCCAATGGAAAAACAATCATTTACAGCAGCCATCTCTCACTTCGATGGTTCACGGGGATTCACACACACTTTTCCTCGAGTTACTGTACGCGGAGAGTTTTCAGAAAGAGATCATCAAAATCAAAACAGCAAAATCTCTATTGCTTTGACACATCCGCCATCTTGCTCGTCATCTGGCCGCGCGGCGACTCGCCAATAGGCCTTTTCGCCGTACACGGCGAAATGTGCGTAAAATAATAAATTTCGCCTTTATTACTGTCTGCATCACAAAATGAAGTGGATTTCATACAAAATATTTGCATTTCTTATCAAGTAATGCCATAAAAATGTATTTTAGAGGCCGAAGTAATGTTTTGTTCGGTTTCGCGCCATTCGGCAATAGACCTCTTCGCCCCAATTCGCCACCTGCTTCAGAGGTCATTTCATGGTAAATACGTATCGGAAGAAAGTTGGTTTTCCTGCTTTTCTCATTTTCAAGGTGTTTTCCTGGCCTGCGGAATGCGGGACGCTCTGAAGCAGAATGCCACCGAGTGCGTGTCAGTGTTGATTTAGTGATCACTTTCGCTAATTCTGTGTTATTTGCAGAAAACCAAATCCCATCCGGATGGGTAGTATTGACGACATCAATCTGGATCAGTTCCTGAAAATCACCAATTATGAGGACACCGTGAAGCAGCTGGACATATACTATGGCATTGGTAAGTAAGAGTGCCTGAGACTTGTGAATTAGTGCTAATCATCTTACTTTTCTCCAGTCAAAAGACAACTGTTGCAGTTCCAGAGCCCAATTACTGGCCTCTTTCCGGTCCTTTCGACTGACACGGAAGTGGGCAGTATCAGGGACAGTGTGTACTGTGCAGCTGCCATTTGGAGTCTCTATCAGGCCTACAAGAGGATCGATGACGATCGAGGAAAGTCCTATGAACTCGGCCAGTCCACAGTGAAGTGCATGCGAGGGATTCTGGAGTGCTGGATCAAGCAATCGCGTCGAGTGGAGTTTTTCAAGTCTCGCCAGTGCAGTCTGCATGCACTGCACTGCAAGTTCCACCTGTACACAGGAGAGCAAGTGCTTCCGGATGACAACTACAACCACCTGCAAATCGATGTGGTGTCAGTCTATCTGATATTCCTCGTGCAGATGATCACGTCTGGCCTGCAGATTGTTTACACGCAGGACGAAGTGGCGTTTGTGCAGAACCTGGTGTACTACGTGGAGCGCGCCTATCGAACGCCAGACTTTGGAATCTGGGAACGTGGCTCGAAGTACAACGATGGAACTCCTGAGATTCACGCCTCGTCGATTGGATTCGCCAAGTCAGCTCTTGAGGCCATCAATGGGTGTAATTTGTTCGGTGAGAAGGGCGCTTCGTGGAGCGTCGTGTACGTAGACATCGATGCACACAATAGGAATCGCAGCATCTTCGAGACGATGCTGCCAAGAGAGTCCAGCTCCAAAGGTGTGGACGCCTCACTTATTCCTACGCTCTCTTTCCCGGCGTTTGCATCCCACGAGGAGCGCCTTGTGGACATGACGAAGAAGAACGTGGTGTCACGCCTGAGAGGCATGAGAGGCTTCAAGAGGTTCAGCCGCGATGGGTACTTGAGCAAGATCGAGGACAAATCCAGGAGATTCTACAATCGGGGCGAAATAAAGGACTTCGAGGGATACGAATGCGAGTGGCCGATCTTCCACATTTACATGATCATTGATGGCGTGTTCAAGAACAATGCCGCTCAGATAGAGGAGTTCCAGAACGAGCTGAGGAGTTGTCTCTACAAGGACTTGAACGGAGGTGAGAAAGTGACCTGAAAAACATGAGTGAAACACTCAATGTCCTCTTCGCAGATCCCGTGGTCTCAATGTACTTCCAACCTGATGGCGAGGGAGGCTACACGCGCGCCAATCCCAACTCCCTTTTCCTCTGGGGCCAATCTATGTTTATCATATCGCAACTCCTGACTGCTGGGCTTTTGCACATCAACGAACTCGATCCGATCCGACGATACCTCCCCAGCTACAACAGACCACGCAAAGGCGGCAGGTATTCGGCTTTCCAGGTAAGTGCTCTGCCTGCATTTGTAAGGACTCAACCTTGCCTCTTGGATTTTAATCAATTGCGGAAGTTCTCTCTCGACTGTCATCTTAACTGAATTCTTTTTTCAATCTCAGGCAAAGCCGGGAATAGTAAGTAAATTGCGGTAGCATGATTGACTAGGTGTTGAGTTCTTTTCTCATTAGTTTTCCCCTTATCTTGACAGTGTAATTAACCCGCGATAATGATTTTGATATCATGAACTCAATTTGATGTAAAAAAAAATTCGACTTATGCATTAATACTTTTGTGGCTTTTAGGTCAAAATTCAATTTGCAAATATCATAGGAGAAACTCCTGTGCAAAGCAACTAAATGTGATGATGACTTTTCTAGGGCACTGCAACGGATCTCGTGGTGCAAATTGTACTTATTGCCGAATCTATGAGACTGCAGGCAATGATGGCCACTTATGGGATTCAGACGCAGACGCCGCATGAGGTAAATCAATGATAAATGCCGTGTTGTCTTAACGCGATAATAGAAACTTTATTTCAAATGTAATCTCACGACATGGTTTAAGATTGCTAACATTTCCCTAAGTTAAATTTTTCTTTTGGTGTTGCACAGGTGGAGCCCGTGCAGATATGGTCATCGACTAAGTTAATTCAGGTGTACCAACAGCTGGGGGTGAACGAGAAAATAGGACTCACTGGGCGGCCGCCGAGACCCATAGGATCTCTAGGAACTTCCAAAGTGTACAGAATTTGCGGAATGACGGTTCTCTGCTATCCACTAATCTTTGAAGTGTCGGACTTTTATCTGTATCGCGACATGGCTCTCCTTATCGGTAACTTTGCCCGCCTTCAAATGCACTTCTGAGGATTGGCCTAAATTCCACCGTGATTTTGCAGATGACATCAAGACGGAGTTGCAATTTGTGGGGAAGTACTGGAGGCTTTCGGGGAGACCAACGGTGTGCCTGCTAATTCGCGAGGAACACATGCGAGATCCGCAATTCAAAGAGATGCTGGACTTGCTGGCAATGCTGAAGAAGGGCTACTGCGATGGGATGAAAGTGCGAATTGGACGCTTGCAGAATCTGATTTCGAGTTCCTGCATTGAGCACCTGGACTTTATGTCACAATCCGAATTGCCAGAGAGTTGCGAGGCCTTCAGTCAAGTGACCCACGAGTACATTGGCTACCAGAGTCTCACGGACATCCCGAAAGCGCTCACGTACGTGGACGAGAAGATGTCCATGAAGGAGTACAATCATCGGCCGAACGAGGATGTCATTGAGGCTATTAGGAGAACATCATCACTCTTCGGCCTGGTGCAGCTGCTGGAGATCCTGATGAAGCGCCAGGGCATGGATTACGAGATTGGCGACAAGACTCTGTATCAGTGCATTACAGACCTGTACTATCGCGCCGGATCCTTGAGATATTGGCGCGTGGTGAGGTACTGTAGTTCTCTGTTGCATCACATCGTGGACTCCATCTCGCCCTTCATCACCACAGTGCTGGTGAACGGGAAGCAACTCACAGTGGGCATCATTGGGCAGAAGGAGACGGTGTTCGATAAGCCAATGACTCCGGCTGAGATACAGAATGTCATGTATTCCTCTGTCCAGCCACTGAACGTCATCCATGCGGTGCTTCAGCAGGAAGTTGTGCTCTACTGCGGTCGTCTGATTGCCACAACGCCTGAGATGTTCCGTGGAATCCTCAAGGTGGGTGGACAAATGAGATGATTAGATGAGGCGTAATGCTCTCTTCTCTGCAGATTCGCGTCGGTTGGGTGCTCGAGGCGATGAGGCTGTACTTGCACATTTCCAATTCAGCCCAGGGAACTGATCTGGAGAATCTGTCTCCCTACGAAGTGCGCCAATTGCTCCATCACGTTCTCACCGTGAGACAGTGGGCACTGGATGAGAAGTGAGCGTGCAGATTTCCCTGTATTTTGATGTTTTTAAAGCTCTAATGATTCCTCTTTTTGTAGTTTATCCACTCTGCAGCGGCGCCAGCTCGAGGGGTGTCTCTGTCGGGTGCCAGATCAATTCTACAACTGGGTCTGGGATGTGCTGCAGCGAACTCCTGAAGGTCTTCACGTGCAGGGACATCACTTGCCCGCCAGTCCCACACTCACGAGCATGAGTCGTAGCGAGTTGTCCTTCTCGCTGCTCGTGGAAGAGACTCTGATTCACATTGAGCTGCCCGAGAGGCGGCAATTGACTGTGGAATTGCTGGGCATTGTGGCGAAGATCCTCAGTCGGAATCCTGAGTTGCAGTTTCAGCAGGTTTTGGATCTGGATCAATTGCTGGAGGGCGCCTTCATCATGTACTGCAAGGACAACAAGAAGGAGATCTCCAAAGACATCTCTCCGCTGTACTCCCTGAGCTACTCAGAGACCACAGGCTATCTGGCGAGAGCTGCGGTGAACACGGTGCTGCAGGGTGGCGCCCTGACCCCATCCATGAGTGATGAAATGTGCAAAGTATCCTAATGTCTCGGTTGAGCATTATCTGTTAGCGTTTTACTATGTTGTCTGTTCTCGAAAGTTTTATCAAATTTAGAAAGTGAAGAAAGGCAAAAATCTGCAAAAATCACATGTTTAGTCTCTAATCTACTCCACTTTCTTCGCATCACTCTTCCGGGCGGCAAGAGACTTCTTAACACTAGGAATCACTTCTGTGAACACGATGGTGCCGTAGAAGACACACAGAGTGCCAATCCAGTGGTATATCGTGAAGGGATTCTGGAAGTAGACGATCGAGAAGAGGAGCGACACGAACTTCCGCAGTGTCACCACTAGAGTCACGGTCAGAGAGGAGCATTCCGTCGTGAGGACGTACACGGAACTGATGCACACGTACTGCGTGAGGACGTTGCCCAGCAGATAGAGCAGCACTATCGGCACTCCGATCCCGAGGACGGGCACGGGCACGGGCGGACTGGAGACACAGATCTTGAAGTGCTCCCAGATGTTGCCAGTGAGCAGCAGGAAGCCCGGCAAGGGCAGAAGGTGGGTGTAGTAAAGAGCCTCTCGAGGGTGTTTGCCGTAGCGTTTGTACAGGACTTCTTGGTAAATTCCCATTCGGGCTGAGATAAACAGAGCCACTGTCAGCAGAGTGATTCCCAGAGTCCACCAGAAGAAGACTGTGGCGGGATCCGCTTCCTCTTCCGCTTCTTTCGCGGCCGATTTGCTTTCTTTCTGCAAAAATATGAAGGAAGGTCACGCTAACACATCATATCTTGCTATTTGAGACAGCTGATATCGTCGAAAATGAAAGTCATGCATAATAAACAGTATTTCTTTAACAGGTGCGAACGATGTGGACAAATTGAGTCAATATTTTAAACTTACCACATCAGATCCTGACACGATGGTGCAGATGACGATGCCAAATGTTATCAGGATGACTGAGAAGTACTTGGAGAAGTCATACTTTTTGTTCAGGATCAGAATTCCCATGATCATGTTGGCGATCAGCGAACCTGCGCGGAAGATCATGTGCAGCGGCATGGGAATGTTGAAATCGAAGGCGTAGTTGTTGCACACGCTGCTCGTGAAGAACATCGCCACGAGGATTGTGTAGTCCTTGAAGCCAATCCTGGCCGGCTGCGTCCCGAAGCGGTGTGTGAAGATGAAGCCCTCGATGGCAATGAAGGCGAATTGGGCGAATGTGATGAGATTCCCGGAACCGGGGTCAAACCTAACGCAGCGGAGAGAGAGAAGTATTACTCAATCGACACCTGGCCTTGCGCTTTTTGTTGTGCAACGCGAACGTACTTGACCAAGAGCTCCAGGAACACAACATTGCTGCAGCAGCCAACAAACACCAGCGCGATGGCAATCGCCGCCTTCAGGTTTGATATCTTTGGCATGAAACCCATCGTCCGGAGAAGGAAAACTCACTCTCTTGACACTCTTCTTCTGGGGCTCAAGGTAAGTTTCTAACTCCAAACACTTTTGCCTGTGGTGGGTGGGTATTTTTAGCCAAATAGACCTCCTTTCTCAATAGTCTCACGCTTTCCTGAGCACACTTTCTGATATCACACCACAAATCATTCCAGAGAGGGCGGGTTTTTTTCCTGTTCCGGAGTCCACAAAACACCTTTACGTTATGACAATAAGTCGCGGAATCACAAGTGAATTATCATCGTTCAAAGTGTCACAAACACGAGAACCAACCTCGCTCACTCTCAGCACATTTATAGTGAAGTTTCTCTTTCGTTCCTCTACTCTGAGAGGCCTGTTGAATGAGAACAGAACGCAGAGTGAGAGAGAGAGAGAATCTTACTCTCTGGCAAGCATTCTTTCCATTTTGGCGCTATTTTGATCACACTGGCATGCCAGCAGAGGAATGGAATGCTCTATTCGCATGGTTTACGGTTACCGTTGGCAGAATTCTTCTCAGATTTGCATTATATATTGCAATAATGATCTATTGATGTTAGATTTTAAGATATGGTAAAGAGAATCTGGCATTTTATAATACAAGGTATTACTCAGGGCCCAAAAGGTGTTCAACAAGCCAAGATTCATCAAAATGCAAGAATTTTTCTTATTTTGTAAAACTAAGTTCCTTTGTATTCTCTTTTTCAATTTCATCGTATTTTTCCTAAATTTTTCACCATCTCTCTGTTTTCTCTTTTCTATTTTTGTTCTCAGCCAAACTCGTAAGGATACAAAGAATCTTATACGTAGCGTGGTTCGTTTTAAACTGCAGGTTCCTGGTAACAAGTAAATTGGGTAAATTGAAAAGAAATTGCCCAAGGAGTCCAGTAATGATATTTACAAAAACGATAATACCGCAACCCGCTTTCTATTACACATTTTCCCACGCATTGTTGCTCTCATTCCGACTCTTTCCCTACCCAACCATGATAATGCTCATGCGGGGGCTGAAATGAGGGAAGCTTCAACCGCGCAAAATCCACATTTTCAAGCTGTCGAAAAAATTCTTTTCCATTCACTTGTAACATTGATTTCTACTAAACACTTTTCTCTCGATTTTTTCTCACAATCAGAGACTTTTGCAGTAAAAAAGTAGTAGAATCGCAGATTTGGAGTTTTCGTGGGAGTGGCAATCATGGAGTTTGCTGATGAAAGTGGAGAAATTCTGTTCCAGCAAGTGGACACGTTGATTACTGATGAGGAGTCTGAGACAGAGAAACCAGATGTTGAGCGATGGGATCCTCTTGGGGCGGCCAATGACTCAGAAACTGACATCCAGCAGGCGGATTCCGAGCGACAGTTGGCGGAGTGAGTTTTCATGGAAATCGCAGAAAGGGGTGAATATCCCTTATGTCGGTATGTTTCCTTGATTTCCAGGCCGGAACACTTCTGTGACTTCAATCGGATCCGGAGTTTGGAGGAAGAGCAGGAAATGCTGACATCCTCACTTCTGGCTCTCACATCCCACTTCGCACAGGTGCAGTTCCGGCTGAAGCAGATTGTTAAGGCTGCTCCAGAGGAGCGTGACATGATGCTGAAGAACCTGGAGGAGTTTGCGTTCCGGGGTATCCCGGAAGTGCAGGAGATTGAGAGTGGTAGTGGGAATCTCATCATGTCCTCGGTGGAGTGGCAACGGAATCGGCAGCAGGAGCTGATTCAGCAGCTGAAGAGCCAGCTGGAAGATTTGGAGAAGTTCGCCTTCGAGTCTGGTGAGCCCGTTCTGCCGCAATCGATGCTGGTGGAAAAGCAGAAGGTCATCATTGACGAGTTCAAGAGCAAAATCAATCTCAATCTGGATGAGAATGCTTTGTCACACTTGAGTCCAGAGGATTTGCGTCATCAGGTGGGTGGTTTTATTGCAGAAAGAGAGCGGACAAGAGATAAATTGTTTTGATAACGCGTCTTTCCTCTTAAAGGTGGACTCTGCGCTTGGGGAATTTGTCAGCCCGCTGAAGATGAAGGATCAACTCGTGACTCAACTGAAGACTCAGATCACAGATCTCGAGAGATTCATCGAGTTTATCCAGAATGCAGAAGACACCGTTGGGGAGGTGGACACAAATTGTGACTGCATTTCTGAGGAGCATCGACGAAAGCCGCTGCCCAGGAAGAATTCGCGCTCTAGGATGACAAGCACGTCGAGCCAGGACGGTTCCAGCCGTGGCTCTGACGGTAAATTCGTGGACAAAGGGCAGAGTATCGTGAAGCGCGTGCTCACTCTGCTGGAAATCTTCACCTCCTCTCAGATTGGCTGTGCCTCCACGGCGACGAGATTCCAGAGGAACTCCTTCAAGAAGACGCCCAGCGGGAGCCACTGGGGCGATCTGAGAGCACAGCTCGAAGTGGACATCCAGGAAATCTGCAATTTCGCCAAGAAAAAGGACGAGGATTCACACGATGATCTCTCCAGTGTGTACATGACTGACTCTGATTCCGAGCCGGATTCTGCTCAAGTGGTCACACAGCAGAGGCGTCGGAAGGCGAGATCCCAGAAGCAATCTCAGGACAGCACTTATCTCATGTCAATCGTGCGGAAGCGCTTCGCAATGACCCTCCAGAAACTAATGCAGCACGGATTGCGGAATCCGGACAACTCCAGCATGATGGTGCCCTTCATCAGCTGCTTCGCGATGCCCAAAGTGGACTATGGAGATTACGGAGCGGCGATTGGGGATGAGGACGACAAGGCAGGCAGGCAAATGCATGCGTGGGAACTGATTCTCGAGTATTACTACATCAAGAACGGCGATAAATACAATGAGACACCGGCACGGAGGCTCTCGCAGAGTTTCAACCTAGAGATTGTGGGCGGCACAGCGATCTCGGTGAAGCAGAGCCTTCTCAGCACCATAGGATGCATCCTGACCCTCCATGCGCCCTACAAGCGTAATCTCAACTCCCACTTTAAGGCGTTCGTCTGTGCCGGACTCAAGTGAGTTACTGTTTTACTTTGGAAATTCAGAAAGTTTTGGGTTTATTGATGAATTTGTCTTTCGTAGTACGGGAAAGCTCACAAAGTGGCTTCATCTCATCTATCAGTGCCCAGAACTCTGCTCCACGTACTACACCAGTTGGAGCTACGCCGCCAAGACAGGCTTTCGGGATGCCCTTCGCAGCATGGAGCCGTTGAGTCTCCTGAAATTCGATCTGCCCGTGGACTTTGCTATTCGTCAATTTCAGAACATGAATGATGTTTTCCAGTAAATTCCCAGCATTCCCTCTATTCCAATCATTCAAGTACTTTAGAAGAGCGTTCAATTTTAGTCAATTTAGCCCACGGATTTAGTGATTTTTTATTGTGATTACTTTAAAAAAGGATGGATTCCAAAGGATGATTTGTTAGACGTTTGAGGCAAGTAATAAAGAGGCGTATAAGCGTAGTCGACTGCGTCATGCATTGAACAATGGCTGAAGCAGCGACAGTGTTGCTGGCAGAAGTGTTTTAGTCTCCCCATGTCATCCCATGATCGATGCCTTGGCCGGATTTCCACGCTTTTCGAGTCGCTTTTAGAGTTTACTACAACATAAAGTCATTTATTGTTATATATGTAAATATTGTTCGACAATATACATAATTTACATCTGTTCTCATTCTTATTATCGGCATACACATTGTATGTTGCATACGACAAAATGCGCGTAACATGAGAAATGAATCCAGTAATTCAAGTGAAAAGTGTAAATGAAGTAAAATCGAAATGAAATTCATTTAAGTTTCCTCAGCTTATTCGTCATCAAATATTACTCTTTTTTTATACTCTGTGATTTTCCTTTTAAACTGTCTCACTGCATTTTTTTCATTTAAATTTTTAGACTCCTAATATCATAATGCAAGTTCCTTATGAGATAATTAATGTATTATATAAGTTTCTACCTAATAAGAATAAACTCGACTCTTTTTGCATATCATTACAAATAAATTCAATCAAGAAATAAAAATAAATGATTGGATAATTAATTGTAAAAAGGATTACACATAAAGTAATGAGATAAATCTCATGAGACTCATCTCCTGACTTTCATTTTCATCTATAATAAAATAAGCTTTTTGCTGTCTATACGTCAGGAATTGGTCACTCTCCTCGATTCAGTTACACTCTTTTTACTCATCCTACACACTCTTCCGAACAATGCTTAGCATCCTTATCATAAAACTCTTATGAGAAATTCGAATTCATGGCTCAAGTTGGGATAAAGCTTGATTCCTCTCTCTTCATCCCAAAAACTGGGTGATCTTACAAATCACACTCCTTCACTAAACCTATATAGAATATAAATTGTATGGCCCATAAATATAATTTTTTTTCTTCTCTCAAAATAAGAATATAATAGAAAATATCCTCTAAAATAGAATATGAATTTTCTTTTCACTCTCTTAACTTTGTAAACACTACAAAAATGGCGCTTCCTTTCAGGGCAGAAAACATAATCTGTTCGTGAAAATATATTCAATTGCAATTGGTTTTCTTTTTTATCATCAAAAGTGAATCGAGGAGATACACTTTCATTTTGTAAAAACTAAATGTTGTGTGTCATTAATAACTCTAAACTCAGTATAATAGTTAAAAAGCTGCTTCCTAAATTAAAAACTCCTACACATAAATCAGTTTTGGGAGTAAAATAAATTGCAATTATGTGGGAAATTTTCATAATTTCAACCCTTCTCTCTCTCTTGTGCTTGCATTCTCTTAAAATTTTCATTTCCCCTGTCTTCCATTCTTTATCCTGAACAAACCAAAGATGAAAAACTCAATACGATAAACTCATCACTCCCACTGTAAAATCCACCCAAGAGAGACTCTCTCTGCATCTCTTCACTACACAGGCTGTCTAACTCGTTAGGTGTACCGCAAATTAGTACGTGTTGTTTGTCTATTCACTATCCTCCTCACTGGGGGCTCATTCTAAGGCTTCAGCTGCGGATGTGGCGGCGGAGGAGCATTCACTGGATTGTGATTGTGAACATTCACTTGCAGCGCCACCGAATTCTCCGGCGGATGAACAGGAATGGGTGGCGGAGGCGGCGGTGGCTCGCTGCTCTGCAGCAACCTCAGTGCAGTCTGTGAGTTCGTATGCTGGAGGATGTGAGACGTTATCGTCGAAGTCACAGGAAGTGCGCTCACCGTCTCCGTTGTGCTACAGATGGGCCTCGCCGCGTTTATCTGGGGCGACAGCAGCGTGGCCTTTTGATGCGATACTGCAAGAGGACGCCGAGAGTTAGCACACGCATTCGCACATGCAAAGTATGAAGTTTTTGTACAGCACCGAAATACTCACTGATCACTTGAGGCTCCAGAACAACCGGCGCGGCCTGCGGATGGTTCTTCTTGATGTGCCTCAGCATATTGCCCTTCTCAACAAATGACTTCCCGCAGTGAATACAGACGTATGGCTTCTCGTCCGAATGAGATCTCCGATGTGACACCAAATGACCTACGATTGCGATGAGAAAACAAAGCATTAGTGTGAGAAAAGGCTTGATTTCTTGGAAGCCCCGCCCCGCCGTGTCCTTGACAAGGTAAGAAAATCACCTATTCACCATTACTGAATCTGAAATTCAATTTCACACACAAATTCCTTTTCTCCCAGACTGCCTGCCTATCAATTAAATTGACGTTGTATTGAATCGGATTAAATTCACTGAATCGTCCTCAGAGACAAGAAATTACTTCTTAATCACCTTCCCATAGATTGTAGAGACCCGACAGGAATAATGCTTAATGAGATGGAACAAATCATAATTGAAAATATCTTCCCCAACATTCATGCGAACGAGGAGAGAAATAGAGCGAGTAAAAATTTCAACATTTTAGCCAAAATCAATTCAAAGAATGGGTCACACCGTGGAATTGACAGTCAATTACATCAATTATTCATTAATGCTGCTGAATCCACTCAATTTAGCCATTTTATCAGGCAGTGTGCGCGCGAGGGATGAAATTGTTAGTTGCTAATTACCTTTGCAAATAAAATCCTTAGGGCATAAATCACAGCGAAATGGGCGTTCAGCTGCCGCTCCCTTGTTGTGACTACGCTGATGAAAGAGCAAATTTCCCTTCAGTGGAAACGATTTTCCGCACTCATTGCATGCAAAGGGTCTCTCACCAGTGTGAGATCGACTGTAAGGCAGAAGGAATGAGAAAATTCGTTAGAATTCCGACCCGAAAACATGTAGATAAATATATACACAGACCTTATATGATTAATCAAGTGCTCCTTTCTGGTGAACGGTTTATTGCACACATTGCAACAATGGGGATTTTCGCTGGAATGTTGTCTCAAGTGATTCGTAAGATGTTCCTTTCGCGTAAAAGTCTTCTGGCAGAATTCACATCGATGCGGCGAGTCTCCCGTGTGTATTCTGCAATATCAACACATTTTCATATTCCAAATTTTCCTCCCCATCTATTTGCCTATTTGCCTCACTCACCGAATGTGATTAGTCAGATGTTCTTTCCTCGTGAAAGACTTCATACAAAACGTACAGCGATGAGGCGATTCTCCGGTATGTTGGCGCACATGATTCGTCAAGTGCTCTTTCCTCGTGAAACTCTTGGAGCAGTAGGAGCACTTGTGCGGAGATTCACCCGTATGTTGCCTCACGTGATTTACTGTAAAAACAGAACAAAGAAACCACTTATTATCTATTTATACAGCATCTACGCTAAGCCACGCCCACTTATAAGCCACACCCACTTGGAAGCTCTGCCTACTATGTCTTTCGAGAGAAATTCTTCCAATGACAGAGTTAGATCTTTGTTAAAAGAGATCCAAAAGAGGCATTAATGCTGACATACTCACCCAGATGATCCTTTCTCGTGAAGGCTTTCGTACAGTAGGTGCACTTGAAGGGCGTCTCGCCAGTGTGTTGTCTGATGTGATTGACGAGGTGCTCCTTCCTCGTGAAGGACTTCATGCAGTACGTACACCTGTGCGGCGATTCGCCCGTATGCTGGCGCACGTGATTCAGTAGGTGCTCCTTTCGCGTGAACGTCTTCGAGCAGAAGTCGCAGCGATGAGGCGTCTCGCCAGTGTGCCACATGATGTGATTGGTAAAGTGCTCCTTCCGCGTGAAGCTCTTGCCGCAGATCTCACACCTGAAGGGGGTCTCGTTCGTGTGCGATCGCATGTGATTGGCCAGGTGCTCCTTGCGCGTGTACTTCTTCCCGCACACCTGGCACTGATGCGGCGTCTCGCCCGTGTGCCACATGTAGTGATTCACGTAGTGCTCCTTCCGCGTGAACGACTTCTTGCATATATCACATCGGTGCGGCGTCTCCCCTGTATGCTTCCTCTCGTGATTCACCATGTGCTCCTTCCGCGTGAAGTTCTTCGCACAGTACTGACACCGGAACGGCGTCTCACCCGTGTGACTCCTGATGTGATTGTCCAGGTGCTCCTTGCGCGCGAACGTCTTCTGGCAGATTGTGCACGCGAATGGCTTGTCCGTGGAGTGACGCTTCATGTGACGCTCCAGACTGCTGTCGTTCGCGAACACGTGAAAGCACACTGTGCACATGAACATGGGGCCGCCAATGTGGGACTTTCCGTGGCGCGAGAGGTCCGCCGTGTTGGAGAAGCCCTGGCCGCACACCTGGCACGTGAATGGCTTGCGCTCGTTGTGGTAGCGCCTGTGCACAATCAACTGGTAACGGAAGGGGAACATCTTGCCGCAAATGTCGCACGAATGCGACAGCGGCACGATCACTGGACTCTCGCCCGAGTTGGGTAGCGACGGATCGGAGTTCAGCACGCTAGGCGGCTCCATCTTCGTGTCCACCGGCGGCACGGACGTCACGATGGCCGGCGGGGCCGAGCTGACGGACGGCGGCTCGCCAGGGAGGTTGGGCACTGGCGGATGCGGCGGCGGCTGCATTGCATTGTTGCTACTGCTGACAATGTTGAGGGTTCCCGCCGTCGTGGCGATGTTGATGCCCGAAGCCGTGGGCGCAGCCTCGTTGGGTAGCTTCCCGAACACCTCATGATATGACAAAAATTGACTGAGATCCTCGATATTTACCTGCATTTCCACACCATTTCGCATCCAATCGCGACATCGGCACAGAAGGGAGAGAAATAGAGCACAAAATTAGCATTATGAGTGCAACATAGAAGATATCATCGGGCTCCGCCTCATTACCTTATACATTTCAACTCCTAATGCTTTTCCTATGTCAGGTTCAGGAAATCCACTAGATATTTTCAGTAGTGATCCATCCGGAGCCCGGAAGTCCATCGCAGCTGCTGATATGAAATTTCACTGTAATCAAAATCATTGTACGACTGGCATTTTGCCTCTTTCGGCACACACACTCCCACACACACACACACACTCGCACACAACTCATGAGGGGAGAGAAACAAAAAATCAATACAAATGATAAGATATTCCTGTGCAGTGCATACGATTAAAATAATGAACACGTCGGTAAGTGGAGCAGGACTCACGTGTGGAGGAACGAAAAAAAAACCAACTCAGAAATTATCACATCAAAGCATCGGGAATATTAGCTCTGATTATGGCTGTTTTAGGCACTTGTGATTTCCTCTCTCTCAGGGGATTTTGCATAGGCCAACATTTGTGCGTGAAATAAACATTGAAGCACAATCAAAAGAGGAAAGCAATTAGCATCAGCATTATTTTGGCTATACAAATATAATAAGATTTGATGAGTTTTTATTAGTTTTACAGTCTCATGATATAAATTTGGTGCTTTTTTCAATTTGAACATCAAAATTTCTCAAGTCTAGAGAATCTGATCAGAGGATCGAGATTGACAATAAATTTAGCTTTTCTCCGTCCGGCGGCGCTCCGATTCGATTTACCAATCAAAGCCAAATTCTGCGACATTTCGCCAGTGTTTTTGCCCATTTCTATCTGTGTTGATGTTGTGAAATTCGCGTCTTATCGAGAGACATCCAATTCGCTTGATGAAGCATCAGCAATTTGGCGATCGCGCTGCGCCCGCGACGCCCGATCATTGTCTTGGCGCGCGGGAGAAATGTCCAGAGAGAGATGAGCGAGTGCTTGTGGAGGAATGGAAGAGAGTGATTCACGCATGCATCGCCCCCTTTTGTTCCAGACCTTCTCAATTGAGCGAGCAACAATGCCTCGCGACACAACGAATATCGTTTGAGCGTTGCATCCAATTCGGGGGCGTTATCAAATTTCCATTATTTAGAGAGAGAAAGAGGCAAGGAGGCGAGAAAGAGAGCGAGCCAGCCAGAGAAGAGAGAAACAGGAATAGAGAAGCAAAAGAGGAGGAATGGCGGCAAACGTCGCTTTTAGCACGGAATTTGTACAATGAGAAAGTAGACAGGGAGGTTGATATACGTACAAAAAGGTCCGGCAAATGATGATTTGTATCTCCATTTGACGACATTGCCACCATTTGGGATTGTCTCATCAATTAGATCGCGAAACTCTGTGGGTTCGTCCAAAATGGGGAAGCCTCTGCGGAGGGTCTCTTTTTGTTCTCCCCGAGCGAAGTGTATTTACACAAAATATTTGGCCACTATGCGAAGCATTGGCACATTTTCTGCACAATTTATCACCTCGCGGAGCCTCGGCGGTGCGTTGTGGTGAGAATTGGCCGGTTTTTTCATTATCTCTCCACCTCACAGAGCGACACAGGCAATGGAATTCTCACCTTTAGCAGCAATGATTATTTCCAATCAAAGTTTCTCTAGCAATTGATTTTCTCCCCTCGCTTGCCCGCATCATTTTCCCACAACACCCTTCACGTGCACACGCAATGCACACGGCAGTCTCTCGGCCACACACCTATGTACACTTTAGTCACCTTTTTTCACCGATTTTCCCCCTGTATGTACACCTTTTTCCGCCTCAAATTAATCACGGATTCCTACATTTATGCTCCTCCGAACGCCATTTTGAACTTTGATGCCTCTTTTTCTTGGAAGTATGCTTGGATTATCCCACTTTGCCATCGGGCAACACGGCGGCGACGGGCTGTGAGAGTGTGCGTGCGGCCGAGCGAGCGAGACGTCAGATAAAGAGCCGTGAGAGCGGAGCGTTCTACAAGAACCGCGATTCCCGCGTTGCCACACTAAGAGGGCTTGAATAAATGCTTAATTCAATTCAGATACGAACGCATCACCTCACAATTTCAAAGATTTGCAGCTTCACCGACCCGAGAGTCCAGGAAATGTGTCACGGAAGTCATGCTGCATATTCGGAAATGTACTCGAATGCTCGCAATATCTGTGAAATCGTGTTGAGCAGTGTGGCAATGGAGTGAAACGAAAACACACGTGGGGCGGATAACAGAGGAAAACAGAGTGTTTTTTCGGTGAAAACTCCATGAAAATCAGTGGAAATGTCAAGGTTAATCGTGAAGGACTTGCCGAAGAAGGTATTCAATCATTTAGTTTTGTAAATAAGGACTAACAGCTGTGATTTTCTCGGCAGATCAATGAACAGCGCATTCGGGAGTTGTTTGGCCAGAAGGGCAGGGTCACGGATGTTCAGCTGAAGCACACACAGACCGGGGTGTTCAGGCGCTTTTGTTTCGTGGGCTACCAGACAGATGATGAGGCTCAAGCTGCTCTCGAGCATTTCAACAAATCCTTCGTTGACACCTCGAGGATCACAGTTGAACTCTGCGCGCCCCTCGGGAAGGCAACAAAGGGGAGAAAGAAGGAAGAAGAGCCCGCCGAGGAGCCTGCGAAAGAGAAGAAAAAACAGCACAGAAGGAAGGGGGAAAAGGAGGAGGAGATCATCAAGGAATACAAAGATGATCCGGAGTTCCAGGAGTTCCTGAAAGTGCACAAAGTGGGGAAGAAAACAGTCTGGGACAATGACACGAGCATAGGAGATAGAAAAGACGCTACACAAGCTCCTGAATCCCCGGACGATGTAAATGAGTCTGGGAATGAGGAAGGAGATGCTAGTGGAGACGAGGACAACAAAGATGTGGAGGAAATGGAGGAAAAAGTAGCTGACAAAGCCATCAGTGACTTGGAGTACATGAAGAGTCTGATGCAGAAGCCAGAAAAAGCCCCCAAAGCCCCCAAAGCCCCACAGGAAGCAAAGAAAAAGCTAAAGGGTTCAGAGAAGGAGAAGGATATCAACTTCTTCACTCTCAAGATGTTCAATCTACCTTACAATACGAAGAGAGGCGATATTCTGAAGTTCTTCAAGCCGCTTAAGCCAAAATCCGTGAGAATTCCTATAAAGGAACATGGTTACTGCTATGTGGGATTTCAGGACAAGAAGGACATGACGAAGGCATTGGCCAAGCACAAAAGCTTCATGAAGGCGAATCAAGTGAGTAAACTGAGAGGAGAAATCATGCATTTTATTTGACAATTTTCCGCGTATATTTGCAGGTGTTTGTTGTGGATTTCACGGACAACAATCGTAAAACATTGCAGAAGAAGCTGGGATTGATGGAGGACGAGAAGAACTCTGACAAGAATCCCAAGTGGGAGAAGCAGAGACAGAGTCTCGCGAGTGAGGAGTCAATTTCTGAATCTGGCAAGATCTACTTCCGCAATCTCACGTACTCAGTCACGGAAGAGGACATTCAGAAACTCTTCGAGACGTACGGACCTGTGGCCGAGGTGAACTTACCAGTGGATTCCCACACGCGCGCGATAAAGGGCTTCGGCACGGTGACTTTCATGCTGCCCGAGCACGCGATTATGGCCTTCAATGAGCTCGATGGCCAGGCGTTTCATGGTCGGATGCTACATCTGCTGCCCGCGAAGGCGGATAAGGAGAAGACGGAGGAGGCTGAGGACAACAACACGGGATCATACAAGCAGAAGAAAGAGCAGGAATTGAAGAAGTCAGCTGGGCTGGCGCACAATTGGAATACACTGTTTCTGGGCGCCAATGCAGTGGCTGAGATCCTGGCCAAGAATTACAGTACCACGAAAGAACACGTGCTAGATTCCGCGACTGGAGGCTCCAGTGCGGCTGTTCGACTCGCTTTGGGTGAGACGCAGATAGTGAGTGAATTGAGACAGTTTTTGGAAGAGAATGGCGTGCGTCTGGAGGCATTTGAGGAGTCGAAAGGGAAGAAAATTCGTTCTAAGAATGTGATTCTGGCGAAGAATTTGCCCGCTCATACGGAAGCAAAGGAACTCAACGAGATCTTCGGCAAATTTGGAGTGCTGGGGAGAATTGTCCTACCTCCCAGTGGAGTCACAGCGCTGATAGAATTTGTAGAACCTTCGGAGGCGAAGAAGGCTTTCATGAAGTTGGCTTACTCAAAATTCAAAGACGCTCCGCTGTATCTTGAATGGGCGCCTGAGAATATCTTCCTTGCGGAGGGTGAAAAGGCAGAAAAGCCTAAGAAAAAGGTTAAGGATGAGCCTCAAGATTTTAAGAGAGAACAGGAGAAAGCACCAGAAGTGTCCGAAGAAGAGAAGAGTGAAGATGAAGACATGAGTAGTGAAGATCCTGAGCCAGACACCACAATTTTCCTGAGAAATTTGAACTTTGGCACGAGAGAAGAGGCTTTGAGGAGACACTTTTCACACTTGAAGCCTATACACATGGTGCAGGTGGCAATGAAGAAGGATCCCGAGGACCCTAGTTCGAAAATTTCTTTAGGCTATGGATTTATTCAGTTCAAGAGGAAATCCTCGGCAGACACCGCCTTGAAAACCATGCAATTCACTGAGATTGAGGGAAACAGAGTTGAATTGAAGAAGAGCGACAGAGTAGTTAAGTCTCAGGTGGAGAGGAAGAAGGACACTGCCAAGCAGACAGGAAGCAAGATTCTGGTGAGGAACATCCCATTTCAGGCGAAGGAGTCTGAAGTCAGGGACATTTTCAAGGCCTTCGGGGAGTTGAGATCAGTAAGACTGCCTCTGAAGGTGACGCCGGGAGAGAAGAGCCATCGAGGTTTCGGATTTGTGGACTACTTCAGCAAGAGTGAGGCGAAGAACGCCTTCAAGAGTCTCTCCCAGAGCACTCATTTGTACGGCAGACGGTTGGTTCTGGAGTGGGCGGCGGCGGACGAGGATGTGACACAGCTGAGGAAGAGGACGGCGAACCACTTTGTGGACTCCAGGGAGAGGAAGAAGAGCAAGAAGAGCGTGTTCGGCGGAAAGGAAGTCACTGAAGCGAAGGAGGATTCGGATGAAGAGCTCACCGTTGACTTTGAATAGGAGACAGCGCCGCTGTGCGGACGCAGCAAGAAGGTGTGTGACAAACACACCGGAGAAATTTTTGTGGGAGGAAAAATTGCGTGATTTTTATAAGAATATAATAAAATGTCACCATGCGTTTCCAAGTGTGTTTCCAATCTGGCCGCCTACACCTTTTTTGCCAGGTGTCACTCAGCTGACACGTGTGGAACCAACGGATTGCCCCTGACGCCAAATTCCATAGCAATTGTTGGCCTGGCGCAGTTCCTCAAGAGCATCAATCATCCGAATTTGTGTGAATTCATTGAGATCATCCGTGGGAAACATGGTAAATAGTCTCTAGAGAAGCTATTCAGTGACTCGAAGTCCTGATTCCTGGTTTCCCTTGCAGAGAGAACGATTGTTGTGTCTGAATACGTGGGAGAACCACTGGCCGAGAGACTCCCAGTGTCATCCACAGCCTGCCTTCAGATCTTCAGGCAAATTGCAGCCGGTCTAGATCACATCCACAATCTGGGCTTTGTGCATCATAATTTGGAACCTGAGAACATCCTCTTGGATGCGGAAAACCGTGTGAAACTCTTCAATTATGGACTGCACTACGTGACAAACAGCGGAAGTTATGTTTCCTTCCCGATCGGGAATGTGCGATACATGTCCCCTGAGAGACTCTTGGGCAGCAAGAACAACATCAAGAGCGACGTGTGGAGTTTGGGGATAATCATGGTGGAGATCATCTTCCAAGTCACCCTCTGGAGTAATCTCAAAATAGCGCAGATCATCCGGAAAGTGCTCAGTCTCTGCAACACAGACAGTGTTCTGGAGAAGATTGCGCGGGAGCAGAAGTTCTTCGACAAGTACCAGGAATTGGATGAGTCTGTGAGGAACCTGCTGGAGTCTTGTCTCTGTATATCTGTAGAGAACCGTCTTCTGCCCGAGGAGATACTGAATCATGCGGTGTTCGAGGATGTTCCCATGACAAAGGAGCGCGATAAGCCTGGTGCATTGCTCCTGAGATGTCCATTGAAGCAGATCTACTACCTGTGGCAGTTGGCTGGCGGAGATGTCCAGGCGGAGCTAAAGAAAGAAGGCCTGATTCGCACTGAAGCGCCTATTCTGGTGATGCCCAGTGTTATTCTGCTAAACGGCAGGATTTGCGGCTCTCCCAGGAGTCAAAGTCACTTGTTTGACAACAGAGTGGTGCATTTGAGTCTGGCGAATTTGACTGAGAGACTGTCTAAGATTAGTAAACTCGCCTATTACCCACTGATCCACACAAACACCGCCTTTCTGGACTTTTATCGGAAGGGCGAGAAGAAGGAAGAATACTTGCCGCTGGTGATCAGGGAGAAAGACACTGAGTATCAATTTCATCGCGTGGTGCTGTTCAGGAGACTCCTAAAGGGCTATCCCTTCACCAGGGATCTCATCATGGCGGAGGCGCAGAAGGACATCCCGCCATTACTCAGAGGGCAAGTCTGGGCGTGTGTCCTGGGCGTTCTGGACAACACTGGCTGCTACGAGAAAATCGACAAGGCCACTCCGACGTCCACAGATCGCCAGATTGAGGTGGACATTCCACGATGTCACCAGTACGACGAGTTTCTGTCCTCGCCAGTTGGCCACCGGAAGCTGAAGAGGCTGCTCAAGGCGTGGGTCACATCTCATACGCAATATGTCTATTGGCAGGGCCTGGACTCCCTCACGGCGCCTTTTCTCTATCTCAACTTCAACAACGAGGAGCGCGCCTTCCACAGTCTCTACAAGTTCATCCCCAAGTATCTGCACTGGTTCTTCCTCAAGGACAACTCCGCCGTGATCAAGGAGTACCTGAGCAAATTCTCCCAACTTACCACATTCCACGAACCTGTGTTGGCCAAGCATCTCGTCACTATCAACTTCATCCCAGAGTTGTTCGCCATTCCCTGGTTCCTTACTATGTTCTCGCACGTTTTCCCTCTGCACAAAATCATCCACCTCTGGGACAAGCTCATGCTGGGCGACCACTCCTACCCGCTCTTCATCGGCATATCTGTGCTGAAGCAGCTGAAGAACACTCTGTTGTCCTCCGGCTTCAACGAGTGCATCCTACTCTTCTCCGATCTGCCGGACATTGTCATGGAGACGTGCGTGATCGACTCCCAGAAGCTGTACGTGTCCACACCCAAGAGTCTCGCGTACCGCAAGTTTGTGCTGCACGAGAAGGAGCTCGGCCAATTCGACGTGCAGGACGTGGAGCTGGAGGATCTCAAGAGGGAGATGTGTCCTCGCATAAGTGCCAACGATCTCGTGGATCTTCATCTCAACTCCCCAGATCGACTGATCGTCATCGACTTGCGCAACTCAGCCGACTTCCGGCGGGCGCATCTCACCAACAGCCTCAACATCCCCTTCACTTCTGTCCTCCTCGGCGACACGCGCCTCAGTGCCCTCGGCACTCCCAATCTGGAGGCCATTCTGGCCAATCGCGTCGTGGCGATTGTCAGTTCTGTCCATGAGAATGCGATTCTGGTGAGTGAAAAATGCTTGATTTTTTTGTAGAAAAGACCTTTATCATCTAATTTACTCAATTTTCCATACAATCGTCTCAACAGTTTTCAAATTTCCTCGTGGATTGTGGCGTCAGTGGAGTCTGCATTCTCCACCGTGGCTTCAACGTTTTGCACTCTTTCTGCCCAAATGTACTGAAGACATCGCAATGACTTTCACACTTCCCCTATTCACAAACAATCTCGTACCAAAATTAGTGCGACACCAAATCTCCCAATAAAATGCAATTTTTTTTACCCCACAAATGCAAAGTTTGGTGACTTGGGAAAATTATTCAACATCAGTGGCGCAGTTTGCGGGCAATATAACAGAATAAAAATAAATGTATATCCAAAAATACAAAAAACTTTTCAACAATAAACGAATGTAACAATTTTATATAGATTTGTGAGGAAATTCTGTGCTTTAAAGGCTCTGACGCACAGATTGAATCTCATGTTTCCCTAGCGTTGGCATCGCATTGAAAACTTAATCCTCCCAGAGCTAGTCTTATTTATAAGCAGGATTTTGAAAAGTTTGGTAAAAAGTGCCTGATAAAACAGTTATAGAAGACATTCAATGTATTTAGAAATTTTTTTCTGCTATGAATGCGGAATAAAAGGGACTGAAAGGATGCAAAATAAGCAGCATTTGCTGGATATTATGTTACAGGGAATGTTAAAGCCACGTAGATACAGAGGAGTTGCAAGGATCAATGGTTAAATTCATGCATTCATACTAAATTGCAAATGTTTAGAGACGTTCCAGCGGTAAGATAAAGACTAGGGACTACTTTGGAGTTGAGTGATTGCTTTTAGGTAATATTTTGGCACTTGGGAAATATTCAACCGTCGCTTTGCCAACTTCAACGCAACGCCAACGATAGCCTTTGTCTGACTGAATGTTTTCCGTGTCCGCTACGCCACTGGTGCTCACGATGGAAATGCTCGAATCGCCATAATTTTAATTTGGTCAGAGATTTGTCACTCCTTCGCGTACATTGGAAAATCTTCTCATGGAGATTTGAAGGAAATAACGGAAAATCGCATTTATGCTCCCAATAGAATTTTGTATATACCTCAAGAATAATTTTGGAAGGAATTAAAGATGTGAAAACAACAGCTTTCTCCCCTTACGATGCTTTACAAGTACAATTTATACCTCTCACTCGTGCTGCGGGCGCCGTCGGGAGTCCTGGGGCCTCCCCCAATCACATTTCCGTGTCCTCGGAGGGGCCGGGCGGCGGGGGCGGCAGCGCGATGCCCTGCGAGGCGGGAATATTGGGCCACCCCATGAAATTCGATTGGTGCGGCACGAGATCCATGCGTGTCTCCGGCCGCGTCTCGTTCGCCCACAGATTCTGCAGGCGCTCCTCGATCTCCTTCGTCTGCGCCGCGCTGTCCTCCGGCCGGATGTTGGGCGCATTCTCGTCCACCTCGGCCATCGCCCAGAGCGTCTCGCCGTAGAACATGCCGCAGGGCGTGCTCATTCGCCACTTGTACTGATGCACGCCCGGCTCGGCCGGCGATACCAGCCACACGTCGATGCGCGCGGACTCGCCCGGCTTCAGTCGCTTGACAGGTACTCTGGTTTTCTCCGTGGGTGAGACGAGGTGCAGGTAGCATCCCTCCGGCCACGTCTCGTCGCCGTCGTTCAGCACCATCCACGTCTGGAGATAGTTGGTGCTGGGGCGGATCTTGATGAGCTCCGTCACATTCACCAGCACCTTCATGGAGAAGGTCTTGAGGCCCGTGTAGTAGTCGAAGTAGCATCCGACCGCGGCGTGAAGGTTCCTGCAACAAGACAAAGCGCTCATGACCGTTCAGTCGCTGCAAATCATCCTCCTTTGTCTCACCAGTTGTTCATGTCGAGGAAGAACTTTGCCGTTGTGTAGCTGATCTGCTGGCCAATGATTTGCTGCAGCTGGTTTATCAGCTCCTCGTGATCCGTCGTGCCCAGGCAACTGAATGACTGCAGGAGGGTTTGGTCGATGTCGTCCTGAGCCCGCGGCTCCGGGGAGGCCCTCTGGCCACTGCTGTCATTGCAGATCTCATCCACATCCATTTTTCTCCGCCGCTCTTCCCGCAAATCACACACAAACTTGTCCACTCACGCTTTTCTCAATTGCCCATGGAAGAACGCACTATTCAGGGACTTTGGTAAACTTGCAGCACTCGAAAAACTCACCAGTTTTTTTTTTACTAAAAGCAAATAAAAAATGACAATCGCGTTGGAAAAATTGACATGCGAATGTCAAGGAAAATTCCCCCTTGAGGTTATGAAGTTGGCAGTCAATTTAAATTTACGCGATTTTGCTAGACACATTACGCCCGCGGATTACACTGATAGTTTTTGGAAATAGATTCATTTGGGACGCGGCAATACCTACGTACTGTTTCATCTTGCGTTCTGTACTTTCCTTTTTAATTTCGCGTCTTTCATTGTGCAGAAATTCTTTTAGTTTTCGAATACATTACACGCGTGACACGAGCGTAATAAAAGAAATTGACGCGCGGCAGTCAAATGAGCGCTGGCAACACCAAAACGTTTGTTCTCTGTCGTCAGTGGAAAATCAAAACAATCGTGAGGAATTCCGTGAAAATCGCCAAGAATTTCTATTTATTCCGCGACGAAGCCATAAGTAATCGGAAATATGTGAGTATAGCCAGCGCGTTGTCACATCCGCGGGGAAATTTATCTGGGATCAGTGTCTTTAGGCTGTTTATATTTGTGGCCTCTGGGCAGAGCGATTTGCCATTATCAATCACTGCCACCTTCTTCATTGCGCGATTTTATTGTCCACCGCGATAATTGGTGAGTGATTGGGCGGGCAAAGGAGGCTTCGGGAGTGGGAGAGGGTGTGCGGCTGGCGAGAGAGGGTCTCGCGGCATAATTGAGAAAATTGGGTCAATTCCAATACTGACTCGAGGTGTCCCATTAATTTGAGTCATGCAGGCCACATGCCGTCAGTTGGGACTTGGCGCCAGTCGCGAGAGCACTTGCTCTGGGCCAGGATGGAGGGATGCAGTGACAGTGTCCAGGGGAGTATCAAGGAGATCCTCAAGGTGCTGGACCGCAGGAAGGAGGAGTGCGACGAGCGGAAAGTGAATGCGCGCCAGAGATGGAGGATCCTGGCCAAGGCGATCAAGTGGCGATTCCCCTCGGTGCCCCGATTCGGGGGCTTTGATCTCGTCAGCATCAGGCAGATCGCGCTAGAGCATCCTGAGAACTGGAATGAGTACAAAATCATCCTGGGCACGGGATACACGGTGAACGTGCACCGCATGAGGCCGAAGATCACGGCGAAGGATCTGATGGGATTCAACAACACGGGCAACATTTGCCTGTGGCCCAGCGAGGAGGCGCTCTCGTATTACATACTGGAGAACCTCAAGGACTTCCAGGACAAGTGGGTTCTCGAGCTGGGCGGCGGCATGACGTGCCTGGCGGGACTTCTGGTGGCGAAGTATGGCAATCCGTACGGCGTCCACCTCACGGATGGCAACAACATCTCCGTGGATAACGTCCGGAGATCTCTGCGCCTCAATCCGATCAATTGCTACATAAAGTGCTCTAATTTGCCTTGGGAGCGCTCTCGAGAACTCCATCCGGGCGATGAGAGCAAGTTCGACTACATCTTCTCGGCGGATTGTGTGTTTTTCGATGAGTCGCGGTCTGCCCTAGTGGATGCCATTCAGTTCTTCCTGGCTCTGGAGGGGACTGCTCTCGTGATAGCCCCGAAACGGGGCCAGACGCTGGACTTATTCGCCTCTGAGGCTTCGGCAAGGGGACTGAAGTGCCGCCCGATGCGGAAATACAGTGATATTGTGTGGATGAAGCACCTGGAGTTGACAATGACGGCGCAATACTGTGAAGACATGCACTATCCCATTTTGGTTCTGGTTACTAAGATTTAGAGATTGTTCCCACAGATATTTGCAATGCATTCCACAAGTTCTTGGCATGATTTTTGCTCTCGTTCTTTCTAATGTGATTATCAGTTCAGGCTGGGGCGATTGGGTCTAAGAATAGAGCTGCAATTGCTCCCTCCTGTTTCTTTATCTCAGTGCGATTGATTCATATGCTAATTACAACCTTTTCTCGCCTTTTCCACAAGGGCTGACTATTGGAAGTCCAATGAGAGGAAGTTTTGTGACTTCTGCAAGTGCTGGATTGCCGACAATAAGCCCGTGAGTATTAGTGTGCCGATGTTTGTGCGATAATTGTCTATTTATCGTCTTCTCATTTTCCTCAAGAGTATCCAATTTCACGAGAATGGACGGCGACACAAGGCGAATGTGGAGAAGAGGATATCGGAAATTAGTAAGAAGGCGGCAAAGGATGAGAAGAGCAAAAAGAAGATGGACATCGAGCTGAGGAAGATGGAAGAGGCCGCCATGGCAGCCTATGCTCAGGACATTCACCGCAATGCAGACATGACTTCGCAGAATATCAACAGAAGTCTGAGAGAGGCCGAAGTGCATCCGGACAGCATAGCGTCCACGTCCAGGACGGAGGATGTGCCGGTTGGGCCGCAGAAGCCCGTGGATCCGCTTCTGCCGCCCATGGACCCACAAGAGCTAGCCTTCATCCAGGCACAGAAGGCGGCGGCAGCGGCACAAAAGTTGGAGGAGAGCGGCGAGGATCCGACTTTGTGGTGCGAAGCCAAGACTCCAGAAGGGTACACATACTACTGGAATGTGAAGACAAACGGTAAGTGAACGACGCGAGTCAAATTGGAATATGGCGTTATGTAAGTAATAAAATTAATACCAACTCTTGGCATATTGCCCTTAATACCAGGTCACCAGGTTGCCACCGCTCGACTTGTGTACACGTTATTTTTATATCTCTCCAACCATCTACTTTGCATTTCATCTGTCTTACACGCCGAATTGCAGCCATTCGGCAGCATGATATTTTAATTAAACTTATTGATATATCCGGACTTCAGTGCCAAACCGTTTGTGCGACTCTGCAGTGCTTCCATGCTGTGTAGGATGACTTTTGTGCATTTCATCTTGAGATTTGAGATATTTTAGTGTGCATAAGGCGATATTTAGCGAGACGGACGAGTAATGAATGATCCAATGCACTCTTAAGTGGGGTTTTCAAGTGTGTCTGAATCATTAAATGGTGCAATTATCCTTTTAATACAGAAAATAGACACAATTCTCGTTTAAATCTCTACTACATTCAAATATTTCTGAAAAACAATATTGTTGGCATCTAAATTTGAGAGGATATCAAGATATTTTGATATAATTAATTGAATAGCTGCATCCAGCATTTGTAACAGCTTCTATGACAATGAAATTCAATGCAAAGTAGAAGCAATGAAAACTGTAAATTGATGAACAATTAAATCATGTGTAATTGCGGAATAGTTGCTCAATTGTTCAACAAAACTGATACTTAAATTTGCATCTCTTGCAGAATCTGTTTGGGAGGCGCCCAAGGAGGGCTTCTTGTCTCTGGATGAGTACAACAAAATCAATGATGCGGCCGTGAAGCAGCAGGAGCAGCAAGTGGCCAAGGAGACACAATTCCATCGAGACAATGCCGATGAGTTCGTTGCCAAAAACATGCGAGAGCGCCTGAAGCATCGTCGCGTGAAGGACGACGATGACAGCATAAGCGCAAAGTGGGCGAAGCAGGAGGACTTCCAGGCGGTGGACACATTCGTCTCGCCCACTGCCGGTCCGTACGGGAAGTGGCAGACAGTTGCGAAGACGTGAGTCCTTGTGTGGCGGAATTGGCGGCAAAGTTGTGACGTTTCCGAATGTTTCAGGGAGGAGAAGCGCGTGGATCTGCAGCTGCCAAAGACAAAGTTTGCACCTGCCTATGTGCCGCCGGTTGCGGAGCCGCCGCCGCCGGAGAGGGTGAGAAACTTCAAGGAGAAGGTGATAAGTCTGGACAGCGCGACGGCCTCGAGTGTTCCAGGTTTCTTCAAGAAGCGCAAAATTCAGTTTGGAGTGAGAAACACGCGGCAGAGATTGAATGATGATTAAATGAGAGGATTGCTTGTGAAATTCGTGTTTATTCAATCTCCAGTGACTGGGTGTAATACTCGCTATAATCCTGGTTGGTGCTTCTTTGGGGTGGTTTGGTTTCAATTGAAGGTAGCCTCGAAGAACTCCTTGGATTTGACGGTGTCCGGGTTGATGGTCTTGCTGCCGGGCTGCCAATTGGCTGGGCACACCTCGCCGTGAACGTCCGTGAACTGGAATGCCTTGAGCAGACGCAGTGTCTCGTCAACAGACCGCCCAACTGGCAGATCATTCACGGTGATTTGGCGCAGCCTCTGCTGCCCGTCGATGATGAAGAGCCCTCGGTAGGCGATGCCCGTCTCCTCGTTCAGCACTCCGTACTCCTTTGAGATTCTCATGGACTTGTCAGAGAGCAGCGGCAGGGCGATCTTGCCCAGGCCTCCCTCGCGCCGGGACAGCTGCGTCCAGGCCAGGTGGGAGAAGTGGGAGTCCGTGGAGACTGCCACAACCTCACATCCGATTTCGTGAAACTCGCTCATGCGCTCTGAGAACGCGATGATCTCGGTGGGGCAGACGAAAGTGAAGTCCAGCGGGTAGAAGAGGAGCACCAGGTAGCGCCCCTGGAAGTCCCCCAAGCAAATATCCCTCAATACTCCGTTAACCACAGCGGTTCCGGAGAAATCGGGCGCAGCGCGTTGCAATGGTGGCGTCATGATTCACACGCGTTTTCCTGGAATTGCGCAAGTTGGGAAAATCCCGTGAGAAAATGCACTTTACAGCACTTTTCCGCGCGCGTGGAGACCGAGGGGATTGACTCTGGTGATACTCACGCTTTTCTGAGGGCTTCCTGTAGCACAAAATCAGCAAAATTAATTGAGCCGGCTGACGACGCTCCCGTTTCGCTCCAATTCCACAGAGACAATGTGATCGATCTCCTTGAGTTTGCAGTGCGAAGCCGAAGGGGTAGAAGGTCGTCGAAAAGCGGTGCGCGTCTCTGCTGGATTTGTGCAAAATACACTGGAAAAAAGCCGTGGAAGTTGCTAAATTTAGAAAAACCGCAGATTTTTAACGCAAAAATAGCATTTTTATTTTTATACAAATCCTCTCTGTTTACTTGGCATGCTTGACATTGAGATAGTATGAGATCTCCTGGGTTGGCTTCGGACAAAATAAATTTATTTAGGGAACAGTGAGGCAATTTTGGATGAAAAGACAACAATTTGTGCTTTGATAGTCAACCAAAAAATAAGCGCGAATATATTTTAAAAGTGTTAGGAATTAAGGAGAAAAAAATTGAAATGTCGCGAAAAAACGTTGCAGTACAAAACAACCTTTGTTTATGTTTCGCGTGATAGGCAAAATTTGATTACATCGCTGCTTTACAATTTCATGGAAGTGACTCAAAGTCAAATACACAAAAGCGAGACTATAATACAGCTTTGCATTTGTATTTTACTCTTACCGTGTTATCGCACAAGGAAAAGATCACAATTAAATTGCAGTAAAGTATGCAATAGAATAATTTTTCAACGATTTAGCAGTATTTTTATATAAGTATTGTTCATTTGATAGGAAAAGCCCTACTAAAACAAAAATTGAGGACAATGCATCAGAAATACAGTAAACGATTTATTTGCTCATGTTTCCCGTATTTATTGAACTAATTTCGATACTTTCCCTCATATCTAATATTTGTATACATGTTTCTGGAAAAAGTATGTAGAAGCCTTCTGTGGGCGGTGTGAAAAACTCACTACGTGCTGGGAAGTTTAAGTCAATATTATTAGAAATTGATTTTTGTCTACACCGACTTTTCCACCGATATTTTCATTCTTTTTAGATGCTAAACTTCAGAATTAAATTTGTACCACAAACTTACATCAGTTTTGGCACAAGCAAATCTTCCGGACAAGTTGTAAATCTTTGAAATTGCACGAACTGTTCGTTCACAGCCACCTTCACTGATTTACTGACTTCAAGTAGTGAAATAATGCATCGATAGAGCCAAAAGGTAGTGGCAAAATGCCGGCTCGATGTAGTGATAAGAATTTGCGTCGATCACATTATTCCCAACTATCTTTACGCTTTCATCAGCATTTTATTGCATATAGACTTAAATGGTTCTCTCTCCAAGTTTAGAGGTTCTTTGACCCAAACGAAGGGTCAGACATTGAATCTGTACAGCGCTTTATCGGTGTTTAGTAACCTAATTTCCCAAAACTATGAAAACCCCTTCGAGCTGTAAGATATTCAATATCTCAACCACATTTGCTCGCCGTAAGTGTTTTGGTTGAACCGATGAAGCCTCGGGCCATATAATAACTGAAAACAAAGAGATGAACTCCAATTCCAGCGTTGATTGAAATGGTCCGGTCTAAATATCGAATGGATTATGCAAATTCTTATCACATCTCATATGTAAGATAGGATGAAATGAGGGCGCAGTTGAGATTAGCTGATTGCCGTCTGAGTAGTTGTGAAGAAAGTTTTTTGAGATGTGAGCGGAAAAAAAGGCACAGAATAGACAAAACTGGCCATTATACAATTGCGTGTTGGGCATGAATCTAATTCCAACTCGTGTGGAAGGTCAGGTTCTGGGTTATCGGAATTGCCGTTTCACTTCAAACTCTAAACATGGGCAAATCGCCCAAGACGGCAGAGGACAAAACAGACAAATCGTCTTCCAAATCACAGTACTTTGGGAGAAAAAAAGCTCAAGATCCAAGAGCAATCAATACTTTTCCCCTGAGAGGCACAATGAGCAGTACAATTGCTGTCGGAGTGGCAATAAAATAATGTAATAAAATCTATCTCAAAAGGGAGGACAAGAGTTTATTGCTAATCCTGCGTATTTTCTTCCTTTTCCCACACGATGTACAGAGAGCTTATTGGTGTGCTGTAAGGAGGTGTCTAATGGGATTCTTGACAGTAATTAAAATGATGTAAAAGAAAGGAGTTGGGATTATTTGCAGAAAATCAATAAATTCACTGTTCCGTCTACAAATCCATAATTTCCTCAGGGAATGTGAAGGAAATCATCTGCCTTTTGTTGGACAAAAGAGCTCGTAGAGTGGATATTCATCAATCAAACTTCGATTGTGATAGAACAGAATTGACGCATGTGGATTATATTTTGGGGTTTTGGGCAGCGCTCGATGCTTCCGGACTGATGTCATGCCATAATCTCGCAAAATTGTTTAAAAAGACACTTTCTTCGCATGGTATGGGCTTTTTACGGGCTCTTTTTTCACACCCTCAGAGGAGAAATATTAGTCTTTTGCACATCTTGATTCTTTTACAGCATTTAAGTTGCTCTCTAACAGCCCATGAGACGCCTTCTTATGGCCATCCTCGGGCTCTCTGTCACATGAATGATGTGAGGAAGCAAGAAAAGAGGCACAGTATTAGCAATAAACTCCTGTCCCTTTTGAGAAATATTTTATGGCTTTATTTTATTACCTTTCTCACCAGCAATACTACATATAGTGCGCCTTAATGCCCATTTTTGCTCTCAGGAGGAAAATTATTAAATTATTTTCCGCGTCTCGTCCAGAACCCTATGTTTGTGGAATGCTGAAAAGGACATTTTGCTTGAAATCCTGCAATATGACACATTAGAATACAATCGAAAGCTTTCTATACTTCATTAACTGAACTTTAGTTATTTAGTAAATAATTTAATTTGCGTCTCGACGCTTTTCACTCTCTAAATCAACAACCTCTTGTTTGTGAACTTACAGCGGATTAAGTGTTTTCTTTCGCCCACAACGTGATCATTGCAGAGGCAATGAGTTATTTGTGTATTTCACACAAGATTACTCATATTCGTACCCTGCAATTATTGCGATCAGCTAGAGATCCTCTGTATGCTGGCATGTGTTTTTTTCCACTCTCTGGATGGTGTGCGATTCTATAAAGCAGCTTCCAAGTTGCCGAACATCTTCAGTGTCCACTTGACTAAGCTGAAGAGAGGCTGCGCTTTGGAAGGTGCATCCATCATTGTAAGTCTGTGATAAACAAGGTGAAAGAGTCACGAAAATGAAGCGAGTTGCGGTGTTGTGCTGTGCTGTGGTTTTAATTGTGTTACTGGTGCAAAGTGGTAAGTTTGTGGATTCTCCTTGCATGCTTGATGGATTGGCCGAAGTCTTTCTCACACACAAAATATTACTCTGTCTAATAATAGTTTAACGGCAAGGTGGCGTTTTTGCTGCGGCCCATTGAGCAGATTGATTTGTGCACTAGGCCCTAAATTGAGATCCAAAGCGTTCGAGCCAAAATCGATTACAAGTTGAGTGATTGCTCACACGAGGTGCCAAATCCCTATTTATACAGTAATTTTACGTGAAAAGAATGTGTGTCTCGCTTTTATATGGCATCTGCAAGATCCTGATGTGGTCGGATTGAATGAGAAATATTGAAGAATCCAACTTTATGGACCATTTCAGAGCTCTGCCAAGCACAACCAATTTAGTAATCGATTTTCGTGAAATCTTGTGGACCAAAATTGGCCAAATAAATTCTGGCGGAACTTTCACCATTTGATCTGAATTGGTTCTTGCCAAAAGTCTAAAATTACAACCAAGAAATTAACCTTCTGCAAATCGATAAATCATAGAAATTGATTGTGCTTCCCAAATGTGCCAAATGCGGTTTACCTTTGGGTGCACCGCAGCAAAGCATTGGCAAGTCACGGCCCAAGAGTCACGATTTAGCGTCAGTGATCAGACTCTCGTGCGGATGATTGTTTTCAATTGTTGGTAAAATTTAGCTGCAGAGGAGAATCTCGAAGAGCCGGCAATTCACAGTTTCTCGCGAATTACTTATGCCGCGTGCATGCATGAGAGTCGCGCTGTGCGGAAATTAATAGTGTGTTTCGCTCAATAGTTTGTTAAACTCTCTAATCAGTGATAAATCAAATGAAGCAAATATATGGCAATTGGTTGAAAGCAAGAGAAACACTCTCGAGGCAAGGAAAACACCTTGAAGAGCGAGGAATCATCGCTTTGGCATTCCAGTTCATTTGATGATACGATAAAATAATACGCGATGGTGAGGTCATGGATATTTTTCCAATTTTTCTATTGAATCCCCCCAATTATTTAATAATCCCCACTTCTCTCGCCAATAAAGCGAATGTGTGGGAGAGAACGAGAGGCGCTGGAGTGATTCTCATATTTCACTCTCCAATCTTTACCTTTTCTCTTGCAGAAGCTGTGCCGGCGTATCAAGTTTTGCCACCACGAGAAGGTACTTTTGCAACAATTTGGCATAATTATGTGGCACAATTATGTGACAGGAGAATTTGATAATTACTATTGATTGCATTTGCATTGTTTGTATAATTTATTGAAATTATTCCATTCTTGCTTACATAGGATTCGTTCCTGTGTACATTCGCTATGGCGAAACGCCACTGGATGAAATTAATCCCGGTCTGGCAGATGCTTTTCATGAATATGGAATCAGCGCCCGAAAGATCAAATCCGCATTGGATGATGTAAGTTGACAGAGTTCATATAAAACATTATTCCCCAATGAATAGAAAATTACCAAGTGTGGTGGCATGAATTAACATCAGGATAACCACAGGCGATCCCAAATGTAGGGAATGCAATTCCCTTCTGCTTTGCAGCCTGTTTCACTCTCAGCCACAACACTAATGTGTGCATATTTTGTCTAATGTACAAGAGATGATGTTGCAATTTCTCTGAAGGTTGATGAAAATTGCGTGAAATTGACTTTTTTGCTCAGGAAAAAAATGAATTTGCTAAAGTATTGCGTAATATTGGATGTAATTATATGTATTTTGATGTAAATAACAATTCCTGAGCAAAAATCAATGAGAAACAAATATGCTTGAAGTAATCAACTCGAATCTTCCATTCACATTCATAATATCAGAAATATTTTCAGGAAATGATGGGCGATCAGCCGGTGCAGGATAATACAAGTGAGGAGTCTAATGACACATCTGAAGAGCACGCTAAAGCTTCTACCGCATCGCCACCAGCTGGAGGAGAAGTTGTGGACGAGGTTAAGCCCGAGACTGTACAGAATACATTGGATGACCTGACTAACAAGGTTTAGCTGAAGAGACACAGAGTTGTGCGATGCAGGGAACTAACTAGGAGAGTTTACAGAATATGTGTAATTGAATCTCACACAAAGAGATTAACTTCACAACTGTAGTTTAATTGAATTTTTTAATTATAAACTAGTGAACAAAATACTTTCTAATACTCGGCATTTTTTTCCGCAAAAGGATTTTTATTTCAGTGAAGCGAGGAAGAGGAGAAATGTTCGCTGGACTGTGAAAAGTTGATTTAATACTTATTCAGAGCTTTATTTCGTCGCTTCTCATACGGTTTAACTTTTCGGTAATCAGAGAACATTTCAGTAAATTTTAATTCTCAATTTCAGTGTATTTTGCAGCAATAAATAATTATGAGATTGGATTGCAATAAAATTCCTCTCATGGCCACGTGGAAAAAGTGCGCTCATTGTGATAATTTCACTCCTCTTGTGCACCATCGAAATGCACTCTCGAGAAAAACTATTCCACGATCAAGCACGAAGGGGACTTTGTAGAGAAACAGGGCAATGGACTAGCTCTTTTCGCATTGTTTCAAATTGAATGAGAAACAATTCTTCCCTTCATGAGTTCCTCGTCGCGAGTGAATTTATACGCGAGATGGTCTTCAATTCAATTACATTCAATTCAAATTCCGCAACTGGGTCAAAATAATACCACAATCAATTTGGAATTATCTTTACTGAAGTTTACCATCGTCAATATTTCCACGCTTTGACTTCCCTCGCATCTTTATTGGCCAGAGTCTGTGTGGAGTTTCACTGTGACGCTGAGAGTGGGTGGTGGGGGGTGAAAATTCGTGCAATAACTTCACAAATGCATTCTGAGATTCTTGTCTGTGGTGCAGTTTCGCGAGAGTTTCCAGTAAATGGGGAAATTGCTTAGCAAAATAAGCAATTTGATAAAGCCACACAGTGCCCTTTGCTGTGCAATTATGATCAATGGTGTGGTCAATTGATATGAAAGTTGCGTGTTGCATTTCCAATCGGGTTTCCATTACGCTGCTCAAAAACTCCTCTGAATTATTGGCTTCTCCCAGTAATTCTGTATAAAATAAGTGAGCTGAAAAACGTATAACTTTTCTGAATTGTTAATGAAACGCAAAGTTTCAAACTCTCCAGATATTTCATTCGGCATTGAATTCTTCTTCACTTTAGTATAGGATAAAATCAATTCAAGCTGTCTTAAGAGATTTGGCAATTAAATTTAATTATACATTTATAGTTGAAAGGATAGATTCTGCTTGAATAGCGTAATTTGATGAGCAAAGCTCTCCTGAATGTGAATATCGATAGTGGTAGCAGAATAATCAGGACAGTGGCAATAATACATAAATCTGCATAGATTTATTTTCCACTGGATAATGGAAAAACAATCCAACCATTCAATGAATCCTCGTTAGGGTGTTGTCGGATGTAAAAGACATTGCCATTTTAATAATTCACAAGCTTGAGCCATGAGCGGAAACAATTCCATTGGTGATTCCTGCACTATTGCTCTTGCATCCTGTTGAGTATAAATTGCCATATAATGCACAAAATTGTAGCATTTTGCATAAATCACCATTAGCTTGGGGAGAATTTCATTTTAAAGCAATGCAACAGTGTCGGTGAAGTTAAATGAAGACAAATTCATAAAAAGCCATTTGTATGTACATGCATAAATGCGTGAAAGGAGTGAACAGTTGGCAGAAGTTTAATATTCCTCTTTATTCTTTATTGTAATGCAACTGTGATATAAGATACAATTCAAAATTGATTACTCAAATTAATTTTATACAATTTGTATAATCCTATGCAATTTAATAAATAGAGCTCTTATTATTAATCAATTCCAAAGTGAAGAACTTTCGTTTTGCAAGATTGCACACACTGCGAGTGGAGGGCATCTGTTGATTAGTGCTTGAGCTGATTGCTTCTGGATCGAGTGATAGTGGCAATTTAATCAGGGTAGTTCATTCGATTGTGAAGAATACAGGAGGTGAAGTTCGAAAGTTAATCATGATGATGTGGGGTTGATTTGCTCAATTACTCCTCAACACATGCACAATTGGTGGATGTATTGCAGGGTCTCCTTCTCGCCGTATTGAAAAGTGATCTTGGATTTATTATCTACCTTATACGTTGACATAATTCCCTCAAAATGACACAATTTACGTTAATTTTAAATGCATTGCGATACGAGATGAGCGAACACATTTGCTTTGTGGTTTTACCCGAGCATCGGTCACACTGACGTGGTGATTTGCTCAACGACTTGCAGGGGTTGTCCACTGCCGGAATAGCAATTACCTGTTGACGGCCACGCACACCGGCCCGTGGCCCAGTGGCAGTCGCAGCCGCGCGATGCGAATGCCAAGCCCTCGGGAACAGAGCGGCTCCTCGACGGGTGGCCCTGGAAGCTATTCGCATTGCACTGGGACCTGTGGGCATCACACCTGGGAACATTGATAAGCGTCTGTTACGCTCGGAATATGGCAAACTCTGGCAAACTGTTTTGTAAACTCGTCGAACTAATATGTGGGTTTTCTGACACAGCTCATCTCACCTTGAATAGCATCCATCGGTGAAGTTGTGCGCCTGATGACAGGAGTGTGGTTGCTGGGGGTAATCACCCCACATGTGATGCGGGGATTGGAAGGCAAACGAGAGGCTTTTGTGCAACCGTCCGTGGTTTGAGCTAATGGTCCCGTTGGGACACACGCCGTTGCCGTAGCGATGATGTCGATGAAATTGGTGGTGTCCGCTGGGACAGGCGCCGTTCGTCAAAGTTGTGTACGGGCTGTGGTACCACGGCGCCCCGAAGCGAGATGAGCAGCTCCGGTTCAGCAGGTCCGGGCACTCCGTGGACGACACGGGCCCGGTGCAGTGGGAGGTGATGGAGCTGATTAAATTTGCAGCAAAAGAAGCGTTCCAGCGTAAGGCATATCAATTGTCATGAGACACTTTAGATTTTACGTACCCATTAGCGGAGTATTTAGAGAAGTTCTGTCTGCCATCTGGATAGCCGACGAAGAAGAGCAGGATTGACGCGATGGCTGTTGCGGCGGAGCAAATGTAGTAGCCAGCACGGCCATATCTGTGGCTCGCATCATTGAGAAAGGCAGCCATCGGGACGCCGAGGAGGACAGGCAGAGACTCGGCGCTCTTGATGAAGCTCCATGACTTGGTGAAGTGCTTCGCCCTCACCCGCTCCAGTGCCAGCATCTTAAGGGTGTATCGGTAGCCACCCAGACCCAGGCCATATGTCCAGGCCAACAGGCACAAACTCCTGTAGCCGGACGCCGCAGACAGGATCAATATCGAAATGGCAGCGAGTGTTAGACATCCCTAATTGACAGCGAGATTAAGGGAGATTCAGAGAGCGTTCATCCCATGAGATTCTTGCAAAAGTTTCACAATTTGAGGATTTTGGGAGTGGGAAAGAAGGTGGACCTGGTCATGCTAGTCACGGTGATTTCACCCTCAGCCTTGCCCACACATTAATTATTTGATTTATTGGATGATACTCTGCGGAAGAGTGTGTGGCAGAGTCTCGAGAAAATTATTTTTTCTCCACCCACCCGAAGTGTTTGTTAAGTGGCGCAACTCAAGATTTATCAGTTTATGATTTTGCCATCCCTGTGCAAATATTGGATTTTCATTTCGATGACAGCCTGTCGCAAGAGTTTCGTAAGAATCAATGGAGAGGATTTTGAAACATTGCGTAAACAAGTCTTGTTTGAGAATCTTCTTTCGCTGTGTGTTATATAGATATAGACTGGCATAAACGCAGGCTAATCTGTCTCTCATTTGTGATTCTGGATTATACCTTTGTGGAGTTTCAAAGGAGACTCCTGATCAATTAATGTGATTGCAAATGTGCTTCCGACACGGAGTTTAGGGATTCTTTGTGTAATTAGCTCAACTCGTGATCAAATTGACAAGCAACAAGGACTTTGAAGCGAATTTTTTACGCCCTAAACATCCAATTAATATTCCAGTGAGTTTCCCAATAAACAAAGCTTGAAGTGTGATTTATAGGGCAGGACGCAGCATGAGGAGAATTCACATTGTGAACAATTCACCAACCTGACAGACGTATTGACGAGATATGCTGAATTTCCTGTACGACAGCTGACAAACGCGATTAATGGCCGATCCACTCGCCACGACTCCCACGGCAACGGAGAGGCCCAAGAAGGTCTGCACCAGCACCAAATCCTGCATATCGTAACTCTCCTGGTAGCCATGAAGGGACTGTGGAATATGGAGAAAAATAACTCCCTCTCCTGTTGCAGCCGCAAAGCCACCTGTTAATATGTACCATGTAGAAGATGGGTGTGTAAATTCCGAGCGCGGCAACGGATGCTGAAACTATCAGAATCCGGACGGTGGATGATTTGCATGGAGTGAAGTCGAGGAAGGGCGGCTTGGGTGTGCGAACGTGTGTTTTCTTCTCTTTAACCTGCGAGTTGGCGGAATGGAAGAACAACATAGACGAATATATGAATACATTTCGGTTTTCGCTGAATTCAAAAATCTCAAATCCCAGGATGAAAAGTCCTGTGACTAGTGAAAATACGCTTAAAATGAAGCTGGCAAAGAGCAATGCTGTATTTTTGTAAGGAGGATTTTGTGCTATGGTAATAAGGTTTTTATGTATTTTGTATTAGCCGTAAATTGTAGGCAATGTATTGTAAGGATTAATGTGTTTCGCTTACCTTCTTCCTCTGATTTTTCAAATGGAGAATGGCCCTGCGCTGCGGATGGTACAGCGATGCGGGTCGATAGAGGAGGCCCATGAAGAAGCTGAGCGCCACAAATCCTGTCACGGCCTGAAGGCCCAAGCGCCATCCCATCTTTCTGCAATATTTTTCGGGGATGCGCGGCAAAACAAGGGCATTTACATAAAACTTAATCACGCAACCAGTGGTGAATGTGCATTAAATTTAATTTAATTACTCCCCCCGAAGCGTCTATTTCATTCTCATGCATCGCGACGGCCACACACTGAGAATACAAATTGTTAACCCATCGCTGGCCGTGTGAACTTCCACCCAACTTTCGTGTCATTTTTAATTTCCGCTGGATGGAGAATTCTAAATCCCCGCAAATCCACTAAAGCATATAATTTGTAGTTGAGGTATCTTTTTATCTCTGCCACTGGCCACTAAACTTATGGGTTAAGGAGAGTGGAATGCGCAGGAGACGGCGATAAGGGAGAACGTGGAGAAGAAGGAGATACTCACCCAACTCCCTCCTTCAGGATCACCGAAAACAACGCCACTCCTATTCCCTCGCCTGATAACGTAACCATTTCTACAAATTGCCTGCGTCGCTTGAAGTACAGGCCCAGCATCACGGCTGCAGACTCTCTCACCATCGAGGCTCCAACACCGACGACAATTCCTGCTCCGTGACGAACACGTGTTGGGATTTTGCGTGGCAGAAGAGAGACAAGAGAAGAGGTTTAATAAATGGCTGGCAAGCATTGTATGTGTATCTTTTTTCTCGCTACAAATTTCTCTCTTATTTCATAGCATTTGTACCAGTAATAAGTAAGAGGGATGAGTTTAACAAATTATGCGTACATTCGAAAGGATTGGTCCTGTGAGGGTGGATTTCGTCAAAAAATTTCGCTCTAGACACATACTTATGTATGGCAAATGGAGAAAATTTAACCCTTCAATTATATTTGTGTCTCTTAGCTCAATGCCAAACTGTCTCTGTGGAAATTCCATTGCAATTTCAGTGTATTTGATAAAGTTTTAAATGTTTTTACATCTATGTGAGAAGACCTAATATGACAAAATGATATGATAGAATTCCTAATTTATCATGCTATTCCGGAGCAACACATGAAAGTTCATGTCATCAAAGAGAATCATAGTGGTTGGACGAGCACTCTCAGTTTGGTTAGGCTATGAAAATGTCCGGTTAGTTGTTGGAAAACTATCAGAAATAATAATAAACATCAATGGCCGTAGAACCGTGGAAACATGAGAAATTTTTAATTACTCATAAAATATTAACCATGTTGTGTCGGCAATTGCTTAATGAAAAGTCTCAGAAGTTTTCGCAAAAGCTCTCGCAAATGTTGCTGCTGGAGGTGGCTTCATAAAATTCAATCTGTCTGAAATTTACCGTAAAATTTCTTCAGTCGGAAAATGAGTATAAAGTAATTGCCATTAAAATTTATTGACGCTAAGAGTTTAAAAGGATTTCTGTTCCCACTTATGTTGGTGTGAAAAATGACGGGGAATTAATTTATTGCAAAAAATGTCTTCTCTGTGTGATTGCAATTCAAATGGTGTAATTCATTTGGGATACAAAGGAGAAAAATATGAGATGTAGCAAGATGGGAAAAATGTGAGAGTAGTTGTGTGTGAGGGAGCAATTTGGGGAGTGTGTGACTCATGACCCAGAAAAATTCAATGCAAAAACGAAGACAACAATTTCATCATCTTCCTGTATATATAAATTTATTTCATGTTTTCGTCTCTTTTTGTCAAATACAGAATGGCCCTATGATTAAAAGGGGAGCTTTTTCGGGGAGGCGTTATGTAGGTAAATAAATCATTGTCGTGGTTCGTCTTGTTTATTCTGCATTCCCTTTTCATCTTTTCATGGATTTCCTGCCCAACGTTTACTGGATGTGGAAGGAAATGGGAAATCCTCTGAAAGTTTTTATTTATTCTTCCATTTTTAATTCATTTAAGATTTCAGTTTAATCTCAATTTATGAAATTGCCTCACGTACGGTTATTTTCCACACACACACACACACATATATACAATGTAGAGTTTTCCGTTGAATAATACATCCAAGGAAGTGGCAGGACTATCTGGGAGGACTGCTGTGGAAAGGTGGATATTCTCTCACTCCCAATCTCAAGGCAGAAGTAACACTTCTCGTGAGATAACATGTACCCTGCATATTTAAGGTGCCTCGCTAATTTCTTGCTCCATTGCCAATTCAATCTTAGCATAATTTCGTGAAAGTCATCGTGTAGGGAAATTGTGATGAGGGAGAGGCTCTGATTTCGATATTAACTATTTGATATGCAGCGCACTTGGTGTCTAACTTACCGTAACTGAAGGCGGCCTGGTGGAGTTGGGTCGCAAAGGAGGTGAAGAGGATGCCCAGGGCGAGGACGAGTCCTCCCAGGACAGCTGTCAAGCGTGTGGATTTCCGGCGACAGAGCGCCACGACGATGGTGGCCGACAGCATGGAAACGGACCAACTGGCAGCTCCGAGCCAACCTACAAAGGAAACGGGAGGTCAATAAGGAAGTTTCCCACAGGCCCTCTTGAGCCACTCCATTCAGTCGACTCCAGGCTCATTTATGCCTGGTACCTCCATCGCCTTAATGACTGTTTTTCTTTTCTATGGCTGCCCGTCTGAGCATTTTCGCACATCATTCAAGCTATATGGTGCGAAAAAATTGGCTAAATGCTCCCCAGAACATAAAAATAATACAATTTCAGTGCCATTCTCATTCGGAACCCGCTGCGAAGGACTGACCTATTTACCAAGGGAAATTGAGAATTATCCTTTGATGCTGTTGAACAACTCGTAGTTCTGGATTTTCTCTTTGATGTCAAAGAATCCATTTATAAATTTATTAAAATACACTCGAATTTCAATAAAAAAAATTCCAACTTCCATTGGTAGTGTTTAATTAAAATTGAAATTGCATTTCCTCCCCTTTTTTTAATGAACAATTCAAAAATACTACAGGAAACCCATAAATTATCATGAATGATTTCGCCTATCCAAACTTCTGACGACAGGCAAATTGAACTTCTTTTCAGTCTTCTGTTTTCCTCGGTTTTCCCTACAGTTGGAAGGGAATTTTCTCAAATCTCATATCAGAACGATGGAAGAAAATGTCGGAAAAGTCTTCGCGGTATATTGAATTCACATATTTATGTGCCATAAAGCACACATTATTATACACCACCTCACAATACACGACGCAACGTGAAATGATATAAAAAGAATTTAAAGTTTTGGGGAAAATAAAATCGTTCTGTTTATGTTGAGAAAGCAGGGGTGTGTGTTCCTTTTGGAAAAGATGGCTCTTGTTATTTTGAATAAACATTATGGTATGTGCGAGAGATCAAAAAAATAAAATGTATAACGAATTTTTGCTCCAAGGAATTAAATTATGAGATTCCTGAAGAAGTTGAAGGAATATTTCTCAATGAAATTCCATGAGGAATTATCGTGCTGTGTATCTTAAAAAAAAACAAGAGAGAAATCCATCATGTGAAATCCATTACCGGAAAGTGTAATCGCCATATACAAGGATAATGGAGAAGTGATATCATATTTCTCCTGAAAGCGCGTCGGTTATTCGTTGATGTTTATTTAAAAGACTAACTGGAGGAACTGAGGGGCGTCCTATTTTACGACAAAACGCCCAATGCTCGATTTAACATTCACCTTCCCCGCTTACTACCCACTCTTCTATACATATTTCCCGTGCTAAGGGATGAGAATCGATTGGTTGGTACAAAACGATTTCCGTCCAACTTCCCAGACTAACAGGGTGGATTCACAGTCACCCACAATGTATGTTTTGGATTTGATACGGGAGCTTCATGTACAAGAAATTACTATATAGTGTTTAAAAACCTTTTATTCATGCTGCTTAGTTGAAAAGCATGTTCTGAAGTGACTTGAACATAAGAAGATTTCAATGGGAAGCTTATTGATTAGAAATCTATGTGGAGATGTTCACAACATAATAGCGTGCCCTCATCCATTCCTGCCACAGATTTGGACGGTTATTGAGAATGTTTACCCAGAAATTAATTGAAAAACTACCCTTCGCTCCCTTCAATGTGGGTTATCAATATTCAACGTTTAGCTTGTCTGTTTACAAACATCTTCCATGCCTCTTCAAACACAGAATTTGATTGAAATTTGTATAGTATTTCCGGTGTCAATATCTACTCCCTTTTTATATGTAAATTCATCCACCATTTATTTACGAGTATTATATTTCCCAAGAATTCTTATGATTTTCGAATCAGTGTTTGAAGCTCACAAATTGGATTTTTTGTATTCCTTCGAAATATACTGATTGTGCAATATTGTAATTTTTTAATGGAGTTTTCCATTGGCCACCAGTTTAGCTACATAAAGAGAAATGCGTTGTTCATGCACATATTTACACCCACACCACTCTCTCCATATATTATGACAAAGTTCAGCTGTGGCAACTTATTGCTTTGGTCCTTGTAATTGTACATGACCCAATTTTCCTTTGGGCGAAATATGAGATTTAAAAAATAATTTAATAGGTATAACGGCAATGGAATCCCATATTTGTAAATGAAATAATTCGTGTGTAAATAAAAATTTGAAAAGCGTGTGCTAAAGCGGCTAAAGCCAATGAATTTTTTAGTCTCACTCTGCAAATAATTCGCCATTGGTCGCTGATGTGTTATACCCTTTCAAATTGATTCAATTCGAAAATCCACAATACATGCTGCTAATAAAAGAACGACCAATTGATGAGTTCAAATAGTTTAACCGCACGTATAATTATTCGAAATGAGTTCTATTTCACTTCCCTTCCTATAATAGTGATGACAATTCTCATTTCCCTGACCATTGTTGCTCAAATAATTGATAATTGCATGGTGATTTGACAAGAACTTTGAATGCATTAACATTATTGGAAATTAGAGAAGATTTTTTTTTTAAATTTTGTAATTCCACAACTCATTTGTAATTCATGACATGGGAATTTGGCGTGTTTATTTTCGCACTGTGTTATTTTAGAAGCGATTTCACATATTAATTATACTTCTGGTGCCACCGATATAATTATCGAATTAAAGTAATGTGTAAAAATATTAAATCCGCATAAATTAATATTATTTATGCATACAACTTTCAATTGATGAAATCTGCCTATAATTTGTTTATGGCCAGACAGCAGTTAATAATATATTTCCCATAATATTCACATGCAATAAAGGATAAACTTTGTCAGAGAAATGTTCAGTTCAATTGGTACGATTTCGAAGAGGAGCTTCACTATGCAAACACTCATGAAAGATGTTGAATGCGGAATCACATCCTCTTTAGCCACACAAAAAGCTTATGCTGAACCCCTCTCTTGGAGATATAGGCTTCTATTCATTGAGCTGTAGAATCTCTCGGCTAAGCTTTTTGTGGCCATCCACAACTCTATCGCCAAGCTCTCTTGCAAATGGATTGAACCCCGCAAGAATAAAGGACGGGAAGTTTGAATGATGAATGATTCTTTCTGAGGCTTCAGGTGAACAAAAAAGCACTAACTTGATGTTAATTTGAAGAATTTTCCTGTCAACCTTTCCGGATGAAAAAGTGCTTTTCCAAACAAAACTGTGAAAATTCAGAGCTCACGGTCTTCATAATCATTCATTACGTTCACGTCAGCTATGAGGTCCATGAGGTCGCATCCCGTCAAGCATTAACGAGCAGCGGAAGTAGAAGTCATACATACATTTTTCATTAAATTTTTCGCCCTGTTCTCATCTTTTGGTCTCTATGAACTTTATGAATTTAAAAGAGTTATAGATTTTCTCCAGTCAACGAGTTCCTGATGATTACAACCTTCTCAGAGTTCATAATAGCGGAAGATGTGATGGTATTTTATGACATTTTCATCCCTTAGAGCATGATAAAAACGTGAAAAGAAATGCACGGTACTTGTTATTATAAATATTGCTTACAAACTCCCTCGGCTATGCTGAAAAGTTGCACAAAACATCTGCAAACGCCTGAAAGCATTGGCAAACACTTTGTGACGTGACGTGGCGTTTTTGTCCATCACCGAAATTGTGTCATTCGTATAATGTGAAATAAAGTTTTGCGTTTATGGGTGACAGCAAGTCTGAAAAGTGTAACATGACAATGGAGACAATGGAGAAATTGCATTTAGACATAATGCATGACGGCAAAATATCGCTATCATACATTTTTGATGCGTTTTATGAAGTTTTGCAAATTCATTCTCTAGACTTTATATCTGTCATTTTCACTTTCCGGTGCATTATTATTCTTAACTGCTTCACGGTTTATTTTTTTTTTTAGATGAAAATGTGAATTTTTTTTTACCAAAATGAGTCAATTTACGATTTATAACTTGAAAGTTCATAATATCTCTCAAGGGTAATTATAAATCTGACTTGGTGTACCTTAAAATTAAATTACGGTTGCTCAACTAATTAATATTTGGGCGAGAGGGGGTGGAAATTGCTCATAATTTGCACGACTTTGCCCCAGACCATAAAAGTTTATCCGTATTACGAGCAACTTTCCCGTACGTGTTTAACTATAACTCTATGCTCATTCCCGGTTCAAAGGGAAAAATATACGCTAATGAGAGAAATGTGAATTTTGAAAAGAGTTGTGCATACAGAGAACTATTAATATTAATGAGTCTGTTTATGTTTAATCACAAAGTTGCTAAGTTATTAATCATCTGCTCGTGGTGGAAAGTTTAAAGTGCTTTAATCACTGGGTCATTTTAATCCCTCGATGTGAACTTAAAGATGTCAAGTCTTGGTCTCTTTATCAAGGTTGAGCAGAAGTTATCTCTCCACCTCTTAGCAAAAGTTACCAGTTAAAGCGAAGAAAAAAAACACACCAAGAGAAATCCAAGTAGATTTCAAAGTAAGAGCATTACAAATGGTCGTAAGTATTAAAGTTTACTGAGAGCAATTTATGTAGCACAACTTTCAATTCAGATGTGAAAAATTAAAATAATTCACAAACTTTGTACTGTTCAGATGTAGTTTTGGGTCAAATGAGAATTTTCCTCCCATCTTTGACATAGTTTTTATCAAGTAGAAAATAAAGTGGAAAAAATCTCCAGAAACTTCTCACATTCTCAACTATACACTTTGTTCTGCTTTGTGAGGTCGTGAAAAAGTGTGAAAAAGAGAGCTTGGCTTTTGCATTCCGTGATTTGTCAAGCAATCTCGGGTTAATGGACTGTCTTTCTGGTTTTAATGAGAAATAAATAACGCACATTGTGTTTTTCCAACCTCGTTCATGCTTGATGAATACTTTTCTTGTATGTCTCTGTTATTTTTCTCAAGCTGACTCTTTCAGTGAAATGAAGCACGGTCTGGCCCACTGAGCGATTCAAATATTTATGCGAAAAGTTTCTGATGAAAGCAAGACTTGCTGGCAAATATAATAATTTTAATTTTCAGCAGTTTGCCTGGGCTTTTCTCATTCTTTTGCCCATTTGCTGGGGTGAATTTCTGGGGAAGGAGGAAGATTTTCCAGCTTTCTCATGGGAGGAATTTTCATTTCATCGGGGAGCAATGGAAGAAAATCCACCCACACGCGTGATTTATGATTTTTGCGCGGGAAGAGCTGTGTTAAAAAAGCACACTGACTTTCTTGCCGCTTCCTTTGCCATCACCGTAATCTCTTCGATATTTCACTCCTTCGATTTAGCACCCGAGCTTGGCAAGTGCATTACAGAAATTACATATCCCTAATGGCATTTCCCTACGTCTGAATACCGCCACTTCCTGTGATGCTTTCAGCGGCAGCTATTGTCTAATGGAAGTTTTAGTGCTCTGCATGATTCATCTTCATCCTCAAGTGCAGAGCCCGCAGAATTTCGCAGACATTCACTAGAGGTGTTCATATCTGGCTCCAGGTGCAAATTCACGGTAAATATTTGAAGAAGTAATTTTGAGTTGCAAAATGACACAAAGCCTATGGCATCAAAGGAAAAGTTTTAACACACTGTCACGTTTTTTTGATATCTCATCTGTAAGAACTAGCTTTATCTCACTTCAAAAGTTGTTGCTCTCTTTCATTTCTTTGTGCGCCTAGAGTATGGAAACAGGCGAAAACTGAGGCGATTATGATAAAAGCAAATTCTAAGGTGATACATTGAACTTCTCGAATTAGATTAGGCTCAATTTAACAGGTGGAAAATTGAGGGAGGGAAGTTTGAAATTTGTGGCGTTGTATAGCTTTCTCAAGTTTATTGTGTTTGCTCAGCCATATCTCAATAGGCTATTAGTCCTAATTAAATCGGGATCTGCAGTAAAGTCCGTTCTTTGAAATTTGCGAGCAAACAGTGAACGAATTAGTCCTGAATAAAAGGTTTTCTGTTCGCGTTCAAGTTGTTGCGTTAATTTCCATTTAGCAGCAATGCAAATAACGTATTTGTTCAGCGTTATTAAGCAAATCCTCTCTTTCTATTTTAGCATATAAAAAGTGAACAAGCATTACAATCGGCTTGGCTGGTCTGAACTCTTGCCTACATTATCAAATTATCTGCTGTAGTATATTCTCTGCTTCACGCTGTACGTGTTATTCTGGCATCGCAGAGTTGCATTTAAACTCACTGAATTAATATCGTGAGCATAATCTACTTCCCACAAGGTATATTTTCAATCATCACTTTATTGTAAAATCGATAATATCATGCCACTTGCAGAGGATATCTTCAAACCATATAACGTCATGCAATTTCAACACCGCAGTTTAATGCGCCATCAACACCAAAGATAATTCCATTTAAGGGATATTTTGAACTCAAAAACTGAATGTTATTTCACATTGACGGAAGGAGAAAAAGGCAAGCCGATTTGTGTCTATAGAGGAGAGTGGGTTGTATTCGGAATGAGAACGCGGGAAATATTTCAATACGTGTTTGTATATTTCCTGTGTAAATTTGAATTTCAAGTGACATTGCAAACATATGTATGGTTGGATATGCAAACTTGTGCATCGCGTTTTCTGCACACAGTTTAATTAGCCTTTATTTCGCTCAAAGCGCTTCATTTACAGTTGAATTCACAGTTCTAAATTGTATCTCAAATGTATCGGAGTGAGTTTAAAAAGTGAAGAAAAAAATCTGCTTCGAGAGGAAATGAACTGAAAATTTGTGAAACCTTTCAGTTTCTCAAAAGTGACCCTCTCTTCCCCAATTTGACGCCGATAGTTTTTATCCTTGTTCGCTCCTGTGTAATACGGGAGCTGCGAGAAGTGTGCAAGTGCTTGATGAATGGTTGTGAACTGACCTGTTTCCGTTGCCATTTCATGACCCAAATGGGGAATAGCGTACAGCTGCAGCAGCCCGTAAGAGAGCTGGAAGCCTGTGGTGAGGACGTGGGCTAGGAAGGAGACGCCGCACACAATCCAGCCCCAGCCGCCGTCGGGGTAGAAGTGCTGCGGAAAATAGCATCACGTTAAAACAGCTCGAAAAATGCATGTAGCAAATAAGCGCCGCAGTTTCCATTGAGAGTTCATCGCCTATGGCTTCATAAGTGTGATTTCTGTGGCGAGGCGAATGCGCCGCAAAGTAGAGAGAAAAGAATCACTTTTGACTCTGTTTGTGGCTCGGATGAGATTTTTACCCGGCTTCTCCACTGTCTTTCGAGACTGTCCATTGCAATTAGATTCTGTGCTCCTGTTCATCTGCTGTTATTGATATCGATCGAGTCGCTCGAGCCGAGTCATTCTCGCTCGCGCGCCGTCATTCATGAATATTTGAGGCAATACAAACGCGAAAATTGCAGCTCTGTTCGGTTATTTTGCCCGCGCTTCGCTAAATGAAGACTTATGGGGATTAAGAAAATTATTTGCTCTCCAACTCAACACTATTGATTGGAAGGTGCTTCGGTACTTCGCGCTGATGAAGCTCAACTGCAAATTGACTCGCTCAAGCATATTGATTGCTGGGTGGAGATCTCGCCCAAGTAATGCGATATCATGAGCAAAAGTCTCTTCTCAATTTTCTACTTAAAATGAAAGCATTTTTCTTCCATTAAATGATGAAAATGCCAGAAGCTTCGCTGGCTGAATGACAATTTCACGGACTCACGGGGGCGAAATGCGTATTTTGTCTCAATTTCACTGCCAATGATGGGAATTAATTTTCTACCTGTCGTATTGCATTAGTATCAACGCCGGCACGCCTGAGAGCTGGCACATTTCTGTGGAGTGAGTGAAATTCTCGCTCCAGAAGTGCCGGACAGGCGGAATCCTCCTCCTCTTGCAGCCGGCTTCGAGGATCGTAGCCTGAAAAGAGTAGCGAATGAACTGCATTAGGGGAAAATTTCATCTCTCTCTCTGTGTTTTCTGTAATGCTATTAAGTGAGAACATAGAGTGTCTCTTTTGTTGAGAGGAGGTGTGAGATCTTTCTCCCGGCTTCACTGAGTAAAGCTCGCATAATATGTGTTTATGATTAGATTGTTGAGGCGAATTTCCTCACAACAGAGAATAATAATTCGACTCTTTCACTCCTGTCCTTCGAACCACTTTGATAACCCGAGGCTAAAAAGCATTCTTAATGATTTTCAAGCAAAAGTTGTCCTCAGAGGGGAAATTAGCTGAAAATTAATTTTCATTCTACATTGTCAAAAAAGTTGGATTGCTAATAAATTACCACATATTTTTTTTGTCATTCACAAGCAAATGAACAACCTTACAGACGCCTGAGGAAACTCTGATACTTCTGCAAATGAAATACACTTCCTGAAACTTTAATTGAAGAACATGGGAAACCATTTAAAACTTGTGTTTTGTATTCACGTCTGCTAAATGACACTTGATTCTAGAGATCTAGAAACTCTATAACATTTGCACAATTTCAGCCATTAGGGAACAATTTAAAGGGTGTATTTTTATACAGTGAATGCACGACAATTTGCATAATTACTTTAAATTCAATGATTTTCCTTGAAAGTTCTGATTTCAGGATCACAAGCATATTCCATGGAGATGGAAAATAACTTTAACTCTATCTATTTGTACACAATATTAAATATTCAATGTGTTGGTCAGGTTCTGATTAGAAATCACTTTGCAAAAGTCCTGGCACATTTCGAACTTTAAAGCCCAAAGCTTAATTTTGTGCATCACTAATATGCAAATTTGAAACGGGGAGTTTCGATGCGAAATGGAGATTTTCTTGTATATTAATTTCACAACAGGCGCGGGAAACCATGACAGGGAAGTACAAGTTTTTAATTAAAAATGCAAAGTTTTGATAAATCCATTATTTGCCCCTCAATGTAACCTCTTGAAAGTTTCCCGTGATGTTGTGTATTGTCATGAGGGAAGAAGTAGCACGCAGACTCATCATAGCAACTGTGCGAACCTCAAATATTTCGAATGCACGTTTTTGTGTGTGCTGACTCCAAAATATCTCTTTAGCGCCATAAATTGGGGGCAGGAGAATAAAATTTTTCACAAACTTCCATGAGGCTCATGAATTATAGAGATTTATGTCTATTGTAAAAGTGAATAATTGTTGTGTAGTCTAGGGGCTGGTAGGGCGGCACACTTGCTGTATAATTAATATTTTTCACAAGCCTCTGCTCGCTTTCTTTGGCTCACTCCTCGTGTGGGGTGATGTGTTTATTTTCTTCACACTTTGCCTATTTATTAATGAGCCATTCCCATTCAAGACGCCCACTCAATTTTGCAGACATTAAATTAAGCCACCTTCATTATATCGGGGATGAGATATCACAGAAAATTGCCATCTGATTAATTGCCTTCCGCACAATATGCTCAGGGGGTGACTCTAAGCGATAAAGACGGTCCATTCATTGTCATGTACATATGTATTGTATACACACACTATGTACGGAAACAACGCCAGAGGAACTCGATGTTCTTTCAGAGAAAAAAAAACGCACAAATAGAAATCATTGATAAATTGATTTGAAGCTTTGCTGCATTTATTCTGTGCGTGAATGTATTGACAGAGAATTTGGTGACGAGGACATCGTATAGTTTCTCATTGAGATATCAATTCAATGAGACGCGTGATTCTATGCAATCAATAATTCATCTTCCTCAGCAAACATGAAATCTCCGGAGAGATAAATTATCTACCACTATGAGGAAAAAAGAACCAACTTGTCGTAAATATTTATGCCACACTGAATTCTATCCCAGCAAAAGAAATTAAACCAGCGACAACATGACTAAGAAGAGCTGAGAGATGGGATTTTCTCTGGTTATTATTTATGGGAATTGAATGTTCATTACACGACATCTTGCAACTGTACGAGAGCACAATGTAGGGGAAGTGACTCTCAGTTTGGTGACAAAATTGAATATGTGTCGAGAGGTAAGTTGGAGTCTAGCGTGACCACATTAGATGCGAGGCTTCTCTACGCATTTTTCCAGTGGAGCGATATAAATTATGCTGTGGTGCGTGCAGTAGCTGAAAACGTCGCAGAATATTTGTGCAATTTAATTAAATGCAAATTTCACGCCTCCATTCTTCCTTTGATGATCGCAATTATTTAACTCTTCAGAGAATCCCGTGGCTTTCGCTTATGTAGATTAATTGCGTGTTTAGAAGTCACAGAAAGGATCACAGTTAGAGTTGCTAAATGTGAGCTTGTAATTATAAAACATATATACTCTCTGTCAACACTGAATGAATGGAGGTGTGATGTTGTACATCGTGCTTTTGCAGTGTCACAAGAAAGGAGTCTTTAAAGTCCTTGAATTTTCATAAGAAAACCATATTTTCAAAACGGAGCCCCTCAAATCCCTCTCAATATATACACATCTCGTCCGGATTTTCTTGTCAAGGCAGAATTCATGGACATTTTCTGTATCTCTGTCACATTATTCTTGTCTGGCTGCTCGATAAGTGAATTTATTTACCGAATCTGCCTCAGATCTTGGCACTGATATCGACGTCTGCGTAAAAATGCTCCTGCGGGTGTTTTTCTTCTCTCGAATTTATGATGAATCAATTATAGATAAAAATCAATCCCTTCGATAATATGGCCTTTTATTGTGAAATGTGAACCTCCATGTGTGTTGGTTGTTGTCACTCGAGCTCAGTGATACGGAGTTATATTTAATAAACTTGCTTTATGATCTGCTAAATCGTCGCCTCGTGAATGGGACTCTCGTAATCCGATCTAGTGGAATTAATGGTGTTTCCAGACACTCTCTTCCTCGCATGCATCAATATTCGCTAAGGAGAGCTGCGAGGCGTCAGAAGAACACCCCCTCAACGGCCTCAGTGTCATCGCTCGGACTGACGCTCATCCGCCACAAAGTCACGCAGAATGGTGTGGGATGTGATGTTGATCCTCTCTGCTGAGCACAAATTCCTCATACGATATCTCAGCCGCAACAACCCCGCAAATATTTGGAATGTGTCGCTTCGAGGCTCACCTCGTCATGCCAGACCACTTATTCATACATCCTTTGTGGGCCAAGTGTAAAATTCCTCAGGAACTCCTGCCGACCAATGACACACTGCTTTCTATACATGACTTTATCCTCGGGAATGATTAATTGCGTGAACAATTGGGAACTCTACCGAGAAATGGCGTATTTCTGCTTTCAGACCACCGCCGAACAACGGCAGAATTTCAATCCATACATAAATTTACCGGATTCAGTGAACATCAACAATGGTGAGATCCCCAAAAAAATATTGGGTGTGTAAATATAAAAATCCTGACTGTTTATAAAGCTTGATGAGATACGAGCTTTTTTGGTATATATATATATATATATATAGAGGATTTTTCTGCATGTTAAGTTTTAAGGAACACGCCAAAAGCCGCTTACATTTTGAAACTTGTTCTATCCGTCCGCAAAAAGGGACGTTCATGACTGAGAGTCTTTCAATTTGAGAGGCAAGGAGAAATCCCTCTGCATTAGGATACATTCCATTTGAGACGCTTCATTGCTCAGCGAAATGGAGTTATTCGTCAACTCTGCATAAATCTATGGAAAAGTGGAAAATTTTTGAGGGAAATGGATCAAGGGAATGGGAATGGGTGGAGAATATGTGCATAAAAATTTCATTTTACCCTCTTGAATGGCATGTCATGTCACTCCTTCATATTCCTCAACCCCACATTTCATCGACACTTGAAATTCTCAATGAAATTACGCTCCTGTGACTGATGCCCTCTTCCTTGGCATTCCATTTGAAGTCAGACGAGCGGATAGTTCTGAGGGAAGGAAGGTGCTCCTTAACATTTTCTCCTCTCACCACACTTCCTGAGAAGGAACTCAGTGATTCAGTCACGCTCTGTCAATTGACCTGTAAACCATAATTTGGCTTCATGTCGAATGGAGCAAGAGAAAGAGTTCAAATGAAGCAGAGATTTCTCAAAAAGGAAAGAAAAAAAACTACCGCCAAAGGAAAATTGGGCCACATTCAGCAAAATACGAAGCGCTGCGCCAAAATCCCATTTTTAATACGAAAGGAAATGGAGAAAATGAGCGTAATTTTATCGGTATCACAATGTAATTCAATTTTATTCAATTTGTCTTATCTCAGCCAAAATGCATGGAAATGACTGATGAATGTCGAGATAAGGAAAATGCATGAATAAAATGCAAACCGGCGATGGGAGCTGGAATGATGCAGTAAATGCAAAAATCACGGCCGTCACATGCACCAAAAATAGCGTGAAGTCTGGGAAGTCGTAAATGATAAATTACTGTCATTCTGACCACCACACGACCACCCCTCGCATGAGGATAAAGAGCGGAGATATGCGATTCCTATTTAAACCACACAAACAATTCCAGCGACATTCATAATAAAATAATAAAAATCGTAAAAATATTGTGGAGTCGTATCTCATGGCATAAAACTCTCCAAACATAGCGTTTTTTTATGTCCTCGACGCACAAACAGATAAACATCAAAGGCACTGCGCATATAAATTTGAGAGCAGTCGATTTGATAATGTATGTAAAGTGTTTGAAATGAAGTAATTAAAGACACAGAGTCTATCAGAGAAAGCATATCTCGAAACAGTACGTGAAACATCGCACTTTTTCTCTTAGTATGAAGAATGGCTAGGAAAACAATTTCTCTCTGCAATATATTCTGAGGGTGTTGAATCTCTCGGGCTTTCCTCAGCGGAGATGCACTGTAAGTTTGTGTGGCCAGGAGATATAAATTTTTCCGAAGGGTGCTGCATTGCTGAACAAGAAGTACGTTCTGTAAACGATTTATACACAAAAATCTTGTAAAATTGTTCAATAAATATACTATAATTTTATTCCTGGTGGACTCTTGAGTTCGTCTACCCAAATAGTTAGTTTACAAAACATTGTTTCGGTGCATCTTGTCATTGTTTAGCCAAAATGACCGACCCCTTTGGTTCTTCAGTGTGTTTATTTGCAGTTTTTTGTGCTAAGACGGGAGTCTCGCCCTCATAAAGCAACAGCTGACTGGCAAAAAATTTATCGGTCTTTTGACTCCTCGCAAGCACAGAAGCATGACAGCATCCTTAAACCGCTCGATGATGTATCTTTCATCATTCCCGTCAGCGATGATCAAATGGCTGGAGATACATTTATAGCTAGCGCCACACACGTCCCAATATCACAATTCTGTCACTGCGTGTTGGGATTTATGTTAATTGCTTGGGATGAAGTTTCTTGATCATTACTCATGATGCATCACCTGTCCATCTACATTGCGCAATCGTGAAATATTACACAGAGCTCGGAGTACAGTTGAGTGGGCAAATTAAATTGTGCAAAGGGCCTCAAAGTGATATTCAAAATTTGATGAAATGACATCGAATTCGGTATGGCTTTGTGCTGTGAATTCTACTTTTACTTTGAATTTCCCATTTATTTCGGTATCGGGAATACTTCATTCAATTTATTCTGCCGCAGGGAAGATTTTCGAGTGATATTCAATTCAAACTTAATGGAAAATCTGTCATACATTTCAAAATTTATCATAAATCTTACGACGCACATTGAAAAAAGCAGGCAAAAGGTTGCAGAAAAAGCTCTTTAGTCAATACAAAAGGGTAGCACGGTGTTCCCCTATTTTGACTTTCTTTGAGTGTGTTTTGCAAATAACACATTTCTCATTCTATTGTACGTGACAATAATACAGTGTTGAGTATGTAAATAAACTTCCCGGGTCATGTTGCTGGAGCACAGGGTGTCTAAATAAGCTCTCCTGGCTCTGTCAGAATAGATGGAGTGGAATGGAAATACTGGGAAAGCATTTGCGTTCGCAATGCTTGTAAGGAACGGAGTGATTTCTCTAGATCGCCTGTTGAATTTTGTATGGTCCAATTTGCATTTTACATGAATGTGAATTGTCAAAAGAAATGTGACCGTGCGACATGAATATTACATCCCTGGTGGTAATTAATATGAATTAAGGGGCGTTCAAAGTTCATATTATTGAAAACATGACACAAGGTGTGACCCAGTTTTAGAAGCATCTCGACCTGGACTACAAGTTACAAATTTACCCCTCTAAATATGATGAACGTGGCGGGATTTGCTGGCGTGGGGTCCCTTTCGACCCTGCTGAGCTGGGGTTGAATTCTCCCTTGTGGGTAGGCTTCGCTTTTAAGCCCATTAAAGAGAATTGTGAGACAAAAAGTTTATTCTATAAAAGGCTCGCTTTCGAGTGCCACCGCCTTTCAACTTTCTCGTCATTCTTGCCCAGAGAGCCGCAAAATAGTGGGAATTCTCATAAAGTTTTTGTGCGATTTCCTTAACGTTCGCATTTATACGATATGCGGCCCGCATGATTTTCGGGATGGGAAACAGATGTTGATGGCAAAATGGGTTTGAATTTAAAAATAATTTTGTCGGACGCCTTCCAAATTGATTTATGTTATGCCTTCGCCGGTTAGGAAATGTGTGCTTTTTTTCAGTTCAAATATCGCAAATGGTGTGTGTTTGGGAGTTCACGCGTGTTCACGCCATTTGATGGGGGTGGGGAAATCATTGGGGACGTAAAACATGGAAAAAATTCTTGTAAATTGGTTAGTTTATTGTCAGCAATTATGGCTGTCACAACTGGCGAAATGTGTGTGTGAATTATTAAACGACAAATCGGTCTCCGGTTCGTAAAGCAGAAGAAAAATCACTGACCCAAAATTCTTCCATCACTCAAGATGGCAATTTGCGAGAGACGCAAGAAAAATTGTTTACATTCCTTTTTCATGCTAAATTCGTGATTTTCTCCTAAGGAAAATTTGCAGAGCATCCCATATTAAATTGTGAGAAATTATTTACTTTATATGCTAAATGCGGGTGAAGAAATGTCTCTAGGAGCGAAGAGAAGGACCAACAAAGTCTTCTGCATGGAATTCGACATGTGCCCGTGGCAATTTTGGGGATGTAGTTCTTACTTGGAGTGTCATTTAAGAGACAACCCTCCAGAGAGCATTTCTTGCCTCTCAGTAGTATGGAAGTAAATATTTGCCCCATACAAAGACACAATACTTCTTTCTTCTGATACACATCTTATTGAAATTTTGTTTGAAAAGGCCCTTGAAATTGCTTTGGCGCGTATTCTTGGTTCTGCCGAGTGTATTTGTATTCCTAATTCACTCGGAAGGTTATCACGAGAAGTCAACTCATCTGGGAAATATTAACAATTTATAAGAAAGGTAACTTCGGGTATGTTTTGACTATGAGGAAAAGGTTCTGTAAATTTAATGTTCTTTTCAAGTCCACAGTCCAATGATTTTTCTTCAAATACACTTCACTTCAGCTTTAAATTTATTATAGGTTGACACCATGCGAAAATGATTTTTTGTGCCTCTAGTGTAAACAAATTTGCTAATAAGTCTTCGCTTGATAGACTTTACTATACTTTACAGATTGTCCCATTTTCATATATTTACAGCGTAATGTTTACCACGTCGACAACATCATAACTAGATGATGGAAAACTTCCACAAATATTTTGACCGCAGACTTTCGTACCAACAGACGAGAAGCCAAACATTTAAACTATGTTTACCCATGAGTGAAGTAAATTAATAAGCCCACATCTCATTATACTTTCCTCTTTATAATGTAATAACCAATTTGCAAAGTTCTAAATTGGTAATGTAATAATGCACCGATAGAGATGGTGGCAAATCGCGTTTCGCGCGGCATTGCAATCAACCACATCACAAGCACCAAATTCATGGGAATTCGCTCGAGTTTGTGGTCCACGAGGAAGATTTATCTGTGACTCGTATTTTGGAAAATTCGTCACTGTCTGAACTGTCGGAGATGGAAGTGCGTGTGATTCTTCGGTGTGGAAATCACATGTGGCAATAAATCGCATCACACTAACATGACTGGTTTATTGGCTTCACAAGTCACAATATTCATTTGCTCAGTGTGGCTCATGCAATTTATTTTATTCCACTCTCGGCGTACAATTCAGTCACTTTATGTGCCGCACAAAAGGTGTCTGGTCGATGCATTACATTTGTAAACACGTGCGAAAATGGCACACCACTAAAGGTAATTGGAGTGATGGGTGTGTCATCAATAATTCTCTACAATTGCATTTTGTATGCCAATTACGAATGTGTGAATAAATTGGTGTAATTGAAACGCAAATGGGCACTTCGCATGCATTATAATGTGAATGAAGAAATTATTCTAAGCAAGTTCCGGCGCTAGACCTTCAATGTACTCTTCATTCTAAGCGCGCTCTAGCTTTGCATACTGATGTTTGCCTATCTATGCATATCTTGCCAGAAAGCTCAACTTTACCTATAAAGTCGATGATCCGGATAAGCCTTTGTCACCAAAGCTATGTCAGGAATTTTAAACATGCCTCATAACAGTCATAACATCTTTCCTATGACATTTGACCTCAAAATATGGCCTTTTAGATGCTTAAAGTGTCATTCTTTTCAGTCGATGTCAAATTCTGAATGGAGCAACATTCCTTCCTTTACGAATTTTCTCCTTACTCTCAATGGGGAAAAAATTCATTCAATTTGATAACAAGTTCTTCAATAAGTTCCCTTTTTTTCCTTTGATCTCTCTGTTCTCAGGGAAAAGATTGCTGAAATACTTTTCCTTCAGAAGGTTTCAGAGCACATACGTGAAATTGATTAGCAAAATTTATTCTCTCACTCAAGCGGAAAATGTATTACTGATTTTCACAGGAATATATGTATTATACAGTGTTTTAGGATACATAATAATTTATGTATATATGCTTGAAAATCTCTGAAAATCAACAGTTCTTTGACAACCCTTTTTCTTATTTACAATTCTTATCTGCAAATTTGCAGTCCATTTCACATTCATATATGAAAATTTCTTTAAGATTCACTGTTGCCTTTGTGTCTTACATATGAAAATGTCTGTTGTAACACTCATTGTGTTTTGCTCAGTGTGAAACATTGGCAAAATTCCACACAGGTCTTCATAAATACAGTTGGCAAGCTGGTTCAATTTGTTGCAATTAAGTGTTAATTTAGAGGAAATTGGAAAAGTTGAAATTGTTTCATTTTACCGTTTTTCAATAGAATTCCAAGCGCAGATATGAGTTTAGAATGAGTTTTTGTTTAATTTTAATGAAGCCATAATGAATCAGAATAAAATGTACACAAAATAGCGCGTTGTTGCATTGATAAATGAGCGCAAAATGCGCGACTTTAACGTGAAATTTGACGAAAAACTGACTGACCTGTGTAGGAGTTGGCCTGGGTTCCGTAGCTTCCGTGGCGCGACATGTCGCCGTGATGGGACGCAGAGTTGGCGCGTCTGCTGTGCGTAGGAGTCGCGATGGTGGCGAAACGACAGCGGGAGCAACCGTTGATGCTGAAAGGATGCGGCCTGGCCGCTGGTGGTGGAGGCGCCGGTGGCGGAGATGTGGACATAGCAGGTGACACACAACCGGCGGAGACGCCCAGCATCTCCGGCTGCTGCTGCCCGGGCGCTTGGGAGTGAGTCGCGGGGCAGTGAGCCTGGTGGCAGGCGACCTGGGGCAGGGCCCAGAAGGGCTGCGGGCAGTGGTGGGGCTGGAGCGATCTACACGAGCAGCTGTAACGTCACGGGATCACATGGCCGGCGTGGAGATCGCATATTCCGGTGGAGGAGGAGTAGAAGGGGCGCTCTGTGGTGTGTTGGCAGTCGGTGGGCAAGTTCACGCATGACCTGGCGCCTGAGAGCGACGAGGTGAGGAGTGGCGGGCGGCGCGGGGCGCGTCCGGCCGCCACGAAGGGGTTGCGCGGAAGTGTGGAGTACGGATGGTGCTGGAGATAACTACTGAGACCACGGTCGCATGTGCAATACATCTTAGTCTTAACTACTCTCGCTCACCGAAATTACACTCCGCACACTTTTGCCCGAATCACAGAACATGCCACAGTTCATGTCTTCGGATGTTGGCACACGTGTACCAGAGGGATTATCATTTGGAGAGGTGTGACTGCCGCTGAGTCTGCGAATAGAAGAGGAAAGCTTTTAGATCACAGTGAAATCTTTATTGGTTTATCGGCGTCGAAAGTTTAAGGTGTAAATATTTTATGAAATAGGATATATTTCACAGGGAGTTCCTCTATGCTTTCTAGGGGTGTTTTAGAAGAAATCTCTCTCTCACTTCTGACAGGTCTTCTCTATTTCCCCACCTTCACTTCCTTGGGCTCCGATAAAACAAATGCTCTCCATTCTGTCCGATAGCGCAACCCAACCTTTCTCGCCTTTGAAAAGGAACCGCACATAAAGGCTGAAATTGACACGATGTTTCCAATATTTTCCTCCATGACAATCTTATCATTCGCACCCCATGCGATAGACAATGGCAGCAAAGTTTCTCTCCTCCGCCGCCACTTGAAAGTTAATTTAATATTAAACATTTTTTATTGAGACTCATTCAACTTTACGACAGGCAGCTTTCCCCAAATATGCCGCCGCCCTGCTTGTGCGTTCTTTCGCCATGAGATTCCATTGTACTCAAATTTAGCCATCGGGGCTGCGACGTGAGGCAGCATTTGCCATCCCAAGCCCAGACAATGGGATGAGAGATTGTGCGATGAAATGAAAATTTCGAACAGGTGTGATATGGGAGTTTGTTTTCCCAATTTCCTCAACCACACTCGGTCTCAGCTAATTCAGCGTGATATTTAAAATTGATGTCATCATTGTGATAGAAAAACACTCCCTCCGGCCATGCGAGAAGACGCGCATTAGCAAGTGAGGCTTATGCTGGGATTATTCTTATATGCTTGTGCGAGAAAGTTGGCGCCAATTGTGCTGCGCGACAAGTGCTTCGCCACCACCCCGCAGAATAGTTGAAAGTTGAGGCAACGTGTACGACTTTCAGGTGAAACTTCAAAGAGCACACGAAGTTTATCTGGATAACAGTTGTGGATTTGAGAGAGATTTCACGACAATCTTCAAGTTCTTGCTGAGCAAAAGCACAAGTTTCTGTCTTGTCTGGGCTGTCTAAAATCTCACTTTCGATGCTGAGAGCTTTGGGAACAATAACACCACGACAGACTCCCGGAGGCGTGACAGATTCACATCCTCTGTCACTTTTTCCTTCGCTACCTGTAGGATTTAAGGCCCGAATGCCGAGCGGACAAGGGCGTGGTGGTCTTGTCTCTTGGGTCTAATATGCGGAGTGTCGCTCCCTTGGAGAGTAGATTAATGTAGGTAGATTGTATAGGCTGGTCATGAAATTCTGGAATAGGGGAAAGCGGGATAATTTTGGGATTTATTCTACCTTCTACAGAAAACAGCTGAATAGATTTTTCGGGTAGAAGGAATCTTAAGCTAAATTTACCGCCAAATATTTCCCTCTTTCCCCTATTCACCTGTACACAAACGTTTGGATCGCCTTCGAGCTGGATCGCAGGATGTATCAAAGAATTTAATTATTCGAAAATGGGTGCCACAGAATGAGATACTGGGTGGTTTCCGCTTCTTGAGATGCTCTCCAGGGACAGATAAATTAATTTATATGTGCCATGGTCTTTTGTGTGTGGTAGCTGAGCCAAACACGATGTTATTTATTACCCACTGTGGATTGCAGAACACTCAGGAAGCCGCCTGGCATGGAGTCTCCCCTGTTTTCGTTGGATCAAGGTAAGGAGCGTTTTGTCATCAGAATTCCCACTCCCGCACTCATAGAGCGCGAATTTATTTGACAAATTGCTTCTTTAATAGAATAGAACACATCGGGACATTCACGGCACTGACGAGCAAATTGGCTACAGTTTCAGGTACTTAAAAGTGCACTTATCGAAGTCCTTCAAAGTCTTTTCAAAGTTGAATCGGAAACACTCGTGCAGAGTGCTATTTGGTGGTGCTAGTGCATCCATATCTGGATTATCCGGACATGTCGTTTCGCAGGGAAGTAGTCTGATGAAATTGAACCTCCAGCAGAGGCAATCAATTGACATAATACCCTTCCTGACCATTGTTGCGCATCTCCCTTCCCACCCCAACGTTACCTTCATCACGACGGAGATCATCAAGAAATGCACTGAAAATGTCTTCCACGATGGACAACATAACGAGGAAGATTGAATAGGGGGAGCTGAAGCGGAGGAAAATGTGTCATAATGTAACAACATCGGAATACTAGGTATGCTGAACAAAGTGAAATGTCGAACTTTCCTCGAGCATTTCATCGTCAGTGAATTCCTATCTATGCCAAACACAAGGAGAAAAGATGAAGAAACTCTTTCTCAATACATATTCACATCATCTCGGAAAGAGGAATTATATTTGAAGGAGCGAGAAAGATTCTTCAATTCCCTTCAATGTGCGATTCCACCAAAATTGCATAAGAGTTCAGCAGAGTGTTGTGCATCATGCATGAATGCTTCAATGATTTGCCAAATTTCGCGAAAAACCGAATTTCATTGAACATTCTTCATATATGGATTTTTTCAAATTGAAATGCCACAAATGCGCATGTGAAATTTAATCACAGTATGAAAATAAAATAATATAAATTGTCATTTGCCCACAGAACATTTTAATTAAGTAATAAAACTCGCAATGTGTGTTAGGGAATTAAATTAGTGAATTCTTGAGAAATTGCATTTCGCATTTCATGCTTTTTTCTTTGTTTTTACTTGATAAAAAGTTGCAAATGGAATTTTCCGCTCGTTTCTCACTATAAATGACGTTATGACATTAATTGTTTGACTCCACTCATTTCTCGTATCAAAATTTATAAATATAATAAAATTAATCGCAAGTCTCATTTTCAGCTGAATTTGAAAGGGAGGAATTTTAATAAAAGAGCGTGATATATTGATATTTAATTACTTCTGCCCTATATAATGGACTTAAAAGAAAGTTTCAGAAGTTTAACGAGGGGTAACTGATCTGTGAGCCATCTAAATGTGAAAGCTTTTGTACTATTGTGTTCTATGAATTAAATTTCATCATTAATCTCTGGCGGCACAAAGAAGCGGACTTTAAAGAGGCTCTTAAAGTATATAAAATTCTGATACATTATGGCGGCATGTGGCTGAATTTCACAATCAATCCATTGGGCAGACGAACAGTGGCGAAATGCTAATAAATTAGTCGAATCGCATACAATTGTCTTTGCGGTACCCATCTTGGACAATAAAATATTCCATCACCTTTCATGCTTCTGCCTTGTAAATATGCACATCAAGTGCGCTTTGTGCCGGGTGTGGAAGCAAGGAAGTAAATCATTTTCCAGAGATGGTGTCAACAATAGTCAAGTGCTATGCTTAATAAGGCTTCGCATGTATGAGAGCCCTACAAATGCAGAAGCCGGTAATGATAGTCTTGGAGATCTGCAAACAAGCATGTGCATTTCAATAGTGCACATATCATTGTTGGTTCGGAAAGCATCAAAGCCAGACTGTCACCCTTGCCTTTGAACATGTTGCAGAGTAAGTCTGTGATTATCTTTTTCTGCAATTTATCCCAGCGGAGTACATTTATGGTACACGGAAGATTTAATTTGAGATGATGGGCGTAATCAAGGGAATAATTAATAGTATTAAGAACCTGGCACACTCTGTGATTTCTTGTACATACATCAACTTTCTCGGCAACAGTGTCTGTCGTTTCTTAATTTGATTTATTATTGTTGAAGTACTTGTGAGAAAGTTGAAGTAAGTTTTGAAGTTGAGCGCCAAAGTTACATCTCTGTGCAGCTGTAGGTGTTTATGTACACTTGAGAGGGAGGCGTGTTAAGGTGGGGAATCCTGTGTCGCAAGAAACCACGCCGGAGATATGATTCCATTTACCAAAACAAGGTGCACAGAAGACAACAGCAACTCTGTAGACGTAGAGCATTGCCATAACTTTTATAATCAGGCGAGAACAGCAAAGTCTGAATGTTTCTTTCCTCTGGCAAATAGTGTGAGGAAGAGAGAGTCGTCAACTTGACATAAAACTATGTATTTGCGTTGGGCTTGCATCCCTCCTGAGAAATCTCCGAAGCTCACACAGTCAATAAAAGTAAATTAAAGCAATGCTGAGCATATTGTCGAGTGGATGCTGAAGATGCTTTGCTACATAAAGCCACGCTTAACTCATTCGAATCAAACTATTTCCCCACGATATTGCGCGCACAAGACACAATAACCAAATATATAAAGATTTCAACTGTAATTGCCTGCCTTCCTCACTTCTGATTGGAAGGCAAAGAGTAACTTTTGTCCCCACCAATGCAAGAAGGCGTCACGTGGAAAGCTCTGCAGTTACGAGGCAAATATCATGATAATTTCATGGCGAATGTCTCTCCAGCAGAGTGTAGTGAAATGTTAGATACAGCTTCATTACGAGCAAGTTCAATGGTGTTTATATCAGCGCTTATATGATGTGTTTATATTAGCATCACTTCTACGAGGATGTTGCAATAAAGCGCTTTGCACTGGTTCGCTATGTTTATATACTTATGTATATGAGGCAATATTTTATTGCGAATAAAAAGCGCGTGAAGAGATCTCTTTCTCTGCACGTCTGAGAGAATAAAAGACGCATATTTTTAAATAAAAGTGAGCTTCTTGTAAATGTGATACTTTATGGGCGGTTATTTATAAGCACGATATTATTAAATTGTCGTATTTCTCTGATTGCGCTTTTTGCCATGCTGATCAACACTTCTGCTTTATGGCTGTTCTTAATTGGCGGCACAATTGCGAACTCGAGACTGTCTTGAAATTGTCAGAGCATACGTACAAATCCTTATCGTGGAAAGTTTAATACAAGATAAAATACATAAATTATTCACCCCCTCTTAATCCCAATTAATCTATTTTCCCAAAATATGCGGTACATTGTCTAATGACGTTCGACGTAATTGGAGTGCCACCGAAACTCACATGTGTAACTTCTGTTTGAAGCTCGGACCAGAAAGCATTTCCATGCGAATAACCCATTGAAAACTTATGATGCTTGCGTGTGCTTCTGGAGACGAAGATGGAGATTTCATTACACGACAGCGCCTGAGAGACAGAGAGCTGAAATTCCATTTGAGATTACGCCAAGGGAATGAGTTAGGAGGTCTCCACCTATATTAATTCGAGAAACTATATCTTGCTTCATGGTTCATTCGCATCAAATGAGGAGTATATTAGTTGTATACGATGATTACACTTTAATGCTCACCCAAGTACGTTTCTGACGAAATGAGCACTTCATTCTGTTGCATATTCCAGACAGACAAGCCTATGTTCTGGATGATGTTCCCGTGTAGTATTACTATTATTTGCTAACATCTCGCGAAAACAGTAATTCAGGACTAATTGTATAGCATTACCGCTACAGGTGTAAGCAAAATGTGTGAAATGCCGTGTTTTCACTACAAACAGAGCAAGTGAAATGGAAACACAACGCCTTTCTCCTCCTCGCTGATTATAGTATTAACATCAATCAGGAAATGTATCGTCTTAAACTATATATCGCACATCAAAGGACTCAATGCAACCAAATACCAGGAATACTTGCTGAATCTTCACTGATAGTGTATTGCTTCTCATCTGAAAGTACAAATTCAGGGTTTGTGTATTATAAGCGGAATTCTTTGCGTAATTGATTACTCGTAAAGGTAAGCTTGAAATAGAATGTCAATGTACTCTTCGCCATCTGCGCAGTATGTAAAAATGCCAATGTAAGCGAGTGGCTTATCCCTGTCGTACTCAAAAGCTTTCTGGTAATTGGAAACCTTTTAAGACACTGGAATTCCTCATGCTTGTGATTCAATGTCAATTCAAGAGCTCGTCTTGCTCATTTCGATAGAGGTGGATCAAGCGAAGAAAGAATAGACATAAATAGTTAGGGGAAAAAACCGTCTCTTCACATCAATGGAAACAACCAATCTATAGATTTTTTCACGCGTATTTTCGACATTTTCTCGCAGTGGCTGCAAATGTGATTTCTCTGAGAGGCTTCTGAAGAACCCTCAGGAAGAATTAGCATTCAAATTAGAAAGCGCGAGATGATTAAATCACGCCCGAACCGTTGGTTAATGAAGTTATGATGAGCAAAGTATGACAGAGTAACCTCACGTAAAAAGTTGTTATTTGTTTGTTGACTATTCTCATTGAATTTCAGTTATGTCAACTAGAGAGCCAAAAAACAACTTTATTTCATCGGGGAAACCCATTTTTACTTGGTGATTCTTCTTTCCTATAGTAATAAGCATTCAACAGTCAGGAAGACAAAAACTTTGCGCAATCGCGATGAAGAGTCGTTGATCTATAAAATTGAAATTTAGAGCATGGTTTCATCTCAACACACCCAGCAAAGAAAATCAATTCGCGTTCGAGAAAATAATGCCGAAAAGTGGATTTGCTTTCATTCCATTCTCTCCGTATATGCTTTCAAACATTGTAACATGATCCTTATTGTCTTCGTAAAATGTATATTATTCTAATTGATATGCAAATTCCCTGTCTCGATGAAGCCAATTGTGCGATGCGTTCCCCGCGAGATACTTCATTTCTGGCTGGAATAAAATTTTATGTTAAATTTTACGAGTTGCTTAGCTTTTTTCAATGCTCCGAGACACACCACTTCCGAGAGCCCAGAAGGCCCCCTTTTATTCATGCTTGCCTCTGAGTTGTGTGTTTGTTCGCTCTCTGGGGCTTTGGGTGGAGGGAAAAAATGCCAGATTGCGAGTGACAAGAGTCATGACTCAAAAGTCATGATCTCTGGCGAAAGAAAGGCGCATCTCCAAATCGGTCACTTTTATTACCCCGTTGGCGCTTAATGCCACACGGAGAATAATGACTAATTCCATCTTTTTCCCCCTTTACAATCCGCACAACTGTTTGTTTTACGACGACATTATAACGTACATTTGGGCGCCAAATTCGTGAACGGAAACATATCCAATTTGAGTCCACGCCTTCAGCGCCCAGTCACCAAATAATTTCCCTGCAATTTGCTCAATGTCCCATTGGAGGTAGTTTGCTTGAAATATCAGTGCCATAAAGATATTTGCGTAAAGACAGCATTCCTGCTGGTCTGGGAAAGTTATTCGGATATATAAAGTGTGGGAATTCCTTGGGAAAACACACTCTGACTACCAATCAATGTGTACTCTTGCCACAGTTGGAATTTGGAGATGAGATGGCATTGCAGGCATCACAATTAGCTAAATAGACATTTTTTCGGAGATTTCACGATGCATTTTGCAATTACCAGGCATTAAATATCAATCTAATTCGACAGTCCGGCTATTACGTGAATTTTTGTTCAACTTTATGTCACACATAACATGAGCGTAAAAAATTTATGCTGGCCATAAGAATTTTATTATCTAGAGAAATATATTTATTAAGCACTATGATAGCACCCACTTTTCCGCCACTGGCATCATCAGCGTTGTCAGATGCTGTGGAGCACCAAGAGTCCTGCATGCATAATATATGTGCGAGAATTTAAATAACAATTTAATTAGAGCGTATCAAATCGTGTCGTTGGGAAGAAGAGGAAGACCAATAAAGTTGAAATGCAAGGAGTGTAAAAGGAATATTAGCGCGAATATCTTCTGTTGACTTCATTATATGGATAGTGGTTTCTATGTCATATACTTTGATTAAGTGTAATTAACGTCGCTGTGATAGCATATAATTTTATTCAAGTGCTCATGCCGTAAAATGTTTGTGTGTGCCTCAAATTGAGTTTCTCACTACATGTGCGGTAGACATTTGAAATCCCTCCTCGTCATCTTCGTCAGTGCGGCTGAATTTTTCGTTGGAATTCCCTCGATAGGCATAAAATGACTTTCTCACATTAAATTTTGGCACTGCATATATGTCAGAGTGTATACTATTGTGCGAGAAATGCTCTGTGTTACCCCCAGTAATTTCGTGTGAATATATTCAACTTTCGCCACCAAATTGCGCCTTCATGCTTCCATTTTGCTCCCCTATTTTTCCTCTCTTTCACTCTATACCTCATAACATGGGCCTCATATGTAAATTTCACGGAGCTGCTGAATTTTTACTACGGCCCTACATAATACATTGGAAATGAAAATCTGCTGCAAAAAACCCATTGAGAGTAAATGTGGTTCATGAAAAGTCATTTAAATTTTACTCGTAGACCTCGTAACTTTTCACCCAGTCTATTTCACTTCCTGAAGATGCTCACAGAAGTGACTAGCTCGCCTTCCTGCCCATGCAAAGTTAAAATATGTGTGGAAATTGAGAGTGGAGAAATTTTACGCGCTATGCAAGAGAAGGAAAGCGAGCAACTGTTGCCATATTGGCCCAATCTTCCCTAACATTGAAATTTTCTTCTCTGGATAGCAGAGTATACTATAATTCGTTATGTCTATCGTCTATCAGTAGCATAAACAACCGATTAATGGCTGTAATATGTAGACAAACATGACAACGTTGATAGATTTGTCTGACGATGACAGAGGCAAAATAGCTTCATTGTGATATTATATTAACTAACCACGTGCCTCGGCATCCCGCTAAGAGCCTCTTCGTTCGCTCTTGTTTTGAGCTACAAATGCGAAACATCAATTCATGTTAAATGTATTACTGTCTTTTCGATCAGTGCTCTTTAAGACAGACTTCTTATTACCCATGGTGTGATTTCACTATATCACTCGGGTCCTTCTTCTTTCACCCCCATTCATCAGGCGCATAGCGACCTGCTGGCCGTGTCAATATACATAGTACACACTATGTCAATATATTGATTTTATCCCGTGAAAGATTGAGAGCTTTTATGTACATGCAGAGGTCACTGATTGGGGAACAAGAGAGAGCAATTCTTTTTCATCGCACGCAAACCATAATTGATAACAAAAACAACGAAGAGGAGTAGTGAAAAAATTTTATTTGGCACATAAAGTGATAGAACCAAAATCAACATTCCAAGCAGAATTCAAAGATATAGTGGGCAAACAGTTTCCTGCCAATCAAAATCAAGTCGCCATTTATTGCAGGCAAATTAAGTGCCATCGAATCAGCAGAAACAACAGAGGAAGACAAAAAGCTTCTGGGCAGGTCCAGAATTGAGAGCCTTCATTATGAACTATTTCATTTTCTACGCGAAAGATATTGCTGAAAATTTATGACCCGAGGGAGTTTTACGTCCGGACAGCGAGAGCTTAGTGTGAAAAATCCAATTAATCATTTGTGCACATCCTCCCGGGAGAAAGCCTCAACAAAAGCCAACACTTATCCTGGAAACGGGGAGGCAAAAGGCATTGAAAGGGAGAGAACAATAAAGTATGCTTAAATGAGAAATTACCTGTGACTCTTGCGAAATAAATCCTCGAAAATTGCCTCGAAACTCTTTCAAACGGCTTCACCTTTTCTTCACGTTTTCTTAACAATCTGTTGACTATCGTTGCTCTTCTGCACAGTTTTGTCGCTCACTTTTGATTTAAATGGGGATGAGAAGGAGAAAAAAATTCATCTCGATGGGAAGGCTTTTTTAAATTCAAATCACAAACCACAAATTCGGGAGGGAAAACACTTTGTGAAAACTTTTGGTAGAAAATCAATATATAAAACAGGATGGATTTAGAGAGCGCGAGGAGTGAAATTCATGGTTGAATTTTAATCACTGGCAAAAAATGTCAAAGTACTTTTTCTGACGTGAAGCTTGATAAGTACATCGTGCATTTTAATATGCAGTCTATCAATAGATTTTGAATGTAATTGCAGTGATATTGTGAATAATGTCAAAAATTACCATAATGTTTATTAATTGTGTGCAATTATTTACCCAATTAGACAAATATCAAATGATTCAATTTCACTCCCTTCCCTCACGCCAACTTTGGGAATTTATGTGCTGTAAATGATTTGTGAGGGGGGTTGAAACTTTAATCTCTCATTAGATGTCTAGAGCAAGAATTTTGCACTTAATTAGATTGAATCGTTCTTTTGTATTCAATATTCATGTGCAAGAAAAGCTCTGAAAGGATTGCACAAGTGAACATTATAAAGAATTCAGTGAATTTCTTCTGGACACCAAAAATCAATAAAACCATTGAAATCACACTAATTGATAATGCAAATTACATTTCACACCCAGTAATCTTACACAATTTAGCGAGTTTGCAAATTGACAATTGCGAAGATGGGGGATTGTGGTTGGCCTAATAAGGGTCCCTCGACTCAAGCACACTCCAGGAGATGAAAATTTGATCAAATTGAAAATAAATACCGAGGAGAATTCAACGCTCCTGTGAAAATGAACCATTTAAAATTCTACCTGTCGCTGTGTGAATTTCTATTTGGATAAACACAGACACGTCGTTGGAAGAATCGCGACAATGTAGGAAGCATAAATACGAAAAATAAAACATTAATGAAGTCTATAATTGAGTTTCCTTCTTGTGAGCGTGCACAACAGAAAAAAATCACGAAAATCCTCTGTAAAAAACAACTCATTTAAATAATTCCTAAACAGTCTCTTTGAAGCGTGGGAATGGAAATTCGTGTCGAATGTGATTTTATGTTGAAAGAAAATTCCTCAAAAGCAAACACGCAGTTGTTTTTCACCCACATTTTTTCGGTGCAGATGTGATAAATCACGGAGAGGTGATATTAAACATTTTGTCTGATTGGCAGTGTCTCTTGGGGGGTTAACACACTTTCTCCACAACACTGTTTGGCACTCTCTGGGAAGCGTGGGGAGTCGCGGCTCGGCTCCTTCTGTGGTGACTTCTTCGGCACGGATTCCCACCTGAAACACCCGGGGCGACGCGACGGCTCTCCCTTGCTGAACCGCTCTGCGTGAGTGATCCAAGAGGTGAGAAGCCTGCCTTGCGACTAGCGATGCGAATGCTAAGAACGACAGAACCCAACTGGCGGACCGCACTTGGTGAGACTCTCGCTCATGGTGTTCGCAAGTCCCGACACTACTGAGCAGGCGCTCGCCAGCGGCGTCCCAATCCGCGATCCCACGTCGGATGCTGCGGCATGGGATGAGCTTTGGGAAGCACTGGGCACAGCGCAGTGGAGCGACAGTGAAAGTGGTGCTGGGGAGTGTTGAGAGAGGTAAGTTACATTCTCATCTGGCCAGGCATACATCCCATCGTCGCCACGGTGTATAGGTAATTGGGTAAACATAGATGCTGAATTTGACCGGAAAAGTGTTTGTGATTACCTTTGCTCGATCATCTCCAAGTGTTCGGCATTAATCGCGCCGGAAGACATCCACGCGCTTTGATCTCTGCTCGCGGGAACAATTGACTTCAAAGTTGCAAATGAATTGATGGTTGTGCGCTCAAGTTCAGCGGTGTTAACACATGAGGTGAAATTGCACTGAATAACAAATGTTTACATTCAATTAAGAGGACAATTACAGTGGTTTCGTGCCAAATTATACTTCACTAGCAATCGTATGCGACTGCCATAAAACCCCTACATTTATGTTTAGTATATCAGCACGACACGCACCACCGGCCATGCGTGGGGTTGTTGGGGAGCGCGGGGTCACAGTGGACAAGGGTTGAAGAGTATTGAAGTTGTTTTGAAATTCTGATTCGTTCTGTATTTCTGGAAATTTGAGATAATTCCATGTGTGATGTTGAATATTATGACTCGTATTGAGAAAACAGGGATCGTAATTGGTATATTTAAGTAACATAAGATTAAGAGAATTATAGAAACAGAAATTTTTCAGAAGGAATACTGAAAAGAAAGCTGGAAACTCGAGTTTTAGCTCCTTCTTCTCGAGCGAAGCAAATTGTAAACACTCTGTTTTCAAGCCCTGTGGCATTGAAATTCTAAATTTTAGCTTATCAGTATGTCTTGATGCCTTTGTGGACAATTTATGCTGATTATTTTCTCAAATAAAGTTCACAATTTATTCATAAAAAAATTCCAAATGATGCCTCTTCACGCAGCTTTCTGGGGCGCAAGTGGAGAGAAAGAATATGATAATTCCACGTAAAAGCACTTCACTCCTTATCATTCTGGTCCACATAGCGAGAGAGGCTCGCAGTGAAATAAGCGTAATCAATTAGGCTGCTGAAAGGAGAGAATTTTTAACAATTCTTCTTCAGATGGGCCATCAAGAAACAAGCTCTTTTTGATAATTGAGTGGGCGAAGGATGTGGAGGAAAATGTGCGAAAACGACTTCATTCGCCCATGCCCACAACACACACCCCCGAAACTCATTATCAACATTACAGACTTTCATTTGGATTTATCTCGGAGAATGGCTTTCTCCGCGCTGATGACGATTCCTTCAAGGCACTCTCGGACTAATTTAACCAAAAAACATCATCAACTTTGGCCAAAAATCCACTCTTGTGAATTTACCAAAATTCACTCCATCAGACAGCAATGATTTTTCTTCTTTTTACTATTCCTCTCTCTCTCCCAATGTCTTCGCCAGACTTTCCATCACACGCTAGAATTCGCAAACGATTCATTGGTAGACTATAGGATTTATATATATGCTCAGTCAGACGAAGGTGAAAGTCGAAGAAAAATCGAAAAGTTTAATAAAATCATCACGCCTTTGGCAACTAGAAATTGTCCTGGGGGGCGTTTTTTGTGGGGGTGGGGCAGTTTTTACCCAAAACTTTCAGCGCCACCCTCTCTGCCGGTGACTGCCTTTGTCAAAGGGTAACCACACAATGGTATATGGTTAAAAGTGTGTGCTGGGGTGTGTTTCTCGCTGAAACTCCTAATTACTTTCACTTTTTCCTCTCGAAGATCACACAAGTCGCTCAAAGGTTATCACCTCGAAGGCGTGTTGCCAAATGTGCCGAAGAAGGGAAATTAATCGATGGTGACGATGGAATTCCTTCAACCCTCCTCATCTACGACTCGCCGTTGAATTTATATTCATGAAAGTTGGTCTCAAAATCGAACAGGGAGAGGTGGCGGCGGTGCTTCATTGAAAAAGATTTCACGTTTGACTGATATAACCCAGAAAGTGGGATATTTATTGTCGACTCTGTCTCATCTGCACTTTCCATCGTGGTGGAAAGTTTCCTCCACCCATCTCTCGTCACGCAGCACCCACTTTTAGATAAGTTTCTACGCCACAAGCTCTTGGTCTCGTCTGGGTTAACTGAAAAGTTCGATTTATGCTGAACCATTGTCGATGGCAAAAATGTTAAATGATAGATGAAAGTAGTGTCTTTTGTCTGTTCTTTAGGATAAAGTTTTCTTCTCTATTCGCCCAATTTGAGCATTCTCTACTTTTTCAATGATGTGAAATACGTATGAAGTGTTCTTGCGGATGATAAATTCCTTTTACCGTCTGCGGTATTTTCATTTAAAGTATTAACGATTACATGGATGTAAATTTCTTTAAGCGTCGCAGTGAATGAACGGCAATGAAGCATTGCCATTCGATTGATGAAGAGCAATTTATTCATGCCAATATTTAAAGATCCCTTCAGGTCAGTATAAATTGTGTAGTATTAATGGAAAATGTGTTGATTCGGTCTTTCAGAGATTGCGTCTTGCTGGTCGAGGAGGAGAGAAGCCAAAGGATTAAGGACATGAGAAAGTGTGAAATAAGTCATGTGGAAATCGGAAGGGATACATGATAATAAATTATTTGATAACAATAGCGGGTCTTGTGGTGGAAGGATTCGCTACAAGGTTGCCCATTCTGAGGGTATAGGCTCGTAAATAGGAAGGGTGGAAAAAAAGGGATTGAAAGCCTGAGATGTCCCAATGGTAAACACAAGTGCACTGAACTCTCAATGGCCCTCATTTGCTTCTTGTGCTGGCCATTTCTGCTCTCTGCCCATTCCTCAAGATCCGCACTTAAAGTTTCATCGCATAAGGTGCTTTTCAGTGATACACAAGGAGATTTTCCGGCGGATTTCAAGTGGAAAACGTCATCAAGATGCTCACATTCAGGCTCACCCCACTTGAGATGGTAACTCAAAATAGGAAATGAATTTTTTATTCGCGCAGAAAGTTTCCGTACATGTTGAATTCGCGCGAAAGAGTGATTAATGGCTGATACCAAAAGAAGAAATCTTTGCTGATTTGTCAGCAGGAGATGCTTTCATACTCATGGCAAATTGTAATGCGCAATCGACACGACTGTACATTGATACACTTGCCATCGTGAAGATGACATGGAGACAAGAACATATGTTCTGACATTGTTAAGTGTGTCTTTTATCACTTTTCCCATCTATTCCCTTTTTGCTCGCAGCCAGAACACTTGAATTATTTATTTCTCACACTTTTTGCACCGACGACATAATAACACTATGCAATTCATTGATTTTTCTACCCGTTTACTTTCCAGAACCAATCATATTCCACACATTGTGAGTGAAAATTCACCGAGAGAAACAAATTACTTATGAAATCACAAGAGTATTTTAAGGCAAACAATGGCAAAATCAATGAAACTACATTTTTCATTTGTTTTTAATTGCTTTCGGTCCTCCTTCTGTTGATTTAAGTTTCATCTCATGTTTTTTCTAGAAATCAAGTCAATCATTTACTGTGTATTTGCAGCAATTTCTGCCAATTGAATTTCATCATAACGCTCTCATGTTTTCTGATGCTTCGCCAACCTACATGAGAGCGAGCATCAAAATTGGTAGCGATGGTGAGATAAAGCGCGCAATGCAATTCCGAAATGCATTATTTATAAGCCACTCTCTCCGGTGACAAATGGCAAGATTGTATGAGTCGCTCGAGTGAGAATTCCCCACTAATTCTTCGGCAGCCATTAGACTTTGCTGCCCGTCTCGCGTGGAGTGACATGCAGCTTTTGGATTTGCTGC